AGTAAGACATTATCTGGTAAATTATTTATCTTAAAAGCATCAAGATAAATTGAGCTTTTATGTTGTTTGCATGCAGTGAATTTTGCAGACTACCTCAGAGGATCATATCAAACATTTTATATTAACTGGTAAGATTTTTAAAATATCCTTCATTTTCAGACCAATGATTTTTGTAAAGCCTTTTCTCTGAACAGTATTTTAAGAGTTAGCATGACTTAAGACAAAATGTTCACAACAGCAAATAATGTTTTCTGTGGAAGGTCTGGGAAAGTTACTCACTGACAATTATTTCCTTGGACTTGTAGTCCTTCTAGAAGACATTGCTGTCCTTAGGAGCAGTTTGTCATACTTAGATGAGAAACTCAGATGTTTTATTATTATTATTTCTTTTTGGGGGGGCACTGATTATATTTATTGTAGAAATATTGATTTAAAATATTGTAAATAGGGCTTCCCTGGTGGCGCAAGGGGTTAAGACGCAACCTATGAAACTGTCTGCAGCCACTGCAGCACGAGTTTGATCCCTGGCCAGGGAGATACACACATGGCGCAGCAGACCTCTCCTGACTTGGCCTCTGTGCCCCACAGCAGTGTATTTCAGTCAGTCTGCCTGTTCTGCTCCCCACTCTGTCTCTGGTGAATCCTCTCAACCCCCCAGACCCCACTTTTGGCCCATACCCCACTTCTTGTATGCATAAATAAATAAATCTTGTAAAAAATTAAAAAAAATAAAATACTGTAAATAATGTAAAACATACACATTACAAATGTAAGTTATCACACCAGACACCCATAATCCTCTAGCATAGTCCATTGAACTCCTTCCCCTCTTTGTTTTTTAACCCTCCCCCCCACCTTTCCCTTCTGGTGGCCTCAGTTCTACAGTCAGATTTCTAGCAATGGTTTTGATTTAGTTTTTTTTTGTCTGTTCCTTTGTTTCGCTACTCTATATTTTCACATATGAGGGCAATCATCCGACACTTGTCTTTTTCCTTCTGACTTGTTTCTTTTAGCATAATCTCCTCCAGTTCTACCTGTGTGGTTGCAAATGGCAAAATTTCGTCTTGTTTCAAGCTGCGTAATATTCCACTGTGTACATATACCACTGTTTTTTTTCTCTACCCATTTGCTCTTGGACACTTAGTTTCCATAGCTTGGCTGTTGTAAATAGTGCTGCAGTGAACACAGGCATGCAGATATCCTTTTGAATTAGTGTTTTGGGGGTAGATAACCTAGGAGAGGGATCTCCACATCCTGTGGTTGATCTACTTTTCTCATTTTCAGAAACCTCCACACTCTTCTCCTCAAAGGCTGGACCAGTCTACCTTCCCCCCAGCAATATATGAGGGTTCCTTTTTCTCCACACCTTTGTCAGCACTTGCTGTTAGCGGTCTTTCTGATATGGGCCATTCTCAGAGGTGTGAGGTGGCATCTCATGTGGTTTTGATTTGCCATCTGCATGTCTTTTTTGGAGAATTGACTATTTAGTCCTTCTACCCATTTTTTGGATTGGGTTATTTGCTTTGTTTTCATTGAGTTGTGTGAGTTCTTTGTAGATTTTGGATATCAGCCGCTTGTTAGATCTAGTGTGCTAATACTTTCTCTCATTCGGTAGGGTAACTTTTTGTTTTAATGATAGTTTCTTTTTTTTTTTTTAAAGATTTATTTATTTATGTATACAACAATTGGGGTACAGGCCAGAGATGTGGGAGGTGAGAGGATTCACCAGATACAGAGCAGGGAACAGAACAGGCAGATAAACTGAAATTCACTGCTGAGGGGAGCTGTGGGTGAGTCAGGAGAGGTCTGCTGTGCCATGTGGGTAGCTCCCTGGCCGGCCGGGGGCTCAAACTCATGCTGCAGAGGCTGTGGACAGCTTCACAGCACTGTGCTTAACTGTTGTGCCACAAGGGAGCCCCCTGTTTTAATGATAGTTTTTTTTACTGTGCAGAAGCTTTTTATTTTGAAGTCGTTCCAGTTGAAGTTCAGATCTTTGGTTATATTCTTTTCTCCATGAAGGGACTCCCTCTCTGACACGCTAATATAAATGGAATAAACATTTGTAATGAAGCCAAAAAGAACAATGTAGGGAAGGGAAGGTACCTGTGTGTCTGTGTAAGGCACAAAAGAGATTATTTGAAATGAAAACTCAAGAATTGATGATATAAACAGTAAATTAAAAGGTGGTGGAAAGTGCTAGAAAGAAGTGTTGAAAGTATCTAGTTGCACCTTCAGAGTACTTGTTGGGATTGGGAAGGTGGGCAGGAAACTTGTTTTGTAGCACTATTTGTCTTTAAAACTGATTAATTCAAATGTTAAGAGTTAACATTACCTATAGTAAAAATATCTAAAAACGTATTCTGTGTTCCCACTCTTCTCTCCCACCTGCTCAATTTCTATTTTTGTCTCTCTGCATACATCCCTTCTCTTAGTTTATTTCAATTTTGCATGATTTCATTTTGCAGATACTACAGATAGGAATCCTATCATCTTTTTTTTAGATTTATTTTTATTTATTTATGCATACAAGAACTGGGGTGTAGGCTAGAGTTGCAGGGTTGAGAGGATTCACCAGAGACAGAGTAGGGAACAAAACAGGTGGGTCTACTGAAATACACTGCTGAGGGGAGCAGTGGGTGAGACAGAGAGGTCTGCTCCACCATGAGGGTTAGCTACCTGGCCGGGGATTGAACTCATGCCACAGTGGCTGGCGATAGCTTGGTAGCCCTGAGGCTTTAAGCCCTGCACCACCAGGGAGGCCCCAGGAATCCTGTCTTCTTCCCGTATGTTACACACTATCATCACTGACCTAGCTTGTTTTTTTTTTTTTTAACTTAATATATGAAGATCTTTCAACAGTATGTCTGTGTATATATCATCTACGTATGTATAACATATATTATTAATGATATGTTAATATCATTATATGTCATTATTGATATTATTATATGTTAATATAATTATATACAATAGAATATTCATGCATGCATTGTATGTTATCATAAATTATTTAATATGTGTATTACACAAGACTATGTGTGCATATGTAGTATATTTGAATATGTTTGCATGTGTTGTGTCCATGTATGTTTACATATGTATAAAGTAGCAAACACACATACAATAATAACATGTATGTGTAGTTTTCTTTTACAGCTGCATAGTGCTCCATATCCTGGATAAATCATAATTTGTTAAACCTGTATCAATATTGAATGACATTGACATTCGGGTTGTTTCCACTCTTTTATTATTAACAAAGCTATAATGTACCTATATCTTTTGCATGTATGAAAATAAAATCTAAAGGGCCTCCCCTGGTGGTGCAGAGGTTGAGCGCTGGGCTGCGAAGCTGCCTGCAGCCTCTGCAACGCTGGTTCGATCCCTTGCCACTGGCGAGGGTCCCACATGGCGCACAGACCTCTCCTGCTGCGCCTGCTGCTCCCCTCAGCAGTGTATTTTGTCGGTCTGTCTGTTGTGCTCCCCGCTCTGGCTCTGGTGAATTTTCTCACCCTCCTGTGCTTCTGACTGTACCCAGTGCTTGTATAAATAAATATATAAATCTTTAAAAAAAAAAAAAAAGAAAACCCAAAGTAAGAAAAGAAGTAAGGTGATTACGTTAATATTAAAACTCATAATAATTTGAATCCACAAATTGTGGATTAGCTAACTTTTTCTTACTCAAGGGGAAATTTTCCCTTTACTTATTTGTACATGTGTTCATTCAACAAATTGGAGCTCCCAACTTAGGGCCAAGTCCTCTTTTAGTTTCTGGGAATATCTTTGCCACCAAAGTCTTGCTCTTGGGGCTCACAGCAAGGTGGTGGGGTACTAGGTTTTAAGATGCTGATTGAGTCACTTGGCCAAGAGGAGGTGTGACAGGCAGGGATTGGCTGGTAAATAAAACAAAGTCATTCATTTTGCTCTACCTAATGGCTTAGATTTTCTATAGTAGACATTTATTACTTTTGTAAATTTGGAAGAAAACTTTTTTTCTTAAATGGGGAGAGACACATAAGGCAGCACAGAATAGTGGAAAGAACTTACTCTGTGGTGTTAGACTCCTGAATTAGTTTCCAATTCTTGGACATCTCAGACTATAAAATGGGGACAATAATATGCAATTGGGGAGGCTGACGATTAAAACTGTTGTATGTAAAGTATCAGGGGCATTATGCAATAATTTTTGCAAATGTTAATTGTGCTTTTTTATGTATGTGTGCTCTTGTGTACCCCTAAGATTTTGATGCACTTAGATTATTCTCAGAAGTGCACATAAAACTTAAGAACTATAAAAAATGGTTTATAAGATTCATTAGCTATATTAGCAGCAAATGAAAACATAGTTGACTGTGCCTTTAAATATCTATTTAAAAAAACTGAAAAGCCAATAGAATCACAAGTGGGTAGTCAGGTGATAACATGCAAAAATGAACATACCAGGGGCCTCCCTGGTGGCGCAGGGGTTAAGCACCGCACTATGAGGCAATCTGCAGCCTCTGCAGCACGAGTTCAATCCCCGGCCAGCCAGGGAGCAACCCACATGGCACAGCAGACCTCTCCTGACTCCCCGCTGCTTCCCTCAGCAGTGTATTTCAGTCAGTCCGCCTGTTCTGCTCCCTACTCTGTCTCTGGTGAATCCTCTCAAACCCCCGCCCCCGCCCCCGCATCTCTGGCCTGTACCCCAGCTCTTGTATGCATAAATAAATAAATCTTAAAAAAAAAAAAAAAAAGGAACATACCAGCATTAGCATTAGTAGTGAGAAGCAATAGGAAAATAGCTGGGGAAAATATTCTATGCACAAGAGCACAAAACTAGAGTTTTCCTGAGCAAGGAATAAAATGTTGTTATACTGTCGAACAAAAAATGAGCAGAGTAAATGTAGGCCCTATGTTTATGTGTGCAAAGGCTGAATGTAAACTGTTTCTCTGTTGTGCATATTATACAGTGTTATTTTGTGGTGATAATGTGGCCTTGGGACATCTTCAGAGGAGGCAGCAGTGACTCCAGTGTGGAGGCAGAAAGCTGAGGAAGGCTTCTTAGAATTGGCTTTTGGACTCCTGGCAGGATAGGGGAGACAGTGCCAAGAGATTGGCAGATGTTAGAAAGAAGACTGAGCGGGCATGGAATGGTGGAAGGATTTACACTCCTCTCCTGAGTTTCCAGGCTATTTCAGGAATTTTAAACACTGGTTCCTGTCATGGTTTTGTAACAGGGTGGTCCCCAGAACAAGGGGAAGTTCCAGGTTCCCTGCCCCACCCAAAGGAGGGTAGAGCTGAGCAGGGAGGAGAAAAAGCTAGAGGAGAGACTGAGGAAGGAGGGAAGCAGGATGGAGCCAGAGGGAGACCTGGAGGAGGCACATGGAGCCGAGAGACACGTGAAGAAACTACACTGGCCTTTTGGTCATCGACTGGGAGACACAGATGTAGGTGAGACCCGTGGGGAGGGGACAGTGGCGGTTTTTGTCTTGATTGTGATTTTGCTCTTTTCCTTCCAGACTTGTCTGGTTGTTTCTGATCCTTTTCTGGGGGTCCCCACTGGAAGGTGCTTTAGACTAGTGGCAGGCTTTGGGGCCTTACTCTGGGCCAATCCCATTTGGGGGGACTTTTACCCACGAGGGGACAGGTAACTGTATCCTTTGTCTTTTCTGTATTGTTTACTAATACCTTTCCATTCAAGTCTTAGATGTTTTGTGTTGATGTTGCAAATGGCAGAACCCATTTAGAGCAGGCAGGTTTGGGGCTCAATCTAACAGATTGAGCCAATCTGTTTAACAGGCAGTTGGCCACAGTCCAGGAGGCCTGCTATGGGGCCCTGGGGCTGTTCTTACTTTGTTGACCTGAGTTTATTGGTTACTCCAGTGACTTTTTACAAGAGCAGAAGAGAACTCAACTGCAGTGAGATGCAAAGAGAATATGTGAGTGATATGTTTCCTCCAAGTCACCACAGGATATTTCTGGGCAAACCTTACCCCAAAACAAGGTAGTTCTGAAGAAATTACCAGAAATACTGGATCTGTTGTCACATACAGATTTTTCTTCATACACTCGCTCCAGCTGAGATGAAAGCTGCCTTTGAGGAATAATTTATTTCAGAGGACCATGGCAATTCTCTCTCTTTGAAATAGGGATTACTGACTTCGTAACATGGAAACTTAAATATGAATTCACCCCCGTTTTTGCTCAGTGATTTGTTTTTCAGGTCTTTCCATCACATTTGTTCTTTCTTTCACTTGAACCATGGTAACTCCCTGTGGTCTTTCTCTTGTGGACAAATTGTGCTTGTATTAAACAATTTCATAAATCAGTGAGTAATCAGCAAACTGCTTAGTCAAACTATCATTTCTATGAGTGAAGTACAAGCATCAACTCTTTTTCTCTAGGACCTGGGTGTAGACTGAAAGGGTTGGCATGGTAAAGAAAAGGAACGTCAGGCTAAGTTTCACACAGGCAAGAAATTTATTGCGCTCACCGGGGAGGTTCGCCGACCCCCATGGGGGTCGTTGAAATCACACCTGTTGTGGGATAAGGGCAAGCTTTTATAGAGCAGAGTCTGGCCTTGGAGGGAGGTGGTGAATGCAGAGTTGAAGTTGCTTTTCAAAGAAGTTTTTCTCTCAGAACTGGTTGTTCTTTCAACACTGCTTATCAGGGCCCGTGCAAACCCGGCTCCCAGTATGCAGGTGGCAGCAGTTTCACGTTCCCCCCTCTGAACCCCATCTCTGCTCCGTCCTCGACCTTACATAGACCTTCTGGGGAGAGACATGTACTAGCTGCATTCTAACCTCAAGGGGCCTAGACATTTTCTCATACCTAGAGCTGTCTGACAAGGCTCATGTACTGAACGAACATGGCCTAAATATTGCATAATAAAAAATGACTTGCCGGAAATGTACATTTATTTGGGAATGCTATTATCTTTAAATTTGCTAAATCTGGTAGCCCTAGTCATACCTCACACCCTCTGTCTTCTGTGCAGAGGGAGTCCCTGCCTGAATTAACCTCATGTGGGAGCTCTAACACTTGAGCTCTAACACTTTACTGGGGCTCTTGATGCCAAGGGGGAGCAGGACATGTGCCTCCAAAATAGGACAAAACGAAATCAAAGCAAACCCAAGGAAAATGACTGCAAAATTGAGGCTACTAGAGGGAGAGAGGGAGGATGGGGGTAGAAGGAAAGCAGAGAGGGGTAAAGGACTTGGGTGCGTTGGTGGGGGTTGAGTGACATGCATCTGTGGAGGTGTGAACCCATTCACCTAAATTATACACAGTGTTGTAAACCAATTACTATACCTCAATTAAACAAACAAGAATTAAATTTAATTCTTCTTAAATTCAATTAAAAAAAATGCGACCTTGGTGTATTGATTACTAACATTGGTAATTTTTAATTTTTATTTATTTTTTTTAAAGATTTATTTATGCATATAAGAACTGAGGTGTAGGTCAGAGGTGTGGGGAGTGTGAGAGGATTCACCACAGACAGAGTGGGGAGCAGAACAGGCAGATCCACTGAAGTACACTCCCGAGGAGAGCAGTGGGCAAGACAGGAGAGGTCTGCTGTGCCATGTGGGTCACCTCCCTGGCTGGGAATCGAACTCATGTTGCAGTGGCAGGTGATAGCTTGATAGTGCTGAGACTTAATCCCTGCGCCATCAGGGAGGCCCCATTTGACCCTATTTTTTTTTAAAAAGTTGCTATCTAAGCCTTTTTTTAAAAATGAAAATTATAATTGTATTTTATTAATACAAAGGTTAGATCTGTTCCATTTAGGAAAATAATTAGGAAATAGAGATACAAAAGGAAGAAAAAAAGAAAGGGAAGAGAAAAATTTTTCTCACCCTGGAGGGATATTTCTTTCAGACCTTTGCTGGTATAAAGTTGATCCATGCAGAGTTTCTGTAGGAATATATGGATTTGTACTATTTATGATGCCTTGAACTTGTTAAGCCTTATTTTCAAAGGCCTGTTTAACCATTCAGATTCAACTTTACCTTGATCCAAATTTTTTGGAAGCTAGGCAGGCTTTCTGTGTGAATTCTGTAAGATTTTTCTTCTTCTTTTGTGAAGAGAAAGGTGGTGAAAGGTGGCCCCTTTTTTGAAGACATAAAACAACAGGAAGGTGTCGAAAGGTGGCCCCAAGAGAGGGCATCAGTCTATGAAGAGAACTGGGAGATTCAGAGAGTGAATAATAAGAAAGGAAAGTCTTCATAACCCAGAGTGAAAAATTCTTTTTTTTCAAACAGTATTTATTTATGCATACAAGAACTGGAGTACAGGCCAGAGGGACAGGGTGAGAGGATTCACCAGAGACAGAGTGGGGAGCAGAACAGGCTGATGAATACACTGCTGATGGGAGCAGTGGGCGAGCGAGACAAGAGAGGTCTGCTGCGCCATGTGGGTCACCTCTCTGGCTCGCCGGGGAATCAGACTCGTTGCAGTGGCTGGAGATAGCATGATAGTGCTGAGACTTTAATCCCTGCACCACCAGGGAGGCCCCTATCCATGGGATTCTTGACCAGCTAACCCTGATTGTCTTCCCTACTATCCACTTTGCATATCAAACCACACTGCAGGGAAAGGAAATTATTAGTGACCAACTTTATACCACCTGGTGTTTTTCCTCTGGGGTTTTAGGCATGAGGCTTATGGGACTCTTACCAAATATTTATATTCTCTACTAGGTCATATTGAAGCCAGTGTCCTGATGACCTTTATTATCCTGGCATATCCTGGCATATCTCACCGACCTCCCTATCTTACCTCAGGTCCCCTTCACTGTCATTCCTTTCCTGTGTAAGTCAGCTCATTAACACTAGGCCTTTGGAGGTGCTCCTTTCTCCTCACAGCACTGGCTAGTGGTGGTCGTAGGCTGAGCAGCAACCCTGTTCCATGTGGCCAATGAGAGCAGTCAGGGCAGGTCCACAGGAGGCACCAGGTGATCTGTTTGTTGATGAAGACTCAACAGCGAGATGGGGCCTCCCTGGTGGCTCAAGGGGCTAAAACACAGAACTATGAAGCTATCTGCAGCCACCGCAGCACAAGTACAATCCCCAGCCAGGGAGGTGACCCACATGGTGCAGCAGACCAATCCTGATTCACCTGCTGCTCCCCTCGGCAGTGTATTTCAGTCAATCTGCCTGTTCCGTTCCCCACTCTGTCTCTAGTGAATCCTCTCCTCCTCTACACCTCTGGCCTGTACCCCAGCTCTAGTATGCATAAATAAATAAATCTTTAAAAAAAAGACTCAACAGCAAGATCTAGCAGCTACAAACACCCCTCATCCCTAGAATGCTGTGTTTGCTCTTGCATTTAGTCTTTTTGTCCATTTTAGTAGTCCTGCCACATCATTTTGAAGAACTATTGGGAAGGCCTCTTTGGGGTGCTCCCCACTCTTTATCATCTTTAGTAATCTTGTAAATTTCTAAATATACTGAGATGCTTCTGCAAAGGGGGGGGGCAGGGAAGGTGAAAAGTCTTGTTCTCTCCTAAAAGGGTGAGCATGTGTGGATGGGGAGGGAGGAAACAGTGGGGGTGGAGAGTCAGTGGTGTGAGCTGGAACTAAAATCTAGTTTATCATAATATACCAGCTTGCAATGCACACTCATTAAGAAACACTTTGACTAGATGTGCTGCCTCCTGGAAGCCCTTTTTATACACAGATCTTCCTTGACTAATGAGGAGGTTACACCCCCCATCATAAGTTGAAAATATTTTAAGTAGAAAATGCAATTAATGGGGGCCTCCTCAGTGGCGCAGCGGGTTGAGTGCAGCGCTGTGAAGCTGTCTGTAAGCTCTGCAGTACGGGTTCAATTCCTGGCAGGCCAGGGAGATACCCACATGGTGCGGCAGACCTCTCCTGTCACGCCCGCTGCTCCCCTCAGCAATGCGTTTGGTCCATCTGCCTGTTCTGCTCCCCGCTTTGTCTCTGGTGAATCCTCTCGCCCTCCTGAGCCTCTAACCTGTACCCCAGCTCTTGTATAAAAAAAATCTTTAAAAAAAAAAAGAAAATGCAATTAATACACCTACCAGCTAAATACTCTTGATTAGCCTGGCCCACTGTAAACAGACTCAGACCACTTACTTTAGTCTACAGTTGGGTAAAATAACCTAATACATAGTCTATTTTATAGTACGGTTGAAAAGCTCTTGTAATTTATTGAATTCTGTACTTAAAGTGAAAAACAGTATTTAGAGTATGGGTTTACCCTCATGATCACATGACTGACCGAGGCTACCACTTTCCAGCACCTCCAGAGAGATCCTATAAGCATATCACTAGCCTGGGAGAAGAACAAAATTCAAAATTTGAAGCATAGGTTCAACTGAATGGATATCGCTTTTTGACCCATGTAAGTCAGGGACCATCTGTATTTGAATCCATACCTCTCACTACTGGCCCCTCAGGCTAGAGCAAATTCATGAATCTTTTTGAGCCACAATTTCTTTTTTTTTTTTTTTTAAAGATTTATTTATTTATTTATACAAGAACTGGGGTACAGTCAGAAGCACGGGAGGGTGAGAGGATTCACCAGAGACAGAGCGGGGAACAGAACAGGCTGACTGACGAAATACACTGCTGAGGGGAGCAGCGGGCACGGCAGGAGAGCTCGCCAGCGACCGGGGATCCAACCGGCACTGCAGAGGCTGCGGGCAGCTTCGCAGCCCAGCACTCAACTTCTGCACCACCAGGGAAGGCCCCTCAGTTTCATTTTTAAAGCAGAGATAATAATATTACCTGGGTTGTTGTGATGATCACGCTGAAGAAAGTGCCAGGCAAAAATAAGGTGCTGATATTTCTATATTTCAATGACTCTGAGATGGCAGTGATTGTTAAGATGAAGCATTCTTTGAAAGATCACTAAGAAAGAAGAAAATCCTGTCAATACACCACAGCACCTACGTTCTAGTTCTCCACATCGTAAGAGGTTTCTTTGGGCAAATGTTTATCATAAACCATTCCTGTGCATATGTTAAAAGAAACTGTAAGTGAATATAAACTTTTAAGGTATTCATAGTCACAATCTTAGTTCATTTCTGCTGACTCACCTGTTGGCTTCTGCTGACTCACCTGTTGACATCTGAGTCCGACTCTGCCTTCAAGAGCAGGGAGACTGCAGCATTTAATAGAGAGCTTCAGACTGTCTTCCTTCCAAGCCTCTCAAGCCAGTTCCGCCTAGTCAGTATACTGGCACTAGGCATGCTGTGCATCCATTTTCTGTTCAGAGCTTGATCCATTGAAGACATCCCAATTTCAGAGGTATTCACGAGTGTGAGATATCCGCGTGTTAGAATTCATGAAATATAGTGGGGTTGACCCCGTCTTCCATAGATTTGAGCTTGTACGGAGAGAAAGCATGAACTCTTTCCTCTTTTTAGGGACTATATTTGCCGTTTGAACAAACTTCCAGTGGATGATGTACCTAAAATAACCCCTTGTTGCTTCAGGATAGTCTTCCCATTGACATGAATAAATGATAAAAACAACTGTAGGTTTCTGCATTTACCTACTCTTTTTTCCCCCTCCTGTCTCCTTTCTGTTTTTCCTTTGAAGTTCTGGAGGCCAAATCCGGCTCCCAAGAAGCATCCAAAGAAGCCTGGTAGCACCAAGGGCCTCTCAAGCCTGACTCAGAAACGTGTGGCCTCTCGCTGTGTGAAGTGGAATGGCGCCTCCTGCAAGTGCACTTTCTTTGTTGCTGCTGCTGGTGACCATTGCAGGTAGGAAATGTTGAAACAGTGTCACACCCGAGCGTCCTGTCTTTAGCTTCAGCAACTCAGATCAACCTGAGGAGTTGAAGATACTGTGTGTTTGCTTTCCAATAGAATTCTTACATGTATGACAAGCAGAGCTCATGCATGAGTAGTTGCCTGGAAACGTTTTCTTTTATTATCATAACTATTTTGGGAGAAATAAAATCTCATTTCATATAGACTAGGAGACTGTATACAAAGAATTGCATAGTAGATCTTTATGGGAAGCAAATGATCGAGCATCATAAATCTTTATTTTCATATATTTTTTGCTTATAGTGGACATACCCTGGCATAAAATCATTGGTGAGTGGCCTCCCTGGTGGTGCAAGGGGTTAAGTCGCAACCCTATGAAGCAATCCGCAACCACTGTGGCACAAGTTTGATCCCCAGCCAGGGAGATGACCCACATGGCGCAGCAGACCTCTCCTGACTCGCCCGCTGCTCCCCTCAGCAGTGTATTTCAGTCAATCTGCCTGTTCTGTTTTCCGCTCTGTCTCTAGTGAATCCTCTCACCCCCCTCCACCCCCCCCTCCCACCTTTGGCCTGTACCCTAGTTCTTGTATGCATAAATAAATCTTTAAAAAAAAATCATGGGTAAGCATCAGTTCTGGTGATACATGCCCCACTGCTTGGCCAAGCCCCTTTGAACTTACCGTGGACTGAGGGTGCAGATATGTCCAGGAAACTTATTTCATGTCCAGGGTTTGTCAAAGTGTGGTGAAACCATAACAAGTTTTATCTGATAGTGACCCTTTTTAAAATTCGGTTTTCCTAAGGCCCATCCACACCTAGCAAAGCAGAACTCCTGTAGAGTGTGGCTCAGGAGTGAGCAAGTACCAGGAGTTGATTGTGAAGCATCCACATTTTGAGAAGCACTGTTTTAGATTGTTCGATTCAGAAGATGCTACCATTGGAAAATGAGACCTGTCCTTCCCCGTAGCTTACTTCCCCCACCTGATCTATTGATCTTATTAAATTCATCATTTCCTCGTGTGCAAAACAAAATATTCCTTTATTCCATGCTTAATGGCCCCTGTACCCTGGGAATTACTGTTGTGAAGGTTTGCTGCTCTTTCTCCCCTTCTCTCAAATCCTTACATTTCATTCCTTTTTGTCTTTTTTTTTTTTTAAAGATTTATTTATTTATTTATACAAGCACTGGGTACAGTCAGAAGCGCAGGAGGGTGAGAGAATTCACCAGAGCCAGAGCGGGGAGCAGAACAGGCAGACTGACGAAGTACACTGCTGAGGGGAGCAGCGGGCGGCACGAGAGGTCTGCGCACCATGTGGGACCCTCGCTGGTGGCTGGGGATCGAACCGGCGCTGCACAGGCTGCGGGTAGCTTTGCAGCCCAGTGCTCAACCCCTGCACCCCCAGGGGAGGCCCTCATTCCTTTTTGTCTTGAGAGGTGTTTTCCATTAGTTCAAAATGCCTGAGTTGTTGACCTCCAGACAGTTTGCCTGTCTTCTCTCTCTATTTACCCTTGACCACATACTAACCAATGATTCCATTGATTTGTCAGTAATTATGGTGCGCTTACTATGTACGTGCATTGGGCTAGGGGTTTGTAGTGCATACTGAAAAGAAATAAAAATGGGCCTCGCTGGTGGTGCAAGGGGTTAAGTCTCAGCGCTATCAAGCCACCACCAGTCACTGCAGCACTAGATTTCCAGCCCGGGAGCTGACACACACAATGCAGCAGACCTCTCCTGCCTTGCCTGCTGCTCCCCTCAGCAGTGTACTTCGCTAGATCTGCCTGTTCTGTTCCTCATTCTGTCTCTGGTGAATCCTCCCACCCTCCCTGCCCGCCCCCCGACCTCTGGCCTGCACCCCAGCTCTCTTGTATGCATAAATAAATAAATCCTTTAAAAAAAGGAAGTAAGAAAGCAGAATGAGCCATCCAAATTTGGGTAACCAAAACAGTCAGGAGGCTATTGGAAGGTCCATCCAGGTCCACCCAAGCACACCCAGGCATGGCCACTTCCCAGAAGACACTGAAACCAAGCCGGCTAGCCAAAGACATTGATTTGACAGGACAAATATTTCAACCAATTACTGTTTGACTGACTTCACCTAATTTGCACATTATTGCACTAATCATAACTCCACTTCCATAAAGCTTAATTTGCAGAGTGGAGCAGAGTGAGAGCTATCCTGCTTTTTCTTTCCTGGCCTATTCCCGTCCACTTATTGCTAATATGGTGTTATATGTTGTTTGCTTTGTTTGTTTAATTAATGAAGTAACGTTGCTTTATAACATTCTATGTTTCAGGTGTATGCCATTGAAAATCAGTATGTCTGTAAACTAGATTATGTTCATCACTAACTAACTTGCCTTTCCTATGTGTATGTCGGCCCTTCCATTCCTAGGTGACTTGGAACATGATTCAGGGCTTCTTGGATCTGTGTCTCCTAGACTGCAGTACAGATAGAAGCCCAGATAGATGCCTCTTTTGGGGAGGGAGAGGGGGTTCCAGCTTGACCAGGTTTCAGTTTCTTTTTTTTAAAGATTTATTTATGCATATAAGAACTGGGGTACAGGCCAGAGGTGCAGGAAGGGGCTGCTGAAAGGATTCACCAAAGGCAAAGTGGGGAGCAGAACAGAATGACTGAAATACACTGCTAAGGGGAGCAGTGGTGAGACAGGAGAGGTCTGCGTGCTATATGGGTCACCTCCCTGGCTGTGGATCAAGCTCTTGCTGCAGTGGCTGCTGATAGCTTCATAGTGCTGACACTTAACCCCTTGTGCCACCAGGGAGGCCCCAGGTTTCAGTTTCTTGATTAACAGCATTAACATAGGTGAGTTTTCTCTAATCTCTTCAAGAACTAACTTGAGTGAGCCTAATAGATTATGAAGTAAGCATGGCAACTTGGCCCAAAAGAATGGTTCACTAGTAGGGACTTTCAGCTCCTCAGACTTCTTTTTTTTCTTTTAAAGGTTTATTTTATTTATGCATATAAAATCTGGGGTGTAGGCCAGAGGTGCAGGGTTGGAGGGTGAGAGGATTCACCAGAGACAGAGTGGGGAGCAGAACAGGAAGACTGAAATACACTGCTGAGGGGAGCAGCGGGTGAGACAGGTGAGGTCTGCTGTGCCATGTGGATATCTCCCTGGCCGGCCGGGGATCGAATTCGTGCTGCAAGAGCTGCCAATAGCTTGATACTGCTGAGACTTAGCCCCTTGCGTCACCAGGAAGGCCCCTCCTCAGACTTCTTTATTCAGCATTGAGATCTGCTTAAGGCAGTTGGTGTCCTTAAGTCAGACACCTCTAGCATCTTGACCTATTGCAGCAATAAATTCTAGCCTTTTACCCAGGCAAGGGAAGAACTAGTGGTACTTCAGGAATTCTGAGGTCAGGAATAGCTTTATTATTCATGCATCAGGTCTCAGACCTGGGCAGCCCCTTGAGCACAAAAGTTCTTGACCAAAGAGGGAAAAATGCAAATATCTGATGGCCTGGGAGATCAATCGGCCTGACCAGGTGGAGATCAATCAGCCTGGCCAGTGGTCTGACCCTGTTAGAATGGCACCTCCTTTAGATATGCTTATTAAGGAAGCCAACTTGTTATTTACACTTACTTTGCATTATTTACTGCACCGGGCCTGTGACTCATTAGCAGGAAACAGGGAAGATTTTATTTGCTTAGCAGTTCCCTTTCAGACTGAGGTTATCTGCTTCAGCCCATTTGTGCTTAGTGTCCTGAGGACAACACCTGGCAAGTGACAGCGCCCTGCGTCTGGCTTCCTGTGTGCCAATTGAATGGATCTCAACACTTACCTTTTCTGCTGGGACACCTGGAATTGGTTATCCAGCTTATCAAAGATTTTATTGTCAAGATTGTCACAGCAATTCTACTGTGGACCTCAACCTCCGCATCCTGAAAGAAAACTCTAAGATGCTATGTGCTTTTGGCATGGAAGATTTAGGAGATAAAGCTTTGTACTGATGGAGGCGGGTAGAAAATTTGAGAAGGAGGCATCCCAAGACCAGAAACTGGCTCAACAAGGCCACAAGCTGGAGGTGGGGGTAGAAGCGATTAACATAGTCATTAAACAAAGTATAGAAAGTATCCGAGGCACAGAGCAGAGGTGGGGATATGGAGATTGAGGGCCACTGTGACAGAATCACTGAGCCTTTCAAATCTACCTAGCCAAACCAAGTATGGAAGAACTCCTTAGGTTCCAACCCTAGAAATAATTAATTTAACAGCAGTTAACAATCCCACAAAGGGATGAGCCCCTCCCAAAATGAAGAAGACTGTGTCAGTGCAGTCCCCTCCCTGGCAAGATGCAACTGCCCCTCCTGCCTGTGTGTATGCAGGGCCTTCTAATCACCACCCTTCCTTTGCAAAACAGCAGAGGCAGCTCTGCTCCCCGGGCTGCCCGCCTGGGACTCTACAGGCGTCTCTTTTAACAAACCTGCCCCTTTTAGGGCCAGCTTGTGCCGGTGCAAGCATCCTTTACTTCCCTTCCTTTTAAAAAAAAAAATAATAATATTTTGATATAACTAAACATCTCTGCCTCGTGGAGAAACTCGCCGCTTGCTGCTGAGAGGGGAGCTCTGATGAAACTTTTCTCAGAGGTAACCCAAGGAGGCTGCTCTGTGAACTAAACACCTCTACAAACTGACATCATGTACTGCTGTCTGTCATTCCCATTCTGTAATGGATCTCACACAAGAAACAATGAAGATGTAACAGGGTGGTCCCCCGGAAAGGGGGAGGTTCCAGGTGTCCTGCCCCACCCAAAAGGAGGGGGTTGCTGAGCAGGGAGAGAAGTAGCTGCAGAGGAGACTGAGGAAGGAGGGAAGCAGGATGGAGCCAGAAGGAGCCCTGGAGGAGGCACATGGAGCCTAGAGACACGTGAAGAAACTGCGCTTGCCTTTTGGTCGTGGACGGGGTGACACAGATGTGGGTGAGACCCGTGGGGAGGGGTCAATGGCGGTTTTTGTCCTGATTTTGATTTTGCTTTTTTCCTCCCAGACTTGTCTGACTGTTTCTGACCCTTTTCTGGGGGTCCCCACTGGAAGATGCTTTAGACTTGTGGCAGGCTTTGGGGCCTTGTTCTGGGCCAATCCCACATGGATGGACTTTTACCCACGAGGGGACGGGTAACTTTAGATGCTTGATTTAGAAACTAGATTCTTTGCCTTTCCTGTATTGTTTCCTAATTATATTAAAGTTCCTTCCCATTAAAATCTCATATATTTCGTGTTGATGTGGTGGATGGCAGAACCTATTTAGAGCAGGCAGGTTTGCAGGGTCTGGGGTGCTCCTCTCCCTGCCCTGTAACAAAGAGACTGGAGGTAACATAGGACCTCTGATCATTAGAAAAAAAGAAACTTAAATGGACCGTTTGTTTGTTTGTTTGTTTTAAAGATTTTTTTATTTATGCATACAAGAACTGGGGTACAGGCTAGAGGTGGGGGGGGGTGAGAAGATTCACCAGAGGCAGAGTGGGGAGCAGAACAGGCAGAATGACAGAAATACACTGCTGAAGGGAGCAGCAGGCGAGACAGGAGAGGTCTGCTGCGCCATGTGGGTAGCTCCCTAGCCAGGGATCAAACTCCTGCTGCTGTGGCTGCGGATAGCTTCATAGGTTGAGTCTTAACCCCTTGTGCCACCAGTGAGGCCCTCTAAATGGACCCTTTTGATGCTGCAAACCAACATGTCATGATGTTGCCTGATTGTTTAATGAGTGTGATTACCCCTCAAGTCCAGTTCACTTCCCCTGCGATATCCCCATGGTATACTGCATCTTGCGATTCTTGCTAAGTATTTGCCTTACTTGCCGAGTCATTGTGGTCACATTGTTTAAACTAAAGGTAATCGTTAAAACCAGCCTCATAGCCCGTGGCTTATTTTGATCTTTCAAGGATCTGTTTCTTTACATTTAAAATAATGGCATTATTTTTCAGTTATAGTTGTATGTTAGTTAACATATTCAATTACTCTCAAAACCATGTATATGCAGGTAGTATTTGTAGTTTCAAAGAAAATTCATCGCCTTTTAATATTAGTTAACCTAGAAAGTAATTTGGGTGTGATTAAGTTCCATTAATTTCTCAATACAATCTAGGAGTAAACTTTTATGTCCTTGATGTTTTCCCTTGACACTGAGAAAATAACACTTCTCGTTTTTCACAGTTTTCAGTCAAAATGAACTCTGAACATTATTCAGCTTAATAATAAGTGGGCCAGGTCAATAATAAAGAGTAGTAACATCTTAAAAAAAAAAGTGATCTCAGCTTAAGAAACAAAATTCAGCTGAGCAAATTTTAGATATTTCACCAGCTTTATTCAATAATTCATGAATCCAGCAGCATCCAGTCTAGCAAATAGAAAGGAGCTGGAGGGAACTATGTAAAATGAATTTTGTGGGCAGAAGGAAGCTGGAACAAGGAAGTTATAGTAGATAAAAAACAGGTTGGCTGTTGTAGGGCCATTTTTTTAGAGAATGGCAGGAATCTGTCAGGCAGATTACCTGACTGGTACTGATTAGGTGATTCTGGAATGCTGGTTTAAGATTCCATTCCTGGGAGAGTCAGCTTGTACTCTTAGCATGAGTGGAACTTAGCATAAGTGACTCTATTTTGGTCTGTTGTCTTGTTTGTGACCATATGTATATCTAAACAACCTTGTTGGGGACCTCCCTGGTGGTGCAAGGGGTTAAGATGGCAGCACTATAAAGTTATACACAGCCACTGCAGCATGAGTTCCATCCCCAGCCAGGGAGCTACCCACATGGCACAGCAGACCTCTCCTGTCTTGCCCTCTGCGCCCCTCAGCAGTGTATTTCAGTCATTCTGCCTATTCTGCTCCCCACTTTGTCTCTGGTGAATCCTCTCAACCCCCACCCCTCTGGCCTGTACCCCAGTTCTTGTATATATAAATAAATAAATCTTGAAAAAAAAATCAACAGCCTGGTTGGTGTATGGAGGTCTCCACCTCCAACCTAACAGAAAATTGCTCTGAGTTGTATGTTGCAGGCTTCTGCTGTGAAGTTTCCCTTTCCCTCTTCTAACAATTTACTTGCCTCAGAATCACATGTTTTGGGCCTTCCTGGTGGCATAGGGGGTTCAGCGCAGAGCTGTGAAGCAGTCCGCACCTTCTACAGTGCGGGTTCAATTCCCTGCTGGCCAGGTAGATACCCACATGGCGCAGCAGACCTCTCCTGTCTCGCCCGCTGCTCCCCTCAGCAGCATTTTTGGCCCGTCTGCCTGTTCTGCTCCCCGCTCTTTGTCGGGTGAATCCTCTCACCCTCTCGCACCTCTGGCCTGTACCCCAATTCTTGTATGCATAAATAAATAAATCTTTTATTAAAAAAAAGTATCACAGGTTTTACCCAGTACAGTGGTTTCTATCATACAGTTTTACAAGTTGGCTTTTGAGTTTTCTGGTAGCCAGAGACAGAAATGAAACATGACAGCTTTTATGAATTATGTTGTCCAAAGGTGACCCAATAAATTTTCAAAGCAAATAAGGCATATCCTAGTGTCTGCATTTGAGAGTAATTTCTATCTTGGCTCTTCATTTAAAGGCTGCTCAGGGAGGTAGTGGTATCTTTGCAAACAAGGGCAGTATTATTGAGAGCAGAGCTGGGAATTGGAAATGACCTATCTCTCTATTCTACACTCTTTTGACCTTGGTTAGAGATCTGTTATGTTCAGCTGGAGCTTCACAAGTTCCCCATGTCCAAGATTAAGCTTTTCTTTAGGAAATAAAAGGCAAAATCTATTGAGGTGATTTTTAGAGATATATTTGCACTTGAGAAAATATCTCTATTGAATTAAAATGGAATTGTTACCTCATTGATGAGAAAATGCATATCTGTTTTATCTAATTCCTATTAAATTGGACCAATTAGACATTCCTATAGAGTCAATGTTTGGCATTGAGTGGTTTTTTTTTAAAGATTTATTTATTTATGCATATAAGAACTGGGGTACAGGCCAGAGGTGTGGGGTGGAGGGTGTGTGTGAGCGGATTCACCAGAGACAGAGTAGGGAACAGAACAGGCAGACTGATTGAAATACACTGCTGAGGGGAGCAGCAGTGGACGAGACAGGAGAGGTCTGCTGTGCCATGTGGGTAGCTCCCTGGCCAGGGATTGAACTCATGCTGCAGAGGCTGTGGATAGCTTCACAGTGCCGTGCTTAACTCTTTGCGCCACCAGGGAGGCCCCCATTGAGTGATTCTTAAACATTTATAACAACCACAGTGTGTGTACAGTTAAAATTAAATGATTCTTGTACTATATGGAACCATTTCTTTAGAAATATAAGAGAATTCTCTTCGTTAGAGTTAGAAGTAATCTCTGTTACTATGAAAAAGATAACAGTTGTTAAAACAATGATCGGTGATGGGTCTTCGCTAGGAAAAAGATCTCATGCCATTCTCATCTCTGCAAGAGAACCCTCACACAGTGCTTCTCAATTTATTTTTATTTCCATATATCACAGACGCTTTTGTAAAAAATGAAAAAGAATTCAAAGAAAGTGATCCTGCACGAGGCTGTCAGGCAATGACACATTACTCTAGAAGTTTCCAAGGACCTGGGTTTCTGTCCTTTTGTCATGGGCTGATGCCCATCTCACTGCATCCCCAGAGACATGCTTGCATGGCACTGCCCTGATATCTGCTGCAGCTGGTGATTGGCAGCGTTTCTAGGCCATTATTTAGACTTGATGAAAGCTAGTTGGCTATAGACCTGTATTAGGGAGAAGCTTTTATCTCCTTTGATAGTTCCCTGTCAACTGATCTGTCATAAGGAGAGCCAGTGAGATTAAAAAATTTCAGTGTGGGCTTTTGTGGTAGCGCAAGGGGTTAAGCACAGCACTATGAAGCTCTCCGCAGCTTCTGCAGCACGAGTTCCATCCCCAGCCAGGGAGCTACCCACATGGCACAGCAGACCTCTCCTGTCTTGCCCGCTGTTACCCTCAGCAGTGTATTTCAGTCAGTCTGCCTGTTCTGCTCCCCACTCTGTCTCTGGTGATTCCTCTCACCCCCCACACCTCTGGCCTGTACCCCAGTTCTTGTATGCATAAATAAATAAATCTTTAAAAAAATTCAGTAAACAAAAATAATAGGATGTTATTTCTGGAATCATTTTTATAACTGAATGTTGAGTAAGGAGGAGCAAGATATTATAAATATTAAAACAATGCGCAGTAGAAAAAGGATGCTTCTGTTGATTAAGTGGAGCAGCATTGTATGACGCGTGTGGAAGGTTAGTCAGACACGGGTAAAATGGAAGGATGGCTGGGTGGAAGGACAGGAGGGACAGGTGTGTGGACAGGTATGTTGATGGATGGACTGTAGGAGAAAGAAAAGACTTTCTCTACCAAATGCTGTTATTTGCTTGCCAGCTATGATAGCTGCTTTTCTCTTGCTCATCAGAGCCCACCTTGTTTGCAGGTTGTTCCTGTGCACAGTGCAGCGAGGGGAGGACTTATTCCAATGCAGTCATTTTACCTAACTTGGAAACCACCAGAATCATGCGGGTGCCTGAAACCATCCCCGTAGTGGACTGCACGGTTGCTTGCTGTGACCTGTCCAGCTGTGACCTAGCCTGGTGGTTTGAAGGGCGCTGTTACCTGGTGAGCTGCCCACACAAAGCAAACTGTGAACCTAAGAAGATGCGCCCCTTCAGGTCATATCTCACGTTTGTGGTCAGGCCTGCCCAGAGGCCCACCCAGCTGCTGGACTACGGGGAGATGATGCTGAACAGAGCTTCCCCATCTGGCATCTGGGGAGACTCACCTGAGGACATCAGAAAGGACTTGCCCTTTCTAGGCCAAGATTGGGGCCTAGCGGAGATGTCTGAATACCCGGATGACTACACTGAACAGGAGCAGGACCTGGTGCAGCCCATCAGCAAGCAGGAGCCCCAAGGGAGCGCTGAGGACATGGATTGGGGCCTGTTGCCTGGCGGTGAGGGAGGTTTCAACTCCTCTGCTGGAGAAGATACTGCTCCATCAGCAGAGGCACAGAGGGAGGACACCAAGCCGCAGTCCCTGGACCTGGAGCACCATAAACTGAATGAGTCCACGGGGACACATGTCTCAAAACACTCTCCAGAGGGAAGGCTGTTGCTTCCTTCTGTGACTCCATCTTCTGGAGACGTATTGGAGACGGAGACTTTTCAGCTCCAGGAACAATCTGGCAACAGCTCTGGAAAAGAGGTGGGTGCAGCTGGTGTGTGTTTGGGGATATGGGGGTGGGGTTGGGTCATTTAGGCTGTGGGAGCACAAGCAGGTTCCTTTTGTGGGGGCAACTGTCTCAGATGTTGGCCAGAAAGATGACTCTCTCAAAGGCTTTCAGGCAACAAAACATCCTGTTCCTTTGCTGTGGTTTTGTGGCCAGGGTGTTTAAAAGAACAAAGAGTTCTTTTGCCTTTACCAATCAGTCACCTAAGATGCTGTGAAGCTTCTCCCTCAAGATGCCTCTACCTGGAACGAAGGTGGCTGCAGATTTTGTGTATATGCACTTCTACGTGCATATACACAGCACATATACCACTGTACACGGCATGTAAGCCCACAGGTTTTGAAAGCTGTTTGTATGAGATTTCTTCAGGACCCGGCAGATACTTAATTTGCTAGAAACTCACCAGTGAGATAAATCAGAGGGAGATTAATGTCAACCTAGAGTTCAGGTGGCAATTAAAAAAACATCACATTTCTTGATTGCAATTTAGGATATATCAATTCAGGTAGGAAACATAGGAAGTACCCCTGGGGGGGATAAACTTAGAGGGGCTTATGAAACAAAAGGAGGAAGGTAAATGGTTAAAGAGTTGATTAGTGTTCATGGGCTTAAACTATATCTGACTGTATTGAATAGGTTATTTATTCTCTAAAAAGAGACCTGACTAGACGGAAAGCCAATAATTATCAGTTCTCAAACAATTATTTGCTTGATTTTTTTTAAAGATTTATTTATTTATTTATGCACACAAGAACTGGGGTATAGGCCAGAGGTGTGTGTGTGTGGGGGGAGGATCCACCAGAGACAGAGTGGGGAACAGAACAGGCAGACTGACTGAAATACACTGCTGAGAGGAGCAGCGGGCAAGACCAGAGAGGTCTGCTGTGCCATGTGGGTAGCTTCAAGGCTGGCCAGGGATCAAACGTGCTACAGTGGCTGGCGATAGCTTGGTAACACTGTCTTTAACCCCTGGGCCCACCAGGGAGGCCCCCGCCGGCTCAGTTTTTAAAATGGCTTCACAGATGCCAACTTTTCACAAGGAGAGAACATAAGAGCTTTTCAGGAGAAACACATGTTAAAAAAGAATGGGAATCCTTGGGAGAGTAGACATACCAAAAGCAAGGGGAGGTTAAGGTATTCATGGCAGAAGGTCAGGGAAATAGTGAATGAGATTGCACTAGAGAGAACAGTTGGAGAACTCAGACATTGCTCATTTGTGAAATGCTGGACCTTGATGAGAATGATGAGCCTGTTGATTAGTGGAGTTATGCAGCTGAAAAGGAAGAGACAAAAGTAAAGGTCATGGGCAAAAATATTTGTATTTCAAGATATAGATGGCAAATCAGAATGTAAAGGGACACAGCCAATTAAGATATTTAAAAAAGGAAAATATTATTAGAGATTTCAGTGCTTAGGTTAGAATAAGTAAAGAAAATGGTATTGAATTGACTCTGCGTTACAATCTCAACAATAAAATATTGCTAAGAACATTGTTTAAATGGTGAAGTTATCTGATAACTTCAGAGCCTTTTCTACTTTCTTCTGTTTTTCTGTATTTTTAAACTTTTTAAAAAAGATTTTTATTTATTTATGGATAGAAGAATTGGGGTGTAGGCCAGAGGTGCAGAGGATGAGAGGATTCACCAGGGACAGAGTGGGGAGCAGAACAGGCAGATCTATCGAAATACACTGCTGAGAGGAGCAGTAGGCGAATCAGGAGAGGTCTGCTGTGCCATGTGGGTAGCTCCCTGGTGGAGGATTGAACTCATGTTGCAGTGGCTGGTGGTAGCTGTTAAGTACACCCCTGTACTTTAACCCCTGTGAAGTTAGAAGGGAAGCCCTTGTAATTTTTGTGCTTGTAATATCTTAAAAATGTGAGAACCCAATTAAAAATAAACTGAAATATCAAAGGTTAGCCATGTTCTTTTCTCATGTAAGTATTACCATAGTTTACCTTCTTTCATGCTATCAAGTCATTTACTTTCTTGTTTCTATGTCTGTAAGTGACTCAAATCAAACTATATTAAAAACCTTTGGGCTCCTCCAGTCTTTGAATTTGGTTATGTTAAAATGTAATTATCAAAAGAAAAAGATAAAATCATGAATCGAAAAGGGAGCTGAATTGGTGAATCTAAAATATATTTCTTTGGTACAAGGATTATCTTGAGTTGTTTTGTTTTTGTTTTTTAAGCTGCTTATTTCTATGAAGCTGGAAAATCCCTGAAAACACTCTAGGTTTTCTTTTGTAAGAGATAGTTTTATTTGTAAGGGAAATTTTTGTAAGGGTGCCTCCCTCTCTAAATTTGTAGATGTTCATATTAATGGAGAAATTGAACATAATTTGCATAACAAGGTCTTTGTCTTTAAGGTACCTTGGTCAATTTCAGAGAGTAACTCAGTTTTCCTGGATATCTCCCATATAGGCAAAAAGCGTACATGTCATTAAACTTTCATTTTTCTTCTGTTAATCTTTTTTATTATAGAAGATCTCAGTGAAGAACCTTGAAAGGTAGTAGAACGTTATTTTTCCTCTCCTATAGGATCAAAGACCTAAATATAGTAATTAAAACTATAAAATACTTAGAAGAAATATACAGTGGTATATCTTTATGACCCTTGGTTAAGCAGTAATTTCTTAGATATGATCAAAAGTATATCAATACAAGAAAAAATGGACAAATATGACTTCATTAAAATTAAAAACTTTTGGGCCCTCCCTGGTGGTGCAAGGGGTTAAGCACAGCACTGTGAAGCTTCCCGAAGCCTCTGCAGCACAAGTTCAATCCTCAGCCAGCCAGGGAGCTACCCATATGGCATAGCAGGCCTCTCTTGACTCGCCTACTGCTCCCCTCAGCAGTGTATTTCAGTCAGTCTGCCTGTTCTGTTCCCCACTCTGTCTCTGGTGAGTCTTCTCACCCTGCCCCCTGCACCTCTGGCCTGTACCCCAGTTCTTGTATGCATAAATAAATCAATCTATTAAAAAAAATTAAAAACTTTTACACTTTAAATGACAACATCAATACAGTGAAGACAACCCATGGAATGGGATAAAATGTTTAGTAATCATGAATGTTGTATCCAGACTATGTAAAGAGCTCTTACAACTTAATAATCATAAGACACATAATGCAATTAAAAATGGACAAAGGATCTGACTAGACATTTCTTCAAAGAAAACAAAAAAATGGTGAAAAGCACATGAGAAATGCTCAGTACCATTTATCTTTGGGAAGATGCAACTCCAACAAATAAGTTAGCGCTTGGTTAGAATTAAAAAAAAAACACCAACAAAATAAATTGGAATTCTCACACAGAGCTGGTAGGAAAGTAGAATGGTGCAAGTGCTGCAGAAAACGGTGTGGTAGTTCTTCAAAATGTTACGTATAAGTGTGCGTGTGACCCAGCAATTCCACTTCTAAGTACTTACCAAGAGAAACACATGTACTGTTCAAAGTACTTTTCTGGGGCATATTAAAATTTTAAGAGTTTATCGATTTATTGATTTCACATTTGCTGCACTGAACCAAAAATAGCTAGGAGAACTCCACCAGGAGCCAGGGCAAAGAGAAAGTGTGGAAGCAAAGAAGAGAAATTAATTGATTGCTCTAGCTTTAAAGTCTAGCTGGCTGTATGTGATTGCTTATCCTTAGTGTTTGGATTTCATAATCCTACGGCATTTATAGGTCTAGATTTTAGTTTGCTTTTGTAGGTCTCCCTGGCATTAGAGCCTCCTCAGTCTAATATCCTCCTGGTTTAATGAAGTTAATCGTACATGTGAGGACTTGTACATAAATGAATTGCTCATGGCTGTATTATTCATAAAGCAGTGTAACTGAATAGGAACAATTCAAACAGTATAACATAAATTAAGATTAATTTATTGCGTATAAAATGGTGTTTCCTTCAGATTTGTTTCAAGCGCACAAGACTAGGCAAATACACCTAAAATACGTTGTTTCTAAATAAATAAAAGTAAAAGAAAGAAACAAGAGGGCCTCCTCGGTGGCGCAAGGGGTTAAGCACAGCAGCATGAGTTTGATCCCCCGGCCATCAGGTAGGTGACCCACATGGCACAGCAGACTTTTCCTGTTTTGCCTGCTGCTCCCCTTAGCAGTATAGTCAGTCTGCCTATTCTGCTCCCCATTCTGTCTTTGGTGAATCCTTTCACCCCCCTGCACCTCTGACCTATACCTGAGTCCTTGTGTGCTTAAATAAATAAATATTTTTTAAAAAAAAAAGAAAGAAGAGCCATTTGAGATTACTGACCAACTAGGTTTTAAATGGAAAGACTGAAATGGGAGACACTGGTTGCTTCTTTGAGTGGGTTGTGTAAAACACGCCTCCATCCTAGGCCTCCCTGGTGGCACAAGGGGTTAAGTCTTAGCACTGTGAAGCTATCCACAGCCACTGCAGCATGAGTTCCATCCCCAGCCAGGGAGCTACCCACATGGTGCAACAGACATCACCTGTTTCGCCTACTGCTCCTCTCAGCAGTGTATTTCAGTGGATCCGCCGGTTCTGCTCCCTACTCTGACTCTGGTGAATCCTCTCATCCCGCCTCTACCCCAGTCTCTGGTGAATCCTCTCACCCCTCTGCACCTCTGGCCTACACCCCAGCTCTTGTATGCATAAATAAATAAACTAAATCTTTAAAAAAAATGAAAGAACCCGCATCCTGATAACTTAGCAAGGAGTTCTCTGTAGAGATTGTGGAGAGAGAACTGAATAATGACTGTAGGAATTGGCATGTGGCTCTAGCTTAGCAAGTCGATGTTCTGGAGAGGAAGCAGGAGTAGGGCTTTCTCCCTCAGCTATCTTCTGGTGTCTTTGACATCTTCATCCTCTAGAGGTACCTTAATTCCTCTGACCACTGTCTATAGACTTCATTCTTTATTTCAACTTGGTAGTACCTTTCCAAGACTCCATAAAACTAAAAATATCCAGTCTCTCCTGAGGACTTTGCAGACCCCACTATAAGATGCTATGAACATCTATTTTGCAGCTCTGATTTGCGGTGATTCTGAATTTCATACTGTTCTCATTTAGCACTGAGGCAATGTACTGCCTCATGTATTAGCACTGACTTCACAAACCCAATTGCCTGAAACTTCGAGGAAATGGAGCACCTTAAATTTATGAGAAATCGTTTGATTTCTCTTAATCTGATCAATATAGTTTGATCAACATTTTTTAAAAGATTTATTTATGCATACAAGAACTGGGGTACAGGCAAAGATGCGGGGAGGGGGGTGGAAAGGATTCACCAGAGACAAAGTGGGGAACAGAACAGGCAGATCAACTGAAATACATTGCTGAGGGGAGCAGCGGGCGAGGTAGGAGAGGTCTGCTGCACCATGTGGGTATCTCCCTGACTGGGGATCGAACTCATGCTGTAGTGGCTATGGACAGCTTCATAGGTTGTGTCTTAACCCCCTGTGCCACCAGGGAGGCCCTGATCAATATATTTTTATTTTAATGTTTCATTTTCTTTTTGCCTTCCTTCCATAGGGGCAGAGAGGAAATTTACCTCTGCCCACTCTGAGTTCTGTGGCTAGTTGAGCAATCAGATGAACATCAAAAAGATTAGAAGGAGAAAAGAACAAATTTAGTTACACATACATGGAGAACCTACGTGGATGTAATTCTAAAGTAATGAGGGTATCTATCCTGAGCTAAGGAATGGGATGGGAACCAAGCGTTCAAGGAGAGAGACTCACATGATGAAAAGACCAGATCTTCTGTAGTGACACGTTTTCCCTGCTATAAAATTGGTTTTACTTGGGCCTCCCTGGTGGTGCAAGGGGGTAAGATGCAACCTATGAAGCTATCCACAGTCATTGCAGCGCGAGTTCGATCTTTGGCCAGGGAGCTACCCACATGGTGCAGCAGACCTCTCCTGAATTTCCTGCTGCTCCCCTCAGCAGTGTATTTTGGTCAGTCCACCTGTTCTGCTCCCCACTCTGTCTCTGGTGAATCCTCTCACCCCCCACACCTCTGGCCTGCACCTCAGTTCCCCCAGTTCTTGTATGCATAAATAAATCTTTAAACATAAAATAAAATTGGTTTTTCTCATAGAAAGGTTACTTTTGGTAAAGATCCTACTTCTGGGTAGTACTCCCAATTTCCATTCTACAGGTTAGTTAAGGGAATGGTAGAAGTTTCTCAGGATCCTGCAGAGCCTACATTTACTTCACTCCAAAATAATCCACTTATCAAAGTGATACATTTCAGGAAGGTCTGTTTAGAGAATCTTGAAGGAGGCCTGTCTGTGATCATCTTGGAGGGGCCTGTTTTTCATTCTTGAAATTTATTGCTGAAGGTTTCAACAGTTGCCTAGTTAGTATCAGGACCTCAGTGGATAGTCTGTGATTTCAGCAGTGATCATAGTTATCAATCTCCAGTCGCTAATTGTCTGCCATGTCCTCGCTCAGTTTTCTCAACTACAGAAAAGAGCAACTGGATTTTTCATAAATACCAGTGGCCCCCTCTCTGCTTTACATTTGAGTTATAGCTTTTCATTCTGTGGCTTCTCACTGCACATTTCTCCTCTGGGTCTCCTGATCATCTACGTTTGAATTTTACTTCTCTGAATCACAGTAAAAAATCATAGGCAGATGAGGCTCTGAGGAGCGTTTTATTATCATATGATAAGATGTTTCCCTCTGGCGCATAATATTTAGTTTTAAGACTTTAAGTTGGCTAACTCTTGTGACAAGGTGACATCTGTGAAGCCATTTTAAAATGGAACCAGGGAGCAATTACAGAGAAATTGCATCACCTGTTTCCTTGCACTGGGTCAAAAACCTTTGAACTGGGCCAGAAGCATTTGTTTCAAGAAACCATCAAGCAAATAATTATCTGAGAACCTATGATTATGCATTTTTAGATGATAGTCAGTCAGTACCCTTGTCATCCTTTCTAGAGAGCTAGTAGCCAATTCTGTATAGTCAAGGATAGTTTAAGCTTGTTAAAACTAATCAATTATTTTCTTTTTTTACATTGTAAAAGGACAGGTTTATTAGAAAAAGGAGAAAGGAAAAAGAGAGGCACTTGCATAGAAACAGGTGGGCAGAGAGATTCAACTCTTTTCTTCAACCACTTACCTCGTTTTCCTTTTTTGCCTCCCATAAAGAAAATATCTGATTTTGTCCCTGGGTGGTGGTAGTGGAGGGGGCATGTTTTAGATTTTCTGCCTGGATCTGTGTATCTCAGTTTATAATTGTTTGATTCCATGTTAGCTCTGCCTTTTTTTTTTTTGTGGGACCCTCGCCGGTGGCCGTGGATCGAACCAGCGCTGCAGAGGCTGTGGGCAGCCTCGCAACGAGCGCTCAACCACTGTGCCACCAGGGGAGGCCTTAGCTCTGCCTTTTAATTTTTTATTTATTTATTTTTTTAAAGATTTATTTATTTATGCATACAAGAGCTGGGGTACAGGCCAGAGATGCCAGGGGTGGGGATGTGTGTGTGAGAAGATTCACCAGAGACAGAGTGGGGAACAGAACAGGCAGATTGACTGAAGTACACTGCTGAGGGGAGCAGCGGGTGAGTCAGGAGAGATCTGCTGCGCCATGTGGGTTGCTCCCCGGCCGGCTGGGGATTGAACTCGTGCTGCAGAGGCTGCAAATTGCTTCATAGTGCGGTGCTTAACCCCTTGCGCCACCAAGGAAGCCCAGCTCTGCCTTTTTAATTGCATCCTGGTTTTTAGTCTGGCTCTCTTTGACTAAAATTTTGGTTGTAGTTTGTATGCAATGGATAGTAGAGATCATTTACTCTAGACGCCAACTTACTGTCAAATTATCTGGTTTTCTTCAATTATTACCTTGCTGATAAGGTGCATTGCTACCGTGATTATTTTCTCTCTCCTGGCTGTGAATGTTCTTGAATGTGTGTGTTCATGTATAATGATTGTCCAACCTTCATTTACCTTCCATATTGATAGCTAACAGAGAATACTTGAAAGAGATGACCAGAATTCTAGAGTTTTGTGATTAGTAGACATGGTATTTCAGAGGCTACCGAATCTCATTTATGAAAAAGGTCAGTGACACTAGTACTTAAAGAATTCAACCTTTTTTCCCCCTTTCACATCACCTTATCCATGTAATTTATCTCCTAGGTTCTAATGCCTTCCCATAATCCTTCTCCAGCCAGCCTGGAGTTCAGCGCAGTCACCGTGGAGAAAAAGCCAGTTCTCACAGTCACCCCGTGGAATCCGGAGGCCAGCATCCCGACCCTTCCCACCAGCATCGAACCCACTGAGTCCCCTCTAGCTGATCAGCCTGTATCTCCTACCACTGCTCCCAGGACAGGTAACTTTTCAAACAAACAAACAAACAAACAAACAAACAAACAAACAAACAAACAAACGTGCAATGGGAGAAATAGTGACAGCTTTTAAAGTTTACTCATTCATTCCAGGCACATCTGTATTTGTGCCAGAAATGGTGCTACCTACTGGTACTAAAAAGATGTGTAGGGCCTCCCTGGTGGAGCAGCGGTTGAGCACTGGGTTGCGAAGCTGCCCGCAGCCTCCGCAGCGCCGGTTTGATCCCCGGCTGCTCCCCGGCCACCGGAGGAGGGTCCCACATGGTACACAGACCTCTCCTGCCAAGCCCGCTGCTCCCCTCAGCAGTGTACTTCGGTCCTTCTGCCTGTTCTGCTCCCTGCTCTGGCTCTGGTGAATTCTCTCACCCTCCCACGCTTCTGACTGTACCCAGTGCTTGTATAAATAAATCTAAAAAAAAAAAAAAAAAGAATCTATTAAAAAAAAAAACAAAAACATGTGTAATGACTCTGTAGTCCAAATGGGAAGACAGACAGGTATAGAGATGTTTTGATACAGTGTGGCAAGCATTGTGAGGGGTTGCTATGGGGCCAGAGGAGGGGTACTCCATCTGCTCCACTTGGGGAGGTAAGGAAGTCTTTTCAGACCCAATTAAGCCCGGGCAGAGTAAGCCAACTAAAGTGGGCTTGGTATGTTGTTTAAGTCAAGGCAGCAACATGTGTAATAACGATAATTATATTTGCTGATCGCTGACCAACTGCCAGTTGGTCAGCATTTCCCATCTCTCATTCATTCTCTGTGCAAGAGAATAGAAGCACAAATTGTGTGTGACATTTTTGAGGACTGTAGGGTGTTTGGTATGGCTGGAGCTAAACCTGTGAATATCTATATGAATCTGGAATGGAAAACAGCAATTTCAAAGGATCCTGTATTCTATGCTAAGGAATTTGTGTTATATTGGATGATGTGTATCTAGGAAATAGTATGGAGTGAAAAGAACATGGATTAAAAGACTGTAGCAAGTGGTTGCAGGGATGGAGAGAAGGAAACAGATTCAAGAGAGATGAAGGGAAGGGGATGGTGGAATGATGAGAATTTGCTGAGTGATGAAATGTCAATATGAAGGTAAAAGGCCTACAGATATAGGGACATATACAACTAAAACTAGAAGTGCAGTTGGACTGAAGGGGGGTCTTCAGTGCAGCGGTGAAGACTGATGACTTGGGGGCCTGGGAGACCATTGGGGGAGACTAGTGGGGTGAGTCGGGGAGAGGCCTGGAGGATGGAATTTGTAGGTGTCTTTATATTAAGGAGCCTATGGAGCTGGCTGAGTGCTGTGCCCGAGAGATGGTAGAGAAAGAGGGAGCATGTACTGAGTAAAGGCAAGAGAACACAGAGTCCCAAGAAGAAGTCAGAGCCCCAAGAAGTCAGGAAAGGGCCCTGTGTTGCTCAGGTCAGGGTGAGGATTGGGAAGCCCCCATTAGATTTACCGATAAAGAAATTACTAGAGGCTTTGTCTTGTTTCCTGAGGCTCTCTGTAGTTAATGTACTTACTGGCTAACCCTCTCTGCCAGGTTTATTTACTTCATGCCGAGATTCCATAGATAATGATAGAAGAAGCTATGTAGACTAATCATATGCTGTAATATGTTTGGAGGGATTTGCTTCCATTGATGTGTGAACGTCATAGAGTGTCTTACACAAAACTAGCAGCACAGCCTGCTGCACACCGAGATTACACATTGGGACCACCTCTGTACACATCTTGTCATTGGCCAAAATGTCCTTTTATGATGAGTGACTGTATTGAAAAGGAAACTGGCCTGGGAATTTGAATCCTTGGATTCCAGTGGTATGATTGCAAAAAACTGTTAGAGGATTGAAAGAATTGATGCACTTAAAGCACTTGGAACAGTGCCAGGGCACTTTGATCTAGTATGTAAGTGTTTGTAGAACTAAATACATTTTTATTTTAAAGATTTATTTATTTATTTATACGAGCACGGTATAGTCAGAAGCGCAGGAGGGTGAGAGAATTCACCAGAGCCAGAGCGGGGAACAGAACAGGCAGAATGACGAAACACACTGCTGAGGGGAGCAGCGGGTGGGGCAGGAGAGGTCTGCGTGCCATGTGGGACCCTCGCTGCAGAGGCTGTGGGCAGCTTCACAGCCCAGTGCTCAACTGCTGCGCCACCAGGGGAGGCCCAGAACTAAATACATTTAAATTAAGTAAATGGGCTCAGTGTCCTCCTCTGTGAAGTGATATGTTTGGACTAATGTCTCTTTTAGGTCCACTTCTGCTGACTTGCAGTGCAACGAGTCAGTGAAAGTGATGGGAAGGAGGAACCAGAGTAGTCAGTGAATTCTCTGCAGCTGTTTCTGGAAGACACTTGAGGGCCTCAGGGCTGAGGCAAAGGAGTGGATTTCAAGGAGCCTCATGTTCCTGCAACATCTCTACACGGCTGAGATCTCTAGAGAGCACTCAGCTTTTTTTTTTTAATCTTTGCTTTTCTCTCTGTCATATCTTGACATATCTCAATTGTATTTTACAAGTGAAATGAATGTTCAGTTGAGTCAAGCCGATTGAATATGTCATTATAATCCTGGTGATAGAGAAAGTGAAGAAGCATCGTTCTGAATGCTGATTTAGGGGATAAGTGCTTTTGATAAGACTGAATATTCCCACTGCTTGAGTTAAAATAGCCTTTTTCTATTGAGGTTTTCTGGATTTTCTCTTGGAAAACTTCCAAGAGCCAGGCCATTAGCAATAATTCATGAGGTTACTCTCAGAAGAACAGAGCGGAGTGTGACTAAAGATACAGAAACATTTATGATTACACTCAATCTTTTTGTGACAAAAATAGTGTACTCCAGGGAGTCAAGAAAAGCTGGTAACATGAGAAAAAATAGACCCAACCCCTACCTGTTTGGCACAGCTGTTGAACTCAACACCTTGCTAAGTCAGTCCGAATCACTGTTTTCTTCGCAGTGCCGATTCATTAGATGGTTTTAAATTTACAAAGTGTATTCTTTTTTTTTTTTTATTAAATAATAAATTTTATTTTTATATTCCCCCATACAACTGCACATGCCCCATTCTGACCCCAATCCCTCCCCTCCCGGCCCCCACCCCCCAAAAAGTGTCTCTGGTTCATAGTTTTTTGTTGATTTTGATTTTCACTTTCTTATAGTTATTCTTTTTCCTGATCCCTTATTTAAGTTTTCTAGATTCCTGCTATGAGTGAGACCATCCGGTATTTTTCTTTTTCTTTTACAAAGTGTATTCTTCGGTATCATATAGTCTTAGTTCATCCATGAGCTGGATGAAAGGTGTTTTGGATAAAATCATATGAAGAACTATTCCAAAAATATGCTATTTTATGGCTACTAAAAACAAATCTATTTTGGTGCAGCAATATAACATCATTATAATATGTAACAGAATGTACTATTTCAAATGAATTTTTAGTGAAAAAACTCCTGGTGTCTGCTGGAGATAACTTAATAATCACCTTACCAGAAAATGAAGTTGAACTGAAGGCTTTTGTTGTGCCAGCACCACCTGCAGGTAAGAACTTTTCTTTCTTGTGTGACCTCTAGCTGGGTAGTTCTTTTTTTTTTTTTTTTTTAAAGATTGATTTATTCATGCCTGCAAGAACTGGGGTACAGGCCAGAGGTGTGGGGGGTAAGAGGATTCACCAGAGACAGAACCGGGAACAGAACAGGCAGACTGACTGAAATACACTGCTGAGGGGTAGCTGGGTAGTTCTTAACAGGTCTCTGCAGGTTATTTACAGCATTGATTCATTTTCATAACACTGTATGATGTCACAAGTTGAGATGCTAGCATGAATGACAGCACATTGACGATAATAAGCATTAACATTTGTTGAGATAATTTAAAATGGGATAAATATAGGAATTTTTTTTCTTAAATTAACTTTGCATTGTAACACTATATATCAGATGTTCATCGTTGAGAATCAACATGTGTTTATACTATTTAAGACCACCGCTGTAAGTCCAAATCAAGAATAAAAAATTAAATATAGTATGTATCCTTTTACTGGGCCAGATATAAAGGCATAAATTTCTGATGATGCAAAGCAGAGCCATGTGTTAGAGCAGGAGCGGTTTCTACATCCCAGAATTTGACCTGTGATAACCCTAGGAGGCACTGGTGTAGAGAGAGGTGGCCATGTCCAAAGGTTTGTTTGCAGACTCTGTTGCTGACAGAGTTCTCAGGTTCTTAGGATATTTCACCCAGCTGTTCAAAACATGTTCAAAAAAGGGCCTTCCTGGTGGTGCAGCGGGTTGAGCCCCGCGCTGTGAAGCTGTCTGCAGCCACTGCAGCATGGTTTCAATTCCCGGCCCTCCAGGGAGATTCCCACAGCACAGACCTATCCTGTCTTGCCCGCTGCTCCCCTCAGCAGTGCTTTCTGTCGTTTGCCTGTTCTGCTCCCCACTCTGTCTCTGGTGAATCCTCCCACCCTCACATGTCTCTGGCCTGTACCCCAACTATTGTATAAATAAAAAAATAAATCTTAAAAAAATATATTCAAAATGCTCTTTCTTCTATTTGTCTGTGCTCTGCTATTCAGCCAACATGACCTACCCTGTGACCTTCAAATACATTTTCTTAAAGTATATTCATTCTTTCATTTTTTATTTATATATATTTTACATTATTGTTCATTTTTAAACAATGTTTGCTTTTTTTACCCCCTCAGGTGTAGTCCCCATAGAATTTCCTTCATCAACACACCTGTGCACCATCACCTCAGTCCCCTGGGCTCCTCCCTCCCTCCCTCTGATCCCTCTCCCGCCTCCTCCCCTGCAGGATGTCTCTGGTTTATAATTAGCTGTTTGTTTTTGTTTTGTTTTGTATTGTTATTATTTATTTCCTCTGATGTCTCATTTGGTTTCCCTATATTCCTCCTATAAGTAAAACCATCTGATAATTTTCTTTTTCCTTCTGACTTATTTCACTGAGCATAGTTCCTTCTAGCTCCATCCAGTTTGCTGCAAATGGCATGAGTTTATCTTTTTTGATTGCCGAATAATATTCCATTGTGTATATGTACCACATCTTCTTGATCCAGTCATCTATTTTGGGCATTTGGGTTGTTTCCAGGTTTTACCTATTGTAAATAGTGCTGCAGTAAACATAGGGGTACAGGTGTTCTTTTCAATCAATATTTTTTTGTGTCCTTTGGGTAGATCCCCAGGAGTGGAATTGCTGGGTCGTTTGGTAGCTCCATTTTTAGTAGACTGAGGAACCCCCAGACAGCTTTCCAAAGTGGTTGGACCAGTTTGCACTCCCACCAGCAATGTGGGAGAGTTTCTTTTTTACCACATCCTCGCCAACATTTGTTGTTGCTAGGTTATTTTTTTTAGATTTATTTATTTATTTATTTATTTATTTATTTATTTATACAAGCACTGGGTACAGTCAGAAGCGTGGGAGGGTGAGAGAATTCACCAGAGCCAGAGCGGGGAGCAGAACAGGCAGAAGGACCGAAGTACACTGCTGAGGGGAGCAGCGGGCGGCAGGAGAGGTCTGTGCGCCATGTGGGACCCTCCTCCAGTGGCCGGGGAGCAGCCGAGGATTGAACCGGCGCCACAGAGGCTGCGGGCAGCTTCGCAACCCAGCGCTCAACCGCTGCGCCACCAGGGAGGCCCTGTTGCTAGTTTTTTTGACATGAGTTATATTCATTCTTAAGGTGCTTGAATATTTCTTGTTCTGATCATTTCATCTTTGCCCTAACACAAATCGGTTAAAATGTAAATAGAGATTATAATATTTGGTGTTTGCATTTTTAATCTTTCAGCTGAGCTACCTCATATTTTAACAACTTGTGTCAAGAAGGAAGACAGCATCATTTTAATACTGGGAGATTTTTAATCCATTTGTGTATATTTCAACCCCTGAAACAGATTAATTGAATTGAAATTTCCTTGTATTTTATTGAAAGGAAAACAACAATGGATTATACTGTATTTAATATATATGTGTGTAGTCAGATAAAGCACCTTGGAAGGAAAGTCACCAAATGCTAACAGTAAGATTAGAGAGATTTTTTTTTTTTAAACTTTCTATATTTTTCTCAATTTCCTGTAAGCTATAAGTTTTTATAATAAAAAAGAAATTTTATGTTAATTTAATAGAGAAAACTTGTTATTCCTTAGTTGGACGATAGTTGAAAATTGAAGTTAGTATTTCTAAAGTATTCCCTATTGATGAATTAAGGCAATCATCTCTTTCCCTCTGCCCAGTATTTTATATATATTATGTATATATGTATAACCTCTCAATTCATAACTTCTCCAATTTCTGTTTTGCTCTCAGAAACAACCTACAGCTATGAATGGAGTTTAATAAGCCAGCCTGTAGACTACCAAGGTGAACTACAACAAATGCACATGCAAAGTCTTAATCTTTCTCAAGTAAGTAACCAGAGAATGCTTGGGTTTAACACCACGGAATTCACTTAACTTCCTCTTAGCTATCAAACCCAGAAGTCCCTCTTATGGAAAAAATTAAAAGGATATAAGTGAGTGAAGCTTCAGCCACATAAGCAGGCAGGCAAATGGGTAAATAAGAGGGATTTGATGATAGCTTTTTTTAATTTGATTTGCTTTCTCCAACATTGTAGCTCAGGGAAAAGAAGCTGGTTGCTCAGCGGTCCCTGTGGTGAGGGGGGACTTGAAAAGTCTGTTTTCTCTCTCTTGCTCTCTGCCATGTTAGAGGCCACTTTTTTTTTTTTTTAAGATTTATTTATTTTTATGCAAGAACGGGGTAAAGGCCAGATGTGCAGGAAGGTGAGAGGATTCACCAGAGACAGAGTGGGGAACAGAACAGGCAGACTGACGAAATACACTGCTGAGTGGAGCAGCGGGCGAGATAGGAGAGGTCTGCCGCGCCATGTGGGACCCTCACCGGCCGGCCGGCCAGGATCAAACCGGCACTGCAGAGGCTGAGGATAGCTTCACAGTGCGGTGCTCAACCGCCTGTGCCACCAAGGGAGGCCCAGAGGCCACTTCTTAATCAAGCACATTTCTAGAACTGCCAATAATGCCATTTCAGTTCACAAGTGACTGTCAAATATTGCTCCAACATGTCATCAGCTCGCACGAAGGAATATACTCTCATCTTGGCCTACAGGATAAATAAAATGACTTAGCCACTAGAGAAATGACTTCCCACAGGATGGTGGTGTTGTCTTTCTCTCCTGAGACTATACGGCTAATAGTGCAACACAAACTTGCATGCCCCCTTGTCACTTATGACTGTCTCTCAAAGTGGGGTACCCAGACCACGGAGAGCTGACTTACCAGAACTGCTTGGTGGAAATGCATGATTCCCATACATGTAAGTTAGAGGGGTCATCCTTGACCAGTCCAACTCATTTAAGCCTCTGTCAAGGTCATGGATCTGTGTAATTAATCTAAATGCTTTTCCAGGGGATCTTCAGTAATCTAGAGTACAGCTGCAAATCTCTGGCATTGTCTTCACAGATCCAAATGAGAATCCCTGAGCCCCTTTATGCTGACTTTCTCTGTGCTAGCTTTGGGGATGTTTAAGACTTTTCTGGGCAGTGGACTCATCATGTCTCTTGTGTGTTAACTTGTGCACCTTTTCTTTCCCTTGCAGTTGTCAGTAGGACTTTACGCCTTCAAAGTAGCAGTTTCTAGTGAAAATGCCTTTGGAGAAGGATTTGTAAATGTCACGGTGAGGCCAGGTAAGCCTGTATAAAGGAATGGCCTCATATCTCAATCTTGTTGCCTGAATGACATAGTAATATATTTTTAATTTTTTTTAAGATTTATTTATGCATACAAGAGGTGGGGTATAGGCCAGAGGTGTGAGACATGGGAAATGATTCACCAGAGAGAGGAGGGAACAGAACAGGTAGATTGACCGAAATACACTGCGGAGGGGAGCAGCAGTCTAGTCAGGAGAGAGGTCTGCTGCACCATGTGGGTAGCTCCCTGGCCGGGGATCGACTCGTGCTGTAGTGGTTGTGGATAGCCTCATAGTTTGCATTTTAACCCATTGCACCACTGGGGAGGCCCTATATTTTTAATTTTTAACTTTAGGTGCTATTGCAGAGAAAATATATAAGGGTTATGTTTTTTGCCTGCTTCCTGTCTAAGTCTGAAGTACTCACCTGACACTGCTGTTCAGGGTTATAAGGCTATTGCCTGCTGTTCCTGAGTTGTAGCTAATTGTCCCTTAGCCTTCTCTGTGACAGCTGCTGCATGTACTCTTCTCATCCATTCCCCTGACTCACCTTTACCTTAGATGAAGGGGCATTTCACAAACTTGCCGCTGAGGAGTCAGGAAAATGTATGCCCAGGGCATTCAAGCCACCACCTGCCCGTCAGTCAGTGCACTTGTGGAGTTAGAAATAGGTGGCTTCCAGCCAGGTGGGCACAGCCCTGGCTCAGTCAGCAGAACATGGGCTGGCGTTGAGCCTCTTCCCCCCTCAGGCAGACTGTGAGCACAGCCTGCACCATTCAGGTGCCACCTCTGTGCCAACTCCACCTTTACCTGAGGGGCTGACAGCTCTACCTTTTGCACAGTTTGTGTGATTATTATTATAGCTAAAACATGGTGGTGGGGGGTGGTGCCTTCAGTGAAAGATTTCAGATCCATTTGATCATGGGAGCTAAAGCAACACTTTGTTGCTCCTTTTTTGCAGTTTCATTCTCTGACTAAACCCTTGATTCTTATTACATGTGCTTATGGAGCTTGGGCTTACATACAAGGAGGCAAACCCACAGACCGGTTCTGAAGATGTATGGGAAGGTCCAAGACTTTAAAAAGCAGTCTCGTAGTGGAGGACTGTGGGATAAACACCAGCTGGCCAAGATGATTTTTACCAATTTTTAAAAAGTAGATGATTTTATGGGGTGATGAGAGGTGCCTGTGAAAAGTGAACTCACCAGTGTCCTTTTTTTTCTGTCATAGCCAGAAGAGCCAATCTGCCGCCCAGAGCAGTAGCTTCTCCCCAGATACAGGAGCTCACTTTGCCTTTGACGTCAACCCGCATCGACGGCAGCCGTGTGTATCCTGTGATCCTTCAAGGGTGTTTTTGCCCCTCCCCCCATGAGGGTTAATGGGTGCTCTCTGTCAAGGTGGGAAGGACCTGAGGACCTACACACAGAGAGAGGAGCAGCTCCCCCTTTAGCGTTGTCCTTAAAAGTCTTTGGTTCCTTCATAATTTCTCTATCTCAGGCTCACTGTCCCTTAGTTATGTCTCATTTGTGTATGAAAACTTTTTATTTGTATTTTTTTTTAAGATTTATTTATTTATTTATACAAGCACTGGGTACAGTCAGAAGTGCGGGAGGGTGAGAGAATTCACCAGAGCCAGAGTGGGAGCAGAACAGACAGACTGACAAAATACACTGCTGAAGGGAGCAGCGGGCAGCAGGAGAGGTCTGCGTGCCATGTGGGACCCTTACCGGCGGCCGGGGATCGAACTGGTGCTGGAGAGGCTGCAGGCAGCTTCGCAGCCCAGCGCTCAACCGCTGCGCCACCAGGGGAGGCCCCTTTTTATTTTTAAAATTTTTTTGAAAAGATTTATTTATTTATGCATACGAGAACTGGGGTATAGGCCAGAGGTGTGGGGGGTGAGAGGATTCACCAGAGACAGGGTGGGGAACAGAACAGGCAGACTGACTGAAATACACTGCTGAGGGGAGCAGCAGGTGAGTCAGGAGAGGTCTGCTGCACCATGTGGGTAGCTTCCTGGCTGGGGATCAAACTTATTTTGCAGTGGCTGCTGATAGCTTCATAGGTTGTGTCTTAACCCCTTGTGCCACAAGGGAGGCCCCTGAAAATCACTTTGAACAGATATTGGAAGGATTGCCTTCTGTGAGTATGAGAATCTTTTGTTAATTTAATTAAGACTCCATTCCTTCTGGAGGTGGCAGGGGCCCTGGTATAATTATAGGTGTCCATGCAACTGAGACTCCACTGAATCCTATTTTGTGTTTGACAGTATATTAATATGTAGGTTTATGGATGTACATATATATTTGACAAAATACGTTCAACAATAACCCTGTAGGGCCTCCTTGGTGGTGCCAGGGATTAAGCACCTCACTATGAAGCAATCAGAAGCCTCTGCAGCACTAGTTCGATCCCCAGCCAACCAGGGGGCTACCCACATGGTGCAGTAGACCTCTCCCGTCTCACCTGCTGCTCCTCTCAGCAGTGTGTTTCAGTCAGGCTGCCTGTTCTGCTCCCCACTCTGTCTCTGGTGGATCCTCTCACCACCCACATCTCTGGCCTGTGCCCCAGCTCTTTTATGCATAAATAAATAAATCTTTAAAAAGAATAAAATTATTAAAAAAAAAACAACAAAACAATAACCCTGTAACTAGTGTTTAGATTGTGCATTTAGTCACAAGGCTAATAGCAAACAAATTCTGTAGAGTGAAGAGTATTTGCCTTGGTTGTTGGGGGTAGAGAACTTGACAGCCACTAATGCTGTTCTGTCATGCAAGTCTATAGATATACAGAGATCATATTAACATAATAATTTGTATCTAGTCAAACATGTCCAGTTTTCCCCTTAACATGAAGATAATGCATATTTTGAATAAAGATATTTTAAAATAAATAAAATATTTATATGAGAAAACCCATTGCATTTTGATTCAGTTGGGTACAGGAAATGGTTCAGGATTATTAATCCTCCCCACGCGTTGTTCTTTCCTTAAATGGATTAAAGGAAACGAACTCCCTTCTAGGCCCAGGTTTCTGTGATTCTGTAGAGCACATTTTATTGCTCTCTTTTAAAATAGAAATGGGAAATTTTTACAGGGTGCTAATGCCTTCTTCTGGATTTACACCTTAATGATTAAGATAATATAAGGTGTTTTATAAATTGTAAACATCTCTGCATTGTATGAATCTGTCAAATACCTACTCATAATTACCAGTAGGCTATCATATGCTGTAGTTGAGGTGAGTAGAAGTAGCATTTCAATGTGCTTCACTTGGCTGACTCTTGTTTTTTGAAAGCAAATGCCCTGTTGCTGTGTTTTTTGTTTTTTTTTTTAAAAGATTTATTTATTTATGCATACAAGGGCTGGGGTACAGGCCAGAGGTGCGGGGGTGGGGTTGAGAGGATTCACCAGAGACAGAGTGAGGAACAGAAACAGGCGGATCTACTGAAATACACTGCTGAGGGGAGCATCAGGAGAGACAGGAGAGGTCTGCAGCGCCATGTGGGTAGCTCCCTGGCCTGCCAGGGGATGGAACTCACTGCAGTGGCTGCAGATAGTTTCATAGTGCTGTGCTTAAGCTCTTGCACCACCAGGGAGGCCCCCTGCTGTGCTTTTTAAGTACACAACTGAGTGGGAAAAACCTCACTCAAGTCTGGTGGAAATCCAGGAGAAAAATGCTGCTGATGATTAGAGTATGAGAAAAATTACCCTCCTTCCATTGAAATCTATGCATTTATATAATTTCATAGAAAAGCAAGTTTAAACATGCAATAATATAAACTACAAACATTATGTTTTCACATTCTTGCATTTCATTTCAGTTCTCATAAGTTTTTTAATCTTCCTAGAAAGTACAGATGATACTGAGATAGTGAGTTATCACTGGGAAGAAATTGACGGGCCCACCAGAGAGGAGACGTTCTCAGCTGACTCCCCTGTATTACATTTGTCTGACCTTGTTCCTGGTAACTACACTTTCAGGTAAGTGGTTTCCCCTCCTTCATTGTGCTTTCCACAACTTGTATTTTGAATATTTCCTCAAATTGATGCTTGTATAACTGCTGCTTTTCATTTTGATTGAGAGGCAAGGCAAATTTGGTTTTCTTTTTTTTCTTTTTTTCTTTTTTTTTTTTTGTGGGACCCTCGCGGGTGGCCGGGGAACGAACCGGCAATGCAGAGGCTGTGGGCAGCCTCGCAGCCCAACGCTCAACCGCTGCACTACCAGAGGAGGTCCACTTTTCTTTTTTTTAAAGATTTCTTTATTTATGCATACAAGAGCTGGGGTACAGGCTGGAGGTGCAGGGGTGAGAGGATTCACCAGAGACAGAGTGGGGAACAGAACAGGCAGACTGACTGAAATACACTGCTGAGGGGAGCAGTGGGCGAGACAGGAGAGGTCTGCTGTGCCATGTGGGCATCTCCCTGGCCGGGGATCGAACTTGTGCTGCAGAGGCAGCGAATAGCTTCACAGTGCTGTGCTTAACCCCTTGCGCCACCAGGGAGGCCTAGATTCGCTTTTATTTGGGGATTTTGGTTGGCAGCCACTTTAGACATTAATTCATCAATTGACATGAATTATAAGTGCCTGTTTATGGGATACATTTGGTCTTGGTTTTCAGGACTAGGATGGGAATAGCATCTTTTGACTGTGTTGAATTACATGAAAGAATATTTGTGTCTTATTTTTTTTTTTTCTGAAGATTTATTTAATCTAGAACCAGGGTACAGGCCAGGTGCGAGGGAGGGTGAGAGGATTCACCAGAGACAGAGTGGGGAACAGAACAGGCAGACTGACTGAAACACACTGCTGAGGGGAGCAGCGGGCGAGACAGGAGAGGTCTGCTGTGCCATGTGGGACCCTCGCAGGCCGGCAGGGATCAAACTGGCGCTGCAGAGGCTGCCACAGCTTCTCAGCGCTGCCCTCAACCACCTGTACCACCAGGGGAGATCCAAGAATATTTGTGTCTTAAGAGTCAAAGTGAGGCAGAGTAGTGGGAGAGTTTCTGCATCATTTTAAAGCTTTTAAAGGTAAAACTGAAGTATAATAAACTGTATATGTAAAGTATAGAGGTTTGTGAGTTTTGATATCTCTGAGGCCATCATCACAATTAATAAGTATTTCCATCAACCTCCCTCCACCTTTTCTCATGCCCCCTTCTGGTTCATTTCATCCATTCCTGTCCTTAGGCAACCACTGAAAAACTTTCTGTAACTTTAAATTATTTGTGTACTTTCTAGAATTTTATTTAAATGAAATTGTACAGTATGTCCTCCTTTTTGCAAGAGTTCTTTCATTCAGAAAATGTTTTGGAGATTCATCCTTATTACTGTCTGTATCAATAGTTTGTTCCTTTTTCACGGCTGATTACTATTCCACTATATAGATATACCACAATCTATCCTTTCATCTAGTATGGACATTTGGGTTGTGAATACTTTCGACTATTACAAATAAAACTGCCAGAACATCTGTATACGAGTCTTTGTGTGGACATATATTTTCATTTTTCTAGGCTAAATGCCCAGAAGTAGAAAGGCTAGGTCGTGTAAAGTCTTTCCCAAAGTGGATATACGTAAGTTATATTCCTATCTTCCGTGTATGAGAGTTCCAATTTCCATATCCTTACCGACATTGATGTAGTCAGTTTTTAAATTTTTAACTAATTTGTCTGGTTTGCAGTGTTTCCTATGGTTTTCATTTCAATATTCCTCATTTCAAATGATATGAAGCATATTTTCGGTTGTTTATTGACATCCATATACGTTCTCTTTGAGATAAGTATTCAGCTCTTTTTTCATTTAAACACTTGCATTTTTTTTCCTCTTATTTAGTTATTTCTGGGTTCTGAAACAAGTTCTTTAATTGATATATGTGTTGTAGATATTTCTTCACAGTATGTGACTTGCCTTTTTATTTTCTTCATGGTATTTTTCAAAGAACAAAAGTTCTTTATCTGTGTTTTCTTTTATGTTACATATTTTTATGTTTCTTATATCTCAGTAACCTTTGCCTATTCCAAGATTACAAAGATTTTCTTGTATTTTTTCTAGAAGTTTTATAATTATAGGTTTATTTAGATCTATGATCTATTTTGAATTATTTTTAGGTATTGAGTGGAATTTTTATTAAATCAACATTGATTCATGTGATAAATCCTATTTGGTCATGAAATTTTTTGTATATAGTATTGGATTCAACTTGATAATATTTTGGTAAGGATTTTATGTTTATCTTTATGAAAGGTAAAGTTTATGCCTCTTCCTCTACCTTTCATCCATGTTTTTGTATGAATTTTAGTATGAGGATAATCCAGGCCTAATAAAACAAGTTGGGTCTATTCTCTAAAACATCTGTGAATAAATCTTTGAATGTTTGATAGACTTAACTGATAAAATCCTCTGGACCTGGGGTTCTCTTTCTGTTAATGAATTCAATTTCTTTAATAGATGTATGGCCATGCAGGTTTTTTCTTGCAGCAGTTTTTGGTAAATTAAATTTTTAAAGACATCTGTCCATCTAAATTGTCAAATTTGTTGGCATGAAATTGTTTATAGTATTTTCATGTTTTCCTTTCGATGTCTGTAGGATATTGTAATTCTTTTTTCTTCCTTTCTTTCTTTATTTGTCATTCAAGCTTTTATTTAAAAGGAATGATCTATGATTGATTTTAGATATTGTTGAAAACTTCAATTTACTTTGTTCTTCTTTTCACGGCTTAGAGTAGAATCTGAGGTTATTCCCATTAGATCTTCCTTAAAAGGTAATAGAGCTTTTAAAGCTAAAATTTTCCTCTAAGTACTGCTTAGCTGCTTCCCACACATTTTTGAATATTATATGTTTAAGGTCTCATATGCCCTTTTAGGTATCTGATGAGTTCAGAGAAGCTGCACATAGATATGTCTTCATGAATACTCTTGAATCTGGCCCGGCTAAGAAATTCTCAGGCATTTGCTGGATTCATCTTTGACTGAAAGGTCCACAGAGGTACTCTAAAGTACCTTAGATTTTATACATGTTGCAAAGCCTCTGTTTGGGTTTATTTGAAATCTTAGTTTAAAAATCAGTATACATCATTTCATGTTGATTAGGGTGGTTATTGTTTTAAGAAGTGGGAAATAAAAAGTGGTGGCAAGGATATGGAGAATGGGAATACTTGTGTGCTGCTGGTAGAAATATAAAATGGTGCAGCTGCTGTGGAAAAGAGTTTGGCAATTTTTCAAAAAAATTAAGCATCGGTCCTCCCTGGTGGCCCAGGGGTTAAAGACAATGCTAATAAGCTATTGCCAGCCACAGCAGCATGAGTTCGATCTCCTAGCTGGCCAGGGAGAAACCCACATGGCGCAGCAGACCTCTCCTGCCTCGCCCGCTGCTCCCCTCAGCAGTGTATTTCGTCAGTCTGCCTGTTCTGCTCTCCACTCTCTCTGGTGAATCCTCTCACCCCCGCACCTCTGGCTTATACCCCAGTTCTTGTATGTATAAATAAATCTTTAGAAAAAAAATTAAACATAGAATTACCATACCTGCAATTTCACTTTTAGGTATATACCCAAAAGAATTGCTTGCAGGGACTCAAAAAGATATTTATACACTATCTTAATATTTGGGTTACTATACAAAAATGCCATTGACTGGGTGGCTTATAAATGACAGAAATTTATTTATCAGGACCTCCTTGGTGGCTCAAGGGGTTAAGCACAGTGCTGTAATGCTATCTGCAGCCTCTGCAGCACAAGTTTGATCCCTGGCCAGCCAGGGAGCTACCCACATGGCACAGAAGACTTCTGCCTCTCCTGCTGCTCCCCTCAGCAATGTATTTCAGTCAGTCTGCCTGTTCTGCTCCCCACCCTGTCTCTGGTGAATCCTCTCACCCCCCTGCACCTCTGGCCTGTACCCCAGTTCTTGTGTGCATAAATAAATAAATCTTAAACAAAAGAAATTTCTTCATCATAGTTCTGGAGGTTGGGAGTCCAAGATCAAGGTATCTACAGACTCATGTCTGGTGAGGGCACACTTCTTGTTCATAGATGGCATTTTCTCCCATGTGCTTACCTGGTAGAGGGGCAAAGGACCTCTCTGGCGTCTCTTTCACGACGGCACTGATCCCATGCAGCAGGGTTCTACCTTTATAACCTAATCATCTCCCAACCTCTCGTGATACTTGTTAGCCATAAAAATAAGCACCAGAATATATGTTTCAGCAGACAGAAGAAGATTAAGTAACTCATAATTCTTTTATTTAGAAATGCCTTTAGCTATTTGGTATTTATGTTCACAGTTGCTTTGCTAAACAATCATATGTTTAAAATATTTGTTTTCTACTTAGATAAAAAAGCTATCGTGTACTCTACATTTTAAGTTTTGCCTTTTACAATTAAATTTTTTTTCCATGCAGAATTAATTGTGTATCTACTATGGTTAGATATAATTTTATTTTTCCATTTGGATAATTAATAATTGTCCCAGTATTATTTATTGTCTAGCCTGTTCTTTTTTTTTTTTTAAAGTTCTTTTTTTTTCTTTTTTTACATTTTTTTAAAAGATTTATTTATTTATACAAGCACTGGGTACAGTCAGAAGCGCGGGAGGGTGAGAGAATTCACCAGAGCCAGAGTGGGGAACAGAATGGGCAGATAGACGAAGTACACTGCTGAGGGGAGCAGCGGGCGGCAGGAGAGGTCTGCGCGCCATGTGAGACCCTCCTCCGGGGGCCTGCGAGCAGCCGGGGATCGAACCGGTGCCGCAGAGGCTGCGGGTAGCTTCGTAACCCAGTGCTCAACTGCTGTGCCACCGGGGAGACCGAGAAGCATGTATGTTTTTAAGACATTTTGATACATGTTGCCAAATTACTGTCTACTTGTCATCTGAAGACTTTGCTAGGGTCCATTCATGGGAACTTTATGACATGAAAGTCTAAAGGGATTTCAAAGAGGTTTTTATCAGATGTCTTTCTATAGTGCTTTATTTATTGGGATAGAATTCAATAAATATAGTAAAATGTCACTGTATAAGGTGCTTTTGATTCCATTTTATTTAACTACTCCTGACTGTCTGATGTGGCAGGTTTCTGCCTAGTTTACCAGGAAGAGATTACCTTGTGGGCCCAGAATGTGTTCCGGCTCTGCCTGGTTGAGGAAGAAGGACCTTAGTGTTCAGTTTTCTATGAGAGTCAGAAGTGGAGTTTGGATCTTGGTAGTGCGGAGTATGTGGGATGGTGTGGAAGGAAGCCCAGAGGATAGAGTACCCTGTTTTCGTCCCTACAAATAAGACTTGTGGTCTTTCTGTAACTTCATTCTCATATTCCTGATTATACATGTTTAGCATTCATCTCCAAACTAACATCTTTGCCCCAGAAGGATGAAGTGACTTTATTTTACTGATCCAATGACCACATCAGACAGGAGTTTGCTGGATGAGGGTCAATGCTGGGCTCTTTGTTGTTTGTTTGTATGGGTGAAATGTTCACTTATATTTGAAAGTGCCTAATCCTTAGTCCTAGGAGAAACCTTAGAAATCATCTAACTTATGCTGCTTTGCAAGGAGTGTCCTGCGAACATAATTATATGAAGATCTCTAGAAGAGAATCAAAAATTCCCAAAGCAGTGAAGCTGAAACATCATGAGTGATTTCCTGTCTCTACATGCTCAGGCCTGAGAGCAGGAGTTGAACCAGAGATATTCTTAGTGCCAGTTATTAGCAAGAGACTTCTGTGTTGGCTGAAGATTGTTTCTTCATTCAACATCTCAAAGATTATTCAGAAACCTATTTAAGATAAAACTGTGTCATGTGAATATACTACTTGCAAAAATAAAATAAAGCAACAGCAACACACATAACAAAAAATATCTCAAGTCTCTGTTCCTTCCTCAGCTTTACCCTCGAAATCCTATCTGTATCTCTTCTGAGTTGTTCTGAGAACTACGAAAAGAGCAGATAAATTAACAACTTACCCCTACGCATATTTCTCTGTGTAATGAGTTCCCTTCCTTCTTGTAGATTGACGGTTACAGACACGGATGGAGCCACTAACTCCACAGTTGCAGCCCTAAGAGTCAACGGTGCTGTGGATCAGCCCCCGGTAGCCAATGCAGGACCAAATCGGACCATAACATTGCCCCAAAACTCTATCACTTTGAACGGAAACCAGAGCAGTGATGATCACCAGATTGTTCTCTATAAGTGGTCCCTGGGGCCTGGGAGTGAGAGCAAAGAGGTGGCCATGCAGGCAAGTTCTTCATCCTGCCTTCAGATTCATTTGTCATATATCTTTCTGTCTGTCTAGCCACCCATCCAGCCATCCATCTGTCTATTAATTTATCCATCCATCAATCTATCCATCTGCCTATTTAATCCATCCATCCATCTATCCATCCATTTATTCATCCATCTGCCCATCCATCCATCCATCCCATCCATCCATCAATCTACCAAGTGTCAGTGGGGACGGAGGGGAACAGTTAAATTCAGAAAATATGTTTTATAATATTGTTGGATTGCAACTATTAGCAGAACACCTAAACTCACAAATCTCCCAAGTTTATATCACTTCCCCTCACCCAGTCTGGTGCACAGAATAACAATTAAATCACCCTGTGTTGACAACTGGTTGTTTTTGGGGAAAAGCCATTGAAATCAATTAGATAAACATATATGCTTATTTGGGGAGCATTCAGAGGTTAATTTGGGAAAAGCCCGGCCCAATAATTGCTAGAGAAACATTATTTTAGTACTAGGAGAAACCTTAGAAATAATCTAACCTAAACCTCCTTACCAGAAAATTCTCCCTTTTTTGTTTCTCCTATTTTTAGAAACTCTGTGTTACCATTTCTGGATCCCATGATCACTTTTTAAAAGCTTTTTGTACCTACCTTTTGATTTGTTCAAATCTTTTAAGTAGATTCATCTAAAGATATAACCTCGAATCTTTTGCTCTGTATGTGTGTATGTGTGTGCTGTTTGCTTATCCTTCTTTTGGTGATGGCTAAAACCATTTACTTTTCTTAATAATTAGCTTATATTTTTGAAGTTATTATTTGAGAATTTAATGGGGAAAAAATCTGGTTCAAAAGGGGCTGGGTGCCAAAGAATATTTACCTTGGTTAAAAGCTGTTTCCAAAATTTTTTCTTTAAGATTTTTATTTTATTGGGCCTCTCCAGTGGCGCAGCGGTTGAGCGTTGGGCTGCGAAACTGCCCGCAGCCTCTGCAGCGCTGGTTCGATCCCCAGCTGCTCCCCGGCCACTGGAGGAGGGTCCTACATGGCGCACAGACCTCTCCTGCCGTCCACTGCTCCCCTCAGCAGTGTGCTTCGGTCCTTCTGCCTGTTCTGTTCCCCGCTCTGGCTCTGGTGAATTCTCTCACCCTTTCGCGCTTCTGACTGTACCCAGTGCTTGTATAAATAATCTTTTTTTAAAAAAAAAAGATTTTTATTTTATTTATGCATATAAGAGCTGGGGTTTAAGCCAGCGGTACCGGGCCAGACATAGGGATGCTGAGAGGATAGGATTCACCAGAGACAGAGTGCAGAGCAGAAAAGACGTACTGAATGAAATACACCGCTGAGGGGAGCAGCAGGCGAGACAGGAGAGGTCTGCTGTGCTATGTGTGTCAGCTCCCTGGCGGGGGATCGAACTCTTGCTGCAGTGGCTGCCGATAGCTTCATAGTGCTGAAACAACACTTGGTGCCACCAGGGAGGCCCCAGTTTTCAAATTTTCTTCCCTTTAATTATAAAGAATTATGTGCTCAAAGCTAGTTCTCCAGAATTTACACCTCCCGCTCCCTAGAACTCAACATGTATCCAAGGAAGTCACTGAATCCTGGGTCACAGAGCTACCTCGAAGCTCTCCACGCTTGCCCATCTGCTGCAGACATCTCTCCCTTCTTCTCTCCATAGACAATCTAATATCCCCAAAGTACCAATATTAGTGCCCTAAGATGGATTGATTAATATGTCAAAGAGGGGGGCATCCTTTTTTATTAATTGGGACAATCATAAAGATGAGCTCTGTAAACCAGACGCTTTTGTATTCATCAAAAAGAAAATGTGCAAGGCAGCCTGCTGAGACTGGGTCTTTCTGGGGAAAAGCACTTGAAATCAATTAGATAAACATATGGTTATTTGGGGGGCACTCAGAGAAATGCATTTTTCTGTTCAGATCCATTTGCTACAACATTGGCTTTTATTGTGTGCATAAGCAGTCATGTAAACATATTAATTTTGAAGGAAGTACTAGGAAATTGTACTTTCTCTGTAGGACTTTTCAGAGAAAAGTGATTAACTATGTTTTGTCGAAGAGGGGAAAAGCAATTTTTAAACAGTTCAAATTTTAGAAGTGCATAACTTGTGAGAACTCATTTGATTTTCTATTGGTTTTGTTTCAATTTTCCATTAAAACCATCAACAAATACACACAGGTACCTTTATCTTTAGATAAACTTGGACTCTATAAAAGTAGATAATTATAGATTTAAAATTAAAAATTCTTTTCCTGAACCATGAACTTCAAACATGGGCAATTAGAAGCTTATCAACAATAACACAGAAACAATAATTTTAGACAAGGCAACAGCTCGGAGCAAGAAGTATAGCTGTTTCTATACTCAAGTGAAAACATGTCTTATTGACATTAAAATGGCCAGCAGACACATGAAAAAACCTATACAATCACTTATTTTTAGAGAAATATACACCAAGAGCACAATGAGACCTATTCATATCAAAAAGACTAGAAACAAGCACTGGTGATGGTGTGGAGGTAGGAATGCAAACGGGTCCCCCTTATGAAAGGCATCATGGAGGTATCTCAAAACATTAAAAATGAATTTCCCCATTTGACCCAGTAATTCCACGCCCAGTCATTTATCCAAAAAATTAAAAAACAATCGTTCAGAAGCAAACTGGCACTCCCATGTTTATTGTAGTTCTGTTTACTATGGCCAAACTATAGAAACCACCTAAGTGCCCCATTACAGACAGTGGGTCAAGAAGATGTGGCACAATGGAGTACTACTCAGCAATGAAAAAGATGAACTCACGCCATTTGGGGCAACATGGAGGGAGCTTGAAAGGATACTGCTAAGCAAAATAAGCCAGAAGGAGAAAGATAAATACAGGTGTGGATGATGTCACTAATATGTGGAAGATAAAGTAACTAAATTAATAGTCAGATAAAGATGATCTAAAAACTAGCCCTTGATAACTGATTTCAGAACTGAAACAGCAAGGGGGACGAGGGGAGAAAGGACAAAGAGGGAAGGAAGCACAGAGGTCTATGGTGGTAGAATATGGGTGAGCTGGTGGTGGGTGCACTCTGGTGGTAATAATTGATAAGGGTACCCTAAAATTACCTCAGTTAAAAATAAATAAAAAAAAATCTTATTGAAAATTTTATGTTGCCTTAGAATTTAAAAAATGATTTTTAGTTATAAAAGTAATATATGAATTGCTTCTTGTGGTTAAAAACAAAGTTCAAATAAATTCTGAGAAAGGGAAAATACAATTTGACCTCAACTCAGTCCCTCACTGAAGAAAATTACTTTTATCCATAATGTATTTCCTGAATGTCTTCTATGTGACTACATATGTTTGTGTTCATGCAGCGCAATCTTTCACACTAAATGCATTTTCCCACATATTGCTTAGTAATATATCTTTGAGGGGCCTTGCTGGTGGCGCAAGGGGTTAATTTTAAGCATAGCACTGTGAAGCTGTCCCCAGCCTCTGCAGGAAGAGCTCAATCCCGGGCCAGCGAGCTACCCACATGGTGCAGCAGACCTCTCCCGTCTCTCCTACTGCTCCCCTCCGCAGTGTATTTCAGTAAATCTGCCTCTTCTGTTCCCCATTCTGTCTCTGGTGAATCCTCTCACCCCCCCATACCTCTGGCCTGTACCCCAGCTCTTGTATGTATAAATAAATAAATCTTTAAAAAAATATATCTTTGATTAATAAATACATTTTATTATTTATGAACCTACTTCATTCTTTTAAATTAGCATTTCATAGTGAATGGTGGTGGGTTTGGTTCTTTTCTTGTTGATGAACCATTTAGATTGTTTCAATTCTGAGCTGTCAGAGGCAGTATTTCAGTTGTCCACCTTGTGTGGTCTCCTTGAGCACGCTGGCCTTTCTCCAGCATGGGTACTGAGAAGTTGAATTGCTGGGTTGAAGGGCGTGCCTAGGATGATACCCAGTGGGCTTTAATGGCATTTTCCTGGTGACACACACATTTCTTTTTGAAGCGCTGCAGATGAAGTAAAATCATTAGTTCTTCACTCTGCTTTTTTTTTTTTTTTAAAGATTTATTTATTTATGCATACAAGAGCTGGGGTACAGGCCAGAGGTGCAGGAGGGTGAGAGGATTCACCAAAGACAGGGTGGGGAGCAGAACAGGCAGCCTGACTGAAATACACTGCTGAGGGGAGCAGCAGGTGAGACAGGAGAGGTCTGCTGTGCCATGTGGGTAGCTCCCTGGCCTGGGATCGAACTCATGCTGCTGTGACTGCCAGTAGCTTGATAGTGCTGTCTTTAACCCCTGCGCCACCAGGGAGGCCCCTATTTCACTCTGCTTTTTAATATTATTTCTTTTCTTTTCCATGTTTGTATTTGCTACTACTCAGGGAGTGGAGACACCTTATCTCCATGTGTCTGCCATGCAGGAAGGCAAGTATACATTTCAGCTGATGGTGGCAGATTCTTCGCAGCAGCAGTCCACAGCTCTGGTCACTGTGATGGTGCGGCCTGGTAGGTGACATGGAAAAAGCCCCAGAGGTGAAAGCACAAGCGACATCCTCCATTTCTCCTTCCCTCTGTCCCTTTCTCCTTTCCTCCTTCTCTGGCTCCTTCCCTCTCTGCCTCCACCTTTCTCCCCGTTCCCCTCCTCCTATCTTCTCTCTTGACTCCACAACTTTCGAGGTCTTTTAAAAACACCATATATATATATATATATATATATATATATATCAGGGGCCTCCCTGGTGGCACAAGGGGTTAAGCACAGCACCGTGAAGCTGTCCGCAGCCGCTGCAGCACGAGTTCAATCCCCGGCCAGGGAGATACCCACATGGCACAGCAGACCTCTCCTGTCTCGCCCGCTGCTCCCCTCAGCAGTGTATTTCAGTTGATCTGCCTGTTCTGTTCCCTACTCTGTCTCTGGTGACTCTTCTCACCCCCCACAACTCTGGCCTGCACCCCAGTTCTTGGATGCATAAACAAGTCTTTAAAAAAATTCTCTTTAAAAATGCATGTATCAGGGAACAGTATTTCCTGCTATCTATCACTCCACTGGCACGCTCAGAACAGTTAACTCCCAGGTCAGCTAGGAGACCACAGTGTTGTGCCTCGGGTTTCCCCAAGGTCTCTGCAAGCCCTAGTACTTACCTGATCTGAATACAGGTCATTTGCTTAAATCAAGAAATCAGGGGATTGCAGACTTAATGCAAAGAGAACAGTTTCGCCTGCCATCTCTGTCATTCCAGAAAACAACAGGCCCCCGGTGGCAGTGGTTGGCCCAGACCAGGAGCTCTTCTTCCCCGTGGAAAGCACCAACCTGGACGGGACCCGAAGCAGCGATGACCATGGCGTCGTTTTCTACCACTGGGAGCACGTCAGGTGGGCCTCTTCCCTGAGCTGCTGGTTCATGCGGTGGCTGAATGCTCCTGTTACCCCTTCTCTGCAGGCTACATTCAGCAATCCACTCGAGAGGGACTGAAAGATGTGAGATTGTTTCTGGAAGTGGCAGGGCACCATTGATCGAAGAATCTACCAAGTGCGGATGGGCAAGATAGACATTCCTTGACAGTGGAGGGAGGTGAGGCCCAGGCAGGTGGGCAGGCTGTCTGGTGTGAGATCAGCTTCAGGACAGAGGAGCTGCAGGGAAACCTGGGTGAGGCCTCCTGGCCACTCACTCAAATCATCTGCGGTGACTATAGCCAGAGCACTGCAGCGTTTAAGGGGACACCTGCAATCTCTTAACATTTTCTCTGCTTTCCAGACTTCATCTCATAAAATCCTATAAACTTACTTAGAGGTAAATAATAATAATCCTCCTTGAAAGTTGAAGAAACTGACTGGTGGAGACTAGTGAGGTCACACTGCTTATGTTTGCCATCTAGTAAAAGAAAGAGCTGGTCTTTCCACTAGAAAGCACACAATCTTGGGTCCTCCCTGATGGCGCAGGAGTTAAGTCTCAGCATTATCAGGCTATTGCCAGCCACTGCGGCATGAGTTGGATCCTGGCCACGGAGCTGACCCACATGGCGCAGCAGACCTCTCCTCTCTCCCCGCTGTGTCCCTCAGCAGGATATTTCAGTGGATCCTCTTGTCCTGCTCCCCACTCTGCCTCTGGTGAATCCTCTTACCCTCTGCACCTCTGGCCTACACCCCAGTTCTTGTATGCATAAATAGATAGAAAAAATCTTAAAAAAAAAAAAAACTAAGCACACAATCTTAATGGTTGTCCTATAATTCCATTTAGGAAATCAGGTCTTGTTCATTCCCTCCTTCATATGTTCTCCATGCAGTAGGTGAGGAATTCACTTACTTTATTCAAAGAAGAAATCGGAGTAGTTTCTAAGGCTCCCAAGAATCCAACAGCTTCTATCTGCAGTAAACTTTAGCTTATGATTCTTACACTGAACTAAAGAATATAAACGAGGAAAGTCATCTTATGGTTCAGGTTTTTAGCAACACCTCCTGGGGCAGACGAGGCCCCTGTTCTGCCCCAGAAGTCCCTGACCCTCTAGAAGTTCTTTACCAGTTGGTAGGCTGCCCATTAGGCAGGGATCTGAGCCCTGGGAAAGGATATTTTTTTTTTAATATATAATAGATATATAATGGGCTCAGGCTTGGGAAGAACCTGTCTGTGTGTGTGGAGCCAGTTATGTGGATGCGTGTGCACATGTGCTTGCATTTGTCTCTTTTGCCATGGGACAGTTGGATTCAGGACATTTTTCTTTCTTTCTTTTTTTTAGATTTATTTATTTATGCATACAAATACTGGGGTACAGGCCAGAGGTATGGGGGGGGTGAGAGGATTCACCAGAGACAGAGTGGGGAACAGAACAGGCAGACTGACTAAAATACACTGCTGAGGGGAGCAGTGGGCGAGACAGAAGAGGTCTGCTGCGCCATGTGGGTAGCTCCCTGGCCGGGGATTGAACTCGTGCTGCAGTGGCTGTGGATAGCTTCATAGGTTGCGTCTTAACCCCTTGCGCCACCAGGGAGGCCTGATTTAGGACATTTTTCTACAAGAAACAGCCTCCTCTTTTCTCATAAGGACTGGATGATGGACGACGCTGTTGGTGTGGTCAAGATAGGAAGTGGGTCTGGGAATACATACCTCCCCAAATTCAATCAAAGCCCAGCAGAGAGGCTGGTATGATGGCCAGGGCTCAGAAAACTGTGCTGGTTCCTCTCACCACTATGCCCTCACTGTTGGCCTTTGTTTCCTTGGTGAATGCTGATGTGCCTCGGCTTTCCTCCACCTGAACAGTGGTGTGTAGCAGGCAAACTGTGGGGGTGTTTTTTGGGGGGGAGGTCTCTTGTGCCTGTAGGAGGTGAAGATGAAATTTTTACTCACTATATATATAATATATACTATATATATTACATATTTATGTATATTATATAACATATATATTTCCTCACTGTATATAATATATATATACAGTGAGGAAAAAATATATATTAATAAAATATTTTGAATATTGAATATATTTTAATAAATATATAAAAAATAAGTATATATTACTTGTATGATTAAATCAACATGTTCTCTTAGATTTCTCTAGAAGCTATGGATTGTAACTAAAAAGAATCAGGTAGAAGGACACCAGTCAACTGTTTGCCACAATTAGAATCCTACCCTCTGCCTCTGCTCATCTCTTTCCCATTTTCTAGAGGCCCCGGTGCTGTGGAGATGGAAAATGTGCACCAAGCTGTCGCCAAGGTGACCGGTCTTCAGGTGGGTACCCACCGCTTCTGTTTAACAGTGAAAGATCAGCAGGGACTGAGCAACACTGCCACCCTCACCGTGACTGTGAAGAAGGGTGAGTTGTGGGGGCCCGGCTGGGTTTGCTTTTCAGCCTCTCAGGACCCTACTCCAAGCCAGGACTATTCAAAAATGTTGGTGCTGTGTGTTCACGGCAGATGCCCAACACTGCTTGGCCAAGAAAGAGCTGTTTTTCTTGCTGTTTTTCCAATCTCCCTCTGCAAGCAAACAGCATTTTTTTTTTTTTGCAAGGTGGAAATTCATATTATTTATTTATTTTCTAAAAATATTTTTTTAAGATTTATTTATTTATGCATACAAGAACTGGGGTACAGGCCAGAGGTGTGGGGGTGAGAGGATTCACCAGAGACAGAGTGGGAAGCAGAACAGGCAGACTGACTAAAATACACTGCTAAGGGGAGCAGTGGGCGATTCAGGAGAGGTCTGCTGTGCCATGTGGGTATCGCCCTGGCTGGGCATTGAACTCGTGCTGCTATGGCTACGAATAGCTTCATAGTACTGAGACTGAACCCCTTCTACCACCAGGGAGCCCCGTTTTAGTTTTTTTTTAAGCTTTCTCTTCCCTTTTTTTTTTTAAGATTTATTTATTTATGCATACAAGAGCTGGGGTACAGGTCAGAATTGCAGGGGGTAAGAGGACTCACCAGAGACAGAGGGGAACAGAACAGGCAGATTGACTGAAATACACTGCTACGGGGAGCTGCGGGAGAGATAGGAAAGGTCTGTTGCACCATGTGGGTTGCTCCCTGGTGTCTGGGATTCGAACTCGTGCTGCAGAGGCTTCAGATTGCTTCATAGTGTGGTGCTTAACCTCTTGTGCCACCAGGGAGACCCCCATTTTAGTTTTTTAAGGTAAATCCTTATTGCTTTCCATAATGGTTGCACCAGTCCACATTCCCACAAATGGTGTAATAGAGTTCCTTTCTCCCTGCGTCCTCTGGTTGGAGCATTTTAAGCCCCATCCTAGCATCATATCCTTTTATCTATAAAACTTGGGTTTTTAAAAGATGTCAGTTTGATGGGAGAAAGGTCAAAAACAGGGCGAATAGAAGGCAATTATAGATGAGTTCCATTCAGTACCAATACAGGAAAATGGGGAGAAATAGATTGGAGAGATATTTTAGAGCCTAAATTCTCATAACTTAGTAACTTAATGGCTCTGGAGAGTGTCTAAGATGATACCAAAAACTTTGACTTCAGGGCCTCCCGCGGAGGCTCAGTGGGTTGAGCACAGCACTGTGAAGCTGTCCGCAGTCACTGCAGCACTAGTTAGATTCCCAGCCAGCCAGGGAGCTACCCACATGGCACAGCAGACCTCTCCTGTCTCACCCACTGCTCCCCTCAGCAGTGTACTTCGTCAGTCTGCCTGTTCTGTTCCCCGCTCTTTCTCTGGTGAATCCTCTCACTCTTCTGTGCCTCTGGCCTGTACCCCCGTTCTTGTGTAAAAAAATGAATCTTAAAAAAAAAAAAGAATTTTCTTAAGGAAAATAACAACTTTGACTTCAGCATGCAGAGGGATAAGGGTGTGATTATCTGAACTCAGGTTCACAAAAGAGCAGTGGTAGGGTTCGTAGGTTTGGATATGTTGAATATGTGGTGGTGGAGTGTCTGGTGAGATGCCTAAGACAGTGTCACAGCTGGAGCTCATATGGGGTAAGCTCACAAGTTGTATTGGTAAAAATACAAATATTTACAGAGGGACTTAAGCTCACTGAATTTCCTGGCAGTCTATTTTGATTCTTTCCAACCTTTCCCTGTATCCATAAAATTAAATCTTTGGTGTGATTTCCACCACTCTCCTCCCAAGCTCCCAATTTCTCCCCAAAAGGGAATGTGGAGAATAAAATGGACAAGCTAGTACTGGCACCATGTGTGCCTGCGCCAGTCACTCTGTCTTTTCTGGTTACCAGGGGGAGTGTTCTTTTCTCCTTGGATCAACATGTGACTGTCCTCACTTGTTTTCTGTTGCTGGCTTTGTTGTCATGGGGAATTGGCAAAGGGTCAGATTGGGTCTCAAAGCCCCAGCTGAATAAGCAGGATATGCCTCATAGCAACCTCATCCCCAAATTGGGGCCCTGGCTAGATCTTCCCAGACCCCTCTCCTGAAGTTGTTATGTCAGAAATGACTCTTACGCATGAAGTAGAATTAACACCCAGTCAGAGTGATGGTCTCATTCTTTTTCATTCTAGCTGTTTAATTTTACTTAGTAGACAGGTAAGATTTAGTACTGTTAGAAATAAAAAAAATACATTTCTGATGATAGTGTGGAACAGTACAAAATTACCCAGCGCATATTTTTTAAAAGATTTATTTATTTATGCATATCAGAACTGGGGTACAGGCCAGAGGTGTGGGGGTGAGAGGATTCACCAGACCCAGAGTGGGGAGCAGAACAGGCAGACTGACTGAAATACACTGCTGAGGGGAGCAGCGGGCGAGACAGGAGAGGTCTGCTGCGCCATGTGGGCCGCTCCCTGGCTGGGGATTGAACTCGTGCTGCAGTGGCTGCAGATAGCTGCATAATGCTGCATTTTAGCCACTTGAGCCATCAGGGAGGCCCCATAGCATATTTTAAACCAAAATATTTTCACTTTCTTGACCCTGAAAGTAAGATCTTTCTCTCTCTCTCTTTTTTCAAAAAGGACAACTGTAATGATAGTAAAAACATCCCCTATGTCTAAGAAGCCAAATCACTACCATAATCTGTATTATCTGATGGGGGCTTGGGGCAGACAGTCATGTCTTCTGGATATTTTAAATCTATATGCCTGCAAGATCGATATGTTAGGACACACTTCTATCACCCATGTTTTAAATCAGTCTCTTTGCTTTCATCTTTTTGTATTTGACTTAGAAAATAATAGCCCTCCCAGAGCCCAAGCTGGTGGCAGACATGTTCTTGTACTTCCCAATAACTCCATTACTTTGGATGGTTCAAGGTCTACTGATGACCAAGGAATTGTGTCCTATCTGTGGATCCGGGATGGCCAAAGTCCAGCAGCTGGAGTAAGTACTTGAAGAGAGTTGCCCCTGATCACTTTCATTATGTCTGCACTAGGTTGCCAGCGCTGCCATAACAAAATATCATAGACTAGGGGACTTGAAGGACAGACATTTTTTCCCTCTTCTAGAGCCTGAAGTCCAAGATCAAAGCCACTTTGGTTTCTGGTGAGAGATTTCTTCCAGGCTTGAAGACAGCTCTGTGGCCATCTTCTCTCTGCATTCTCGTTTGATACAGAGAAAGAGCGATCCCTTTTGTGTCTCTACTTACAAGGACACTGATCTTATGGGAGTGGGGCCTTCTGTCCTGACCTCATTTAATATCAATTACCTCCTAATAGGCTCTGTCTGAAATACATTCACTGTGGAAGTACCTGTGAATTTGGCAGGGACACAGTTAAGTCCACAGCAAAGTCCCTGTTATGATTTCATCTCCCTTTCCATATTCTCTCCTGAGGTCATTATGCTCTGGGCTTCCTTTGAGGACTGGAGATAATAGGCTGCTCTTAGATTTAGCCAAAAGCTGCTTTCGGACTGTTTCCCCCGATCAGACCTTGGATGGGGTAGATTACCATAAGCCTGGAAGGACTGTACACTTAAGACTTCCCTTGGGAATCATTTTGCTCCTGGCATCCACATTGTTCCGGTTTTGGTCCAAATAGATTATTTGTGTTCCTCACATTGTAACAGATGGGTCAATAGAGCAAAGATTATTCTTGCTTTGCTAGTACAGAAAGTGAGATGCAAAGGTGGACAATGACTTGGCCAAGGTCAACAAATTCATCCTTAACCAAATTGGATAGAACCTGGGGGGCAGGGTTTTCCCCCTCTAGATCGCTCTGCCTCTTTTTTTTTTTTTTTTAAGATTTATTTACTTATACATACAAGAGCTGAGGCACAGGCCAGAGATGCAGAGGGTGAGAGGATTCACCAGAGACAGAGTGGGGAAACAGCACAGGCAGATTGACTGAAATACACTGCTGAGGGGAGCAGCGGGCGAGACAGGAGAGGTCTGCTGTGCCATGTGGGTTGCTCCCCATCTGGGGATCAAACTTGTGCTGTGGTGACTGCGGCTAGCTTCATAGGTTACGCCCCAACCTCTTGTGCCACCAGGAAGGCCCCCAAGAGGAGACTATTGTAAAAGTATGTTTGAAATAAGACTCAGAAAATTCTTCAGAGATGGTGCTTTGTTCTTGGGAGTCTTAAATGTGGATAAAATTAATGACTTGGTAATTTCTGGAAAGCCCTTGGTAAGCATAGCTCAGGAAGAACTATCTGAGGAAAGCAGGCCTCCTGGTGGTCTACATGCAAGAGATGCTGATTCTCCACATCTTCAGCTTACTCACCACCCTCAGACCTTCTCAACCTGCCCCTTAAAATCGTGCATGTGTTGAAAGACAGCGCGCTGAGGTTTGGCATCCCCGAAGTCCAGAAACTGGGAGCTGAGTATTGATTGGTGAATTGTGTTCTCCCGCGTGCTCTTGCAGGATGTCCTCGGAGGCTCTGACCACAGTGCCGCCCTGCAGCTCTCCAACCTGGTGGAGGGAGTCTACACCTTCCGCTTACGAGTGGCCGACAGTCAGGGCGCCTCAGACACAGACACTGCTACCGTGGAAGTGCAGCCAGGTGTGCTCACAGGCACCCATTCTGGGCTAATGATGCGGGTGGTCAGTCTTTGGGGCTCTTTGCAGTTGGGAGGTGTCACCCTAATGGGAGGTCCTGCTGTGGCTGGCATTACATCTTGGCCAGAGGTGCTTTGAAGCTTTCTCTGTACTCTGTTTTTTCCTCCAACAGTGCAGCCTTATAACTCATTAAGAAGAACTGGAGGTAGCACTTTATCCTCCTTCTTCCTGCCAGAAGACAAAGACCTAACATGCAGGGGACCCAAGGGCTTCAGTATGGGGAGCACTAAGGAAGGGTAACTCCATGGAGATGGCCGTCATGACCACAGTGTGAGCCAGCTGTGCAGTACCCACAGGGCTTGGACAGTAAATTCTCCTTTCGGGCCCTTGGTAGTGTGTGAAGTGCTGAAATTTTGACTTAAGCACACGTGGTTATCTTCTGGAAATAAATTAATAAGTTAAACGGGAATAAGGTACTCTCAGAGGATGGCCTTTGTAGTATTTGGAAAAATTTACCTGAGTTCTAAAACCCAAATGTCGAAACGACACAGGTCATTTTATTTTATTCATTTATATTTTAAAGATTTATTTATTTATGTGTACAAGAACTGGGATACAGGCCAGATGAGTAGGTGGTGAGAGGATTCACCAGAGACAGAGTGGGGAGCAGAACAGGCAGACTGACTGAAATACACTGCTGAGGGGAGCAGCAGGCAAGTCAGGAGAGGTCTGCTGTGCCATGTGGGTATCTCCCTGGCCAGGGATCGAACTCGTGCTGCAGAGACTGCGTACAGCTTCATAGGTTGCATCTAAACCCCTTGCACCACCAGAGAGGCCTGACACAGGTCATTTTAAACCATCTAAATGCTTAGAAAAGCCATGCTCCTTACATCATCATGCCTGTGGTCTTCAGGTAGAAAATACCTTAACTTCTTTTTCCAGACCCTAGGAAGAGTGGCCTGGTGGAGCTGATCCTGCAGGTTGGCGTTGGGCAGTTGACAGAGCAGCAGAAGGACACCCTCATGAGACAGCTGGCTGAGCTGCTGAACGTGCTAGACTCGGACATCAAGGTGCAGAAGATTCAGGCCCATTCAGATCTCAGGTGAGCAGCATACCAGTCCAGCATGCAGCTGCTCATTTGTTCTCTTCCTTCTGTATTTTTGCACACACTTTTATCCTACTCATATACTTTTTTTTTTTTAAAGATTATTTATTTATTTATACCAGCACTGGGTATGGTCAGAAGCGCGGGAGGGTAAGAGGATTCACCAGAGCCAGAGCAGGTAACAGAACAGGCAGACTGATAAAATACACTGCTGAGGGGAGCAGCGGGTGGCAGGAGAAGTCTGCGCGCCATGTGGGACCCTCGCCGGTGGCCAGGGATCGAACCGGCGCTGCAGAGGCTGCAGGCAGCTTCGCAGCCCAGTGCTCAACTTCTATGCCACCAGGGGAGGCCCCTACTCATATACTATTTAATCTCAAAGGACAGCAGTAAGGTTGACATCATTTCATATCCTTCCTTCAAGTCTCAGTAGATGTTTGTTGATGGAAATGTTCTGAGTGATAAGCTTAGCAACTGTCAGAGTGATCTGATGTTTACCTCTGATATCTTCGGAGGGCATGCAAAGGGCCTGGGGCATGCACAGAGGACATTTCAGAGCCAGACTTCATCCTGCCGTCCAGGCGTGGGACTGAGGCTTCTCTCAAGATGAGAGGCTCATTGGTTACTGTGGCAATCTTCAGGGAATCTATGAGGCTTCAAACTGCCATTGTTTTTTAGTAGAGATTTATGTATTTAATTATATTAATATTATTTTAAAATTCTTATCAAACCTGTGAATGTTAAGGTCGGGTGGGAGGAGAGAAAGAAAGAATTTGGAATGAAAACCAACTCCTCATAATTACCCTGTCTGCCCATTATCATCAACTATTCTGTCTAGGTTTGCTTTTCAGAGAGCTGAAATTTACTTAGAAAAATGCCAAATTAAAAAAAAAAATGAATTATTTTTTATATAACTCTTTCTAAAATGGATTGCATGTTTTCCTTTCTTATGAAATGTGAAACACTGAACCAAAACATGCCTGAAAATCAATAAAACATGTCTGAAAGATAACAAAATTGATAACTTTAGCAAGTTGACCAAGAGAAAGGAGAGAAGACTCAAATTACTAGAATCAGGACTGAGAGAAGATGTTACTACGAACGATACAGAAATAAAAAGGATTACATTGCAAGAAATCATACTTAATAAAGTCGTTAACCTGGATGGAGTGGACAAAATCCTGGAAAGACACGATTATAACAACTGATTTAAGAAGATATCAAAAATTATATAGGGAAGAACACAAGGGACTATGGTGATTGTTCATGGTGATGTGATGGTGGGAGATTTATGGAGACTACACCTGAAGGAAGAATCAAATATTGTACAAAAAGAAACAATGTAAGAATATAAAAAAATAAAAATTAAAAAACCCAACAAGATCGTTGAAAAACACAGAAAAAAAGAAGATATTAAAAATTATAATAGATCTATCACAGTTAAGAGAGTCAATCAGTAACCAAAAATCTTACCATAAAGCTCCCAACCAGATGGCTTTACCACTGAATTCTACAAAACATTTACTGATTTAATACCACTTTCACTAACTCTTCCAAAAAGTAGAATAGGAGGGCCTACTTCCCAGCTCATTCTGTGAGGCCAGTTTTGCTCTTGAGTAAAACCAGACAAGAACATCACAAGAAAACTACAGACCAACATCCCATATGAACACAAAGGCAAAAATCCTCAACAAAATACTATGAAGCTACATCCAGCAACTATTACAAAGATTATAAATCATGGCCATGTAGGGTTTACCCTAGGAATGCAAGGGCCAGTTCACATGACAGTCATAGATAGTAAACCTATTAACTGTATAAAGGTCTAAAACCATATGACCATATTAGTAGACACAAAGAAAGTACTTGACAAAAATCCAACAGACATTCATGATAAAAACCACTATAGTAGAGTTGTGTCTCCCTAGAGGATATGTTCAAGTTATAATCTCTAGTACCCATGAACATGATCTTATTTGGAAATAAGGTCATTGCAGATGAGTTAGTTAAGAGGAGCTTATCCTGGAGTAGAGTGGACCCTAATCAAATAAGACTGCATCCTTGTACATGGAGAGACACAGGGAGATTGTCACATGATGTTGGGACACAGGATGCCATATAGTGATGCAGCTACAAGCCTCAGAATGCCAAGGATTGCTGGCAACATGGGAAGCTAAGGGAAAAGGCAGGGAACAGAGTCTCTGCTCGAGTCTTCCGAAAGGGAATAGCCCTGCCAAGACCTTGATTTTGAACTTCCAGCCTCCAGAAGTGTGAGAGAATAAATTCTGTTTTTTTAAGCCATCCAGTTTGTAGTAGTTTTTATAATTACCTTTTGAAACAAACACAAATTTGAATAGCCGTTTCTCCAAAGAACACATGCTTGCAAATGGCCAATAGAGATGAAAAAATGCTCAACATCATTTTACCACTGGGGAAATAGTAAATCAAAACCATATTGAGATATTACTTCATAGCCAGTAGGATGACAATAAATCCAGCGGACAGACCATAACAGATATTGATGAGGAAGTGGAAAAATTGGGAGCACTCTCACACTGCTGGTGGAAATGTAAACTGAAAGCAGTTTGACAGTTCCTCAAAATACTAAACAGGGTTATCATGTGACCCAGTAATTCCTTTCCATTTCTTGGAAATTTTCATTGAAAAAGTATGTCCAGATCAAAACTTGCATAAGAACATTCATAGTGGCATTATTCGTAATAGGCAAAAAGTGGGTACAATCCAAAATATCCATCCACTGCAGAATGGATAAATAAGATAAATTCATACAATGGGCCATTATTTGGCAATAAAAAGTCAGTATTGATACATGCTACAACACGATGAACTTTGAAAACACCATGCTAAGTGAAAATCGCCAGACACAAAATGCCTCGTGTATATTCTGTTTGTATCAAATGTCCAAAATAGTCAAATTCATGGACACAGAAAGGAGATGAGTGGTTGTCAGTAGCTATGGAACAGGATAACAGCTGCTGATGGCATGTGGTTTCTTTCTGAGGTGATGAAAATGTGCTGGAGAAAGCCAAACTGAATCATGAGAATTGTTTTCACATGGAGGAGTTTATGTACAAAATAGTCACTAAGGGAGTCAGCAGTGAGGTTAGCACCCTAATAATACTGACTCCCCAGATGGTGGGAGTGCTGTAATTACGTGGGGAGAGAAGGAATATGAGGGAAGTCAGGGTTTTGCATTTCTAGGTCCAGCAGGTGCCAGGCAGTGGAGAAGGCAGGAGTCAGGGTGTTTGACTTTCCCAGTAGGAAGTTTTCTCAGTAATCAGAGGAGGTTTGTCTCTGATTCCACGATTAACTCAGAGGGACACAGAAAATTTTTACCAGGGATGTAACATAATGAGTTTTTCCACGGTTTCCAGATAATGCAGTTGGAACAAGTTAATGGTTAATCAAAAGGAGGGAGCAGGAGGGGTGTAAAGGGTAGTTGGAGTTTAATTCTGCTTATTCCTAATTTTTCAGTCTAGGGGAGTTTTTGTTGCAAAGTGGAGGGAATCTATAAACACACTAAGAGCTACCAGATGATAGACTTAATTTTTTATTTTATTTATTTATTTTTTTAAAGGTTTATTTATTTATTATACAAGCACTGGGCACAGTCAGAAACGCGGGAGGGTGAGAGAATTCACCAGAGCCAGAGGGGAGAGCAGAGCAGGCAGACTGACGAAGTACACTGCTCAGGGGAGCAGTGGGTGGCAGGAGAGGTCTGCGCGCCTTGTGGGACCCTCACCCGGCTGCCAGGGATCGAACCAGCGCTGCAGAGGCTGTGGGCAGCTTTACAACCCAGTGCTCAACCGCTGTGCCACTGGGGAGGCCCAGATGATAGACTTTAAAAGGGTGAATTTGTGTTAAGTAAACTAAGTTTAAACAAAAAGTTAAAAGTATGAACAAGTCTGGAAACTATTATTCTTTGTGTCTGCACACATATATGCATTTATACTTTCCTCCTTTTATCTATCATCAGCTGTACTTTGGGACTGAAGAGGCTTTGTGAATAGAAACAGATCAATTCCTTGGCCCACAGACACGCCCTTGAGTCCATGCTATGCCAGTGTCCTGGTTTTACTGGACTCTGGCTGGAGTGGCTTGTCATTTGGGCCAAGCCTGTGTGTGTGATTGGCCTCTTTCATTTTCTCCTCTGCAGCACCGTGATTGTGTTTTATGTACAGAGTGGGTCTCCTTTCAAGATTCTCAAAGCTGGTGAGGTGGCCCAAAATCTACACAGGCGACTCTCGAAGGAGAGGGCTGATTTCTTGCTTTTCAAAGTCTTGAGGATTGACACAGCAGGTATGTCCTCCATGGGGATGCCTTTTTTTGTTTTTGTTTTTTATTTTTATTTTTTTAAGATTTGTTTATTCATGCATCCAAGAACCAGGGTACAGGCCATATGTGTAGGAGGGTGAGAGGATTGACCAGAGACAGAGCAGGGAGCAGAACAGGCAGATTGACTGAAATACACTGCTGAGGGGAGCAGCGGGGCGTGACAGGAGAGGTCTGCTGTGCCATGTGGGTTTCTCCCCGGACGGCCAGGCTCGAACTCGCACTGCAAGAGGCTGCAGACAGCTTCACAGAGCTGCACTCAACTGCCTGCGCCACCAGGGGAGGCCTATTTTTGTTTTTTAAGCATTGAAGTGTATTCAGAATTGGGTACCACTGGGCTTCACATCCCATCAAGTTAAATTCAGTGAAAATGTTGTGGAAACAACTACCCACTTGAGGTTAGAGGGGAAGACTTATGGGAAGTGGTGGAGTCTCTGTTTCCAATATGGCCGAACAGCAGCCAGATCTCAGAGTCTCTTGTTTTTTTTTTTAAGATTTATTTATTTATTTATACAAGAACCAGAGTACAGGCCAGATGTGTGGGAGGGTGAGAGGATTCACCAGAGACAGAGCAGGGAACAGAACAGGCAGACTGATGAAATACACTGCTGAGGGGAGCAGTGGGTGAGACAGGAGAGGTCTGCCACGCCATGTGGGATTCTCACCAGCCAGCCGGGATTGAACCCGTGTTGTGGAGGCTGCGGACAGCTTCACAGCACAGGGTTCAACCACCTGAGCCACCAGGGGAGGTCCTCAGAGTCTTCGTTGACTGAGTGGGAATCAAGTTCAGTATTTAGTTATGGTTCATATTTCTCCTTGTCAACTTCTATGGGAACATTCTGAAAGAATTAGATTTGCTAATCTTCGCCAGGCTTTCCTGGCACGGGAAAGAGGAGTGGTGTATGAACACTTTCATCTAGCATCCAGGGACTTGCTTTATGACTCTTTCTCCAGTAGGTCTCCTGAGGCATGTGGCCAAGTACACTGTGTCTTTGAGGGAGACTGGAAAACAATAATAGTCATGGGTCAATTTTTAGAACTATGCTCCAGATAATGGTCATAGTCAGAAATTTTATATTTAACTGTCAGAACAATATTAAGGAGAGCTGAGCATTATTCACTGGAAAAGTCATGTTTTTAAAATCTTTTTACCTTGGATATCAGCCTGAGATTGTAATGTTAGTGAAAAGAGATTATTGAAATTTTAAAATACCTTATAAGTGCCTTCCATTGTGCCTTTGAGCTCTTTGGCTTGCCACCCTTCCTGGGCACCAAACAATTCATAGGTGTGGATAGAAGTGTGATTGTTGTCCAAGGTCTCTGAGGGACATGAATCCCTTATTATGTTAGTGTGGTCATTGCAATGGACACTGAGGTGTGTGAGAGTTATAAGAGACACAATAATGTTGTATAGTAAAATTTAATATCTATTTTTTGCAAATAAGCACCATTGCTTTGTAAAATCTTAATGCAAGACAACATAATTTTTTTAAAAGATTTATTTATTTATACAAGCACTGAGGTGCAGGCCAGAGGCGCGGGAGGGTGAGAGAATTCACTAGACACAGAGCAGGGAGCAGAACAGGCAGAAGGACTGGAATACACTGCTGAGGGGAGCAGTGGGCGAGACAGGAGATGTCTGCCGCGCCATGTGGGTATCTCCGCGGCCGGCCGGGATCGAACCTGTGCTGCAGAGGCTGTGGACAGCTTCACAGCGCTGCACTCAACCTGCTACGCCACCGGGGAGGCCCTACAACATAATTTTGCATCTGAAAATAAGACAGAGATGTTAAAATTATCCCCAAAGTTAATTTCAGTCATCTACTTCTCCTCACTCATAGACTCAAGCCTTTTCTAGCAGAAGGCTGTGTTGAAATTATTGGGGGATCTCATCTCTTCTATGTACACTTAATTTCTAGAATCTTATCATCCCTAGTAAATGGGATTTCAGTCAAATTTAATTTGTTTCAGATATATGTCTGCCCACAATTGACTTTCTCAATTGTAACATGGAGTAACAGGTTTTTTTTTAGTGTGATAGAATTTTAATAGAATAGTATGCATAGAGAGGGAAGAAAGGATAATAGTTTCCCAGTAAAACACCGAAGTTACCCATCCCCTTGTGGGTAAATGCCCAGCCAAATAGGGTTGGCACAAAGCAGGGCCTCTGAGGCCCAAACGCTTGTCTCAAGTCAAAGGCACCTTCTGGTGGGGACCCATAGAAAGGGGCAGAAGGGGCCTGGCAGGTTTGAGATGAAAGGAGCAAAATCAAAGGACAAATCAAGACAAAGGCTGCCATGGTCAGCTTCCCAGTGGTCTCTTACCCATCTCTCTTCCAAGTGTCTCTACATGTCTCGACTCCACATGTCTCCTTCCATGTCCCTGGCTTCAGCCAAGGCTGAGAAGCCAGCACGCCCTCCCTCCTATGTTTCTGCTCCACGTGCCTCCTCCAAGTCTCCTTCTCTGAGATGAGTAAGATTTTTTTTAAGAACTCCTTTTATCCTGGCTGCAAAAGTAATATTTATGTATTGTTGGAAATTTGGAATACCCAAAGAGGCCAAAGTTTTTTTTTCAAATAGCCCTCTAGATTCTAAAAGCTAGAATTCCCACCACCCAAACTTTTGTGAAGACCCTGATGTATATCCTTACAGTTCCTCCTTCTCTGGAGACATTTAATACCACCAGGATAATTTGATATTTGTTTTTATTCTGTTTTCTAAATATGAGTGTTTTCTCAAATGCTCCAAAGTTTCTCCTTCGGGCCTTCCTAGTGGCACAAGGGGTTAAGACACAGTCTGTGAAGCTATCCACAGCCACTGAAGCATGAGTTCAATCCCCGGCCACTGAGGAGACCCACATGGCATGGCAGACCTCTCCTGTCTCGCCCACTGCTCCCCTCAGCAGTGTATTTCAGTCAACCTGCCTGTTCTGCTCCCCACTCTCTTTGGTGATCCTCTCACCCCCACACCTCTGGCCTGTACCCCAGTTCTTTTATGCATATATAAATAAATCTTAAAAAAAAATAAAATTTCTCCCCCAGTAAGATATTTTTGGTTGCATAATACTCCTCTCTGAATGTTTCATGATTTATGCAACCAGTCCTCTATTCATGTACTTTAAGCTTGATTTTAAATAATGTTTAATTATAACAATATTAAGTTGTAAATATTAATTGTAGGTGAATCTGCATGCATGCCCACAATTACAGCTGACCCTTGAACAACGAGGTTTGGGCTGCAGGGTTCACTTACATGCAGATTTTTCAATACATAATGCAGCTGATCCTTGAGCCCTGTGTAGTTGAAAATCCTGTAAATGCCTTTTCTTTTCCTTGTGACTTTTTAAATAATTTTTTCTTTTCTCTAGCTTTATTGTAAGAATACAGCATATAATATATACAACATACAAAATATGAGCTCAGGGCCTCCTCTGGTGGCGCAGCGGTTGAGCTCTGGGCTGCAAAGCTGCCCTCAGCCTCTGCAGCACCGTTCGATCCCTGGCCGCCAGTGAGGGTCCCACATGGTGCGACAGACCTCTCCTGCCACCCGCTGCCCTCCTCAGCAGTGTATTTCGTAGTCTGCCTGTTCTGTTGCCTACTCTGGCTCTGGTGAATTCTCTCACCCTCCTGCACTTCTGACTGTACCCAGTGCTTGTATAAATAAATAAATAAATAAATAAATAAATAAATGATAAATAAATAAATAAATCTTTAAAAGAAAAAATAAAATATGAGCTCATTGACTTGTTTTTGTTCTCAGAAAGGCCTCCTATCGATAGTAGGCTATTAGTAGTTAAGATTTGGGGTACGGCTCCCTGGTGGTGCAGGGGTTAAATACAGGGCTATCAAGCTATCGCCAGTCACTGCAGCTCAAGTTCGATCCCACATGGCGCAGCAGACCTCTCCTGTCTTGTCCACTGCTCCCATCAGTAGTGTATTTCAGTAGATCTGCCTGTTCTGGTCCCCACTCTGTCTCTGGTAGATCCTCACCCTCCGCATCTCTGGCCTGTACCCCAGCTCTTGTATGCATAAATAAATAAATCTTTAAAAAAAATTGGGGGAGTCAAAAGTTGCTCTGGGGTGCCAGTGTCCCTCACTGTGGTGTTATCTAGGGTCCTCAGTATGTTCACTGGATCAATTTTTTGAATTTATCTTTCTTAGGCCAGAAGATGCTGCATTTTTAAGAGTTTCGTGTTACGGTGTGGATTGGCTTTTTTCTGCCATTTGCTTCCAGATTGAGTCTGTCAATACTGAGAGACTCCCTCGAACACTGCTGGGCCACTGGGGGCTCTTGATTCAGCAAGATGTATGTGTTCTGGACCGAAGTCATTGGAATCCACAAGCTGAAGCCAGGGAACCTCAGCTTTTCTGTGTGGTGACCTCAGCCCTCTGACCTCTTTGCAGGCTGCCTTCTGAAGTGCTCTGGCCATGGCCTCTGTGACCCCATCACGAAGCGCTGCATTTGCTCCCAGCTGTGGATGGAGAACCTGATACAGAGCTACATCCATGATGGGGAGAGCAACTGCGGTGAGTCCTGGGTGGGGAGCTTCAGCACAACTCACTGTCAGGGAACAGGGGATCCACTCCTCTGGATCCTTCTCAGACAGACTGGAGAGAGAAAAGGGAAAAAACTTAGTTACATGCCCATTGGAAATTTACATGGTTGTCGATTCTAAATGCATGAACAAGAGAATGGGACAAACAGGGTTTGTGTCCTGGGTGTTAAGGAGGGAGTTGGGGCTTTATATGACAAGGAGAGGGTAACTCATGTGACAAAACCTTGCCTCTAGATAGATTTCTATGATAAAAAAGGTTATTTCTGCAGAAGCCCCCAAATCTAGGTAATCTGCATTTTTTTTTCTTTTAAAGATTTATTTATTTATTTATACAAACACTGGGTACAGTCAGAAGTGCGGGAGGGTGAGAGAATTCACCAGAGACAGAGTGGGGAACAGAACAGGCAGACTGACGAAATACACTGCTGAGGGGAGCAGCGGGCACTGCAGGAGAGGTCTGCACCCCATGTGGGACCCTCGCCTGCAGCTGGGGACCGAACCAGCGCTAAAGAGGCTGCGGGCAGCCTCGCAGCCCAGCGCTCAAGGGCTGTGCCACCGGGGAGACCCTGCATTTTTTTTCTTAAAGTAGTAAGAGTTTTCCTTGAGACCCACAGGGTCTTGGTTGACCTTAGTTTCACATACCAAGGTGACACAAATTGAAAAAAGTCTATTCTGGACATCTGGGGAAAAGCCTATGTGAACATTTGAGGTGGGGGTGTGTGTGATCCCACGTCATTCTGGAATATCAGAAACATCTGCCTAGCTTTGCAGCTGTAAACATTCAACCCTGTTCCTATTTCCTGAAGCCAAGTGAACTCATTCACTTGGTAAATGAAGATCTTCTCCATAGTCTGTGAGTTTAGGCTTTTTGGTAAAATGTCCTCATGAGAAAATTGAGTTTGTAGAGCAAATCTGGAGAATCACGGCGGGTGTTGCTGAGAGAATTGCTTTGGGCCACAAGGCCTGCCTTTCCAGGTCACCTGCTCTTCCTTAAGCTTGGCTTGGCCTTGTGGTGACATGGCCCCTGGTATGGACCTGCTGGAATCAGATGAACAAAAGAATTAGGGCGACTCTTCTGGACTGTGTGCCCAAACAGCATGTGGAGGCACTGCCTCAGCTGGCCAAGCTGGTGCCTTAAATCCCTTCTGGAGGGGAAACTATTTTAATGCCTATCTATTTCTAAGAGTAAATTTGTTGTCTTGGGGCTCCAGATGGACATAATTAGCAGAAATATTACTGAGCGTTGACTGCCAAATTATGTTCCCACTCATCACTACTCCATAAAAATTGAAAAATAGCCAGCCCTTTGAGCATTATTCCAAGGAGCGTGTGTAATATTCAGTAGAGTTAAGCCTTGAACCTTCACTCCTTTGGCTTCTCTGCTCCTGAGTTGCTGTTGCAAAGTTGTTTTTTTTTTTTAAAAGATTTATTTATTCATCCCAGAACGGGGTTACAGGCCAGAGTGTCGGGGGGTGAGAGGATTCACCAGAGACAGAGTGGGGAGCAAAACATGCAGATCTACTGAAGTAACCTTGCTGAGGGGAGCAGTGGGCCAAGTCAGGAGAGGTCTGCTGTGACATGTGGGTAGCTCCCTGGCTGGGGATCGAACTTGTGCTGCAGAGGCTGCCAATAGCTTCATAGTGCTGCAACTTACCCCTTGTGCCACCAGGGAGGCCCCTGTTGCAAAGCTTTTACATAGGATTTCTGCAAGGTTGTGGAAGGAATGAAGACCCACTCATCTCTGAGTTGTTGCTTGGCACTGTGAAAAGTACCTGCAGGTCATAGGAAGCCACAGAAGTACTTTATTTCTTTATGAAAACCAATTCACAACTATTTGGGAGGGCAGGAGGGTTATGATTCTGGAATGCATATTTTGATGATCCGTACATGGGTGTTTAAGAGACATGACTTCTTTCTTAATTGATTGGTTTCAGTTTTTTCAGATGATTCTGTTCTCAAGTCAGCATGAAATATGTGCTTCGTGAACCAACTAGACAAAAGTAGCGTTTAGGTTGTTCTTGAGTTATTTGTGTTTTACCCTGTTCTGCGCTGCTTCCAGCCACATGAGGTTTGCTCAGGCCCAAGATGACCTTTGCTTGGAAGGAGTCAGAAATACTGCCAATCATGAAATGAAGTTGTTTTGCACACAGCATGTAACCATGTCTGCTCCGGCTTTCTTGTTTTTCAGAGTGGAGTGTATTCTACGTGACAGTGCTGGTTCTGACCCTCCTAGTGCTCACAGGGGTGTTGACTTGGCTTTGCATCTGCTGCTGCAAGAGGTACCTGGTGTGCTTTATCTGTGTACTTGAAATAAAGACATAATGAATCATAGGGCAAGCGGTAGCTTCTGGGGTTAGAATAGGATAAAGCCTTGGAGGAATCAGACAGGCTCCAGAGATAGGGCAACAGATTCCAAAAGAGATTAATCTAACATCATGGACTATGGGCAGTGGGACATTCCCAGACAAGGGCAATAAAAAAGGACTCTAAGATAAGGACTGAGATGTAAGATGTAATTCTGGGCACAGAGACATTAAGGCAGAATGAGTGAGACCACCAAGAACTAACCAATCACAACGAGACTGATGGGGTTTTAGAGCAATTAGGAAAAGAAAGTGTATATTCTCTGAGGCAGGACTGCAAGGTGGCCTCATTAGACACGAACCCATGGTTGTGTAGTGGCTGGGACCCAGCGCTGCCACTGCAGCCTGGGATCAATTCCTGGCTGGGGAACTAGATCTGAAAACCTGATATTACAGTAACACTATTATTCAGGAGGATAGGACAGCTTTGGTAGCTATTGCTTCACTTAAACTGCTGAACTGTTGTTCATAATACTTTTTTATATAAAGACAAACTAGACTTTAAAGCTACTATATCATGCAGTCTCTTATTTTTCTGGACTTATGTGCCTAGCTTCCATAAGCTTAATGGAAGCTTATCTCATTGCTGCTCTCAGATTTTCTAGATGGTTCAATGATTCTGTATCAAATCTAATGTGATTTTCTATCAGTCTCACATTATATTCAGTAGAACACCCCCTAAGTGTCCTGACTAGTCAGCCTCAGTAGAGGAAGGCATTTTAGATATAGATATTATTTAACTGTGTAAAGCAACAACCAAATCTACATGAATTTTATCTAAGAAGTGGAAAACTTTAAGTGAGGTGTTAACATCAACAGAGTTTTTGCTTAAGTTTTTCCATGGGGCTGACCTTTGAGAAGTCCCTGAGCTGCCCCATTGTCAGAATCTTCCAGAACTCCTTGCCTAGCCCTCTGTGAGGAGATTCACAGTGACAGTGATTCCTCTTGTTCTTTGAAGATAGCATGGGATGCACCTACCCAGATGAAGCCCCAATAATCTCCACAAAGAAGACATGATGGAAAATAATGGTATACCATAATGAGTGGCTGTTTCTCAGCAACCACTTAACAAATCATTTTAGTTTCATTTGCGATTACCTTTCCAAAGGTAAAGGGAACACCTACACAGGCACTTAGAGGCATACCGCCTGTTAAGTCACATCCATTAAGAACCATCTGGAATGATGGTTACCCTACTGTGCTTTAAGCCCCTTTACATTATGACAGAAGCTTTGTGAGATAAGCATCAAGTAAACAGTGATGATGATGGTGATGATGTCAGGGATTTACTGTGAACATATGCTACTATGATTTTTTTTTAAAGATTTATTTATTTATGCATACATGACCTGGGGTACAGGCCAGAGGTGTGGGAGGGTGAGGGGATTCACCAGAGACAGAGTGGGGAACAGAACAGATGGATTGACTGAAATAACACTACTGAGGGGAGCAGCAGGTGAGACAGGAGCGGTCTGCTGCACCATGTGGGTAGCTCCCTGGCTGGGGATCAAACTCATGCTGCAGTGGCTGCAGATAGCTTCATAGTGCTGCATCTTAACCCCTTGTGCCACCAGGAAGGCCCGTATGCCACTATGATTAATGGTGCTATGTGCTTTTTATATTTTATCTTATTGACTCTTCCCAACCACATGAGAGCATACTCTTACTCCCATTTTGTGGGTGAGAACATGGAGGCACCAAAGTGTCAAATAATTTTTGAAAGCAACCCAGCTAGTTAGTGTTTAGCCCAGGGTTAGAAACCCATGCTCTTCATTGCCAAGCTCTCAGAAAGTTGCTTCTGTGCTATGAAATGACTCTGCTCCCTGCAGAGTCCCATGGATTTGATGTGGGTTTGCACATTCTCCTCTGAAATATAGGCTGTGGCATGTAGAACCAGTTGTTTTCCCGTGGTGTGGAAAAATAATGCAAGACTGGGTTGTTGCTAATTAAATTTAGGAATTTATTATATATAGTTTTTTAAAAGATTTATTTATTTATGCATACAAGAATTGGGGTACAGGCCAGAGGTTTGGGGGGTGAGAGGATTCACCAGAGAGAGTGGGGAGCAGAACAGGCAAATCTACTGCTGAGGGGAGCAGAGGGTGAGACAGGAGAGGTCTGCTGTGCCATGTGGGTAGCTCCCTGGCCTCCGGGCATCAAACTTGTGCTGCAGAGGCTGTCAATAGCTTGACGGCACTGTCGTGAACCTCTGCACCACCACGGAGGCCTTTATTATGTATAATTTTTTTTTTTTCTCAGATTTTGGTTTCTTTTATTCCTGCATTGTTGGACATTCCAAGGTAGTACAGGTTGAGGGGTAAATTGCTTATCCAGGTTTTTCTGAGGAAAGAATTACTGATGGGCCAGCACACAGGAGTTGAGCATTGCTGTAAAGGACCCTGGTGCCTCCTCTGAGTCTTTGCAGAGAGCTGTGGCTGTGGGTAGCGTGGCCTTTCTGCTCCTAAAAGTCTGCATGAAGAACTTCAGTGCCTTTGAATCAGACCTCCCTGTGTATGCACATCATTATTAAAAGATGGTGACCAATGATTACATTCTAGAGGCCATTCTAGCCTCCTCCACATGTCTTAAATCCTGGATCCTGTTATCTCTCTGAGAATCTGAGCTGAACTTTGCATTTTTTCCTTTCAGGCGAAAAAGGACTAAAATAAGGAAAAAAACAAGGTATACCATCCTAGATAACATGGATGACCAGGAGAGAATGGAGCTGAGACCCAAATATGGTAAGAGAGTCTCCAAAATGGCTGCCTGACACCTTCAAATAATTCCATCCAGGAGTTTACCTGAGAGTTGCCTTGGGGAGCAGGGACCCACACAGGCAGATGTCAGCACTTAAACTGGGAAAGAACTGTCTGGAAAGCAATGCACATCATCTGAGGCTATGCTAACTAAGAGGGAATGCTCTGCTATAAATTTTTGTTTAAAGATTTATTTATGCATATAAGAGCTGTGGTGCAGGCAAGAGGTGAGGGGGTAGGGGAGAGGATTCACTAGCTGATGCTTATAACCCTTGCGCCACCAGGGAGGCCCCCTATGCTATAAATTTATTTATTTATTTTTAAAGATTTATTTATTTATGCATACAAGATCTGGGGTACAGCCAGAGGTGTGTGTGTAGGGGTGTGGATGGGGTGAGAGGATTCACCAGACACAGTGGGGAACAGAACAGGCAGACTGATCGAAGTACATTGCTGAGGGGAGCAGCGGGCGAGTCAGGAGAGGTCTGCTGTGCCATGTGGGTTGCTCCCTGGCCAACTGGGGATCAAACCCATGCTGCAGAGGCTGCGGATTGCTTCATAGTGTGGTGCTTCACCCCTTGCACCACCAGGGAGGCCCCTTATGCTATAAATTTAATGAAATTTTGGCAAAGTGCTCAGAGACTTTAATGGGTGAGGGGTAGGAAACACCTCTTATCAGCTTAGCACCCACCAAATTAAACAGAGGTATTACTAGTGCCAAAATGCTCTCTACTTTAGTTTGAAGAGTGTAGGATCAGTTCACCCCCTCTTGTCTCTGAGGGCTATTCCCTTGACATCTATACACAAGAAATGCAGCAAAATAACATTTAGACCTCAAAGTCAAGCATTTTTATTTAGTCTCTGACTTAACTAGTTAGCCCTGTAGCTAGATGGAGACAAGACTTTAACAGAAAATTGACTTTCTACGCAAAATGAACCGATCTCTCTGTTAACTTTGTCATTCTCATTTATCAATTCTTGGACTTTATTGAAGTTTCTCTGGTCTTCTAAGGCGGCTCAGCACTCACTCTATAAATTTTTCATAATTCTGGATGTATAACTAAGTTAATTTGTCCAGAGGAACAGAATCACTTTCAAAGGCATCCATAGGAAATGCTGAGCGCCTACTAAGTACAACCATCTGGTTAGACCCTGGAGAGAATGAAGCCTATGCCTGCCTTTATGGCAGCTCACAGCCGAGGGAGGAGGGTTATTCCAGAATGTGACAAGTCCTACAGCAGCGTGGACCCTGCCCTGTGGGGCACAGAGACCAGGGCAACTGAGGGTGTAGGGAGAGTGGAGTCAGGAGCCTTGGCAGGAAAAGCATCACAGAAAGTACAAATCATGGCACACGTTAATAGGAATTCGTAAGTACACGGAATGCTCACCATTTACATGACTTAAGAGCAGAGGCGTTATAAGGCGACTTTATACCTAAGAGCTCAGGGTGCTTTAGGCTGCATTAGCTCATCCTCTTGCCCCTAAAATACATTCACCCTCCTGACATTGCCATGTCTGCTCACAGAACTCCCCTTCTTACCAACCAGGTCCTAAGCCTCAGTCATGGGAGCCTGGCCAGGTGCCTTGTCCCTACTGTACCCAGGCCATCTCGCCTAGTATCTTGCCCCCTTTCTCCATCATTTTCACCACCTCCCCCTTGTGTAGATCCTTCTCCTCTCACTTCTAAACTATAGCATGCACAATAATGGTTAACAGGTATTAAATGTTTAATCTCTGTACTCGGTATTGTTCTAAGCATGTTACCCATCTAATTCCGGTCCAAATAATAGCTCAATGAGATGCATACTATAATTATACCCATTTTACAGAAGAGGAAATCAAGGACAGAAAAGCTTAGCAACTTTTTTTTTTAATATTTATTTATTTATTTATACAAGCACTGGGTACAGTCAGAAGCGTGGGAGGGTGAGAGAATCCACCAGAGCCAGAGGGGAGGGCAGAACAGGCAGACTGACAAAATACACTGCTGAGGGGAGCAGCGGGTGCGGCAGGAGAGGTCTGTGCGCCATGTGGGACCCTCACCCAGTGGCCAGGGATCAAACCAGCGCTGCAGAGGCTGCGGGCAGCTTCGCAACCCAGCGCTCAACCGCTGCTCCACTGAGGAGGTCCAAAAAGCTTAGCAACTTGCTGAAGTACCAGAGTTGGGGATTCCCAGGTGCAGGTTGGGCCAGGACCTCTGCTGCAAGCCTGGGCTCTGTTCTCCCCCTGCTCTTCTGTGTGTGCTGTCAGCTCAAGGTCACTTTCCTCCCCTTTCCGTCCTGCACAGTCACCTTAATAATGTCCTGACACCACAGTTAATCAAGTCACACGTTTGCTTTTAAAATCCAAACTTCATGGCTTCACTTGTATTCCTGAGGTCTCAGCCTCGTTCACAATTTCCTACACGAATCCTTTAGCTGGACTATTTTCTCTGAATATTTCTGGGCACCTCTTCTGCCCCAAATCTCTTCAAATCCCATCCTATTTGGAATACCACTGAAACGGCTGATAATTGTGTGCTGATATCATTTAGATTCATGTGAGATTTATTTTTAAATTCTTGCCTGTTATAAACTATATTCTCAGGAGCCTTTGTCCTAAGCCCTTAGCTAGACACTATAAATTCTTTGAGAGCTGTCTCTTATTTTGATTGCCAGCAATGAACTTCTCTACCAAAAAATATGAGATTGAACTAAATGGTAAAATCATAACAGCTTTCATTTATTGTGCTAGATGCTGGACCAGAACTTTCCATGGACTCTTTCACTTAATCCCCATCATAAACCCATGGAGGAGATGCCTTGTTACCTTCCAGTTTAACAGATGAGGACCCTGAAAGCCCAGAGGTTTGGCACCTGGGCCAGAGACACACAGATAGGAGATATCAAAAGTTGGCCTCAGGCTTAGGTGCGATTCTACAGCCCCACTTATTAATCACTAGGAAACCCCACCCTGCAGCTGTGTTGTGAGTGATGGCTTTGAAGGTGCTGAGAGCACAGTCCTGAAATCTGAATTGCAACAGGCTGGTGCCCAGGAAAAGGGGAGGTTCCAGGTTCCCTTTGAAAGGAGGGTGGAGCTGCAGAGGGAGGGAAAAAGATGGAGAAGAGAAGCTAAGGAGGGAGGAAGCAGGATGGGGAGCACAGGAGACCTGGAGGAGGCACATGGAGCAGAGAGACACATGAAGGTGCGCTTGCCTTGGTTGTGGACTGAGGTGACACAGATGTTTTGGGTTGACCCGTGGGGAGGTGACAGTGGTGGTTTTTGTCTTGCTTTTGATGTTGCTCTTTTCCTCCCAGACTTGTCTGGTTGCTTCTGATCCTTTTCTGTGGGTCCCCGCCAGAAGGTGCTTTAGATTTGTGCCAGGCTTTGGGGCCTTGCTCTGGACCAATCCTGCTTGGGTGGACTTTTACCCACCAGGGGACGGGTCACTTTGGCTGCTTGATTTAGAAACTATATTTTTTGTCTTTTCTGTATTGTTTACTAATTATATTAAAGTTCCTTTCCATTAAAGAAAGGAACTTCTTTACATTTTATCTTGATGCAGCAGATGGCAGAACCTATTTAGAGCAGGCAGGTGTGGGGGTTCTGGGGTGCCCCTCTCCCTGCCCTGTAACGGAATGACAGACAGCCGAGAGTGGAAAATGCTGTCTCCCTAAGACATATCTGTCTGCTTTTCCCTAGGTATCAAGCACCGCAGCACAGAGCACAACTCCAGCCTGATGGTGTCAGAGTCTGAGTTGGACAGTGACCAGGACACCATCTTTAGCCGAGAAAGAATGGAGAGAGGGAATCCAAAGGTTTCCATGAATGGCTCCATCAGAAATGGCACTTCCTTCAGCTACTGCTCAAAGGACAGATAATGCTGCTGCTGTGAAAAGAAGGATGGCCCAGGAGTCCTTCATCCAGTGCCCGAGGGAGTTCACACACCGTGGCCTGGATATGTGGGAGGCAGGATATGTGTCTCCACATTTGAAAAGACTCGTTTTCATGAGGTTTTTGAGACACAAAATCAAACAAGAACATTGCTTTCTCCACTGGGATACTTGTGAATAGGAATAAAGGCTGGGCAGGAAGCTAAGTTGTTTTTGTTTTTAAGATTGATTTATTTATACATACAAGAACTGGGGTACAGGCCACAGTGTGAGGGGGCAAGAAGATTCACCAGAGAGAGTGGGGAGTAGAACAGGCAGATCGACTGAAATACACTGCTGAGGGGAGCAACGGGCAAGACAGGAGAGGTCTGCTGCGCCATGTGGGTCAGATCCCTGGCCGGGGATCCAACTCGTGCTGCGTTGGCTGCAGATAGCTTCACAGTACTGCGTCTTAACCCCTTGCACCACCAGGGAGGCACCACCAGTTTCGTGGTTTTGTGGCTGATCCAGTATATCTTGTCTGTGTTCAAATAAAGATTAACACCTGTTTCTAACTGCTTTAGGGAAGGTGAGTTAAATATGGATTTAAAGAGGTCTCACTTATCTCAGAAGCTATGTATGCCCTTAAGGCTGACTTTGCAAACAACTCTGAGTGGATCCATAAACTCAGAAGACTTATGATGGTTTCTCTTGGGCCTGGCTTGACTTCTGTGCCACAAGCTTTCTGTGTCAGCTTGCAATACCCAGACAGAGCAAAGCCCCCTGGTTTAACTTCTTCATTTTTGTCAACCACCGTTTCTGTGCTCTTTCTAGAAAGCAGATCTTGGATGTTTGACAGCTCAATAAAAATTGCATTCCGAGGAGGAGGTTATCGACAAGGAGGGACTTGTAGACTGAACATTGAAGCCAGTCTTTTTACATTCTTTACCTTTTCATTCTCCTATAAAAAACCTCCATTGAGTCCTCTCTTAGGCCCATTTTACATTAAACACAATAAATGTGATTAACTCACAAAATATTTATGGGGGCTATAATGTAGGCCATGCGTGCTGACTGCTGTAGATAGAGCTCAAGAACTAGTGATTTTGCATCTGTCCCCAAACTCTGAAATGCCATCCGTCTTCATTAGGATGGCACATTCTTGATACTCTGGGTTCCCACATGCGCTTTCTGTAATAATAATTTAACATTCCATGTGTTTAAAATGTTTTTATTAAATAGTTTTTCTGCTAAATAAATCTTTTAAATACATGGGTGAAGTGAAGCCATCCCTGACCACAGAGTAGCTCCCAGAGCAATGAACTGCTCTGTAGATTCTCCATCCGCCCACAGTCCTAAGCCTGGCAGTGTTACAGGTCTCACCCCAAAGAGTAGGTCCTTTGCCCTCTAGGGAAAGAATTCTCTAGCGCTAGTTGTAGCTGAGCCAGACAAGGCTTTATTAGAGGCTCAAGCACAAGGGAACCAGTGCAGGAAAGAATTAGCCAGACTCCCCTATCCCTGGTACTCTGGTGAATTCTTTGCCTGGACAGCAAAGGACCCACTCTGTTAGGTCAAGGCCCATAACAATAATCTGGGTGGTGCCTTTGACATAATTCATGGGAAGGTAAGAATGAAAGGCAGGAAGAGAGAGAGTCCTGGCACCCTCAGTGGCTTTTTCAGGCTTTTATTCAGGTTTTTACAAGGGGGTGGGTGGGGGAATGGCGAGTCTTCACTCTTTCTGGGCTCTCTGGCGTTCTCCCGTGGTCTCTGCTTCTCCTTTGCTGCTCAGATGGTTCTTCTTTCTGCTCCTTTCCTGTTGGGGGACACCACCCTTATAATCTCAGTCTCTCAGCCCAGGTGGGCAGCAGGCCCACACCCTACTCCAGGTGCCCGCCATCAGGCATGCATGTAGGACCGCAGGGCTCCATCATTAATGCTAATGGTGGGAGGGCAGAAAAGCCTGATAATTTTTCACTTACTCGACAGTGGGGCCCATCCCAGAAGCAGTGTGGCAGCATCAAGTTGTGAGCATACACACCTGCTGCCATGGCCGCTGTAGAACTAGGACTGCTTTGTTATGATAAAGAGAACCACGACGGTGACTGAACCACCAGATTTAAACCATCAGGGCAGGGGCCATGTTCCTGCGAGCCTCTGGGAAAAAAGTAAGTTTTCACGACTCTCTGTGCTCTCTGTTAATATTCATCGTCACAAGACCATCTTGATTTAATTACTGTCCATTATAGGAAATGACGATGAAAAAGTACAGGAGTGTAAGTTTAGTTTTGATGTTATTTCTTGGCTTAAGCCTTTCTGTGTTGCCAGCCAGCTCAATACTGTCTATGCTGTTCAAATGAACATGGGAGGCTTTTTACACCAATATTTATCTTCATAAATTTAAAATCTGCTCGACCCAGTGACCAAGGTCCTGTTGCTTTGTGCATGGCCAGAAATCTCTGGCATAGCGGATCACAGCCCAAATATGAGGTTGGTAGAATATCATGACGAAGAAGTACATAGTCATTTGTTGAAAGACCCTGTCCTTTATGTATGTAATATGTGTGATCCTTGATGTGGTTTTCAGAGTGAGTGCGGGGTCCTTGGGTTCTGGGAAAGCTCTGGGAAACCAGAGCTCCCGTTTCAGCGATACGCAGCGAGTTTCCCAAGCAAGTTTCTCCACGAGACAGAGACGTTAGTTGTATTTAAAGGGCAGGTTTATTAGGGAAAGGGACGGAAGAGTAAAAGACACTTGCGTAGACACAAGCAGGCAAGAAGAGCTGCCCCAAAGGGACAGGTTTGCTGAGAGAGGCCTGCATGGTTGCAGGCAGGCGACCTTGAGGAGAGTGGCCTCCACTGAGGGAGGTCAGTGGAGAGAAGTCCTGGCAGGTGCAGGTCACCGGCTGGCAGGAGGCTGCTGCCCTGCAGAGGGAGATAGTTGGTGAAAAGAGGCACCTGCATCGCCACAAGTGGGCAGAGGGAGTGCTGCCCCCAGCCTGTGCAGAGACTGCACTGATATAGTCTTCTTCTGTTTGGGAGGAGTCACTCCTTGTGAGCCTCTGGGTTAGTTGCTGATTTTGATGGGCTCAATCTCCATATCTTTACCTTTGGATCTGCCCTCCTCTCCCTCAGATACCTGCTTGGATGTTATGCTTTGTAATCTAGGCCTTGGTGCCTAAGGATCTTAGTTTCCACAATTGTGTCACCTGCACCTAAGGATCCTAGTTTCCATAGCTGTGTCAATAGTTAAGCTAATCTCTTCTACCCCCACGTCCTTGTGTGAGCCAGGTTTCTGGCCTTGTGGCCTCCTTTACAGTTTTTTCTATTCCTGTCCTCCATCAATCCTTGCAGTCAACCTTGAGAAGTGGATTTTTTTTTAAGATTTATTTATTTATGCATACAAGAGCTGAGGTGCAGGTCAGAGATGCAGGGGTGTAAGAGGATTCACCAGAGACAGAGTGGGGAGCAGAACAGGTGGATCTACTGAAATACACTGCTGAGGGGAGCAGTGGGCGAGTCAGGAAAGGTCTGCTGTGCCATGTGGGTCACCTCCCTGGCCGGAGGTTGAATTCGTGCTGCAGTAGCTATGGATAGCTTCATTCGCGCCACCAGGGAGGCCCTGTGGGTATTGTTACTCTCTTGTGGTGGGGGCTCACTCTGATAACCATCAGAAGGCCCAGAGAGGCTAAGTAAGTTGCCCAAGGTCACATCTAAGAAATGGTGGGTCTGGGAATTGAATGCACAAATTCTAGGCTGCAGAGCCTCTGATTTCCAACTGCCTCCCACCAAGACCTAAAAAACTCCTGCCCCCAACTATGGAGGGAAAATTCTGGTGGACCTTTGGATGCTGTGATCCCAGCACTAGGATGAATTCTGCCTTGTCTCCTATGGGCTCTACCTCTCGGTTAGCCAAGTGCTGCTTCTGCCGCTCCTGCGCTGCCCCTGCTTTCTCAACTGGCCACAGAAGGATCTTGAATCCATGGTAAATCAAACAAAACTGCACACTAGTGACCAGCCAGTGGATCCTCTCGTGTACCTCACACCTCATCAGAGCACAAGGTGGAGTGACAATCCGCTTTCTCGTCTGGGACACTTACCATTAAGTACCTTTGGAAGAGCAACTGCCAAGAATTAGAGAGGGCAAAAGAGGACCCTGGAAAGCAGGAGGGCATTTATAGGATTCACAAGCCAACAGAAAAGATTGCTGGTTTAATTCGATGAAGGAAGATGCAAAGCCACAGCATTAAGAAGCCTAGTGTGTTTGTGATCACAACTGCTGGAAACCAAGCCAGCGAGTTAAGAAAACCAGGCATCTTGCCAATGACACCACCCTGTGAGCAGGAAGGAGAGGGGCTACCACTCTTTTGTATGTGATCAATCTATAGTGGACGGCTTTGTCTCAATTTTATTTTTAAGATGTATCATTTTTGCGTGTGTTATTTCCCCCCTGTATTGACAAGGTCTCATTTCTAATATAACACTATTAAAGATATGTAAAAATCAAAATAAGGGTTCCTGATTTCTGTAGTGCCTAGTTGTTGGAGGTTGGTGGGGGATGTTTATTCTTTGCATTTTTTTTAAAGATTTATTTATGTGTACAAGAGCTGGGGTACAGGCCAGAGATGCGGGGGCTGAGAGGATTCACCAGAGACAGAGTGGGGAACAGAACAGACAGATTGACTGAAACACACTGCTGAGGGGAGCAGCGGGCGAGACAGGAGAGGTCTGCTGCGCCATGTGGGTCACCTCCCTGGCAGGGGATTGAACTCGTGTTGCAGTGGGTGCAGATAGCTTCATAGTGCTGCGTCTTAACCTCTTGCACCACCAGGGAGGCCCTTTTCTTTATATTTTGAGGCATTCCCTTGAGTAGGAATCAGCAAACTGGCCTGTGACTTATTTTTGTGTGAACTGTGAGTTAAGGATCGTTTTCACATTTTCAGAAGGTTGACAAAAATCATAAGACTATCTTTTGACACAAGACAACACGACTTCAGATTAATAGTGTCCTTAACTAAGGTCTCATTGGAACGCAAACATGCTCAGTCACTTGTTTGCGTGTGGTTTGTGGTTCTTTGAGCTGCTACAATTGAGGTAATTTGAACAGAGACTGTGTCCCAACTTAAAATATTTACCTCCTGGCTCTTTACAAAAAAAAAAATAAATAAAAAAAATGGCTGAAGTCTAGAGTAATAGCCCCTGGGACAAGCCTCCTTCCTGTGGGAAGACTGTTTTTAGAGAGGTGCTGGGCCAGGAGAGCACAGCAAATGGCTTCTCTGACACTAATGTGCAGTCTGCCCCCTGCTTCAGAAGACCTGCTACTGGGAGATGCAAACTAGCTTGAGGGACATGTTGCTTAAGCCATACTCCCCCATCTAATTTGTGTCAATAATCCACCCACATTTTGCATTTCGTTTGTGTAACTCCTGCATCACTTTTTTCAGTTTTGAAGTATTGATTCCCCAAAACCTCACAGCCACACCTGGCTGCCTCCTTGTTGGTCAGCTAACGAGGTTGGTTGCAGAGTTACTGGGTGGGCTCAGAAGTCTTAGAAGTCAACCTTTGCTGACTTAAAAAAGAAGAATGTCTTCAGGTAGAATAGACTCAGAATAAATTGCACATACTTGAAGAGTGCAGTCTGACAATTTTTGATGTGCTTACCACTGTAGAGCTATCATCACAATCAAGAGAAAATTTCCTGTGGATCCTTTGTACTCTCGACCTCAGCAGGGAACCACTGACCCAAATCACAGGAAAGTATACTCAGCATCACCATCGCCATAGCCTTGAATTGAGCGAGCAGCTATGCGTAATCTGTTTTGTGTACTGGCCAGCAAGATGTGTCCTAAGGTGTGAGAAAAACCTAAGCCAGCTTGTCAGCATGCAACCCACACAATAGAGACCCGACTGAAATTGAAGTCTTCCAGGAGCTGAATGAGAATCACTGGTGTGAGATTTTTTTTTTCTCTTTTTTTCCCCAAAGATTGATTTATTTATACAAGAACTGGGGTACAGGCCAGATGTGCGGGAGAGTGAGAGGATTCACCAGAGACAGAGAGGGAAACAAAACAGGCAGACTGACGTAATATACTGCTGAGGGGAGCAGCGGGCGAGACAGGAGAGGTCTGCTGCACCATGTGGGATTCTCGCCAGGCCGGCCCGAGATTGAACCGGCGCTGCAGAGGCTGTGGACAGTTTCACAGCACTGTGCTCAACCGCCTGCGCCACCAGGGGAGGCCCTGGTGTGAGATTTTTGGTACTGTAGACAGCTGCACTGATGGTACAACAGTGACTTTAATTTTGAAAGGGCATGGGAATGGCAGGGCAGGTTTGCAGGATATTTTGAGAGATTTAATTTGAAGGCCAGTGGTCCTTGTCCCCTTTTTGATTGGTTGACAGTGGGGAAGCCCCAGCCTGACCCATGTCACCAGGGATGGCAGCATTCAGATGGCAGAGAGATGGGAGGAGAGAGATTCTGGGCAGATGTGCCCAAGGGTGTAAAGAAGAAAGGATAAGAATTGGATTGACATGTTTGGAGAAGATGGTTGGTGACGGGAAGGTGAAGCTGATCATGTTGATTGAGATCACCTTAGGGAGACCTGGATACCCACGGGAAGTTCCCAGAAGGTTTAGGCAAAAGCATCTTGTGGCTCATCTAACAGGTGTGCAGGATGGGTAGGACAGGAGACACCAGGAGCTGGGGAGGTTACTGTGGTTGCCATCCTGCTCGGAATAACTTGGTTGCTGTCACCTGCTGGTGACAGCCCTCGTGAGGGAAAGAAGCAGAGAGATGATTTACAAAGGATGTGTAAGCAAGGAGAACTCTTGCAACTGCTTCTTCTCAGTTGCCTTCAGCTCAAAATAATATGGGGTGGCATGTCCTAAATTCCTACAGTTATATTTTTGGGTGGCAGATTCTGTTGCTTTTTGTACATTTCTGAACCGGTGTAATAATATCCAATACAAACTCAAATGAGGAACTGACAAGAAAAAGACCACAAGCAGACAACACAGAAATAAGAAATTCTGTTAATATAACATTTATTAATCACACACAACTCTGCTAACAAGACACTGATAGATGTACACAATTATCAAAAATTGACAAATGAGTGATATGCTCATGTTTACAAAGCCAAGTGTTTCCACATTTATTCTCAAGTGTTATTCCACAAAGCAGCACGAGAAAAATCACAGCTTAAATATTATTCAAGTAAAATGCTACCTAAAATAGCTGCATGAATAATGAAAATCCTGGGCTCCCGTCTTTAGAGAAGACAGTCATCTGGCACAGTGTAAAGTTAATAACATAAGTTGACAATAATATATTTTTATTTGCATCGACTTCTGATCTTTATTTTCACTGAGGCTTCCATACAAATAAAGGCAGAAGAAACAGCAGTTGACATAAAATCACACTTATTATTTAAGTCTCTTGAACAGACAGCCAGATGCAGATGAGAATCCCTGCACAGCTGCGGAGAGTAAATCGAGAAGTGTTTTTGCCAAGGCCAATAGTCTCTTGTTATCTGAGTAATTTCATTTGAGTTATGTGCAATTGCTGGGGATTCTTGGTGGGACTCATTGGAGCAATGCCCGGAAAAGTATTTTTTACATAATAGGGGTCAGTGAAATGAAATAATGCCCAATAAATGTGGTAAGGTCAATCTCTCCCTGCTGGTGTAGATTAGGGGTGGCAACATTTTCTGTAGAGCTGAAGAGTGAATGCAGGTCAGGTTGTCTGCTAAGAAATTAACCATACACCATAGTGCAGCGGGGTGACCATGAATGGGTCACCGTAAATGGGGTGATCGTGTTCCCAAATTTTCTTTATGGACTAAATGATGAACTGTAAAAGCCCTTATTTGAGAAAAAAGATGCCTGAAATTTCAAACCTCCCACCTCTTCCATAGCTGCATGAATAATTAAAACCCTGGGCTCCAGTCTTTAGAGAATACAGTCATCTGGCACAGTGTAAAGTTAAAGGTAGTTTGGCAATGAAGGAAATTCTTTTTCCTTTTGAGAGTGCTACGCTTTTGCTCTTTTGGATAATCTCAACATCATGTAATTTGCATGTGTCATCAATATGATTCTTCTTTTATTTTCCCTGAGTCATTTGAAATACAACACTGTTCTTAGCTCTGGGTTGTACAAAAACAGGTGGTGGGCTAGATTTGGCCCATGAGCTGTTGTTTGCCAAGCCTTTGCCATTTCCTGTTATAAAATATATTTTAAAAAATTCCATCCATCACATATGGTTAATTTCTTGAAAAAGACATTCCCAGCTCCTGAATGTTCATTTAAAAACACTTCTCTTTCTCCCCATAACCCAGAATCATTTTACTAAACAGTTAGCTACTTCCTTTTCAAATTATTTTAACTACAAAATCAATCAAAGATATTGCAGTGAGTTTCTGACCCTTCCTTTTTGCACCTACTGAGCCAAATATACAAAATCCAAAATCCACCACCCAGCCAAGGAATCACTGACTTAAGAAAGTTACAAAGTTATTTGAATGTAATGATCCAAACACCTTCAAGTATCCCAGCCAACAATAAAGATGCTGTATTATTTTTTAAAATAGAAAACAGATGGACACACCCAAATCTTAAGTTATTTAATGTTATAAAACAATCTAAAAACTATAAAAAAAAAAGTAGGTATTTGCTGTCAAGATGCTGACATAATGTGATTCTTGACAGGGCCTGGGCAAGGTATGCTATAAGGGGGCTGATGGCAGCTCCTTCCTTGGGGCCTCAGGGACATTGGAGACCTTTAGCTTCTCAACCATAGGTCCCGAGCAACAGACTAGATGGCAGCCAGGCTCTGCCCAGGGACTGCCATCCTACCCACGTATATCCTTGACCAAAACATGAAGCAATGTGTGACTGTATTCCTTTCCTCAGTGGATCAAGATGAAGGGAGAGATGAAAGAATAAGCCTCGAATTTTCTTAAAGTTTTGCTCTCCCTGTGAGAGGAGATGCTGGTCATAGGGCTTTAGGTTTTGGGTTTCTAAATGATGAACTGTAGATGCTCATATTTGGGGAAAAGATGCCTGAAATTTCAGACCTCCCACCTTTTCCACAAGGTAGTTTGGCAATGAAGGAAATCCTTTTTCCTTTTGAGAGTGCTGTGCTTTTGCTCATTTGGAGGTAAAGGAGCAGGGCCTCATGAGGACAGCAAGAGCAGGCTATAGGTGACAGCCACTTACTCAGGTGGCAGGTTGGGGCGTGAGAGGAGCAGGTGGGAACTAGCCTGCCCTTACCTTGGCCAAGCTACTGCCAGTGTCCCAGGGAGGCACTGCTTCCCTGTTAATGGCTGTGGTTCTTATATTAGTTTCTTTTCCTTTTTTTTTTTTTTGCAAATACTTTTGCTTTCTCTTGGGCTCACAATAGCTCACCGAATAAGTAAGGCATGCTCTTGAGGGCTGGAAGGAGGGTGTTGAACAGCATGTCTGACAGCAGAAAGCTACCACTCATGTGCCTGCCTGCCCACCACCTGCTCTGCTGTTCTCTGCTCTACCCCTGTGCTCATTTCCCGAAGGACAGAAAGTGAAATGGAAAACAGGACAGACAGGAAAACAATCTTCAGGCAGTGAATTTAGGACGATGAAAACCTCAGTGAAAAAAACTGGCCTGGAAAAAGGGACAGGGGCTCTCTCATTCCCCAGAGGCACAGGCAATTCTGTGCTATTTCAGATATCTTAAAAATTCAACCCTCACAGCAACATTCCAAATACAGAGCAAGCATCTCTAGTGTTGAGTTGGCGGCCAGGGGGTGCCGGGACCCCATAACAGCCGGCCAGTAATACCCGGGTCTTGCCTACAGACCTCCTGGTCTAAGCTCTGGAGCCTCATGGCAGATGGCTGTGTCATCACCCAGGCAGTGATCCCGCCTTTGTGACGGGGCCACAGGACCACCTGCCTCACGCCACACTTGCTCCAAGGCAGACAGGGATCGGGGCCCAGGGCATCATTCTCTAAACTGATGCTGGTTCTTGGGGAGTCTGCAGCCATCGGCCCATGGCATGTATTGGTCCCTAGTGAGATAAGGGGAAGAGTAGGATTGGCATGTGCTTAAGACTATGAGGACTGGAGGAGCTATAAAAAAGTCTTAATTCACATAATCTCTAAGTTCATTTAAAAGAACGGATGGCATGTCCCCATAGCTGTAGGTAAGCTTCCTTTTTTATTTTTAAAAGAATGGAAGAATCCTACAGGCCTCCAAAGCACACATACTTGACCTCCAGGTACTCGTCAATGCCATATTTGGATCCCTCTCGCCCCAGGCCAGACTGCTTCACCCCACCGAACGGGCACTCCACGGAGGAGATCAAGCCTTCGTTCACACCCACCATGCCCACCTCCAGCTTCTCTGCCACTCTCCAGATCTGGGCTGGGTCTTGGGAGTAAAAATAACCTGTCACAGGGAGAAAAGAACACAGATGGCATTAGAACAGCCGTTAGAGACACCATGCCTAAGGCCGAGGACGCCACTGATGACTACCTGCCAGCCTCATGGGCCTGTTCCCAGTGGCACCCTCAAGTTGGTTCCATCCTTGCTTCACCTTAAAGACTTTGTAAATCATCTCTCTGCTTCTGGCCCCTCACAAGGGCTGTCACCTCCCACTAGGGCTGGCCCATCTCTGAGCGGTATGACAACCATGACCTCCCCAGTACCTGGTGTCTCCCATCCTGCCCATCCTGCACACCTGTTAGATCAGCCCCAGGAAGCTTTAGCCCAAACCTTCCAGGGACTTCCTGTGGGTATCCAGCCCTCCCTAGGGTGAGCTCAATCAACATGATCAGCTTCACTTTCCTGTCACCAACCATCTTCTCCAAACATGTTGATCCAATTCTTATCCTTTCTTCTTTACACCCTTGGGCACATCTGCCCAGAATCCCTCTCCTCCCATCTCTCCGCCGTCTGAATGCTGCCATCCCTGGTGACATGGGTCAGCCTGCGCCTTCCCCACTGTCATCCAATCAAGAAGGGGAGCAAGGGCCAGTGGCCTCCGCGTTAACCTCTCACTCCAGCTCTGGGACGACGGGTAGCGTGGACTCCCGGCATCCTGACTGCTCCCCGGCTAGGCACTTCCCCTTGGGTGTGGGAACAACTTATATGGAGCAACAGTTGTGTCTTTATGTCTTTGTAGCTTCCTCAGCACTGCATTCACAGTGGGTGCTAACAAAGATTTGTCGAGCACATTTACACGTGTGTAGTCTCTGCAGGGAAATAGGTACATACCGTGTGCCCCGGGCCACCCTAACCGTCTCCAAGCTAGCAGAACTGTGGCCAACTCCATGGGGCTCTGTCAGCCCACGCTGCCTTTGCTACTTGTGCTGGCTGCCCGCCTCGGCAGATCCCTTACCCCAGTGCCTCCTCTCTGTCAGGCTTCTGGGACCCAGGCAAAGTGTGGGAGAAGCACTTGGAATTTCCAGGCAGTAAGCTTCTGAGAACATGGGGCCTCCCGTGCCCATAATATTCTCCTAAGGCGCAGGCGGTTGAGCGCCACACTGTGAAGCTGTCCGCAGCCTCTGCAGCATGGGTTCGAACCCGGCCGGCTGGCAAGAATCCCACATGGCTCAGCAGATCTCTCCTGTCTCGCCCACTGCTCCCCTCAGCTGTGTATTTCGTCAGTCTGCCTGTTCTGTTCCCCACTCTGTCTCTGGTGAATCCTCTCACCCTCCCACACATCTGGTCTGTACCCCAGCTCTTGTATAAATAAAAATAAATCTTTAAAAAAAGATTCTGCACCTAGAACAATTTGTGCTGTACCTTCTGCTGATTCCGCCCCCCCCCCCGCCTCCCCTGCCAGCTACAGCCAGGGAGCCCCAAACGAGCATCTCAGAGAACCAGGCAAGAGATCATGAGCTGGCACACATCTGCCCTTGCGAAGCAACATGCCATATGTCCCAGTAACATTTCCTTCTGGAAGCCCAGGACAGTGTCGAAAAGGAAGACTCCTTATCAGCCCGAGAGGGAACTATCACGTTGCTGGGAGAGCACAAACGCCTACCTGCCAAGCCCACGTCAGTCGCGTTTGCAATGGCCACCGCCTCCTCCTCTGTGTCGAACCTGCCAAAGTGAGGATGGGTCATCAGCCCTGTCAGTCAGGGGAGAGGAAAGAAACCCCGCCAGCTTGTCTCCTCATTTATTTCCCAAATAATGGCAAGGGGTAAGCCCTGGTTTTGCAAAAAGATGCCAGTGCAGGAGACAGGCAGCTGAGGTGCAGGGAGCTGTGGCAAGTCACATTGTCAAATAAAAGGATTTCTGCTCCTGCCACCCACTAAGCATATGTCACAAGCACACAGCTGCTTCAGAAGCAGCCCCTTTTCAGGTCTGAAAAGAAACCCACTGAGAGGGTTCAGGGCTGGGGTTCTAATGTGGGGTGACCACGGATGCTGCTTAACCCCACATACTGGCTCCTCCCTGAAGTGGAAGAGAGTGCCAAGCCCTCTGCAGTCCCTTCCAGTTTTATCATTTTCTCTCTAGGACAAGCTGTGAGTAGCATTTTTCTGTTGCTTCAGACCTGTAACTGGCATGAGAGGTACCCCCATTTCGAAATGCAAAGGATATGTCGAGAGAGATTTCTGTTCTGGTGAGACGGCACAGGCAGCCCCTGTGCTTGTTCTCTCTGGGAACCAATGCAGAGGAGACAGGAAGAGAGTCATGACCCATCAAACCTCAATCAGCAGCGAGTGCCAAAGCGCAAGACACTTTTGGAGGCCAAGAAGGTGACTGGATCCAGGTGGGGAGGGGAGGAAGACCCCAGGTGGGGGAGAGCTGAGCATGCATGAAGGGGTAGGAAGGGTCAGAGCTCTACGGAGCCTGCAGAGGTGGGGCGGTACCTCCCCCATCTGCTGTGTATACTTCGGGGGATTTTGCCTACAGGCCTGGATCCCTGCACCAAGGCTCCATCACCATGGGGCAGAAAAGCAGCAGGGCCTGTGCAGGGCAGGGGTGACCCAGATGAGGCTCAGCCCGGCTGGCTTAGTGAGTCATCCAAATAAGTGTGGGTGGCACCATGGACCAGAATCCACTTTGCTCCAACTCATTACCAAAGAGGTAACTGAGGATATGGAGGTATCCCCAGGGCAAAGGATAGCTGGGGTAGGGGGACTAGTATTGAGATGGGATCTTCAGAGTAGAGGCTTCTTTCCTGAGGTCAACCCTTGCCTCCACATGTATCAGAAGGGGCATATCCAAGCTCAGAGCTTTTGCCACAGTCCCAGGGTAGATGTGGCCAATGCTGCTGAGAGTTCAGAAGCTAAAGAGGGTACCCAGGGAAAATGACAAGATGTGAGGTGCTCCAAGACCCAGAAAAGCAACAAGCAGAACCACCTATATCAGAGGAGGCAGAAAGAGTGGAACAGAACAGAAATGTAAAGATCAAGAAGATGGGGTACATGTTATAACGGAGTATTACTCAGCAATCAAAAAAGATAAACTCATGCCATTCGCAGCAACGTGGATAGAGCTGGAAGGGATCATGCTCAGTGAAATAAGCCAGAAAGAGAAAGAAAATTACTGGATGGTCTCACTCATAGCAGGAATGTAGAGGATCCAAATAAGGGATCAGGGGGAAAAATATAATAAAGTAAAAATCAAAATCAACAGGCAAATATGAATCAGAGACATACTACAGGGAGGAGGGAGGAAGTAGGATCAAAACAAGGGTGGGAAGAGCCCAAGGGACCATGGCGATAGCTCATGGGGGCGGTGGGAATTTTACGGGAAGTACAGCCAAGATGAAAATGCATATATTGTACAAAAATGAAAAATGATGTAAAATATATAAAATAATTAAAAATCAATAAATTTATAAAACAATAAAGAGAGGTAAAGAAAGGGTAAGTATTCACAGCAAAACGAGGGAGAATAAGGAAGCAGAAGAGGGAGTTACGGGGAACTGATGGTTATAAAGAGATGGCTACTGGTCTCTCCAACTGGAGAAATCAAGGATGGAAAAGTAATAGTGATAGTGCACGGAGCAGGAAGGCAGGATGGGGCCATCTGAAGAATGAATTACTAAGACGGCAGGTGAAGGAGGACAGTCTTAGAAGGCACCAGGAGTGGACAGACAAGCGTGAAGAGCAATAAATGACAGAAGCAGACTTCTTAGGAGGCTAGACAAAGATAAGTGGGGTGGAGAGAAGTCACTGGAAAAATAATGACCAAGAATTCCCAGGACTAAACCAACACTTTAGATATTAAAGACCTGATGGCAGAGGATGGGGTGGGGGGACCTGGACTGTAAACACTCCCGTTGTGTGTCACTGGAGTGGCCACAGTAGACTTGAAGCACATCAAAGACGAGGAATTCAGAAGTTTCCAAGGAGACAAAGTAGACCCCTTTCAAAGAAGCAGGAGCCAGACCGACAGTAGCTTTCGCAGAAAGATCCCTGGAGAGAAACCAGCCAAGGAGTGGCAGCTTCCGAGTGTTAAACTGGGACTTTATCCGGGTCCATTATTATTTACTTGTGAATGTGAGATAAAAGGTCTTACATGTAAGATCAGAGAAAGTTTATTTCCCCACAGACTCTCTTGAAAGACGTCTTCCAGGCTGTACTCCATTAAGAAGAAAATTAGTTCAGCAGAAAGAGCATTAGTGCGTCTTGAGGTCTAAATAGGCAACAATCACATTTAAAAAAAAATCTCTTAAATCGAACTTGGCTCTTCAGTTGAACTTGGGACTTCAATGGCCACATACAGGTCTCTGCCTCTCAAGCCACCCCCTGGCCCACTCAGGCCTCATGATTACTCACGAACTGGACCCCTCTCTAGGTTTTTATTTCCCTTTCGATTTTTGTCCTGTCTTCCTACCAGCTGTGTGATCTTACTTGATAACTGGTGCCAGGGGCCCAAAAGTCTCTTCATGAGAGCAAAGCATGTCCCGGGAGACATTGCTGAGCAGCGTGGGCTCAAAGAAGTTCTGTCCAAGTTGGTGTCGCTTCCCGCCTGTCACGATGGTGGCTCCTTTGGAAACTGCGTCGCTCACCTGTTTCTCTACCTGCACGAAGAGAACAAGGAGACCCCACAGGAATGCAGGCTGAGGATACCGGTGGAATGAGAACATGTCATAGAATCTTTAAGCTGCAGAAAGCTGTAACTTTTTTCTTTTTTGGAGGAAAAAAGTTAAGAACATTCTACTCTCGTTTCAAATATGCAGAAAGAGACACTAAGAGGACACGTGAAGTGTGCAAGGTCACTTTCCAGCTCTGATTTGATTCCCTGCCTGTTTGATCTCAGTGTTCCTGGAATGGCCTGATGCTCAGCTGTTTTCCAGGGGTTTCTGTCATTTCATTCCTGGGTTAGTTCCAACTTTTGCAACCCATGTCATCCTCTCCCCTGGGCTTTGCATGCACTTTGTACTAACAGAGGCACACCTCGTTTTATTTTGATTCACAGTGTGATTTTTACTAGACCCTCTGCCAGCAAAAAGATGACTTGCTGAAGGCTCACATGATAGTTGTCATTTTTCAGCCATGGAGTATTATTTAATTAAGGCATGTACATTGTTTTTTGTAGACATAATGCTACTGCCTACTTAGCAGACTACAAGATAGTGTTTACACATCAGGAAGCCAGAAGTGTCATGTCACTCATTTATTATGAAAGTCGCCTTACTGCAGTGGTCTGGACATCACCTTGATTTAAAGTTTTATCTTCATTTACTTTTTTAAATCATAATGCATTTACGTCTACAAACTCTTCCTTGTTTTTGTTGTTCCATTTTCACAGAACTTGCTTCTGTTTTAACAGAAGGGCCAACTTCTCATAGCTCTTGGAAGACACTATTATATTAGACTCTTAGAAAATTCCTTTTTGTTGCCTGACTTTCCAGCTCCCTCCAGGGTCAGTTGCTTGGTTTATTCTTCCTGTCATGTGCTGAGGGCTTCCCTCAAAGGTGCTGTAATCTTCAGTGGCTCATCTTTCTAATGAAGGACTAAGCTAAACAGTTTAGGTGGGTGCCTCTGTCTTTTCCAATTTCTTTCCTGAGTGAGAGACAACTGCAAGCTCAGTTGATTCTCTCTTGGCAGGCTTCCCCTTAGGGGCAGATCCAATACAGGGCCTCCATGGTGGCGCAAGGGCTCAAGTCTCAGCACTATGAAACTATCCACAGCAACTGCAGCACAAGTTCGATCCCTGGCCAGCTAGGGAGCTACCCACATGGTGCAGCAGCCCTCTCCTGTCTCGCCTGCTGCTCCCCTCAGTAGTGTATTTCAGTGGATCTGCCTGTTCTTTTCCCCACTCTGTCTCTGGGGAATCCTCTTATCCCCCTGCACCTCTGGCCTACACCCCAGCTCTGGTACGCATAAATAAGTAAAATAAATTTTTACCAAAAAATTTGATATTAAAAAAAAGGACCAAGACAGCCCCCACCCCCATGTACCTACTCTCATTTCCAAGCTGTAGCTCTCCTAGTAGGTTGCTACATACATATATTCAGAGGTATTTTCCTGCCTGGAGCAAATGCTGTCTGGTGATGGTAAGGAGGCGTGGTGTGGGAATGACTCATAAAATTGCACAAAAATATTGCCAATTAACTCCAATTCTATCCCTCCACACCCCACTCCCAACCTCTACCCTAGCCATTTCTAGAAAGGCTCCATCCTTAAAAATGGCACCCACTTCTCCAGGCTTCCCTGGGCATGCTGGGGCTGCTAGGACTCTTCTGTTAACACGATCCCTCTGCCTTCCAGAACTCATCACAGCCTTTCACTGGAGTCCTTCCCTTGCGCCCATTCTCAGTTGAATGTTGCGTAGGAACTTACATTCTGCTATCTAGACTAACTTTTAAATCTACCAACCCACAAACATTTTCATAGCTCATTGTTGGCAACAATCCCCATTAGCCAGGATGGTTTACTCTCTGTGACTTATATCCCTAAAAATAATTATAATGAACATACTTAACAAAAACCTACTGCCCAATGGTAAACCTACTTCCCCCCACCAATAGACCCTCCTTTGTCTTTTTCCTGTCTTATTAATGTGATCAGCAAGTGACCTCCAGAATTGGATAGTGCATGTATACATACTGTATACTAAAACCAACACAATGGATTGTTTTCAGACAAATGTGTTTGCTGCTAAGCGCTCAACCAAAAAAAAAAAAAAAAAAAGCAACTTAATCGCTTGAAGTCCTGGGAAACAGCGCCCTCTAGAGGACAATGTGTGCACGTCCATGTTGGGCCCCCTCTCCCCCAAAAAAGACAATGGTTTCCTCAGTCTGGCTGCAAACTAGCATTAACTGGGGCATTTCAAAAATACCAGTGAAGCAGCCTTACTCCAGACATAGTCATATCCAATTTCCTCGGGTAGTGCCTATGCACCTGTAGTTGTCAAAGGCACAGGGTAGGGGAGCAGAACATGCCACCCCAAAATGTACCACTTTGGTGCGCGGATTGTTTTGGGCTGAAAGCAAGAAAGATCCAGCAGATTTCAGAGAAACTTTTACCCCTCCCATAATTTGCTACAAGAATGTAGATGGGTGCTCAGCCCAGAAAGACCTATTGCCAGAGTTGCCTTTCTGTCTGGATGACCCATCTGTATGGCAGGGTGAATATCTAATCACCAATATCTGCTCTTATTATCCTACGAATTACACTTCTCCCTTTTAAAGCCTCAGGTCCCTATCCCATTCCTTAGCTCAGGATGACAAATAAGTCTCAATTGCCCAACTTGTCATTGAAGCTCAAATTTTTGGTGTTTCCCATATGTACAAAATAAAATTTGTTTTTGTCCTGTTCATTTGCCTTATGTCAATTTAATAATAGCCCAAAGAACTTGGTGGATAGAAGGAAAATTTTGCCTCTCCTACAGGTGATAACTCTGGGACTTGAACCACAGCAGGTATAGAGCCTGACTGTCTTCATTGGCTGAAGTAGTTCCAGGGTCCACAGTCACTTCAGCGATGCAGGTGGTGCACAGGTAAGCTTTCACAGATTGTCTCTGAGGAATCCCACAGTGATAACTAGACAGTTATAAGAGCTCTGTCAAAGGTTTTCACTGGGGAGAGCAACAGATGAGTTCAGCTTACCTGACTGCCCGCTGGGTGGGGACAGCCATTCAGGGGCTTGTCCTTTGGAGAACCAAAGGACAGTAGTTGGGCTCTGCTGTCCACCTGAGTACTTAGTTGGCTCTAACTCGATTCTGGATGCTCAGTGAGACCCAGGAAGCTGGCTGTGCCCCTTCTGACCACCTTGGCTCCCTTTCTGTCCATACACATTCTCCAGCCTACCTTTTGTGTCTGATTTACATTATGCTGTTAAAATCATTTCCAGCAGTAGAGGCTGACCTAGGGAGCAAATTGGATGTTTGGTGTTGCAAGGAAGTTCCTTGCAAGCAATGCTAAAAAGGGTATTTTTTTTTAAAAAGAGTATAAGATCAAAACAAAGGGGTGGGTGGGAATTGTAGGGGGACTATAACCAAGATGAAAATGCATACATTGTGCAAAAATGAAAAATGATGTAAAAATATATAAAATAATAATAATAATAATAATAATGAAGAGTAGAATAAGGAAAGATATCTAATCAATAGTGACCTTTTTTGAACAAATACATTTTTTTTTTTAAATAGAGGCATGTTTTCTTTTTATTTATTTATTTGTTTGTTTTGTTTATACATGCACTGGGTACAGTCAGAAGCACGGGAGGGTGAGAGAATTCACCAGAGCCAGAGCGGGGAGCAGAGCAGGCAGAAGGACCAAAGCACACTGCTGAGGGGAGCAGCGGGCGGCAGGAGAGGTCTGCGCGCCATGTGGGACCCTCCTCAGGTGGCCGGGTGGCTGGGGAGCAGCCGGGGATCGAACCAGCGCCGCAGAGGCCGCCGGCAGCTTCGCAACCCAGCGCTCAACCGCTGTGCCACCGGGGAGGCCCCTGAACAAATACATTTTTAAAGAAGTTTCTCTTTCCCGCTTTCTCTAAATCCTGAATCCGGCTTCTACATTTCTATAGCCCTCTGCTGGATGCTGTCATCAAGGATTCTTCTGAGAGGGCATTTATTGTCAAGGGAAGAAACAATAGACCATTGCCTGCATTTAAGCTGAAACAAATGTCCTCAAAAACAGTTGATCTTCCTTTCCTGTTAGGTATTCAAAAACTTAGAGAACTTTGTACTTCAAAATTCTTTTCATAAAAAAAGATTAATTAAATTTATTTATGCATAGAAGAACTGGGGTATAGGTCAGATGGTGGGGGGTGAGAGGATTCACCAGAGACAGAGTGGGGAGCAGAACAGGTGGATTTACTGAAATACACCGCTGAAGGGAGTAGAGGGTGAAACAGGAGAGGTCTGCTGTGCCATATGTGAATTAGCTCCCTGGCCAGGGATTGAACTCTGGCCACAGCTGTGATAGCACGCTGAGACTTAACCCCTAGGCCACCAGGGAATTTCAAAATTCTAATTCTGGAGGTATTTAGGGATAGAATGATTAGGGAGAGTAGAAGACCTAAAGTGACAGCTTTCATGAGGACTCAAGGTAATAACAGAGCTGGATCAGCTTATGACTGGTTGGTAGCACCTGATTCACTCAAACGGACAGAAATTCACTTTTTCTAGATTTTTCCATCGTTTCCAGAATAGTCTTTCTAAGCACCTTACCAGTGTATTTTTTTATTTAATTTTTTGATATCAAAACAATGAAAGTTACTTTAGCAGAAAATAGAATGGACTTACCTTTTCTACTGCTTTTTTATTAATTAAAGGGCCTTGAGTAGTTTTCTCCTCAAATCCATTACCCACATGCAGGTTTGTTTTAATTGCCTCAGCAAATTTTTTCACGAAGGAATCATGGATACCTTTTTGCACCAAGAAACGGTTTGAGCAAACACAGGTCTAAGCAGAAAAAAGAAAAACCTCACATAGATATTTTGTCAGAAGCTATTGACCCAACTTATTGATGTGCGCTTGCTATTACCACACTGAATGTGCAAACACTTCCTTAGGTGGTTCTTGTCCTTTGTCCTGTTATTTTCCTTCCCATGTGGGCTTGGCCCTAAAGATAAGTGTACTGAGCAAATGCACATTCCTTTCCAAGTGCCTGCACAGCTGCCATACCTCTATGATTAAATAAGTAAGCAAGTGTAAATATCTGTGCACAAAAAACCAAAAAGCCACCTAACCTGAGTTTTTTCAAATGACTTGAATAAGTCATTATGAAACAAATAGGGTAACATATCTGACAAGAGGTTAATATCCAAGACTTGCAAAGAACTCATACAACTCAGCAATGAAACAACCCAATTAAAAAGTGAGCAGAAGATCTAATTAGACACTTCTCCAAGGAAGACATATTGATGGCTAATAGGCTCATGAAAAGATGTTCTCTGAGATAGAGATTTATTCCTGGGGAGATGCAAATCAAAACAACAATGAGACATCACTTCATACCTGTGAGAGTGGCTATTATCCCCAAAAGAAGAAGTGTTGGCGGGGATGTGGGGAAAAGGGAGCTATTGTACACTGTTAAGGGAAATGTAAATTGGTATAATATTGTGGAAAGCAGTATGGAGATTCCTCAAAAAATTAAAAACAGAAATTCTGTATGATCTAGATAATCTACTTCTGGGTGTTTACCCCAAAGATACAAAAACACTAGTTCAAGGAGCTATACGTACTCCCAGGTTCTTTGTGGCATTATTTATAATAGCCAAGAGCTGGCAAGAACCTAAGTGCCCACCGACAGATGAATAAAGAAGATGTGGTATATATATTCACAATGGAATATTACTCAGCTAACAAGAAGATAAAACCCTGCCATTTGCAACAATGTGGATAAACCTAGAGGGTATTATGCAGTGAAATAAGTCAGCTGTAGACAGACAAACATTGTGAGTTCACTCATTTGTGGTATAGAGAGAAAACAAACAGATGAACTAAATAAAACAAAAATAAACTTTTGGAACACAAGAACAATTAATGGTCACCAGTATAGAAGGGGCAGGGAGATGGGCAAATCATGACAAAGGGGACAGTGAAATGGTGGAGGAAACTGAGTGTCCAGTGGTGAACATAACATAGTGTACATGCACATGTTGATTCCCAATGATGCACACCAGACACTTTATACATTTTTTACATTATGTTATCATGCAATGTTACTTCAATTTTAAAAAGTGAGTGAATAAAGAGTGAAGAATGGAAGAAGCTCTTTACAGGAAATGAGGAAAGTGGTAGGGTTCTTGTAAAATATACACAGACCCTGAAAAACACTATAGGACTCACCTGACCAGAGTTCCGAAATTTCGATGCCATGGCACCTGCTACAGCCTGGTCCACGTTGGCACTGTCAAAGACAATGAATGGGGCATGGCCACCCAATTCCATGGAGACCCTTTTCACTGAGTTGGCTGCATGGTGCAGCAGTATCTGTAAGCATAGGAGAAAGCAGTGAGCACCGAAATCAACTACCAGGGTTGGTTTGCCTTGGTTTAAAAAGTTCTCCAATAGTGAAAACAGTCAGATGAAGAGTAGTATATATGGGATGCCATTTTTTTGCATGAAAAAGGGAGGGCAAGAATATAGATTCCCATTTACTTCTGTTTGATGAAGAAATACTAGGAAGAGATAAATGTATTAACTTCAAGAAGGGAGAAATCAGGGTCAGGGTGAGACTTCTTCATGTAAACATGTCTATACTGTCTTGAATTTTGAACTATATAAGTGAACTTACCTCTTTGAAAAAATTATATGATAGGTTCAAAAATACGAATGTAGAAATAGGTATTAAAACCACCCAGCATCTTATAACCCACATCTGATCCAGAATGTGGCCATGCAGATTCACAGATATATATTATTTTTTTAATTAAAGAAAACATGATAGTTATATAGTTTTATAACCTGTTTTATTTTCCCAATTAACCATAAAATTGTGACATCTTAATACATTAACAACACTTTATAACTTCCTCTTTTAATTAACATGGTAATGTGATGATTCTTTCAAGTTAGTACCTGTGTTTCTAGAATATTCCTCTGGATGCTTGGGGGTTCTACTGCAAGATTGTTCTATAATTCATTTATCCGGTCCCTAAATGCTAGGCATTTAGATTGTTTCCATGCCCTTGATACTAAAAATAACACTGCATTTATTCCCTGGGCAGGAATATAAATATTTCCTCCCCTAAGTATAAACTCAGCAGTTGTAGTAGAATTAATAGCTTCATGCAAAATTAGACTTTAATTTAATTTAAATATTCAGGAATATTATGGCCTAGGAAAGCGGCCTGGGATACTGCAGTTTTAATACAGGATAGCAGGTTCTCTATCCAGTCATAGCTACAGGAAAGATGGAACCGCTTGGGTGGTTCAAGTCAAATAGATAGGGGTCACAAGCCCAAGGTCACTCAGGGAATAACTCCCCAGGGATGCGCCTATGGCTATGAAAAAAACGATTATGGTTGGCAGTTATTAAAATTGCTTTATTCCTTCTTGCCTCTCATGGTGTCTAAAAATGACCACAGTTTCACAAAAACTTTCAATTAGATTTATATTATTTTTACCTTGATAAGTGTTTCTATGTGTGTCTATCATAACACAATTACATATGTGTATATATCATCTATATAAGCGTATATACATTTACAAGTCACACACATATATAGGTATACATATACACCAATCTATGTACATAGTATGTAACCAAACACACATATAATATCGGCAGAAAAAAGTGTACTACCTGCAGATAAATACCATAAATAAAACTGACATTCTACTATGACATTTTTCCCTTTTAAACATTTAAAAGGATGAACATCCACGCAAGAGACTATGGTGAAGGTTCATGGGTGAACTGGTGGTGGGAATTTTACAGGGACTACACAATGATGTAAAATATATAAATAAAAAAAATAGATTATAAAAAAGCAAAACCAGAATAAATTTATCAGGGCAATGAAAAAAATAAAAGGATAAACATCCACTCAATTTTGGGGAAACAACTTTTCAATGTTTAAGGGAAAATACAGGCATGACTGAGAACTCTCTGCTTCTTTAAGTACCTCTATATCAAAAATAATTTTTGTAACAGTTCTAAGACATGCATTTCAATATCAAATGTGTGCTTCTGGAGTCTGTAATTCAGATTACGAGATAAACATGCATTCCAGCGTTGAGGAAATGCAACCAATAGCTTTCAGCCACTCCACGTATGACAGACCACGGGAATGTTTGCAGCCCCAACTCCTCTGAAATCATCAAATAAGAAGCTATGGTGCGTCACAGTGCAGAACGCTCCCCCAGAGGACGGTCAGACAACACTTGAAAAACGAATGTTCATTTGACAATGTTTTTAAACATCCACTGGAAATCTTTCCACACGTGGTAATCAAGGTAAAATAGTATTTTATTATAGCCCTAAAGAGAAAATGTTAGAATGACATCTGTTTGCTTTGAGACTTAAGTGACTTACCTTTCCGGTTGCTGTTGAGCCAGTAAAGGAAATTTTGGACACCAGAGGATCAGTGCACAGCGCTTCCCCTACCTCCTTGGCCTTCTTCTGAGAGCAGGGAACAACGTTGTATACGCCTGGAGGAATGCCAGCCTGGTTGGCAAGCTACAAAGAGAAACAGCACACATGTGGCAGCAAATGAGCAAACTAGAAAAACAGAACAGAGAAATATATAAATGTTTTAACCCGAAAAGTAATGGGCCAAGAAATTAGGCCTTGAGAACAGAATAGGAATGTACTTGGAACTGAATAAGATTCTCAGTGGTGCTGAAGTGATAAAGATATTAATGTGCTGCTACACATATCACAAAAGTTCTCAGGGTGAGTTTCAATGCCACCTTCTGTTTAAAAGAGTAAAACTCAAAACCAAGAACCTTGGATGTCTTTCCCAAGAAAAACCAGAGGTGAGTTCAAAAAAAATGTTATTTGATCCACCTGAGACTCAAGGGGAGCACGTGCAAAGGAGGCTTCACTGAACACCTACTGTGCGCAGGGACTGGGTAAGGCCTCTCCATGGTCATCTCCCTGGCAGTTTGAGGATGGGAAGGCTGGCAGGGAGGAATCATACCCTCGTCACACAACCGGCAGTCAGCTGTTTGCCTGGCACAGAAACCAGTGCTCTGTCTGTGGTGATTCTCTTTAAATCAGGCACATCCTGAATGTGTTTAACTCCTGAATCCATTAACAGTGAACTTTTTACACAAATCTGACTGGGGATTTTGGGTGAAGATGATGGTAGCAGCAGAGGTTTTGAATCTCCCTGGATCCCCTCATAAAAATAGAGCAAAAACCAAAATAAAACAGAGCAGTTAGATCATAAAGCCAAAATATCAGAGCCAACACTTACAATGAGCCTGGATGGAGCAGAAGCCCCTGAGAGTTAGTTTTTCTCTTTTTTAAATTGTAATACAAGAGTTTGACTTAAGCTTTGATTTCGAGGCATCCACTTCCAAGCCTCTTTATCTTGAAGAAACACATTGCCAGTCCCACAAATGGAGAGCCAGGCACCCTGCCCCCTTCAAATTTCAGTTAAAACTGCACGCTGGGCAGCTTGTTTTTGCCTTACTGTGCTTTCATTTCTACTTGTGTTTTATTTTTTTAGGTATTTGTTTAACTTTTTAAAATTATTTTTTTAATTTTTTACATCACTGTTCATTTTTAAACAATATTTGCTCCCTCCCAACCCCTCAGAAGTAGTTCCCATAGAATTTCCTTCACCAGTGCACCCGTGCACCATCACCTCAGTCCCCTGTGCTCCTCCCTCCCTCCCTCTGATCCCTCTCCCTCCTCCTGCCCTGTAGGATGTCTCTGGTTTATGTTTACTGCAGCACTATTTACAATAGGTAAAACCTGGAAACAACCCAAATGCCCAAAAATAGATGACTGGATCAAGAAGATGTGGTACATATACACCATGGAATATTACTCAGCAATCAAAAAGATAAACTCATGCTATTCGCAGCAACATGGATGGAGCTAGAAGGAATTATGCTAAGTGAAATAAGCCAGAAGGAAAAAGAAAACTATCGGATGGTCTCACTCATAGCAGGAATATGGGGGAACCTGATAAGACATCAGTGTAAAATAATAACAGTACAAAACACAACAAAGCAGAAACAGACAATCACTCTTGTGTTTTAAATCCACCAATAAAGAGTGAACCTGCAAAACCCTAAACCTGGCCAATAAAAGCGGGACCCCAGGCCTCTGCCTCTCTACCTATACCCTTGCTGTGTGGCCCTGGTCCTGCTGTACTCTTCAGAATGTGAAGTAATAAATTTTGTTTTTGCAAAGTTCCTTGATGGCTTTTGCTGAGGTGCATCAGTGATCATAATAAGAACCACAAGGACCGGTCCAGCCACATGGGCGCTGGTTGAGGAAATGTCCAGGGGGAGCAATCTGAAGGCCCAGGTGAGCACCTCCAGGCATTCTAGCCCATTGTGTCACTATCTATAGGCTGAGACAGGTACTAGACACTGGATGACAAAGCATTTCCACGAGCAGCAAATTATAAGTGGGCGTGGACACACCCTGACAGTGTCGGGGCCTGGGGAGCATTGGTGTGAGAAAAAGAAGAGGGAAGCAGTAGGCTAGCTGACAGATGATAAGCGAACCCCAAACAGACAACGGGTGTCTATGGCAGCCGATCTGGGAACAGCAGCATTCACTGCCTAGTGCAACTGCAGGGGAGTGCCAGGGACTGTGCAATAAGGGCTGAAGGGCAGGGAGGGCACAAGTCCTGGGGACCGTGGATGGAGGAGAACGGAATGAGGTCAGGGAGTCTTAGAAAGCAGACACCAAGAGCTACTCTGTGAAGTTAGACAAGGCCTCCTCATCTAGGTCTCCTTTGGAAACCTACATTAAAAAAACAAAGTAAATTCTCAGAAAAATGCTGAAGTAAAATCCCATATAAAGTTATTAAAAGAGGGCCTCCCTGGTGGCGCAAGGGGTTAACACGCAACCTATGAAGCTGTCCACAGCCACTGCAGCATGAGTTTGATCCCCGGCCAGGGAGCTACCCACATGGCGCGGCAGACCTCTCCTGTCTCACCCGCTGCTCCCTCAGCAGTGTATTTCAGTCAATCTGCCTGTTCTGCTCCACACTCTGTCTCTGGTGAATCCTCTCATCCCCGCACCTCTGGCCTGTACCCCAGTTCTTGTATGCATACATAAATAAATCTTTAAAAAAAAAGAGGAAGGAGAAGGGTGAGGGACAAGGGCATATAAGGATGGGAAAAAAATAAAATGAACTAATAGAATAAAAATGAGTGAGTCCATAGTGTGTGGGGATGTACGCGTGGGTGACAGCTGCAAAACATGTGCTGTGGGTACTATGCAAATCAAGACAGGTGGGAGGGAAGCAGCAGGATTCAGACTGAAACCACAGAGCACCTCTGGGCCACCTGGCAAAGCTCTCATTCTCTACTGGGTGGGGGCTACACGGGGGTGTTCTATTATTTATGACGCTAGCGATTTTTCTAAATGAAATTTAATTTTGATCTCTCAGGTCATAGTAAAGTTCCTGTTTAACTGTTTTTTTCCCCAATTTGTTGTCTGCATATTTGACTCTTTCTCCATGTATTCATTTCTTAAATTGCCATACTGTAGATTTTGTGCATTACAAGATTTTGTGCATTGCTCTTGTAGAAGAGGAATCTTCACTTTTATAAGTCATGCTGTTTATAGATGATTGAAGACTGACTGATAAGAAAAGTGCTGAAGTGGGAGGCCTCTATTTAAATATCCATGTGCTCCAGTATAGCTGAAATTAAGGCTGCTGTGCTGAAGTCAAATGACCTATATTTAAACCAAGACCGATAGGCAGTAGCTGAGTCACTATAAATTTGTTCTGTATGGCTTTTATCTGTGCTCTATTTTAAAACAAAAAAACACTGATTAACAGGATGCAAGTATTTTACAATTATTTTGAAGGTGAAGACACAAGGCCTTTGCAGAGAAGTCTCCAGGATTTTCACTCATGACCTGTTATTTTCTGTGGGTCTAGGAAGTTGCTCCTTTACGTTGAAACAATTTCTCAGTTTCTAGAGGATTAGAAAAACGGGGTCCTTACTGTATCCAATCAATAGAGGTGTGTGCTTCAGATAAATTTTGTAAGTTGGTGGCCTCTACTAGGCCTAGGTGGGTACTGGCCCCAAACACTAGAATGAGTAGGAAATGCACCGTTAGCTCCATCTATGCCTCTGCAGGCTAATAAAATGCTTTCCAGTCAGTTTAGTTTCTCTGACTAAAATGAATGATTTGCTGCTGAAATAAGGAGACTTTTGGGGGGATACACCCCTAAGGACAATAGAAGCTTCCAGTCTGTGGACCTGGAGCCACAGGGGACCTTCGGAGCCCAGAACAGCAAGTGTAGCAACATCTGCTATAATGACACCCTGATGAAGGTTGTGATGAAGGTTAAGTCTGGGCTTCTGGAAGACTTTATGTGATCACAGAGCAAAGGCAAGAGCAGCAGCACAGGCTAGAAACTGACACCCAAAGATCATCCATGCATGGGTGGTCCCCTCCCAGGGTCCCACCTACAAATGAGTGTCCCCTATATAGGGGCACTGCTCTTGGCTGTGGCATCCAGCAGTGAACAAAAGACACACATCCCAATCTCTGCAGAGCTGCACACTGTTGCGGGGGCAGATCATTACTGCAACGACGGGGTAAATTACCCGTCATGTTAGGTGATGTGGTAAATGCCACAGGAAGGAAAATATAGCAGAGGAGGGATCAGGAGCACATGGTTTGAGCCTATGACTCTCAAACAGGGTGGTGGGGGTGGGGCAGAGACTCACTGAGAAGGTGGCATTTGAGTAAAGACATGAAGAAGGGAACCAAGGGAACACCTGAGGGAGAACTTTCCAGACAGAGGGCAAAGCCAGTGTAGAGTCCAGTGAGCACAGAGGGCCTGGGGCTGCTGAGCAAGGGGCTAAGGAGTGACAGACAAGGCTTGGGGCATGGGGTTGGGGAGGCGCATCTTATAGGGCCTTGAAGGCAACTGGGGGAAGTTTGGATTTTCCTCTGAGTGACACAAGAGGCCAGGAGATGGTTTTAAACAGAAGGCAGACAAGGTCTGACCAAACTCCCAAGGGAGTGGCAAATAAGTTTCCTAAATGTGCCACATGCCCATATTTCGCCATATACTCTGACTGCCTGCTTAACGAAAATGATGCAATGATCTCAATTTTAGGGTAGCCAAAAAAAAGAAAAAGACCTTTCCTACAGATGTCAGAGAATCCCCAGGGAATACTTTTCTCGTCTATAAAGAGCAACATCTGCTTTTAAATGAGGGCTGCTAATGAAAACATAACAATGTCCTGGGGGAGATGTAGGCGAAGACAGAGGCTGGGACACTGCAAACCAGCTTCTTTGCGTCCTGAATGAATACTCTTTGTGGGGCCTGGTGGGCTCTGCACAAAGGTGGGGCAGGAGGCTCACCTCTCCAAGGGCCAGGGCGGAGAAGGGTGTGTCCTCAGCAGGTTTCACCACCACGGTGCAGCCAGCGGCCAGGGCGGCCCCCACCTTCCGCGTGATCATGGCACTGGGAAAATTCCACTGGGGTCAGAAGAGCAGACAAATAGTGAGAGGAGGCACAGGCGCCTGGTCCAAAGGCAGGCAGGTCGGGTAGCCAGTCAACAAACTCCATGCATGGGACTAACCAGCAAAACTGTTCTCTGGCTCTTGCACAGATGAGCCCTTGGAACACCTGCTAGTGGAGGTAACACACCTGTCAACTGGAGAGTCTTGGGAGACAAAGGCTCCAAAAGACAGGAAACATTTTCAGAATTTCGAAGAGCACATTATCTATAACAGCAGTGGCAAACTTTTTCTGTAAAAAGTGGTGTGGGATGTAGTTTCTGTGGCAACTCTTCAACTCCAAGGTTAAGTGGCTGCATCTCCCAGCCTGTAGTTCCCTGACCCTTTGGGGATAATGTTAACAAAGGCGATTTTGAAAATGGCAGAGCATTTCTTACGTTTCCCGCACCCCCTCTATTTGTAGCTATCTGTAGATACATTCAAATCTGTATTAACAGTGTTTTGACAAATACTGACATTATGTCAGGCACTATTCTGAGCACTTTTAACTCAAAATTAACTAAATCCTCATTACAATCCAATGAGGTTGGCTTCTTATCCAAGTTTGCAAGTTTGGGGAAACTGAGACAGAGCAGTTAAGTAACTTGTCCAAGGTCACACAGCCAGTGAGCTTGGGTCAAACTCAGTGAGTAGAGCCAGTGAGGGGGGGGGGTTCTCTGTGTTAACCTTGCTGAGCAGGGAACCAGCAGACCAGCTGGCAGAGCCTGTAGAGACATAAACAGGGACCCCAAGAAGGTAGAGCAGGAGTGCCTGGTCACCAATAGAAGGCTGGGCACCCACAAGAATACTGCAGCCCCACCCAGGAAGACACAATCTCTTATTTCTTAGCATTTTTACCTCCAGGACCTGGTCCAGAGTCTGCTGGAAGCTACACAAATACCTTGCTGTTGATCATAATCACCCATCAGGTGTAACATTTTTCTAAAATGATGGCATATTAAAAATAATAGGTCCTGGGGCCTCCCTGGTGGTGCAAGGAGTTAAGTCTTGGCATTATAAAGCAATCGGCAGCCTCTGCAGCACCAGTTCAATCCCCGGCCAGGGAGCTATCCACATGGCGCAGCAGACCTCTCCTAACTCACCTGCTGCTCCCCTCAGCAGTGTATTTCAGTCAGTCTGTCTGTTCTGCTCCCCACTCTGTCTCTGGTGAATCCTCTCACTGGCCACCCCCCCCACACCTCTGGCCTGTACCCCAGCTCTTGTATGCATAAATAAATTAATCTTAAAAAAATGATACAGGTCTTTTCAGAGGTGCTAGGCAATGCCAAGAGAAGCCCTGAAGCCAAGTCAGAAAAGGCTGCTCATTCCTCCCAGGATTCATCCCACTTACCCAGGCCTTGGGAAACATGTGCTCCCACTCAGTACCACCACACCCCACATCATCACAGAGGACCAGAAACACACCTCCACTTCCAGCAATGGGATCAGGAAGTCAAGAACAGGTGACCGAGCTAACAAGATTTCTTCACCAGGAAGAAAACTGTTTCCCATCTCCCACCCTAAGGTCTTGCTGATCCTGCCAGCACATACCGGGGTGATGACAGCAGCCACACCCAGGGGCTGCTTGAGGACCAGAGCCCTCCTGTCCTTCGCCGGGGGATAGATGATGTCTCCGTAAATGCGGCGGGCTTCCTCTGAAAACCACTCCAGGAAATTGGCAGAGTAGAGAATTTCTCCCTGTGCCTCCTTCAGTGGCTTGCCCTAAACAAAACCAGAAAAGGACACATTTATTATCGTTTAATAACGCAAGCCGACAAAAAGTCTCAAAATTCTTCAAGGCTGCAAGTAGAGTAAGGAGAGTTTTCCATGAGGAAAGACCCCAGGGCTGCTGAGAAATTTCTAACTTGGAAAGCAGAAGTAGGCAGGATGAAGGCTGCCCTCCAACCCTAACCACAATTGTGCCGGTATTCTCATTGCCTTTATAAATTAGGAGGTGAGGACTAAAACTACATCTTCTAATTTTGTCCCCTTCTACTATCTCCCACACACTCCTATAGTGTACAGCCATTTAGTATAGCCATGGAGAAACTTCTTGCATTTTATTTATTTTTATTTTTATTTATTTATTTATTTTTAAAGATTTACTTATTTGTTTATACAAGCACTGGGTACAGTCAGAAGTGCCGGAGGGCGAGAGAATTCACCAGAGCTAGAGCAGGGAACAGAACAGGCAGACTGACAAAATACACTGCTGAGGGGAGCAGCGGGCGTGGCAGGAAAGGTCTGTATGCCATGCCGGACCCTCGCCAGTACCCAGGGATCGAACTGGCGCTGCAGAGACTGAGGGCAGCTTCACAGCCCAGTGTTCAACCGCTGCACCACCAGGGGAGACACTTATTTATATATTTTTAAAGATTTATTTATGCACACAAGAACTGGGGTGTAAGCCAGAAGTGTGGGGGGTGAGAGGATAAACCAGAGACAGAGTGGGGAGCAGAACCAGCAGGTCTACTGAAATACACTGCTGAGGGGAGCAGCAGGCGAGACTATTTTAAAAGAATAAATGAGGACATACTAATTTTGTCTTAGCAAATACGACTGGCTTAATAAAAAAAAAGTTCACTCTTGGCTCAATGATGATTTGATGTGACAAGGAACTGGCATTTTCCTTAGCTCTAGATCAGCACTGAAGTGGGAGACTTTCCTAACTTTCACCCTGAGAATTCCTGGACAGTTGCTCAGAGTAGCATGTTCGGACCCTGAACTTACACTTTCAGCTGTAATTATCTTGGCAAGGTCATCCTTATTTTGTATCATTAAGTCGTACCACTTTCGAAGTAATGAACTCCTCTCCTGAAAAAGAAATTAAAGAGAAAGGGTGAATGATGAAGTCTAAGAGAGACTTTAAATCACATGTAACTTCCTAAATAATTAGCTATGTGGTCTCATTCTGGGGGAGACATACATTGACCTTTCTTTGATAAACAGTAAGATCTGATATGTTGCATAGAAAGGAGTAAACTGAGTCATAATCTGTAAAGGAGAAATAGAGTCTTGTGGAATAGCTGTTACTGTTAATGGCAACTATGAGTAAATTTTTTTTTAAAAGATTTATTTATTTTTTATACAAGCACTGGGTACAGTCAGAAGCACGAGAGGGTGAGAGGATTCACCAGAGCCAGAGTGGGGAACAGAACAGGCAGACTGATGAAGTACACTGCTGAGGGGAGCAGCGGGTGCGGGAGGAGAGGTCTGTGCGCCATGTGGGACCCTCGCCGGCGGCCGGGGATCGAACTGGCGCTGCAGAGGCTGAGGGCAGCTTCGCAGCCCAGCACTTAACCAGGGGAGGCCCAACTATGAGTAAATTTTAATTGTATCTCACACAGGTATGGTTCCCTATTTTTTATATGATCATTTTCAATGATGATAAAATATGCAGAATATAAAATTTACACCTCACATCCTTAAGGGGGAGTTCAGTGGCATTCGGAGCTCTCAGGTGCTGTATAACCATCTCCACCATCCATTTCCAGAACTCCTCATCTTGCAGAAACGGAAACTCTGTCCCCATTGGATACTCACTCCCCACTCCTTCTCAAGCCTCTGATTCCCCCTATTCTCCTTGCTGTCTCTATGAATTTAACTATTCTAGATGTTACAGACCCACCCACAGAAGAGTGTAAGTCCTTTGTCCCCTGGAGAAAGAATTTACCAGGCAGTGTTGAGTGGAGTTCAACCAGGCAAGGTTTATTAGCCTTTGCACTCCAGGAGGATAAGGGAGGCAGAGGGAGGGCAGGATTTAATGCCAGATGTTACATGATGGTCAGGGCTGCTGGTAAACCGGCAGAATGCCCCTCTGTACCCAGAACTAAGTGCCCATGGGCAAACAAAGCAAGAGGGGAACAATGCATAAGTTACAATAAAATGGGCAAAAACTGAGTAATTATAGGGCCTCCCCAGTGGCGCAGCGGTTGAGCGCTGGGTTGCGAAGCTGCCCGCAGCCTCTGCAGCACCGGTTCGATCCCCAGCTGCTCCCCGCCCACCGGAGGAGGGTCCCACATGGCGCGCAGACCTCTCCTGCCACACCCGCTGCTCCCCTCAGCAGTGTACTTCGGTCCTTCTGCCTGCTCTGCTCCCCGCTCTGGCTCTGGTGAATTCTCTCACCCTCCCGCGCTTCTGACTGTACCCAGTGCTTGTATAAGTATAAATCTTAAAAAAAAAAAAAAAAAAAGAAAAAGAAACTGAGTAATTATAGAAAAACCCAGTCACTGCGGTGTCGATCAAGTCTTCCCAGCTATAGGACCCTCTGGTGGCCAGTGACTGGTACAGGACTGACCTGTCCCTGCCCCCATGTTCTTTGTCCTCTGTTTCATTAATATCTGATGCAAGTGGAATCAGTGTTTGTCTTTTAGTGATTGGCTTATTTCACTCACAGCATGTCCTCAAGCAGAGTTCCTTCTAATAAGTCACTGGTAAATTGGATAAGTTCCACAGACTGTGGTGCAGGCTGAGGATGGGGGAGTGTGAGGTGTCAAAAGCAGTTTACAGGGCCTCCCTGGTGGCGCAGCGGTTGAGCGCTGGGTTGCGAAGCTGCCCGCAGCCTCTGCGGCGCTGGTTCGATCCCCGGCTGCTCCCCGGCCACCAGAGGAGGGTCCCACATGGCGCGCAGACCTCTCCTGCCGCCCGCTGCTCCCCTCAGCAGTGTACTTCGGTCCTTCTGCCTGCTCTGCTCCCCCCTGTGGCTCTGGGGAATTCTCTCACCCTCCCGCGCTTCTGACTGTACCCAGTGCTTGTATAAACGAAACAAACAAATAAGTAAATAAATAAAACATGCCTCAAAAAAAAAAAAAAAAAAGCAGTTTACATACTTAAGAAAAGGCTCCAGGCACAATACTGTAAATATATATTCATTGCCACTGGCTGTATACTACTCTATGGCTAGCATGATATATATATATATATATATATATATATATAAAAAGATTTATTTATTTATGCATACAAGAACAGGGCTACAGGCCAGACATATAGGGGGTGAGAGGATTCATCAGAGACAGAGCAGAGAACACAACCAGCAGACTGACTGAAATACACTGCTGAGGGGAGCAGTGGGTGAGACAGGAGAGGTCTGCTGCGCTCTGTGGGTAGCTCCCTGGCGAGGGGATCGAACTCCTGCTGCAGCAGCTGAGGATAGCTTCATAGTGCTGTGCTTAACCCCTTGCATCTCCAGAGAGGCCCATATGATACTTATTTTATGTTGTCTATATTTTACCATGATTAAAAAAAATTCAATGAGTGAAAATGAATGAAAGGATAGTTTGGATTATTAAGAATATGATGAAAGAACTAGTTTCTAAAAATATAAACATTAAAACAAAGAAAAAGGAATTCATTTATATTAAAACCACTTAAAAATAAAAAAGAGGACCCACAGCATCCTGGTCAACCAGGACACATAGGAGGGCTTGAAATAAAGATATGTCCCACACCTGCATCTGAAGCCAGGAAGAATCGACTGGTTTGCTCTTCCCTGCCTGAAGAACACTGTGTAAACACCACTAACCATCTCTCTCTGGGTTCCTGCCTTTTCTATTGGGTTGTTGGAGAAGTCGTGAAGTATTTTTTCTGTGTTTTTCAGGCAAAAATGCATCATGACTTTTCCAACAGCCCTTACTTTGGCCAGACTAAGACCTGTGTTAATGTCTCTCTCTAAGGTGTGGTTGAGATTAAGTGTCTAAATATTGGCCCCCAGAGAAGAGGCATCTCTTCCCACCAGATTCCTCTACTCAGGTGTCATTTTGATTATCCTCAGGCTGAATAATCCAGGTTGAGAATCTGACCGCTGCAGGCCAATGTGCTGGGGGTTATACTGGGTGAGAGACCAAAGACTAAATAAAAGCTTGGAGGCCTGGCTCAGAAAAAGAAATGAACTATCTGAATGAATGACCTGCTAGGGCTAAATCACCACACTCACTCTGAAAGAGGATGAGAGAAGAATATGAAACAGCAGAAGTGTAAGAGTAAAAAGCAGATTCTGCTTGCTGGCAGAAGACACCATGCCTGGGATAAACTCTGATACCAGCAGGGGCGGTGACACCCCGACAGTGTGAAAGCCTGTGTTCTGGACTGAATTGTGTCTACCCCAAAATGACAGGTCAGATTCCTAGCCCCTCACCCTCTTACCTCAGAGAGTAAGTGACCTTATTTGTGGATAGAGGATTTACAGAAGTTATCAAGTTAAAATGAGGTCACAAGGGGGGGTCCTCATCCAATGCTAGTGTCCTTGCAAAAGGAGGGCAACCTGGACATAGAAGCAGAGGGGAGAGGACATGGGAAGGCACAGGAAGATTGTGTCTTCTATGAACAGGAAAGAGGCCTGGGACAAATTCTCCCCTCGCAGTCATCAGAAGGAAGGAGCCCTGCCCACAGCTTGATTTCAGACTTCTAGCTTCCAGCACTGAGAAAATACATGTCTGTTGTTTAAGTCCCCATGTTTATGGTGCTTTGCCACACAGCCTCCTTGACATCCTCACTAGGGAGTCTCTTGGACATCTCAGACTCCACGTGTTCAGAACAGGCCCTGATTTCTCACTGCAACGGCAGCCCTATGCACCCTTCTCCACCCCAGCTGATGGGGACTCCTACCTCTCAATGGCTTGGGGTCATCACGGACACCTCTCTTACCCTCTAATAATCTTGCAGTTGCCTCTACCTCCAAAAAAATAACTGGGACTGCTCTTACTACCTCCCCTGCTACCATCCTAGCTCAAGTGCATCTCTTCCATAGATCACTACAACAGCACAAGGGACTATGGTGATGGTGCACTGGTGAACTGGTGGTGGGATTTCACGGTGAAATCATACATTGTACAAATATGAAGGATGATATAATAAATTTATTAAAAATAAATTAAAAAATATTAACTTGAACCAATCCCCTAATATAAACATATACATACATGCACATATATGTATGTGTATATATATTATATATATCCTATTATTTCAGTTAAAAAAAAATAAATTACAACTGACTCCCTGGCAGTTCTCTGCACTTCACCAGGGCCCCTCAGTCTGTTCTTAGTACCGTGGCCAGAGTCTCCTTCCAAAATGTAAATCAGATCCTCTGCTTACAGTGCCGAGATGGAGCACCACCTCTCTCAAGGTGAAATGCAAGGTCCTTAGCATGACTTACATCCCCCTGGATTGTGTGCTCCTCCATTGTCTCTACAACCTGTCTTTCCACTGCCTCCTTGTCAGACCACTCGCCTGTTTCACAAATGTCTCAGGTATGTTTCTCCTGACTCAGGATGTTAGCTCTGGCCAAACCCCTCACCTCCCTTAGTCCTGGCATCTCCTATTCTCAATAAGGGACAGCTTGTCTGGGCTGAATTTTGTGCCCCGACCAAATGAAGAGGTCAGAGTTCTAACCCCCAGTGACTGTATTGGGAGGCAGGGTCTTGAAAGAGCTTATTATGGTGAAATGAGATCACTAAGAGGGTCTCAATCCAATAGGACTGGTGCTTTACAAGAAGAGATGGGGTCATGGGCATGCACAGAGGAAAGACCACGTGCACACACCCAGGACCACCAGCAAGCCAGAGGCCTTGGAGGAAACCAGCCCTGCTCACATCTTGATCCTGGACTTCTAGCTTCCAGAACTCTGAGACAATAAAATTCTATTGTTAAAGTCACCTAGTCTGTGGGAGGGCAGCTCTAGCAAACAATACATTTGCCCCTCCCTGCACCCTGCCTCTTCCTTCTGGTGGTGATCCTCTGCACCTGCTCTGCCTTTCTCTGCTCACATCAATCATCACTTCTAATATGCTTATTTGCTTAGATATTACATCCCGTTTATAGTTCACACCTTTGCTCCTGCCCCTCCAGCCCAAGTGAGCTCCTAAGGCAAGAAGCTTTGTTGACTGAGGTATCCTAGGCCACCCCAATAGCATGGCACCATTTATGGTGCTCTGCCACACAGCCTACTTGACATCCTCACTAGGGAGTCTCTAGGACATCTCAGACTCCACGTGTTCAGAACAGGCCCTGGGGCCTCCCCGGTCACGCAGTGGTTGAGCGCTGGGCTGTGAAGCTGCCCTCAGCCTCTGCAGCGCCCGTTCGATCCCCGGCCACTGGCGAGGGTTCCACATGGCGCATAGACCTCTCTTGCCACACCCGCTGCTCCCCTCAGACTTCTTAGTCAGTCTGCCTGTTCTGCTCCCCGCTCTGGGTCTGGTGAATTCTCTCACCCTCCTGTGCTTCTGACTGTACCCAGTGCTTGTATAAATAAGTAAATAAATAAATAAATCTAAAAAAAAAGAACAGGCCCTGATTTCTCACTGCAACGGCAGCCCTAGGCACCCTTCCCCACCCCAGCTGATGGGGACTCCCACCTCTCAGTGGCTTGGGGTCATCACGGACACCTCTCTTACCCTCTAATAATCTTGCAGTTCCCTCTACCTCCAAAAAAATAACTGGTGGAGAAAAAGGAACTCTCCTGCACTGTTGGTGGGAGTGCAAACTGGTCCAGCCACTATGGAGAGCTGTGTGGAGATTTCTGGACCTACTAAACATAGAGCTTCCATATGATCCAGCAATTCCACTCCTAGGTATTTACCCAAAGGACGCAGAAACATCAATTCCAAAGAGCACCTGCACCCCAATGTTTATAGCAGCACTGTTTACAATAGCTAAGCTTTGGAAACAACCCAAATGCCCAAAAATAGATGACTGGATCAAGAAGATGTGGTCCATATACACCATGGAATATTACTCAGCAATCAAAAAAGATAAACACATGCAATTTGCAGCAACATGGATGGCGCTGGAAGGGACCATGCTCAGCGAAATAAGGCAGAAAGAAAAAGAAAAATACCGGATGGTCTCACTCATAGCAGGAATCTAGAAAACTTAAATAAGGGACCAGGAAAATGAATAACTATAAAAAAGTGAAAATCAAAAACAACAAAAACTATGAACCAGAGACACGATATAAGGGGTGGGAGGCAGGGAGGGGAGGGATTGGGGTCAAAATAAGGGGGTTGCAATTGTATGGGGAATATAAAAATAAAATTTATAAAAATTAAAAAAAATTTTCCTGATTAGAAAATAAATTTTCTAAATAAAATTTCCATGTCAAAAAAAATAAATAACTGGGACTGCTCTTTACTACCTCCGCTGCTACCATCCTAGCTCAAGCGCATCTCTTCCTTAAGTCAACAGGCACTCAGCAAACATCTGTAGGGTAAATGAATGCTAAAGCTCCCTTGGGGGCCTGGACTCATTGCTGGAAGTGTGTCTTCTGAGGGAGGCTGGGGTAGCAAATGATTTCACAGAGCCTGCTCGCTGCAGGTGGCCTAATAAAGGAGGAAGCAAATCTCTGGAATAGTTTTCTTCTTCTTCTGGTCTGACCATCTGCATTCCCCCAATTCCACAGGGGTGTCTCTGTGGGTCAACAGCAGCATCTCTCCATGCAGGTGAAAAGCTGAAGACAGCTTCAGGACGGCTCCCTTGTCCTAGCCTTAACCGGGCCGATCTGACAGCTCCCTCCATTCGGGATTCCTGACTGCAGCCCAGCGCGCTCAGCACCAGCCTTCTGCACGGTCAGGCAGGAAACCATTCCAGATGCCCTTAAGGCCACCCGCGCGTCAGGCCCCTCGGCTCCCTTATGCTCGTCGGTGCTCTGCCTCCCCTACTGGACCCTGGGGGTTTGCAGGCAGGACGCCCCGCGTCCCTAGCGCCTCCTGCCAGGGTGCTTGGCACATACCCAGTGCCCTAGCTAAACTTATTGTGGCTGATCTCTTGCTTCTCTGACGTTCCGCCTTGGGTATCCTGGAGCACGCGGGGAGGAGACGCGGCCGGTTTCGCCACGAGTGGAAGGAAACCTGCTGGCCCCCGGGCCCCGGGGCGCACTCACCTTGGCCGAGACCCCCTTCCAGGCGCAGAAAGCCTCGTAGGCCGCGCGCACGGCGGCTCGGGCCTCCGGCACCCCGCAGTCGGCCACCACGCCCAGCTCCGCGCCGCTGGCGGGGTCGTGCACCGGGAAGGCGGCGGCGGCCGGGAGCCAGCGGCCGCCCACGAAGGCGTCGGTGCGCAGCAGCCCCGCGGAGAGGCCCGCCGGGGCCCCAGCGTAGCGGCGGGGCTGCGCCGGGCAGGGCGCGCGCCGCCGGGCGGGCGCCGGGCGGAGGCCGTGGCCCGAGGGCGCGGGCGGGAGGCGCGGGGCCCCGCAGCTCCGCAGCCGAAAGCAGGCGGCCATGGCCCGGGAGGCGGCCGCCGCGGGACGCAGGCAAGCGAGCGCGCGCGCCCGGGCGCCGGGGCCGAGGCGGCGGGGACGCGCGGGGTGGCGGGCGCGGGCGCAGGTTGCAGAGGCGCCAGCAGCGCCCCCTCTCCCGAGCCCTTCGCGCTGCACCGCCGCGCCCGGCTCCACCCGGCCTGGAACGCCGCGCGCCGCCTGGGGAGCCTTGGTTGGGCGCGCGGGGGGAATGTGGCTCCGGGACACTTGCGAGCCACGGTCACCGCGCGCCCTCTCGGGTGCGCATCGGTCTGCAACGATGCCTTAGCACCCCATCTGCTGCGGGGGAACCGCGCCTTTGCCCTCACGTCCACCCCCCCCCCAAAAAAAAACCCCAAACTGCCTTCCCCGGCTGCAGCATTTGTGCCGGGTGCGCAGGGGCGTTGCTTGCCCCACCTGTCAAGGGCACGGTCTCCATCACATTTCTTGGTCGCCGCAGCAAGTGTGCACGTAGGATTCGGGTCCAGGCTTCTCTGAGGGGGTGAAGTGCGACCCCGATTCTGTGGTTGGATGCTTTTCTGGGTGTGTGTGAAGGTACTCTCCATTTGCTGGGAGTAGGGCTGCTGCCTCGGGTGGTTTGACAGTTCCCTCCATTAGGGATTCCTGACTGGAGGCCAGCGCACTCACCTCCAGACTGCTGGACTTATTTGGACTTATTTCCATCAGCGGCCTTTAGTGACAAGCTGATTTGGATCCCAACTCAGAATCTGTGGATAAGTGGTGAGACCTTTGACAGATTACTTAACCTCAAATATAACCGTGGTTATTTTTTTTTTATTTTTTATTTTTTGGTATAATGGACTGATACCCCTAAAGGTTTGTTGTGTGACAACGAATGCTTAGGGCAGTTGCTATGTTCAATTTAGTACATAGTCCAACGTCACAGCTGCCACAGGTCAAGCCACTAGTAGGATTAAAGTTCAGAACCAATTTCCAAAATCAAATCAGTCAATCAAGGTACAAGGATTTGGCACAGTTATGGTTGCTGTTAAATGGCAGCTGCTTCCAGGCACAATTAAACTGGCCTAAAACGTGGGAAGCAGCTGGAGGTAGCCACTCGAATTGAGGATAAAAATGAAAATGGCAGGATTATACTCCCTATTTGTGGGTTCAATGGAAGCCCAACCTTATGCATTAATTTAGAGACCCTTGCATCAACATAGCTCTCCTCCATTCCTACTGAGTTGAGAGTTTCTTTCTGGCTTTTGCAGACCATGTGTGCTGTGTCCCGTTTTTCTGGGGCATTGGCTTTGTATTTGCAAAATGCTGAATTAGTACTTGAAATTTTAACTTTTTTTTTGTTGCTGAGTCAGAGCCACCCAGTCTTGAGTCAGTCACACTGGCAGAAGCAGAGTGTGATCTTGCCTGTGATAGTGTGGGTTCACTACTTCATTCTTATTTTTTTAAAGGAGTTGGGGAGATAGAACGCCCTTTTAGAGATGGCTGCCAGTTGGGCATCACAGCCCAGCCTGGGGAGCTGACTTATTTCCATCTGTGGCCTGCTTTACCAGTTGCTGATTTCTAAAGACTTGGGGAAATCAGTTCTGTTGAGGAAACTGGGTGGGTTGGGGGTGGCGCAGAAAAGCCAACTGTGGTTGTCTCTTTAGATCCAAAGAGAGTCTACTTATCCTTTATAAGGTTCTACTTAAAACAGTGGCCACTCCCTTTCCTAGCTGACATCCCCTTTAGACTCAATAGGCACGAGACCCAGGGTCCACCATATTTTTAGGAATGCGCAAAAATGTTTAAATTTTTCTAAAATCAGAAGACGAAAACGAACTTTTAGTTTGAACATTAATATGTGAATCATGCCAATCAATGCAAATATACATGTGATATTTATTTATTAAGTACGGGGCCCCCAAAGGCAGAAGTGTGTAGCAGCCTAGGAATGCCATGATTTGTGTGTTTGAACATTAATATGTGGATCATGCCAATCAATGCAAATATACATGTGATATTTATTTATTAAGTATGGGGCCCCCAAAGGCAGAAGTGTGTAGCAGCCTAGGAACTCCTGGCCCTTCTGTTTTGTAGCCTCTGCAAGTCCCATTCAGAGTAGGAGCAGTTTCCTCCCATTTGCTGTCTTACTTCTAGGCTGTCCTGACGCTCTAGGCTAGGTGTGCGCATCAGGATGTTAAGGACAAGATCACCAGGTGACAGGACCTTTTTCTCCTTTCTCCTTAGCCTGCCCTTGTCCTCCTCATTCTTGCCGGTCTCTGTCCTTCCCCTCATCTGCTAAGCACTTTCCTATTAAAGATGCATCTCCATGAAAGAGGGAGGAGCATAGCAGCAGAATGAAAGGGGCCATGGCACCTCCCCACCCACTTAAATACAGGCCCCTGGGACTACAATTCCCAGCCTGCCATTCTGAGTGGGTGGGGCAACTGGGAAAGACAAAGGTGGATTTATAAATTGAGGTGAAATGAAGGAGAAGAGGAAAAAGAGACACTTAGAGGAGATACTTGGAGAAAATTCCTGTGGTTGAGCAACACTTGGAAAAGCTGTTCCTGGGACTTTGTAACCTTTTGGCAGAGACAATGGCGGCTGTTATCCGGACCTCATGGTGGATTACTTGGTACAGTTTGACTTTGGGATCTCTCCTGTCCTAGCTCTCTCAGACCTGCCTAACCTTTTTCTTGTGGTTCTCCACCAGAAGGTGACTTAGACGTGTGGTAGGCTTTGAGGTCTCGGTGGTGCCACTTCAGGCTGAACCAGTTTGGCTGGGCATTTGCCCATGAAGTGATGGGTAATTTTTGGAGATTTATTGGGAATCTGTTATTTGAATCTGTTAACCTTTCTTCTCTTTCTCCGGACAGCAATTCTGTTCACACTAAGAATCTGCTTTCCTTGCCATTCCAAATGTGGGTGGCTGAATGCTGAGTATGCACACCCCTTAACCGTTTGGTTTGGGGTTTCTGGACACCCCTCGGTTGTGCGCTTATACTCTGATGGCAGCAACAGATTAGGTGTATGTAGGAGTGAGTTGACATGGTCTGTTTTATCTTGAAAGTTCCTGGACATTAAAATTGCACCTCATTTATCTGCACTGGGAGACCCACTCTCACTTCAAAAACCCCACCCAATTTTGCCGTATGCACATATTTAAATTGTTATTTAACAATTATTGTTATTGTTATTCAACAATAACAAAGACTATTGTTGAATACTGAGTGTAAAATAATTTTTCCTGATTTTTAAAAATTTTATCAAGAAAATAGTTACTCAATAGGAATCTAAGGTGAATCTTTTGGAAGGGGAACATGAGTTTTGAATGTAACAATCAACATTCGTTGAATACCTACTGTATACCAGATTCTGTTGTAAGCTCCTCACATGTATTTATTCATCTGACCTTCTCATGACCCTATAAGGTGGACACACTATTATTGTTCTCATTTTTATGGATGATTTTATTGGTAAAGTGAGGCAAAAGAATTTTTAGTAACTTGCCTAAGGTCACCCAAATAAGAAGGTAGCAGAACAGGGAGCCAAAGGAAGCCTGAGGCCCTGTGACTCTAAAGTCCATATTCCCCTCCCTCCTTTTTTTTTTTATTGATTTATTTATTTATGCATACAAGAACTGGGGTACAGGCCAGAGGTGTGTGGGGCGAGAGGATTCACCAGAGACAGAGTGGGGAACAGAACAGGCAGACTGACCAAAGTACACTGCTGAGGGAAGCAGCGGGCGAGGTAGGCGAGGTCTGCCTTGCCATATGGGTTTTTCCCTGGCCGGCTGGGGATCAAACTCGTGCTGCAGAGGCTGCGGATTGCTTCATAGTGCGGTGCTTAACCCCTTGCACCACCAGGGTTCCCTCCCTCCTTCTTAATGTGACTATTTACTTCTCAATTTGTGCCTATTTCCTGAAGACCTCAGAATGGTAGAACTCTTTATAAGAAAGATTCCTCTATTAGGGAAAGAGGTGTGGCATGGAATAAAAAATATTTCCATTACACTTAATTATTTACCACTTAGTTTTCTTAATACAGCAAGTTCTACTTTAAATTTCCTTTAAAAGTCATAGCTGTGGTATTTTCATGCTTACTAAAGTAATATGTCTTTTAAAAAGACCTCTTTAAGATGGTCTTTAAAAAATCTTGCAGTATTGTCACAGAAAGGCCATGGTGTACATATGATCTTCACACTATACAGCCTAAGAAAATAAATTCCCAAGTACTCTATTTTATTGTATTAATGAAGTTAAGTCATTCTGAACCTTAAATACAAATAAATGCTTAATGAGAAATTTGGGATTAGTATTGCTTAGTTATGGAACACATTTCCTTCTATGGTCCTTTTGGGATAGGTTTGTTTTATTAAAGCTACCTAGTACTTCTAGGCAGTGTTATTTTTTCCATGTTACTCTTTCGCAACCCTCTCTGTTCATTGACTTTTTCTGGCTGCCTCTGGGTTTATCATTCTGCCAAGTTATAATTGTCACCAATCCCCCAGGAGACTTTGGAAGGCCCAGAGATCATGAGGCAAATGCCTCTGGTGGCCAAAAGGGACACCTGCATGTATTATGTGGACATGGGGACTAGAAGATGTTGGGGGGCAGGGAAGGGGGTGCAGGGGGAGCCTGCTCTCCAGCTCCAACCAATTAATTGTCTTGTCACAGGGGAATGTTATATCACAAGGCCTATTCTTGTTTGACTGTTTTAAAGAGAGCCAGATCTGTGTTTCTATGTGAATTTTCTCATTTAAAAAAGTTGGTCTAAGTTTATTTATTTTTTTCAAAGATTTATTTATTTATGCATACAAGAGCTGGGGTGCAGGCCAGAGGTGCGGGGGGCAGGTGAGAGGATTCACTAGAGATAGAGTAGGGAGCAGAACAAGCAGATTCACTGAAATACACTGCTGAGGGAGCAGCAGGCAAGACAGGAGAGGTCTGCTGTGCCATGTCGGTTCGCTCCCTGGCTGGCTGGAATTGGGAACTTGTGCTGTAGTGGCCTGCAGTAGCTTGATAGTGCTGTGTCTTTAACCCCTGTGCCACCAAGGAAAAGTTGGCCTAAGTTTATAAGACACCCTGTTAGCCAAGAAAGCATATTAGCTTATGACCTCTGGCCTAAAAGCAACCAGGAGCAGCTGCCCTCAATTCAGGAGAAAAGCTGTTTGCCTTTCCTCAAGACTTTGCAGGTGGTTGAGCTAAGTTTACGGAGGAAATTTGGTAGATACCTCAGGTCCTTATCATCCCATCTTCTCTTCATCACTTCCATTCGGCTCATCTGAGAATGCATAAAGTATCATACTCATAATTTGAGCTCTAAGATCACTATTATTTCCATGGAGATCTTTACCTTTCATTGAAAAAAGTTTCCCAAGGATTAAATGCTATTGGTGGGATACCCCGTGACAGGTAAATTCTGAGTCTAGCATTTTCTGAGTCTTGTTTCTTGGTCCTAAAGCTGACTTCCCTCGCCTCCCTCCCACACCCAGTGGCATCAGCATCTTTGCTGGGGCTGCAGGAATCTGACTGTGTAACAGGCTCCAGATAAGCCCTGTAGGAACAGTCAGGTCGAGAGAGCCGGAGTGATTGCTCTTGTGTAATCTCATAGAAGAGTCAGTATCTGTTGCCAAATTCTAAAAGAGAAGCTGGTTCTGGCTGATCATCATAAGACTTTCCCAGCACTCGTGGCTTCGCAGGCTGAGGAATCCCAGCAGCTTGATACATGTGGGGGAAGGATGCATGGGAGATCAGCCCTAATAAAATGAGGCGATCTAATATATGTCCTATCGATAGAGGCAGGTGAGTCTTCTTTTAAGAAAGCAAAGGATGTTGGGAGACAACTTCACGTGCATCTGAAATGAACTTCCTCTTAAAAAGAAACCCACAGAAAACCTTAATCAGAAGATGCCACTGCTTCCCCCGGAGACTTTTCCACTTCACTGTATCACTTTTTTTCCTCTCCCAGGCCCAGTGGTTTGGCCCAGCGGTTTGTTTGCTGTCCTGGTGGAGTTAAACAGTAGTTAAACAGTTGGATTTCCCGAAAAATATATTCTTTTGAAAGGAGGCTGGGTTTCTGAATGGGAAGCTGTGGGTCTGGACCTGGATTTCAGTCTGTGAGCGGCTGCAGGGAGTAACCAGAACATGTCTGCTTCCAGGATCTGGTCTGGCCTGCTGATTCTGCTGGGCGCGTTCTGCCCGGGAGCCTCCTCGTGTGGCATCTCCACACACATCGAAATAGGTGGGTGCCCTCGACTCGTCAGGTAAGAAGGACAAGGAATCTGTCTAAAGATGGTAGGCAGCTGATTTATAGGCGATTTGTGTGTTGAAAACAGTAACTGACAATGAAGGGGAGAACGCTTTGAGGAGGTTGGCTAGAAAGAGGGAAGAAGCTGGAGCACCCAAGTCTCTTTGGGTACAGGGGTGCTGTTTTTCTGGGTAGAGAAATAACAAGGGGCTGGATAAGTTAGAGGGTTGCCACAAAGCTAAAGAATAGATCGAATGGGAGAGAAAATGGTCAAAATGGGTAGACTCTGGTAAGAGGAGGAACTAATTTTTGCTAGTTTACATTTCCAAGTGTGTATGTTGATTTATATATATATATATATATATTGTGTATGCACACACACACACACACACACGCGCGCGCGCGCTCCTGTGGCCCCAGGGGTTTGTCCCCTGGCTCAGGTAGCTTTAAAGATGTTTTGTTTCTCTGAAACTAACCAAAGAAACAGACATAATCAAACTAAAATCCTAGAAATCTGCCTGCAGAACTGAGGCTAACCTGAAGGGAGAGAGGGTGGGGAGCAAAGTGTGGAATGGGCCCAATGGACTAGGCTGGAGGACTATCGGGCCTGGCGGTGGGTGCGGTGTGGTAACTTAGATCCAAAGAACCTCGGAATCATGCTCATTGTATATATAAAATATATATAAAGATGGTTGGTTTCAGGCATGTCAGGGAAGCAGGGGAGTTTGGTTGCTGGCAATACAGGTGCCCGGGATTATGACAGGAGTTGGAAAGGATGGAGGTTCAGCAAGCTTAGGGGTGAAGCTTTATCTGGATAGAGGTGCTTGATAGCGCAGAGATTTGGTTCTTGCATGAGGTGTAGTTGTATTATTTTTGCAACTCATGGGAATGTGAATCAGTGTGTTACACAATATATCCTTCGACAAAGTTCAGGTTCGTTTTGGATGTATCCAACCTGATGTTCTAGGTTTCTTTTCCTTTATATAAAAATAATATTTTAGAGTTATGCCACCTCTAGAAGGAATAAAACAGAACAAGATTACAAATGAAACGTGAACATGTATCAGTGAAGAATGATCTAGATATGCAGTTCCAGACCTTTGCCATTTGAAGGCACAGAAGAGGTCACTGTGTCCACTTCCTGTTTTCTTTCACATTTGAAAAACGGATCTGACAGTTTCATAGCTAATTAGTTAGTGACATGGCCTAGAATTACATGTCCTAACAGCTAGTCCAGTGTTTTTTGCAAAATTATTATTGCTGAAAGTGAGTTAGAAAACAATGGAAAAGAAAATTGATCTGAGGTTCTAATACCAGCTTTGCACCAAACTAGATGTGAGTCTGAGCAATTCAATTCTCTCTTACTTCCTCTTCTTAAATGAGGCTGAATTTCTAAATGAATCCTAAACTTCCAAGTCTAAGTTTCTAAATGAATCCTAACTTCCAAGTCTAAGTTCTTTGAAACCGAAGTTGCCAAAACTGTTGAAGTGGACTAAAGAGGAATATAAACATTGTCCCAAATATAAATGGAATTAAGTTTTAAGCAATTATAAGAGAGATGAAATCTTAAAGTTTAATAAAATCTAGTAATTACTTGCTTTTATTTAGTAGAAACCAAAGGTCCTAACAGATTAATGTATAGTATTAATATATTAAATGTATTAAATATAATATAGAATATCAAATATGGAATATATTAATATATATTAAACATACATAGGTTCATATTAACACAACTGAAGGCAACTTCTAAACTGCAGATTTTGAGGCATCTTTATATAAGGAGATAAAGCTCCTATATTTATTTACTAATAACTTAGATGTTTTTATAAAGATCGTGGTTTATGTTTTTGCTTCTTATATAGTGAATTAGTTAATTAGATTTGGCTTCATCCAAAGATTTGGGTCTGTAAATCACTGAAATCCTATCTATACGCTACTTGGGTGGTTTGTAAACTTGTCTCTTATGGTATCTATTATAATGTAGTTGTAGCTAGGTGTTTTTGCTGTATGCATTAAAAATTTGGATGTGATTCAGAGTAGAAATAATCTATTACTACTAAATGTGTCTTCACAAGGAATCTTTATTTACCTATTGATTCTAAGATTCAGTGTGTGTGTGTGTGTGTGTGTGTGTGTGTACTTGTGTGGGCATGTGCATGCAGCAGGTGGCCTCTGACATTTATTTGTCCTTCTAAAGTGGTGAGTGAAGAAACATTTGTGTGTCAATGATTCAGTCAATGGTGTAGGCCTTGCCTCCTATTTCCTGCTTAGACTTCTCTACCTCAGTGTGTTGTTGAGGGAAAATCTGATGACAACTTCTGTTTCTTGAATTCCTACTATGTGTCAGCCAGTGTGTTTCTCATTTAGCATTTATTTTCTGTGATTCTCTGTAGGTATTGTGTACTTGTTGTCTATGGAAGGTTGCTTAGGCTTCGAGAGGTAAAGTAACTTGTCCGTAGAGGTAATTAAGCAGAAACTTTACATCACCATGCAAATTTTACTTGTATCATAACAATATAAATATGTCGAATGAAAATGACAAGTGCATACACATTTCATTTCCCAATCCTTGATAGTTACAACCACACAATTATTTATTTTCCCTTCAAAATGACCTCTAGTGCGTTTTCAGTTACAGCTGAACTTCATTGACTTATGTATTTATTTCTCTCAGGACACAGAGCTCTGGAATTTCTCCATCTCCAGGATAGGAGTGTTAACTACAAAAAGGTAGAGTTTGATTTTGCTTTTATTCCTTGTGCTTAACTTTCTTCCAATGAAGGTCCTCACAGATATTTACCTATTCTCAAATTTGTTAAGCCCATTTTGGCTCTTACCAATATTTCTAGCTCTACAGCTAAATAATTCTTTGAGACAAAGATGTTTCTTAAATATTTACTTTTGATAAGAGTGGTGACTATATCCTGGTGCTATCAGAATTAGATCACATTATTACCAGCACATCTTGATAACCAAATGGGAAGTGCAATGGTCAAATAACTAAAATGTATTATATCCCCAAATTACTTTTAGTCACTAGTTTCAACTTCCTTAATCACAGGCCCCATGCCAGTATTTATATTGTATTTATATTGTAGTCATCTTCACATGGTTTAAAAACAGTATTTAAAGTTGATCATCAACCTCATTCACATGACAAAAATTAGCCAGGCAAGAGGAAGAGAAGCAGAGCTCATCACTCAGTCCTGAGAGTGATTTTTCTAGTAGAGGGATTCACGAACTCATTAGCTCAATTGAAAACATGTTAAATGACTGTTGGCCATTTGCATTTCCTCTTTGGAGAAATGTCTTTTAAGTTCTTCTGCTCATTTCTTGACTGGATTGTTTATTTTGTTTTTGTTGAGCCAGGTGAGTTCTTTGTATATCTTTATGATCAGTCCTTTATCAGTTGGATGGAGTGCAAAGATTTTTTCCCCAATCAGTGGGGCGTCTCTCTGTTTTAGTTAATGTCTCTTTGGCTTTGCAGCAGCTTTTCAGTTTGATGTAATCCCAGGTGTTTGTCTTTGCCTTCACTATCACTGCTTTGGGTGATGAGTCTTTAAAGATGTTTCTGAGATGTATGTCTTGTAGTGTTTTCCCTATATTTTCTTCTATGTATTTTATGGTTTCAGGTCTTATGTCCAGTTCTTTTATCCACTTTGCGTTGATTTTTAAAAAAATAATATGAAAAAAAAATAGGCTGCATAGTTAGTAAACAGTGAAAGTCTATTTTCTGCAATATTCTTGCTTTCTTCTGGATCATGGTTTCACACCAGAGATCATTGTACTGCAAGTTATAGGACTGCCTTAAGAATGGCAAAAAAAAAAAAAAAAAAAAAAAAAAAAAAAAAACCAGAAAGGAAAGAATGAAGACAGGGATTATCTTGCTCTCTCTAATTTTGTCAAATCTCTTTTCAAAGCTTGATGGGAATCTTTGTCATTTCCTAGTCTCCCTATTTATTTATTTTTTTTACTTTTTAATTGCTGTCATTTTTTTTTATTTTCTTACATTGTTATTTTTTTGCACAATATTTGATTTCTCTGCTCGTGTGTCGTCCCCATAAACCTCCCATCACCCCAACACCCAGGAACCGTCATCATAGTCCCTTGTGCTCTTCCTTCCCCTATTCACCCATCTCCCTCCCACCCCCTGCTGTGTGCCTCAGATTTGTAGTTTGCCTGCAAGTTTTGATGGAACTAGAAGGGATTATGCTGAGTGAAATAAGTCAGAAGGAAAAAGAAAAATATCAATGGTTTCCCTTATAGGAGGAATATAGGAAAGCAAACAAAGGATCAAAAAAAAAAAAGAATAGAGACAAAATTATACTCCCTATTAAATCTGCTTCTTGATGACCTCAAGGACTCACTGGTACAGTTTGGTGAAATGATACTGTAAGGGCAGGAAGGGACAGGACACGGAGCAGACGGGGTAAAGGGGAGTCCTGAAGCCCTCAGTGCCTTTTCTGGCTTTTATTGGGATTTACCAGGTACACAGCAGGCAGGGGTGCTGGGGGGCCGGGAGGCTGGCAGGCCTCCCAGCCCCCAGCAAGTCTTCACTCTGTCTGGGGTCTCTCTGCTTCTCTTGGCTCCTGCTCTGCTTCTCTTCCGCTCTCCATTTGTTCTCTTCTTGTGGTTCTGCTTCTGCTGGCGTCCCCATGACGCCGCCTTTATAAATCCAGCCTTAGCCCAGGTGTACCCCATCTACATATGCCCACACCCTACTCCAGGTGCCTGGCATCAGGCTTGCATTCAGGACTACAGAGTTCTGTCATCAATCCTATTGGCGGGAAGGCAGAAAAGCCTGATACTTTTTACCTTACCCTAGAGATACAGTGAGAAATGGCCTGATGGGTGGGTGGATAGAGTCCCACAGACTGTTGGGTAGAGTCTGCACATATGGGGTCTGACTCGTGTTAGTCTGGATTTATCTTTTTTTGGGACATTATCTTTTGTTAGGACATCAGAGCCAACTGTACTTTAACAATGTTGACTGACACTAACTAAATTAATAGGAGAATAATGGACGAAGCTGAGAAAATGGGTGTATTCACTAATCAGAATTGTAAGAACCTCACATCAGTGTTCATATGTCCTTTGTGGGTTAGAATGGAGTGAGCCAGTTAACCAAGGAAGAACATTCAAAGTATATATATTTTTAAAGATTTATTTATTTATGCATACAAGAACTGGGGTACAGTCCTGAGGTGTGGGGGGGGGGTGAGAAGATTCACCAAAGACAGAGTGGGGAGCAGAGCAGGAGGATTGACTGAAATACACTGCTGAGGGGAGCAGCAGGCTAGTCAGGAGGGGTCTGCTCTGCCATGTGGGTATCTCCCTGGCTGGGGATCGAACTCATGCTGCAGAGGCTGTGGATTGCTTGATAGGTTGTGTCTTGACCCTTTGTGCCACCAGGGAGTCCCCAAGGAAGAACACTTAAAAGAGATGCTTTACTATCTACTTTTTTAAAATCATTTTTAAAGGGAAAGGATAATTTTTCTAACTTTCCAAAAGTAAGAATGCATAATCCTACCCAAAATTATAGGTGCAACTATAAATCAGCCCATGTCTATTTCTCTGATATCTCTATATAGTCATAGATATACATGTATATGTGTGTATGTCTGTATTTTCCTCATTTCACTGGATCATGGAGAATCTTCCCACAAACCTGCTTCAGCTCAGTGAAATAGCCTTAGGGAAACCTTCCTCTTTTGGACTGGTAAATAGTATTTCCCAAATTATTGTATCTTGCCCCCTAATCTCTGTATTTTTTTCATTTCCAGTTGTTACTTGCACACCAGGATGCCTATCAGGCTGGAACCGTGTTTCCTGATTCTTTTTATCCCGGCATCTGTGAAGGAGGTAAGATGACGATTTGCAGATCCAAAGGTCCCACTTTTACTTAGTTATTAGGCATAGCTGTGACTCAAAAAAGATGTAACAGCACATTCTATGTTCCATAAATGTTGCTCAATGACTTGGTTCATTTAACCAAGTTTTCCATTTAACCACCATAGAAATTCTGAATGTTTTATTCTTAGGACCCTTACTCACTTTACTGCTTTTATTTATTTTTATTTATTTATTTAAAAAAAATTTTAAAAAAGATTTATTTATTTATACAAGAACCGGGGTACTGGCCAGATGCGTGGGAGGGTGAGAGGATTCACCAGAGACAGAGTGGGGAACAGAATAGGAAGACTGACAAAATACACTACTGAGGGGAGCAGTGGGTGAGAGAGGAGAGGTCTGCCAGGCCATGTGGGACCCTCACCGGCCGGCTGGCTGGGATCATACTGGTGCTTCAGAGGCTCTGGACAGCTTCTCAGCACTGTGCTCAACCACCTGCACCACCAGGGGAGGCCCCTTTACTGCTTTTAAAGTTTTATTTATTTATGCATGCAAGAACTGGGGTACAGGCCAGAGATGTGGGGGGTGAGAGGATTCACCAGAGACAGAATGGGGGACAGAACAAGCAGACTGACTGAAATACACTGCTGAGGGAGCAGCGGGCAAGACAGGAGAAGTCAGTTGCACCATGTGGGTTGCTCCCTGGCCAGCTGGGGATCGAACTCATGCTGCAGAGGCTGTGGATTGCTTCATAGTCCGGTGCTTAACCCCTTGTGTGACCCGGGAGGGCCCCTTTACTGCTTTTCAATGGCAGAAGCAAAAGCATTTTGAAAAAGGTCAAAAGGCCTGAGTTTTTGTTCCTTCCATGTTGCCAGTTAGCATGTGACTTTCACAGTCACTTGTACACCAAGTTTCGGTTTCCATGTCTGTAGCAATAGTGATGTTAATTAATGCAGGTCCTGCTTCCTCACTGAATTTTTGTTGGCATTAATAGACACTATTTTGCCCAGTGGTTGGCAAATCTGAGGTCGTGTTATCAGCAAACTGGGTTTATGGGTTGTATCGGTCAGGGCCCCAGCAGGACACACCCAAATGAGTAACTAGAAGCACATTTTATAAGAGGACTGTTTACAAAGGTATAAACAAGAAGTAAGACAATTGCAAGGGATGGTGTAGGGGAGGGAGTGGTTACTGGAACTGTGGACAAAGAGAAGGGATGTGAAGAGTGAAGCTTGGTGGGGTTGGGGGTCAGAACTTCCCTCAAGGGACATGGCAGCCCCCAGAACCCACAGAGAATGAATATCCCAACCTTTCTTGGTCTTTTTTCTCAACTGTCTGTTTTTCCCATTGGTCAAACCCAGCCGAACCAAAACCAGAGGCATTTGATGCAGGGTCACCTCAGAGGCTCACTGAAGGTTGGGGGAAAATGAGAATGGGTCTGTAGGGATGAAAAAAAAAAAAAACATCCAGCACACTGCCTCATTGAATAAGTCTGTTTTTTGGAGGCCTGGTGTCCTCAGCACTGATCATCTCTCCCCCAACCTTTTTTTAAAATACAGTGATGCCGGGCCTCCCCGGTGGCGCAGCGGTTGAGCGCTGGGCTGCGAAGCTGTCCGCAGCCTCTGCAGTGCCAGTTCGATCCCCAGCCACCGGCGAGGGTCCCACATGGCGCGCAGACCTCTCCTGCCACCCGCTGCTCCCCTCAGCAGTGTACTTCGTCAGTCTGCCTGTTCTGCCCCCTGCCCTGGTGAATTCTCTCACCCTCCCGCACTTCTGACTGTACCCAGTGCTTGTATAAATAAATAAATAAATCTTTAAAGAAAATGAAAAAATAAAATAAAATACAGTGATGCCTTTAAGGTCAATGAAATGTTTGGGGGCTGTTTACTCCTATAGTTATCAACCCAGATAGCTAAACTTGTATATTTCTCATTTATGGATTTCCCCCTTTTCCCTCAAGTCTGTTAACTCTCATATCTCAATTCTATTAATTTGCATGTTTATTGCGTTTCTCCCTCTTTCTAACCTGTTACTTAAAATCTGTCACTTCCCAAACCATATTCCCATGAGGGGGGCTGCAATGTCTCTTGATATTTTAACAGTTCCTTGATATCTTCTAACATAAAAAAGAACAAAACAGAAAGGGAATTTGTTGTCAATTCAGTTTGAGAAACATTGTTTAATGTATGCCATATTTAGAGCTAGAAAAAAACACAATAATAAAGCTTCTGGGAAGAGTGAAAAGAATGCAGATTACCCAGTAATTGGGGTAATTTTATTTATTTACCTTTTTAAAGATTTATTTTTATTTATGCATACAAGAACTGGGATGTAGGCCAGAGGTGTGGGGGTGAGGATTCACCAGAGACAGAGTGGGGAGCAGAACAGGCGGATCTACCAAAATACACCTGAGGGGAGCAGGGAGCTAGACAGGAGAGGTCTACTGTGCCATATGTGTGTAGCTCCCTGGCTGGGGATCAAACTCATGCCATAGTGGCTGGTGATAGCTTGATAGCACTGAGACTTTAACCTCTGTGCCTCCTGGGAGGCCCCTGTATAATTTTTTTTTTTTAAGCAGTAAATACCTTTGCATCTGAGGTGAAGATCAACTCCCTTGCATGACTGAGAAATCAGAAAGGTCAATTGGAAAGGATTATAAAACAGACACTGATTACAACAAATCTGAGTTCAGGTTCATAGATTTTCATGAATTTTTCTAAATCTTTGTGAATTCAGTAGCAGATCTCTTTCTTCTTGTATGATTCATTTTAATGTAATCTTTCAAAAGACTACTTTCTTAAACACTTACTTGCCAAAGAGACAGCGGTTTCTTCTTATACTCATAATTCGTCACTTTACCTAATGTTGAATTCTGTAATTACAGTTACATGATCACTGGTTTATATTCTGGGTTAGAAACAGACCTGACTGTTGGTAAGTTGTGCGCTGCTGTGGGGACAGAAGGGCTAAGGCCTCTGGACAGTGGCCTGTGTGCAGAGAGTATCCAACATGGCTATTCTTGTGCTTCCAGTCAGTCTTAGTTGCAGGGGGAAAATAAGCTTTGGTTAATCTATCAATTTGGTTAAGTGAAGCTTGTCAAAAGAGTGACTGCTATACTATTTAATTCTGGATTTTCACTCTATGCTATGCAATAGGCTTTCTAAGTTTTATCTCTAGGACAACGGGTGGAACAACTAAAATTTCTCAGTTATGACGTCTTTGAAAATCATTTTTAGAAAAACCAATGATTTAAAAGTGCTTAGAAAATTTTTACTTGAGCTACATCATAGAAAATTTGAACTGAGGGATCTGAACAGCGGGGTTTTGCTTTGAGCTACCCCTGAGATATTTGATTCTTCTTGAAGAATTTGTGGCCTTTGGATGTTTAAAATAGATGCTAGTTCTGTTTTTCCAGCCCCTCTTGTGGGAATAAAGAGAAACAAGGGACAACTACCGGCTCACTCAGATAATACTTGGGTAGAGTATTCTTTGGGGCTGATGCCATTTTAAGGCGATGATTGTAAACATAATGCTTGAAAGCCATTGGAATCTGCTTTTGTTTTTTGTTCTATTGGAGAGGTTTACTACGATGAAAAAATTATAGTAGAGTAATATTCTGTTGTGTATATACACTGCATCTTCTTTCTCCAATTATTCACTTAGGTTGTTGATGGACAAAGGTTTCTTTCTCTTCCACTCTCTCTCATGCACACACAACACACATAATTTATTTTCTTAGTTCTAGGGCACAGATATTGAGAACACGTCCACCCTCTTGCAGTCCAAGAGGCTATGAGCCAGTTTAGGTTTCTTGTTTGACTTACTCTTCTGTTCCAGAGACTTCCTTTGAACATCGACAGAAGAAACTAAGAGTCTTGAGGAGAGAAAGGAAAAGAGATACAGCAGCTCAGCAGTCAGTGGTTTGGCTGGGAATCTCCAGCCATTTAAGGGTCGAGGTTTGCTTTTGTTTTGTCAGGAAAATTCCATGACGTGTCAGAGAGCACTCACTGGACGCCATTTCTGAATGCAAGCATTCATTATATCCGAGAGAACTATCCCCTGCCCTGGGAGGAGGTAGGTGTGGCCCTCTAACCGGAAAAGCAAATTCAGTTCCATTCATATTTTTACACCTGCATTTGCCCTGTCTGTCTCCAACCCCCACCCCAGACCCTGTAGGGCCCCTCACCATTGTTTCTTCCATGTTCCATAATGCTTGGAACATCGTAGATGGCTAGTTCATACGTGGATAAATATTTTTTTTTAATGTGCGAGTTAAGTCACTTCGTCATTTTGCTCCTGGAGTCATTAATCTGAAAGCACTTCCCAGGCTTTTGAAACAAAACATTTCAAAAAGTCCAGTGTATCTACCTCTGACTTTTTTTGGTTCCTTCTCAGTAATGGAAAAGGATTCATGTTTATTTAAACTAAATTAGAGAGTTGTTGTTGTAAAGGAATCTAAACACACATGACTCTAGTTTGCTTATTTGGCAGGACACAGAGAAACTGGTAGCTTTCTTGTTTGGCATCACCTCTCACATGGTGGCAGATATCAGTTGGCATAGCCTGGGCATTCAGCAAGGATTCCTTAGGACAATGGGAATGGTGAGTACACGCCTTTAAGGGAAATGACTGAAGGGGAGGTACAGTCACACTCAATGTCAAAAGACCCTTGTGAAGGAAAGGAAAACTTTAGGTTATTCAGATATCATCCGGAAACAAGACTTCTCACCCTAACAGGTATTTGTTAGATTTCCACCTTTCTCTGTACGATAGTCTTCCTCTTTCGATACTGGGTAAATTCGGCCACACAGGGAAAATGAGTAACATGCTCTGTGGACAGCAGGAGAGGTGCTGTTCTGTTTTAGTACAAGCAATATTTGAGAATCTTAATATGGGTATGTATACCAACTCCTTGGGTCTTTTGAAAAGTAATTATTGCATGCGTTTTGATTTTCCCTTTTAAATTTTTTTTTTTTTTTTTTTGTGGGCGCCTTGCCGGTGGCCAGGGATCGAACTGGCGCTGCAGAGGCTGTGGGCAGCCTCGCAACCCAGCGCTCAACCGCTGTGCCACCAGGGGAGGCCCTGATTTTCCCTTTTAATTTTCTATATGAAAATGTCATCGCCCCAAACAGAAAATTGAGATCTTACCTAGTAACTTGTTTCTGGAAATCCCCTCTGGTCATTCATTGATATTAATATTATTCTATAAGAAGCTTAAACTTGGACTCACTAGACATTTTGAGCATATCTTATTGGGTTCAAATAGCTATAAGAACTTTGTCTTCAGACATACAGTATACAACTCAGGTGCCAATGTAATTTTCTTAACAAATAAAATAATGAAATGAAATGTTCTCCCGAAAATTGAGTCCATCGATTGAACCTTCTCAGTAATTGGGATAGGCAGTAATCTCCTCACTTGCCTGTGGAGTAGGAGTTTGGGCTTCCTTTTGTGATTTCTACTAGATGCTTCTCTTTCTTTTCCAGATTGATTTTCATGGCTCCTACTCTGATGCGCATTCCGCTGGAGACTTTGGTATGTTTATTTACATTTGCCATATTTTCTTTTGTGGGAGTTATGTTTCATTTGTTGTGAAATAAAATGTGTTTTATCTTACCTTGCTAGTAGCATCTATTAATATACTTTCTACAGCTATTAGTATATTAGTATCTAACATGTATTAGTATATTAGTATATAGCAGATACTAATGTTTTCTATTTTAATATTGCAATTCATTTATAGAGTATAGGAATACCACATTTCAATACAGAGATGAATTTCTGACAAGTTGTGTACATATGTATTCTTTTTTTTTTTTTAAAGATTTATTTATTTATTTATACAAGCACTGGGTACAGTCAGAAGCGCGGGAGGGTGAGAGAATTCACCGGCTGGCCAAGGATTGAGCCGGCCCTGCAGAGGCTGCGGGCAGCTTCGCAGCCCAGCACTCAACCGCTGCACCACCAGGAAGGCCCTACATTGTTTATTTTTTACATCATTGTCCATTTTTAAACAATATTTGCTTCCCCCCACCCCCTCAGGTGTAATCCCCATAGAATTTCCTTCCCCAATGCACCTGTGCACCATCATCTCAGCCCCCTGTGCGCCTCCCTCCCTCTGATCCCTCTCCCTCCTCCTTCCCTGCAGGATGTCTCTGATTTATCATTGTCTGTTTTGCTTTGCTGTGTTTTGTATTGTTATTTTTTTTCACACTGATGTCTTATTTGGGTCCCCTATATTCCTCCTATAAGTTACACGATCTTTGCTACAATTTTTTTCATCGATTTATGTCAAAATTTTAGAAAAACTTTATTTTTATAGCGGATTAAAATTCATTACCTAGTGTCCCTAATACTTTAGCCTTAGATTGGTAGCTCAACCATTTGTTGTTGTGGTGGTAAGTTATCTTTAAAGACAAAAATTAGATGGTGAGAAGTGTTTGCTTACAGAACCTTAATGGCCCATTTTAAAGTTAAAGCCTTTTGCTGATATGGGTGATTCTTTTTTTTTTTTTATTTCTTTTTTGTTATTTTTAAAAATTTTATATATTTTTTACATCATTTTTCATTTTTGCACAATGTATGCATTTTCATCTTGGTTATATTCCCCATACAATTCCCACACCCCTTGTTTTGATTCTCCCCCACCCCCCACCCCGCCCCACCTAGTGTGTCTCTGGTTTATAGTGGCTTGTTGTCAACGGCCATACCACCCTGAAGGCACCCAATCTTGTCTGATAAGTAGGATTGAGCCTGGTTAGTACTTGGATGGGTGATTATTTCTTAATTCTTGTTTCACTAGCTAAGATGTTAAAAGATGTAAAAAAAAAAAAAAGGTAGAGGTTACTTTTTCTTGAAGACATGCCTGTACCTGAAACATTGAACATAAGTATATAATAATGTGAAGGACCAATAATCCGGATTATGCACATTACTGTTGAATGCTGTGTTGTGATTCAGTCACCAATGTATAAATACTTTTGTCATCCCATAGGAGGAGACGTGTTGAGCCAGTCTGAGTTTAATTTTAATTATCTGGCACGGCGCTGGTAAGAGCAATGTCTATTTAAAAATGTGATATCTCACTAGCATTCAGGAGCATTGTCCTTACTTTTATATACAACTCTCTATGTCTAGGGTTTTGTTGTTGTTTTTTGGTAGAGACTTAAAAAACTTCTCTAATGGTTATTGGATTGGATAGTTTTTCAATTTCTTCTTAAAGAGTTTTATGTTTTTCTAGAACTTTTCCATTTCATCAAAGGCTTAACGATTTTGCTATAAGGCTGTCTTCTTTCTCTTGTTTAATATATAGTTCCATTCTTTTTGTTACCCACAATGTTATTTATCCTGCCTCCTGTTGTCAGTCTTGCCAAGTATTTTTCAGTTTTATTTTTTTTTGAAAGAACTTTTGAATTTATTGATCCTCTTTATGTTCATTTTCTCTTTCACTACTTTTTACTCATATTTATTTTCTCCTGCTTCCTTTGGGTTCCTATGAAATTCATTGAGTCTTGATTAAAGTCTAGCATGTGATCAACTTTTGTAACTATTTCATATGTGCTTGGGAAGAGTGGTAATTCTTCAATTTTTGGGTTTAATTTTTTTTAAAGATTTATTTATTTATGCATACAAGAACTGGAGTACAGGCCAGAGGTTCAGAGGTTGAAAGGATTTACCAGAGACAGAGCGGAGAACAGAACAGGCAGACTGAGTGAAATACACTGCTGAGGGGAGCAGCGGGCGAGTCAGGAGAGGTCTGCTGTGCCATGTGGGTTGCTCCCTGGCTGTCTGGGGATCAAACTCATGTTGCAGACAGCTTCATAGTGCTGTGCTTAACCCCTAGCACCATAAAGGAGGCCCGGTTTAATGTTTTATTTGTGTTTGTTAGCTCTTACTAAGTTTGCTGTTTAATTAAAAAGATGTATAAGCTGTAAGATAGTCTTAACTATTTTGTAAATCAGCTTGATCTAACAATTAGTAGGAGAGAAATTTGTTTAAAAGTGTTCATCTATGATAATGGATTTTTTCCAATTCTTTTTGTTTTGCCAAATTACCACATATATTTAAGTTACCACATAACTTGGCAAAACAAGCAAGGTACATAGTCATTTGGTACATTCAGTCTCAAAAATCTTACCTTTCTAGTGAATTGCACCTTTTACCATGATGTAGTAATCCTCACAGATGTAGTATTTCTAACAGTGCTGGTTGCCTTCAAGTTGACTTTGTCAGACAGAACTGTACTTCCACTGCTCTGTTCCATGCTGCTTGAAGACCTCAAGATTTGAGTTAGATTTGCAGTTTTTCCAGAGTTGGCCGTGGCTTCTGCAGGTTGCCTTCAGGCACTAATAACCTGGGACCACCACATCAAGTTACATACAACCATTAAAGCTTTAATTTTTTTTTTAATATTTATTTATGCGTACAAGAGCTGGGGTACAGGCCAGAGGTGTGGAGGGTGGGTGAGAGGGTTCACCAGAGACAGAGTGGGGAGCAGAACAGGCAGATTGACCAAAGTACACTGCTGAGGGGAGCAGCGGGTGAGTCAGGAGAGGTCTGCTGTGCCATGTGGGTTGCTCCCTGGCTGGCTGGGGATTGAACTCGTGTTGCAGAGGCTGTGGATAGCTTCATAGGTTGCATCTTAACCTTTGCGCTGCCAGGGAGGCCCAAAGTTTTTCTTTCTTAAACATGGCTTTCAACACTATATACGATTCAGAGATAGAGTAACCCACCCCTTCAGAATATGCTACCATACCACACCCGCCACCAAGGCACCTACAGTCTTCTACCATAGTCTATTGTGCCTCCTCCCCATTTTGTTATAACCCACTTCCCCCTCCCGATCTGGATGCCTCAGTTCTATAATCAGCTTTCAGGGATTGGTTTTTTGAGTTGACTTTATCTGACCCTTTGTTTAGTTTCTCTCTATTCCATATATAAGTGAAACCATCTGGTATTTGTCATTCTTGTTCTGGTTTATTTTGCTTACATAATCCCTTTGAGCTCCATGTATGTTGTCAACCCTTACAGATTTTTCTGACTGCGCAGCATGATTATAATACAAAATATTTGTGGGGCTAGGTAGAGGCTATTAATTCTAAGTGAAGATGATTTTTAACCCCTCTATATCCATTGTCAAAATGAAGATGGACATGTTTCTTTGTTGTTCTTACTTGTATGTTGGGTTTCCAACTAGATTATACTTGTGCAGAAGAGGTAACCTTTTAAGCGGGGGTCTTCTCTGAGATGACCCTCTTTAGCTGGTTCCTATACTTTATCTCCTGCCTCCTGCAAACTGCACAACCATCAAAAATACCTTGAGGGGCCTCCCTGATGGCCTGGGGTTTAAGTCTCTATGCTATCACTATTATGGCCTGAGTTTGATCACCTGCCAGGGAGCTACTCACATGGCACAGCAGACCTCTCTTGTCTCGCCTGCTGCTCCCCTCAGCAGTGTATTTCAGTAAATCTGACTGTTCTGCTCCCCATTCTGTCTCTGGTGAATCCTTTCACCAACCCCCTGTCCCCCACACCTCTGGACTACAGTCCAGTTCTTTCACACAAAAATTGTGAAAAAAAAAAATACGTTCAGGTTCCCAAAGTTTGTCAGAAGTCCTGAAGGCAAAATCTGCTTTTCATACTCATTTACCTTCTAAAATTTCCAGTTTCAATTTGTTTTGGCCTTTGGAAAATTTTCATTTTGTTACTAGCTTGGTGATTCATCTAAAAAAATATTTTTGTCTAGCCTCTCAGGTTGTTTATATTTGGAGGAGCATTCTGGGGTGCTGTTAAAGAGGACAAAGTGTACATCTCAATAGATTCTATTAAAGATAGTAAAATCAGATTTTACTGGTTCTTATTTCTGTCTGGTATATTCTAAGGATTTTGAGATGAAGGTGATTCAATACAAATCTAATGTTTAAGATGCTATTCTTCCAACTGAAATAATATCTGTGAAACGAAAGCCTGACATAGAACATTTTTTACTGTCTTGCACTGTGCATCTTAAACGTAAGAGATTGGGGTGAGGAGCCATCTTGGTGTTTTCAAAATAATAACTCAAGAATAATTCAATTTAAAGGATAAGAACACTTTATTGCTCTTTGAACTCTTAATCCAAAAATTAAATGTGCCTTTTATATTTTATAGTTAATTTCCTATCTTTGCATGTACTTTCATAAATAACCTTCATAAATGTTTTACCAGACATTTCCCCTGCATCACTAGACAAGTTATTAAACTTTTCTATGCTTTAGTTTCCTCTTGGTGAAAGAAATATGGTAACACTGACCACCCAGGGTTGTTGGTAGAATTATTATTATTTTTAAAGATTTATTTATTTATGCATACAAGAACTGGGGTATAAGCCAGAGGTGGGGGGGGTGTGTGTGTGAGAGAGGATTTACCAGAGACAGAGTGGGGAGCAGAACAGGCAGACTGACTGAAATACACTGCTGAGGGGAGTAGCGGGCCAGACAGGAGAGGTCTGCTGTGCCATGTGGGTTGCTCCCTGGCAAGGGCTGGGGAATTGAACTCATGCTACCGTGGCTGGCAGCAGCTTGATAGTGCTATCTTTAACCCCTGCACCACCAGGGAAGTCCTGCTGGCAGGATTAAATAAATGGTGGCTATAAAGCTCTTCGCATGGTATCTGATACATACTATTGTTGTTATTCTACTTCATAATCAAAACAATGCTTATTTTATTCTAACGCATTCCTCAGGTATGTGCCTGTCACAGATCTCCTGGAAATTTACAAGAAACTGTATGGGCGAGAAGTCATCAGTAAACATGTGATTACAGACTGTTCCTACCTTCAGTTCTTAGAAATGTAGGTATAACCTACAGGAAAATTTGCAGCTGATGTTGTTGTGATTTCTTTGGCATGCTTCTTAATGATTTAGTTTCCTGTGAGTGAATTTTGATTTCTTGGATTTTGCTTATGCAAAGATGACTGTAATGGTGGATACATGTTGGTGGGGTTTTTCCTGCATTATTTGTTTCGCTTCATTAAAGAAACAACAGCTTATGGTTAAAAAATTATTATTTGTGTTGCAGGCACGGTGAGATGTTAGCCATTTCCAAGGTAAAAGCTTCATCCTTCAAAATCTTAGTTTAAGGGATTATAAAGATACCAGGAAAACCAACTTATTTATTTACTTAACTGTTTTTCTTTCTGCCATAGCTTTATCCTACTTTTTCTAGAAAGTCCCCATTTTTGGTGGAACAATTCCAAGAATATTTCCTTGGAGGACTTGATGACATGGCATTTTGGTCTACTAAAATTTATCATCTGACAAGCTTCATGTTAGAGAATGGAACCAGGTGAATTACTGCTTTTTTTTTTCACTCATCACTTTTTGCCTTGCTTTTCCTTTTCCTCTTCCCCACTCCCTAAGGTAAATCTCGGTTTTCTTATTTTATGTTTATTTACTTTTGTGTGTATAGAAGAGCTGGGTGGGGTATAGGCCAGAGGGGCGGGCGTGAGAGGATTCACCAGAGACAGAGCGGGGAACAGAACAAGCAGACTGACTGAAATACACTGCTGAGGGGAGCAGCGGGTGAGATAGGCGAGGTCTGCTGCGCCATGTGTGTAGCTCCCTGGCTGGGGATTGTGCTGAGGCTGTATTGGTAATAGTGCTGAGACTTAAGCCCTAGGGCACCAGGAAGGCCCTCTGGGTTTTCTTGAAACTGACTAAATGGAAAAAAAAAACAAACAAAAAAAAAAAAACCAACAAAAAAGATGTCTCATGAAGTGCTGTCCCACCTAATGAAGAGGGAAGAGTGAAAACTCAATCATTTCAAAGACCCAGCTAACTCCCATCTAGTTCAATTTGCTGCTGTTGCTCATGTTTTGGGGGCTGATAAATATTGCAAAATTTGTGGTCTATGAGAAATAGCTCAATTCAGGAGGAACTGGCTTCCACTACTGAGCTGTGTCTGTTTCTTTTGGAAGAACCTATATTGTGGGCCAAGTGTCAGCTCTCCAGAGACTCCAGCATTGGATGTGGAGAGTCTCCTTTCTCCCCACTTTACCAACCGCTGTCAGGTCAAGCTCTCCATACTCTAAAATGAAATCAGAAATGACTGTACTTGTAAAACACAGCCTTCTGTTGCAATTTGATATGTAGTCCAGATGTGACAGCTGGTCAACCTCCAGTAAGTTTTCTGTTTCTCCCCAGCATGACCAGGGCCAGACCAGGGTATACTGAGATTATCCCCACTTCCAGGTCTCAGAGCATCTATCCAGGGCCCCAGAAAGTCTATGTTCCTCTCAGAAGCTGTTCCCAGCCCTATCACTGAGTATGCAGCTCTTCCCATGCTGCTGTACTGAGTGAGGCAGGAATGGGGTCTGGAGAGGGATATTGGGGGCAGCCCTGGATGCAGGGAATGGGGTACGTAGGAAGATTACACCGTAACCACAAAAGGAGAGAGGGTTCCATGGCAGAAGCTGCCCCTGAGTGACTGTTCCATGAAAGAATCATAGGAGGGTGGGGGTTTCTTAGCTCAGTGGCCTATGTAGGCATAGCTCTGCAATATTACACACTGGATCATGTTGCTTTGTCCTTAAAAACATTTGCTGGTACTCAGGTCATATTAACCATAATTATATGTTGTGTTAATTTGAAACAAAAATCCCCTTTGATGATAAATTCAACTTTGGCCTTGTGGATAATTAAACTTGTTTTTAAGACTCAGTGAGTAACAGTTTGGCAGACAAATAATTCAATGTGAATGTCATTTTTTAAATTTATTTTATTTTTTATTTTTATTTATTTTTTAGTTTTTTAATTTATTTTATTTTTTATTTTTTTTAAGATTTATTTACTTATGCATGAAAGAGCTGGGGTACAGGCCAGAGGTGTGGGAGGTGAGAGGATTCACCAGAGACAGAGTGGGGAACAGAACAGACAGACTGACCGAAGTACGCTCCTGAGGGGAACAGTGGGCAAGTCAGGAGAGGTCTGCTGCACCATGTGGGTAGCTCCCTGGCTGGCCTGGGATCCAGCTTGTGCTGTGGAGGCTTTGGACAGCTTCATAGGTTGTGTCTTAACCCCTTGTGCCACCAGGGAGATCCTTTTTTTTTTTAAACAGTGAAATGAACCTCCAGTAACATCCCCAAGCTCTCCTATGGCTGTGGGTTTTTAGGTGTCTAAGAGTTAACAAGCAGAGTGTGAGCTTTGGAATCTGAGAGCTGCCACTTACCACTGAGTTATCCCAACCAAGTTACTAAACCTCCATAAGCCTTAGTTTCCTTCCCTGTAAAATGGGAGCAATAACAATTCTCTTTTTATCATAGGGTTGTTGTGAGCAGTAAATGAGATCACTCGGTGTTCAGCATGGAGTCAACTCTTAATCAGTGTTTGCTACTAGTACCATATTTATTATTAGAAGGAAGTTAAGTTTATAGTGGATTTGTAACATACGGCCTTGTTAGAGTGAGTGACCTTCCTTTATTTGTTTTAAAAAGCCCATGTGTGTTAATCCTCAAACTGGAAAACAATCTATGTGTTTGCTTTTGGTTAGGCTGTCCAGTAGCTAAGGAAAGTATAGCTCAACCTCATCCTTTAATTAGGAAGAATTCATTGAGAAGGAAAAGGTTTCTTGTTTCTTGACCTGTCCTAATTTATCAAGGTGGGACATTCATTGAATTAATTGCATCTTTCTACACACTGACAAACACTCATCAGGACTGATGGGTAATCTGGAGAAGACTCCAAAGAAAGACCATACAATTTCATGACAGTAAGAAGAACAGGAACATTTTATATATTATATACATATTATAGTTATTATAGATACTGCTCAACTTTCTAATAATAGGTTATCGTCGAAGGTGAATTTATATTACTTGAAACTCATAGTGTCTCTTCCTAAAGAAATGGAAATAAATGTTACATTCCCAGTCAGAACTCTGCTTAACTCAAACAGTATTTGAGCAGTAGCGCTGATGTTGTGAGACTATTGTCTGAAGCCTGGTGGTGGAGAAAAAGAGAATTTAAAGAAAAACCTTTTCCTCTGCCTAAAACTGGCCTGAAGAAAGACCTTGATAGGGAACCTGCCTTCTACTCACACCCACTTATCCTTTTCCAGCAACTAGTCCTCCAGACTCCATACTACCCTGACCTCCCGCAAGGTCCTCCATGTCAACCTGTCTCTCCTTCAAAAGAGTCTTCACTCTGGAGCAGACTCTTCCAGCGCAACACCCACTCCCTGATGCTTCTGTTCTCTCAGCTGCCTTTTCACTTGTTAAAGGGGGTATTTAGATATCCTTTCAATTACAGAGAATAACTCTGTTTTTTAAAGGAATGAGATGAAAAAATGAAGACCCATTTGGGCATACATGGGCATAATCAGGCAGAGGATGTCATAATTGGGGATTGGCTCCTTTCACAGGGTTTGACTCTGAGAAGGTTCTTGTGCACATGGTTAACTCAGCAGAGGGAGGTGGGATGAGGAAGGCTGTGGTTCGGGGTGACGGGCAGTGTGGGGCTGCCTGCATCACAGTATACTCTACAATCAGTTATCCACCATTGTTGGGAAGGACTTTACCTGTCCTGTCCTGTACCTGTAAGTAATGAGCACCCTCTGCACTAAGAATTTTGGAGGTGGTTTGAAGTGCACCATGGGTTGTCCGTAAACTCCCTATCTGTAAAGAAGGTTGAGATATGCCTAATTTGGGCCTCTCTGGTGGCACAAAGGGTTAAGCACAGCACATGAAGCAATCCGCAGCCTCTGCAGCATGAGTTCGATCCCTGGCTGGCCAGGGAGCTACCCACATGGTGCAGCAGACCTTGCTTGTCTTGCCACTGCTCCCCTCAGCAGTGTTTTCAGTCAGTCTGCCTGTTCTGTTCCCTGCTCTGTCTCTGGTGAACCCTCTCACCCGCCACAACTCTGGCCTGTACCCCAGCTCTTGTATGCATGAATAAATCTTTAAAAAAAAAGAAATATGCCTAATTGATTGGACTATTATTTCCCCAGTGACTGCAGCCTACCTGAGAACCCTCTGTTCATTGCATGTGGTGACCAGCGGAAGAATACCAGTGGGTAAGTGGATTCCAGAATTGTCCATAGAAAAAGAACATGTCACCCAGAGGGGTGTTCAATAGACTCAAATGCTTGGGACTTATTGACAGACTGGGTCAAACTCCATTTCTGCCATTGACAGCTATGTGATTTTTATTAATTAATTAATTTTCTGACATTGTTGTTCATTTTTATACAATATTTGGTTTCTCCCTCAGGTGTAGTCCCTGTAGTTCTCCCACCACGATTGCATCTGTGATTCATCACCACAGTCCCTTGTTGCTCTTCCCTCCTCTGTTTTGACGCCTCTTCCTTCTCTTCCCTACAACTGTGTGATTTTAAACAAGATTTCTTAATGTTTTTGAGTGGCTGTTCCTTTGGAAAAATGGGAAAAACACATATGCATCCTCCCCAAATTATGGTATGGATTGGGTATAAACAATTAGTATAAAACAATTACCCTATCAGTAAGTTCCTCAATAGCAAATGGTAGTTAATAGTATTCCTTTCATTAGTACTGTTATTACTCATGAATGTTAACTCAAAGAGTATTTTTGAGTTTTTTATCCTTAAAATGTTTTTATAATGAGACTGGGTGGAGAGAAGTCCTCTATGGTAATTTCTGAAGAAGAGGGCCAAAAGGCCTGACTGGTATTCTAAGAGATGGCATTTCCTGTTAGAGTCAGGTACTAATACTTAATAACTGTATTAATATTATACGTATTTATTGTTTATCAAATAGTACTAATAATACCTCCTCATTAAGTACCAGGAATTAGTTTAGGTTTTAGACACCATGTTGTGAATGATAAGCAGTTCTTTTTTTTTTTTTTTTTAAAGATAAGTTTATTTATGCATACAAGAACTGCGGTACAGGCCAGAGGTGTGGGGGCTGAGGGGAGTTACCAGAGACAGAGTGGGGAACAGAACAGGCAGACTGACTGAAATACACTGCTGAGGGGAGCAGTGGGCGAGACAGGAGAGGTCTGCAGCACCATGTGGGTAGCTCCCGGCCAGGAATTGAACTCGTGCTGCAGAGGCTGCAGACAGCTTCATAGTGCTGTGCTTAACCTCTTGCACCCCCAGGGAGGCCCAACAAGTAGTTCTTGCTCTGGTTGGGTGTACTGCCTGGCTGGTGGATTCGTAAACCCTGTTAGGTGTTAAGAAGGGAACATGCCAGGTGTTCTGGGGATGGGTGAGGATTCTAAGCCAGTCACTGGAGAGCTTGGTGTGAAGAAGTGATGTTTCAATGGAAATATTTAAGCCCGAACTTGAGTTGGATACTCAAAGAGGGCTTGCAATGAAATGTTCTAAGGCAGAAAGGGTTCACAATTAAGACTTCACTGGCTAATTTATTTAAATTAAGTAAATTTTTAAAATTGATTTGATTGACTTTAGATTACACTGGTAATCTCTTGGTCATCAAATCCCTGCTCTCACTGGTGTCGTAATGGGCCCTCCATTTTTTTCTGTTGTGTGGCTATCTGGATCCTTCAGGTTTCAGAGGTTGCTAAAAACATAGGAACTTGAAATATATTTTGAGTGTATAACTAACTCTAACATGTGTCTAAAGATAAATCAGTATACCTGCTTACCAGTTTCTCTACCCACTATAGACCTAATTCTTGCCTGTTTTTGTGAAATTTTGAAATACCTTTAATTTGAGGCAGGGTTGGGTGAGGAGAAACAAGGAGAAAGGAAGCACATTGTGTTCTGGTGGTGAAATATGGGTGATTTGAGGTGGGTACACCATGGTGGTGATCCTTGATGGGGGTATCCTGAGTTTACCGCAATTAAAAACAAATAATTCAAAAAGGAACACTTTACATTTTTTTGTCATTTGGAAGTAATATAAAGCTTCTGCTCTATAGAACTTTGAGGCTATAGGAAATACTTTACATCAGGACAAGCCATAAGCCTTGGAAATGCATTTACTGAAAGATTTTGTGGACTCTCCTTTGAAGGTTTTTCTAAAAGTTTATTTTTTTGTGTTTCTGTTCCTTCAGCTTTCAGATGTGAAAATTCTAATGGTCATTTAACCCATGATTAACTTCTTCAACTCAGTTATTCAGGGCATTTGCTGTTTTCTCAGTCACAACCATTTTGCTCCTCTCTCTCTTCAGCAGCTCAAAAGTACAGACGAATTATTTTCATAGAAATTTGACTACATCTCTCACTAAAGATATTGGAAGAAATATAAACCATACCAAGAGAGGAGTGTTCTTTAGCATGGATCCTTGGACCTCGGTAAGAAGTTCTGCTTTTGAATAAAGAAAGAGGACAAGTTACTTCTTGTGATCTCATTGTTGCGTAGACTCGCTGGTTAATTCACCATTCCCTGAAAGTCACCTGGCATTTGACAGGCTGGCAGATATCCTAGGCCTCCAAATCTGGTTTGCTTCAGAGACTTCCTGAGATATTCAGCAAATCTGATAGAGTTCAGGGTGACCCTGGGCACCCAGGCCAGGGCTGCTGTGTCCTCAGTGCAAAGTGTATGAGCAATATTATGGACTCACTATCTAGCTCTATGCTAAGGGACATAATTGTATATGAAATTCATTCTTTGTGTGTATGTGTGTGTGTGTGTGTGTGTGTGTGTGTAGAAGAATTGGGGTGTAGGCCAGAGGTGTGGGGGTGAGAGGATTCATCGGAGACAGAGTGGGGAGAACAGGCGGATCTACTGAAATACACTCCTGAGGGGAGCAGCGGGTGAGTCAGGAGAGGTCTGCTGCACCATCTGTGCCAAAGCTCCCTGGCCGGGGATCATACTCACGCCATAGCAGTGACAGCACTGAGATTTAACCCTAGGCCACCAGGGAGGCCCCTGGAATTCATTCTTGATGTCATTTAAGTGTCAGATATTGTGCTGGGGCTTGGGAGGAAGGGATATAACATGAAAATAGGTTCAGACTTTGAACATTTCAGTTTGGTAAGAATGATAAATACAGAAATAACCATTTATGAGTATAATGCAACAAATAACATGGCGGGGTGTTTTGCTAGCAGGGCTATAATTGTGATCTTGGAGGGCATCAGAGGAATCTTCATGGAGAATGTGGCATTTGAGCTGGTATACTGAATAGCTGATATTATTTCATCCGTGAGTGTGTTTTTCTGCTAGTGAACTGGGAAAGTCTCAGGATGTTTGGAAATATGGGTAGTCTTATTTGCCTAGAACAGGAGACAAGAGATAGAAGAGACTAAAAGAGAGTTGGAAAGTAGGAGTGGGGATTCCTGATATCAGGACAAAGATTTAATGTCCTGGGGAATAGTGTTCCTAGGAGCTGGGCCATGGCTTTGTGGAAAACCTGCTTCAGGAGTGTGCACCCAAAACAGTCACAGGGAAGGGCCCCTTTTGAGCACTAGACTCTACATTTTCATTTTTCACTTAGCTCCACAAATGATGTTGCCAGCTCTGGACCTGGGAACTTTCTATCAAATCATAACATTTTACCTTGCAGTTACTGGGATCAAATGTGCATCAGAATAAGCTGCATAAGAGAAGCACTGTCTACTTTATGGCCTGTCATGGTGGTGGCTAAGACACAGTAGGAGCTGAGTAAATAATTTCTGGATGAATGAGTAAGAACTGGAATGAGGATAGACGATCAGTGTAAAACCTGCAAGAGGCTGTCTGATCCCTTCCCCAGTGACCCTTAGTACCTGCGCTTCTCCTCCAGAGTCTGAGCTGGCCAGGGCTTCCCCAATGCTTCTGAGCACATCCTGCTGTGTTCTGGGGCTTGCCTGGGAATTCTTGTCTGGTCTCATGTCACCTTTGGGTGGATTTAAAATCATGTCTCCTGAACGTACATGGATGTAGTGTCAGGTCAGGTTGTCCAGGGCAGCTCTGGTGTGCAGTAACCACGTTGAGCCATGTTGAGAGTCTTGCTGTCCCTACAGTTCTCTTTCTTATAGCTCCCAGCACAGTGCACAGGATGTCTTGGGTCTCAAAGCAAATGCAGCAACATCTCAATTTGGGTTTGGAGGGTATTTTGGCCTCCTGGTACAAGATAGTGCCTGTACAGATTTGATTTATAACGATGCATTGAAACTCACATGTGCAAGATTCATGCTGGCTAGTTGGTTCCGGTTAAGTCCCAGCTGACTCTTCCATGTTGCCCTGCCTCTCCCCCAGCCCCCCCCGCCAGAGTTATAACTTCCATCCCTTAGCATACCTAACTGCCTATTCTAAGGGATCTTCCTTGCTGACGAGAATGAATGTTTTACCTTCTAGGACTTGTAAAAACTTGTTTCCTTTATGAAATGGTTTTGATGGGAACTGGTAGCTTTGTTGATGATGCATCTGTCTTCATCTGCCTGTGTGATTTTTCTATTTCAGCATTCCCTATCATTTATGTACCGGACTGTGGAAAGGAACCTACGGAAAATGTTTGCAGAGGACTCTTGGCAGTCCCTGAAGCACATTTCCAGCCCCTCAGCATCTTATTTCTTGACACTGCCCTATGCAAGACTTGGTTGGTAGGTGTAAGTTTACCTAATTCTTGAACACTTTCATCAGTTTAATTTCATTCAGTCATACAACAAATGTTTAAAATTGTGACTGTTAGTACCTTACTTTTTAATCAATTCATTAATAATTTAATTCATTCATTTATATAGCAATATAATTTTTTTTTAAGATTCATTTTTTATGCCTTCAAGAACTAGGGTACAGGTCAGAGATGCAGGGGTTGAGAGGACTCACCAGAGACAGAACAGGGAACAGAACAGGCAGACTGACTGAAATATACTGCTGAGGGGAGCAGCGGGTGAGACAGGAGAGGTCTGCTGTGCCATGTGGGTTGCTCCCTGGCTGGCTGGGGATCGAACTCGTGCTGCAGAGGCTGTGGATTGCTTCATTGTGCGGTGCTTAACCCCTTGCGCCACTAGGGAGGCCCTATAGCACTATAAATGAACAATAACATTAAGTTATTTTTAAGATAAAAACTATCTTCTTATAATTGGTCAAAAAATGTTTAAATATGAGGAACTGCTTTGCTAAATAATCACATCAATAAAGTATTATAGAATCTTTGTAATGGTTTCATGGAGATATATTGTTACAGATTATCTGGAATTTAATGATTTAGAGGGATAATAGGAGAAAATTATTATGGTGACTAGAATATGGTAACTTCATATGGCAAAAGCCTATGATACCCAATAATTTATAGGAGAATTATTTGGGATTCCTCTGGTTTAAAAAAAAATTGACCAAAATCAGATTCCTTGGAGATTGTCTCTGTAAGATCTTGATTTCAGTTCCTCTGCATAAACACCCAGAAGTAGAATTGGTGAATCATGTGGTAGCTCCATTTCTAATTTTAGAAGAACCTCCATTCTGTTTTCAAAATGACCAAACCAATTTACATTCCTACCCACAGTACCTCAGTTTCGATTTTCCTGAACATCTTTGTCAGGATGTTTGTTATCTTTGTTATCTTTTGGTTTTTTTACATAGCAACATCTTAACAAGCATGAGATAAAATCTCATTGTTGTTTTGATTTGCATTTCCCTGATGATTAAGCTATTGAATGTCTTTTCATCTACCAACAATATCTATATCTATATATCTATATCTATCTATCTATCTATCTATCTATCTATCTATCTATCTATCTATCTATCTATATATAGATACAACATGTACCTACATGTACCTATATGTTTTCTTTGGAAAACTATCTACTTAGACCCTTTGACCAGTTTTAATTGGGATTTTTTTTTTTTTGCTGTTGAGTTTATGATTTCCTCATATTTTTACAATAGTAACCCCTTATCAGATATAGTTTCCAGATATTTCCTTCCATTCTATAGGTTACCTTTGTCTTGGCAATTATAAATAATGTTGCAATGAACACGGAGGCGCACATCTCTTTTCAAGTTAGTGTTTTCATTTCTTTGGACAAATACCAAAGTGGGATTGCTGGATTATCTGGTAGTTCTATTTCTAATTTCTTGAAACATGGCGTGCTGTTTTCCATAGTGGTTACACCAACCTACATTCCCACCAACAGTGCATAAGAGTTCTTTTTTCTCTACATCCTTACCAACACTTAATTCTTCTCTTTTTGATAATAACCATTCTAACAAGTGTGAAGTAAAAATACGTTGTGGTTTTAGTTTTGCATTTTCCTGTTGATTAATGATTTTCTAAGTACCTCTCATGTACTTTCTAAGCACCTTTTCATGCCATCAATATGTCTTTTTTGAAAACATCTCAGTTCCTCTGTTCATTTTAAATTAGATTGTGTTTTTCTTTTTCCCTGAGTTGTATGGGTTCTTTATATATTTTGGATATTAGCCCTGTACCAGATGAGGATGTGCAACTATTTTCTGCCATGCATGGCTTCCTTTACTGGAAAGAAGTCTTTTAGTTTATTTTTGTGCTTGTTACCTTTGCTTTTGATGTTAAGAAAACAATCTGTGCTTCCATCAGAATCGTCTATAGGTTGGAAATTCCAGTGACCCCTTTGTTGGAACTCAGGGACAGCTAGATGAAAGAGAAGCATAGGGCAAGACAAGGGGAAAGACTCTGAGTATACCTCTCCCTTTGAATCTATCTATTCACCAACCTGGAAGCTCTGAAATTGCCTTTTAAAATAATACAGCTTAAATCCAGTGCACTGCATTTCCCTGGCTAGAAATGCTTTCAGCTCCAGACAGAGATTGGGAGGTGAATACAGTTTTACTGGCCATTCATTTGTGAATCATGTCACTTCTTGGCTGCTTTCCAGAATGATCCAAAAGAAGGCCTCCTTCTAGGCTCACTGCCACTGTGGGGCAGCAATGCAGAGGCCATCTCTGGGCTCACTACTAGTCAGTGTCCACCTCAGGAGATGAGAAAACAGCATTTTCTCCATGTTGTGTGTATCTGGACCCTTCCACCTGGTACTAAACTCTTCAGAAACTACTTTTTTTCTTTTCCTTCTACTCTGTCATTTTTTATGTGGCTGTAGGAGCTAGAATGCTGGAGACCAGCCCCAGCTAGAAATTGTGTCAGGGGTCTCAGAGAGGAGAGGATGGTGTCGGCCAAGTTTTCTCTCGGAGGACTGAGGGCTGAGGGGAAGTGGAGCGAGGTAGAAGTGAGGTAGACACAGACACCCTCTCTGGTGCAAGTATCTCCTGCTGAGGGTCTCTCAGCGGGTCTTTATTTATACCTTAAGGCGAGCGGTGGGATTACATCAGCATAAGCATTGAAGCAGAGCAAAGATAATCAATACATATTTTTTCATGGTCATGTAAAGACTCCCTTGGCCTTACACCTGTAGGCCATTTTTTTGTAACCTAAGAACAATTAGTTTCCTAGGTACAGCTCATTTACTAGCATGATCAACAGCACAACATTTGGCAACATTTAAACTTTCCCAGTTACAAATGTGGGTGTAAAGTTCCTATTCTATATTCAATTACTAAAATCAATCTATTTCCTAGCACTCAAATAACTTGGATAATATATTAATTACTTCAAAGTGGTTTAAAACAATTCATCAGATCTACGTAAGTTCTACTGAAGTCTAACTCTTAACTAGAAATTCTTAGCCTCCACACGGCCTGCGAATTATTGACCTCATACACCAGGAAATGTATTGTTGCTGCAAACAGGTACCCCCCATATTAGGCTATGGTTTCCAAGCAAAGGTGGTTCAGGGCAGCTTGTTCTCCATAGTTCTCAGGGCCAAAACATTTCTTTCCTAACAATACCTTAAACAATTATTTTACTTTTGTGATAGTTCATGCGTAAGAACAATAAGCCAATTGTCACCTGAGTCCGAATTAGGTTTTCACAGGCCAATTTGTAACTGACTTACTTCAGCATTAACTAAGAACAAAGAGGAGAGCATTAGCAGGCATTGCCATGGAGACTCCCTAGTTCAGATCTTCTTTGGGAAGTGCAAGAACTTCCTTCTTCTGGGAAGTACAACTTTCCCTCTTCGGGGGAGCACAGGAACTCCCCGCTTCTCGGGAGTCTCCCCCGACTCCCGGGAGACAAATTACCCCGGACCTTGTGAAGAGACAGCATGGGAGGCGCAGCCTGCCGCACTAGAATAAATAAGTGACTTTGGTTTCTCCACCCTTAACAGAGACATTTCAAGCTCTGTCTCATTTTGTTGATCTCTATAACTAGTAGATCATGGAATCACCTTTAGAAAGATCTGCTAAATATGTCAAGTATTTAATTTTTTGCCCAATGAAAGGCACCCTATATAGCTATGGTAGAAATAAAATGCTGTATTTAACTCAAGCTTGCCTTTGTTGGTCAGGTTGCAAATTAAAACGAGTTGAGCAGATTAGAAATGGACATGTGCCATGAGCTGCAGGGGGTTGGCAAAGACGACTTTTCTGGTTACCAGGTCAGCCCAGGATTTTGCTGCTGCTCTGGGCTTTCATATGTGCCAGGATGCCTTGTGCGCATGCTTTTCAGCTACTCAGGTTATATGATCCAGAAAAGCCCAGAGCCTTAACTTGTTCAGCTTGATTTTTTAAATTTCTTGGAGAGCAAGACTGTGAATTACATAAACAATATTGATCTCATATTTTCAGCTGTTATGCAGATGGAAGAACCACTGAGAGGAAGTCAAAATGTTAGATTCTAGAAAAGGAAGATGCAGGAGACAGTTTTACCCAGAGTACTCATCGTCACTGTGGTGGGTTTCCTCATTTCCCCTACAGGGCAATGGCCTCAGCTGACCTCAACCAGGATGGCTATGGTGACTTGGTGGTGGGTGCCCCGGGCTACAGCCACCCTGGCCACATCCAGGTTGGTCGTGTGTACCTCATCTATGGCAATGACCTGGGCCTGCCCCCATCGACGTGGACCTGGACATGGAGGCCCACGAGATCCTGGAGGGTTTCCAGGTATGACACTAATGTTAGGCTTTCCCCCTTTAGTGTCAGTAAGCCTCTGCCCACATTACCTGGAAAATTCTCCAGGACAAATTACCCCTAACAAGAATAATGATAGTAAGAAATAGCACTTTTCAGTTTTCAAAACATGTTCGCTTCATTTCTCTCTGTCTGTCTCTTCCTCTGAGTCTCACCAACATACAATTTAGAACTGCTTTGAAGAGTCCATTAGAGGGTGATTTTTTTTTAAGGATTTATTTATTTATGTATACAAGAGCTGGGGTATAGGCCAGAGATGCAGGGGAGGGGTGAGAGGATCCATCAGAGACAGAGTGGAGAGCAGAACAGATGAACTGACTGAAATACACTGCTGAGGGGAGCAGGGGGCGAGTCAGGAGAGGTCTGCCTCACCATGTGGGTTTCTCTCTGGCCGTCCGAGGATCGAACTCATGCTGCAGAGGCTGTGGATTGCGTCATAGTGCGGTGCTTAACCCTTTGCGCCACCAGGGAGGCCCTAGGGGATGATTTCTTGATAATACCAAACCTCCCCTTTTTATATAAAGGTTCTATTTTGTAAGACTTTCAGATTCATGGGAAATTTTTAAAGACAGTTCAGCGTTCCCATTTACCTGTTAACCAGAGTCTCCTATATTAATATCTTCCATAATTACGGTAGACTTGTCAAAAATGAAGAAAGCAACATTGGTCCATCACTTTGCTTGGATTTCATTCCTTTAAGGAGTTATTTATCACCAGGAAACTCCTCAGGGACTGAGCATTAACTCTTCTTGCTGGGAGCAGTGGGCCCTGGGTGGCTTTCCTCCAGAGCATCATTGACATGAGTCCTTACAAGAGCAATACCCCGGGCAGGTAGCCCTGCTACTAGTCACAGATGACTGTGAGGGCCTTGGGGCACCACATGCTCTGAATATCAAAGACAAGAAAAGAAACTCTCATTCTTGGTGAGAGGGTTCTTGACTCAACTTCTTGTTATAGCAGCATTAATGTTGTGAAGATAAAATAAGATGGCATGCCTGAACAACCTTTACGAAATGAAAACTACAATGGTTTGTGATCTAGTTTAGGTTCTGAGAGCAGGAGTCCTGAATCTGAAAGGTGTGAGTAAGTTGTCTGGCCAGCGTGTGAGCTCACATGCTCACCCATGGACAGTGTTTTCTGAAACCATGTGAGAAACTTCCAAAATAGAGTGACTCATTCCTGTTGCTTCCTACTTCTTCATGAAGCTAGTCCCATCAGTGTTGTGTAAAATACATTCCTTGGGCTCCTGTAGGCAGGGAACAAGAGAGACAGCTGCACCCTATGGATGATAAACTCTAAGATATTTGAAGCAAGGATATGGAGGAGGCTCCATGCCCTCTTCTCTCTTTGATAATTTGGAAGGTGCTTTAATTAAAGCATGTACTAGGGGATGGGAATCCCCTACTGTTTCCCTTGTCTGTTTACCTTTCTGTGTCCTTGCCTATAAACTGAAGGATTAGGATGCAACTCTCAAGCATTTGCCCATCTTAACATTAGGTGTTTTCCTTGGAATGACTGGTGGATCAACAGAAGGGCTTGGTGGCGCAGCTGGTAGTGATGAAATGAACCCATCCTGACTTGACAGAGGGGACCTGTTGTTCCCACCCTGCCCCAGTGTGCTTTGTGTTCTGGATATCCTCTCTTGTTTATCAAGTTCCAGTCTTGTTGAAAGGGCAGTGTCCACAGATGCCATTGCTCTCAGGTATACAGATATTAGGCAATAAATAATAGATGTTGGCCCTGTGGCATGTGTATTACGTGGCAAATATCCCCTTGTGCAAGACTATTCATATGTATGTATGTTGTGAAAGAATTTGAGAACCTAAAAATGAGTTACGTTGGAGTCTAAGCTGACTCTAGACAGTCGGAGATGAAAGATCTAGAAAATCTATCTTGGAAGAACACCATTCCAGGATTGAGTTTTCCATCTACAAACTATGAAGGGGCTGGTAGCGACAGTCCTTACCTTAACCCATGTAAAGTGCTTACAATGTTGTCTCCAGCACTGCAGTCCCATAGAACTTTCTGTAATGATGAAAATGATCTACAGCTGGGCTGTCCAGTGTGTGAACCAATAGCTGCACTGACTTTTGAGAATTTGAACTATGGCTAGTGCAACTGAGGAGCTGAATTTGTTTTGTTTCCCATTACCTTATTTTTTTTTTAAAGATTCAATTTATTTATGCATATAAGAACTGGGGTGTAGGCCAGAGGTGTAGGGAGGTGAGAGGGTTCACCAGAGACAGAGTGGGGAGCAGAACAGGCAGACCTACTGAAATACACTGCTGAGGGAAGCAGCGGGCGAGGCAGGAGAGGTCTGCTGAGCTATGTGTGGGTTAGCTCCTGGCCAGGGATTGAGCTCATGCTGCAGTGGCTGTCCATATGGATAACGCTGAAACTTAACCCCTGCACCACAGGGAGGCCCCTGTTTCTTGTTACTTTAAATGTCAGTGCAATTGTTACCTTTAGCTAGTGGCTACTGGATGGACAGTGAACACCCTGAGTCCGCAACACATATTAGCTGCTGTTAACAGTTTGGCCATTGTGTAGAATAGAGTACACACCAGCCCATTTTCTAAAGACCTAGGACTTAGAAGAATACCTTCGACTACCTTCTTTCTGGTACTTCATCTTCCCCTAAAAACACAGACATGCCAAAAATATCCTGAGGGCCAAGCTACCTAGCTGACACTTCCTGGGTGTGTAACATGCTGTTCTAATTTTGTGCCCCAGTCCCTCTGCATGCTGGATGGGGTCCCCGGCCTCTCTACTGCCAGAGAATTGGGGCTTCTTTGCAAATTTTAATTTTCCTCAGCCCAGGAAAAATTAATTTGTGCCTCTTCAGCCCTCAGGCCGATTTGGGTCAGCTTTGGCCGTGTTAGATTTTAACCAGGACGGCCTGCCTGACCTGGCGGTGGGGGCCCCTCAGTGGGCTCGGAGGAGCTCACATATAAGGTAAGGCTGCTGATGGAGTTGGGGAGTTGGGGAGGTGGGGGAGGAGAGCTGGGGGAGGTGAGGTGCTGCTGAGGGGAGGCCAGTGCTGAGTAGAACCTCTGGAGAAATACAGCCAGCCAACTATCTGGCAGAACATTTGTGGGTAGATGACCTCAGGGACCTCCTTGGGTCCTTGACATGAATTTGGGTTACCTGGTCCTGCCTTCCTGGCTTTGATTTGGCCTCATGGTTTTCCAGTTCCATCAGGTACTTTTCCAGGAGGCCACAGATTGGTCTTATTTATTGTTGTATATCCAGTCTTTAGCCCCGCATGGGAAATAACTGCTTGTGTAATGGGTAGGCCTAGAGACAGGCAAGTTATAAGATAGGAACTGGTTGATAAATCAGAATGAAAGTACAGCACGTGTCCCAAGGCAAATGAATGGTATTAACAGGGTATTCAGAGGAATGATTGGCTGGGCTGGGGTAGGTTTCCTGGAAAAGCCAGAAATCCAGCAGGGCCTTGAAGGGGGAGGAGCTGAACAAGTTATTCTGCAAATGCAGTCAACAGTCATGGATGTCAGATCCTGGGCAAGACACTGTGGAGGCAAAGATAGAAATAACAGTTTCTACTTTGGGGTCTCTAATAGTCTGATGGAAATGATAAGCTTTAAAAAAGTATTTTTTTTTTTTTTTTAGCTCAGCAGCAACCATTAGAACAGGTTTCTGTCAGTCCCTGAGCTCTGATGGTGATTTATCATTAGCCATCTTTGTCTTGCAATTTAAGGTTCTTTATCTTGCTATTTAAAGTCATGAGCCATCTGACTTTCCTGAGGTTTGTCCTTGCCTAGGGTACAGTGTACATCTACTTTGGTTCCAAGCAAGGGAGAATGGCAAGTTCCCCCAACATCACCATCTCTTGTCAGGTATGTTTATCACCGTAGCCAGATGCAGAAAACTAACATTCACTGTATCTTAACTGGCCCCAAGGCTGAGTCAAATGTGGTTTCTTCTTAAGGACGTCTACTGTAACTTGGGCTGGACACTCTTGGCTGCAGATATGAATGGGGACAACAAGCCTGATCTGGTGATTGGTTCCCCTTTTGCACCAGGTGGAGGGAAACAGAAGGGAGTTGTGGCTGCATTTTATTCTGACCCTAGACGGACTGACAAAGGTAGTGCTGGCTGGAGGGATGGGTGGTTACCTTCTGTTCTCTATGCCTGGAATGACTTCTTTTCTATATGATTTATGTCTTTACTTCCTCTTTCCATATCATTTCACCTCCATTTTTTTAATAGTCTTTTACTTTTGCAGATGTTATGGTGAGTGATAGGGATAGATTCCCTGAAGCTACAAAAAAAGGACCCAACTTCTAGATCCAAATTTACCAGGGCCAATGGATTCTTCTCATAGCTTCCCGGTGTAAGAATTGAAACACTAATAAAAGCACCCCAGTGGTGCTCTGTCCAAAGGCGCTTTTTAAAAAAATTTTGCATTAACAATACATTTTTTCAAAGATTTATACATTTATGCATATACAAGCTGGGGCGCAGGCCAGAGAAGGGGTGGTGGTGGTGAGAGGATTCACCAGAGACAGAGTGGAGAACAGAACAGGCAGACCGACTGAAATACTCTGCTGAGGGGAGCAGCGGGCAAGACAGGAGAGATCTGTTTCCACCATGTGGGTTTCTCTCTGGCCAGGAATTGAACTCGTGCTGCAGAGGCCGCGGATCCCTCCATAGCACGGTGCTATGCGTCATCAGGGAGGCCCAACAATACATTTTTTTAAATGTCATGAAAAATTTACAAAAGAGCTGGCATTCCAAAAGTTGGGAAGTAACATGTTACACTCTATGCTATACCAGAGAGAGGCTCTTTTTAAGTAGCCTTCTATGCACCACAGAAGTGAGCTCTACAAACTTATTTCTTGTATGAAGTGGCAGATCCATTTCTGAATGGGAACTGCATGGGGGCATATGAGTTCTGGCAAAATCTCAGCAGAATGAATTTGTTTCTCATTAGCCTCCAAAGATAACTCTTGCCACTTCAGCATCCCTCCCATCTAAAGTAGAAGGGACTGGTTGTTTTGTGTAGAACAGTTGAACGTGGAGGCGGCCAACTGGATGGTGAAAGGCGAGGAAGATTTCTCCTGGCTGGGATACTCGCTTCACGGGGTCAGCGTGAACAACAGAACTTTGCTGTTGGTTGGGAGCCCGACCTGGAAGAATGCCAGCAGGTGAGTGCACATGTTGGGATCCAAGGCAGCCCAAAGGGTAGGTACCTGCTGCCGTGGGAACCCATTAAGTGTAGGGTTCAGAAAGAGGGGTGAAGAAATTGTCACCCATCAAGGACAAGCTAAGGTTCTGGGAAAAAGTTGCAAGTTCGTCCTCTTAGAAGTTTATTATTTTATTTTTTTAAAGATTGATTTATTTATGCATACAAGAACTGGGGTATGGGCCAGAGGTGCGGGGGGTGAGAGGATTCACCAGAGACAGGGTGGGGAGCAGAACAGGCAGATTGACTGAAATACACTGCTGAGGGGAGCAGCGGGTGAGACAGGAGAGGGCTGCTGTGCCATGTGGGTCACCTCCCTGGTTGGGAATCAAACTCGTGGTGCAGTGGCTGTGGATAGCTTCATAGTGCCGACACTTAATCCCTTGCACCACCAAGGAGGCCCCCTTAGAAGCTTAAAAATGAGGTAGATAGTTGCATTAATTTGCCAGTGTTGCCATGTAAGTACTGCAGATTAGGGGCCTTAAACAATAGGAATTGTCCATATGGATAGCACTGTTTCAGTGCTATCAGCGCTATTAATTTAATTAAACTATTAATTTTCTCAAGTTCTGGAAATTGGAGATTGAGGTACGGGCAGGGTTGTTTTCTTCTAAGGTCTCTCTTTTTGGCCTGTAGATGGCCAGCTTCTCCCTCTGTCCTTATTTTTCGTCTTCTCTGTGTGTCCATCCCTGATAGCTTCTTGTAAGGACACCACTCATATTGGATTAGGATCCACCCTAATGACCTCATTTTAATATAATTACCTCTTTAAGGATCCCATCTCCAAATAGGTCACGTTCTGGGGCAGTGGGTGTTAGAACTTCAGCACATGAATTTGGGGGAGATAAAAATTCAGCCCAGAAGAGTAGGTATCCCAGGCTCTGCTGTTAATTGAGAGGCAAGATGGTGGACTCTGTGTCTGGAGAATCTTGATGTTGGGATTCACTCTGAGAGCAACCCCATCCCCAGGCGTGCGGGAGGGGTATATGGGTGAGGTGGAGATGTGCCCTTTTCTTGCACCTGAATACCCAGCCAGTTCTGTCTCAGCAGCTAAGCCCAGTGTGTTTCTTTCTAGTTTGGGCAGTTTGTTCCGCACTCAGGATGAGAAACAGAGTCTTGGACGGGTCTATGGCTATTTCCCACCAAACTGCCAAAGCCGGTTTACTATTTCTGGAGACAAGGTATGGGGGCCACTCCCTCCCAGGACAGTGGAGGTCACAGGGAGCTTTCTTAAGTGCTATGCTCTATTGATTGACTGCGTTTCACAGGCAATGGGGAAGCTGGGTACTTCTCTGTCAAGTGGCTACGTGATGGTGAACGGAACCCAGAGACAAGTGCTTCTGGTTGGGGCCCCAACTCACGGTAGGTCATGAAACATGAAGCATTTCTTTCTAGTCATGTGGTTCCTTGACTATATTGAGGGCAAGTCATGAGATCTGGAGTTAGAACTGTTTGGACTGCTTTCTTTTCTCATTAATAGCAAGCTGCGTGACCTTGGTAAAATTACTTTACCTCCCTGAACCTTAGTATCATCGTCTGCAAGATACAAATTATAATTCCCACCTCAAAGATTGTCGAAAATCACACATGAAAGATTTAGTGTGGGGGGCCTCCCTGGTGGCCTAGGGGTTAAGTCTCAGCACTATGACTGCTATGGCCTGAGTTCGATCCCCAGGCAGGGAGCTGACCCACATACGTGCAGCAGATCTCTCCTGCTCACCAGCTGCTCTCCTTAGCAATGTTTTTCATTCAATCTACCTGTTGTGCTCCCCACTCTGTCTCTGATAAATCCTTTGACACCCCCCCTGCACCTCTGACCTATACTCCAGTTCTACACAAAAAGAAAGATTGATTTAGTGTGGGAGAGTTTAACTAAACTATTTCCTCCAAGGTTACAAGAGTTATGTTTGTTATGAAAATACAAGGAAGTTTACATATATATAAATCACCCCTTATCCAGCCAGATAGTATGTGAATATGTCATTAAATACTCTTCTAAAACTGATTTCTGATAAATGTATCAGATTTCCATAGGCGCATGCCAACATTTGCTAACATAATCTTATTGCTGGAAATCTAGACTTTCCAGGTTTTTACCATGGAGGATAAGGTGTAACTGAAGTCCAGGTGCATAAATCTGATGGCCTTTGTGAATCGTTTTTTTAGATTGATCCCTGGAGGTAGACTTCCTGGACTAGAGGGTCTAATCTTTTTAAGGCTCTTATTACATATTGACAGATTATTTTTCAGAAAGTTTTGCATAATACATTATGGGGAAGATATGATTGATAAGCAGAAGTGTGTGCAACGGAATAGCTATAATTTGTATTGCGTGACACAAGACACAGCATTAGAACGCTAAGAGTTGGCTGACTTGGTTTTGGGATAACATCTCCTTTTCTTTTCTCCTTTACAGAATCTAGGTAGAGATTTCTCAGCTTTCGCAACACACATTACTGGTTTTATTGGTCTCACTGGTCTTTCTGTCAGAATGCTGTGAATTAGAGCTTCCCACTTCCTTGCTATCTTTGTAATTTTGTTTTAAAATAGTCTGTAAAATAAAATGGTGACTATGTCTATATCTATTATAAAACTTTTGGAAATTATAAATTCACATGCACTTGCAGGAAAAAAGTAGAGCGATCCAGTTACATTTTATCTAGTTTCCCCAGCACTGTCTTGCAAACTATAATATCACAACCAGGTTATCGACACTGGTATACTCCACCGATCTGATCTGTTGAGATTTTCCCATTTTCACCATAATCTATGGGCCCTAAAACAAAATAAAAATGCAGAATCCTTTGCTATAAAATTATTCTGATTTTCAAATTGGTGACAGGAGGCTAAAGCCAAACACAGCACCTCTCTAAGTGTACACCCCACCCCTGCTGTGACTGCATATGTCACACACACGAGTTAGCTCCTTTTGGCCATTGGACGACTTCTGAAACCCGGGAATCATTTTTTAAAAGATTTATTTATTTATGCATACAAGAATTGGGGTACAGGCCAGAGGTGTGGGGGTGAGAGGATTCACCAGAGGCAGAGTGGGGAACAGAACAGGCAGACTGACTGAAATACACTGCTGAGGGGAGCAGCAGGGAAGTCAAGAGAGGTCTGCTGTGCCATGTGGGTCACTCCCTGGCCAGGGATCGAACATGTGCTGCAGTGGCTGCGGAAAGCTTCATAGGTTGCGTCTTAACCCCTTATGGCACCAGGGAGGCCCTGGGAATCATTTCAGACACTACTAATCTTGTTTCCATTCCACACTGATTTTGCTCCTGGGGCCATCATTTTGTCATTAACAACCATGGAAACCCCAGTTTTGCAAAGGTAGGATGTCATCAAAAGGAATGTAAGGCTTTAGCGTTGACACTGTGAATGCCTCCGGGTAGTTGATGAAGCATCAGACAGATGTCATTGTGCTACCTTCAAAGGTTCAAAGTAGCTGCAGCGTCCTTGTGAGTTCAGCAGAGTGCTTCAGTGTGCAGTTGAGAATCAAATCAAATATTTAGTGGGAATTTTTGGGTGTTGATTAATAACTGTCAAATACTTAACAGTATGAAAAACACTCAGAGGTGGCAAGGCGGAAGTGAGATATGGACCATTATACTGCTTGAAAACAGGGCAAAAGCCTTTCAAAAAAGGCAGTCCCCATGGATGTTGTGTGGACCACCTCTAAGACTTGTTCTCAGAAAATATTTAAAACTGGGGAAGAATTATCATGGTATTATTTATAATAGCAAAAAGTTAGAAATGGCCTCAATGTAAAAAGAATATAGAACTTCCTAATCTTCAAAAGTCTGCACTTTGGTTAAACATGTGATTATATGTACGTGTGTGTATGTCACCTCACACACTTGCATCTGTGTATCATTTTGCAGACAGAAATACACACCATGTAAACTGACAGCCTGAGGCTGGGACACAGGAGCTGGTGCTGCCCCCTGGTGATGACTGTGCAGGAGGGACCAGCACCTACTCTAGATCAGGGAGGTGAGGAAAGGATTCCAGAAGAGGCGACTCTTCCGTCAAATTCTGGGGTCTCAAATTGAGGGGTCTCTACTCCAGGCGGAGAGCACATCATTTCCAAAGGCCTAGATTTAAGAAATATTAAACTTGGTTTAAATTTGCAATGAGCCAGGGTGGTGTGGCCCCAAAGAATGCTAGAGTCCCAAGTAGGAGTTAGATTCTTGAAGAGTTTGGATTTCAGCCAAGTGGCTCTAAGTCAGGAGAGTGACATAGGTGCTTTGTGATGTAAAACAAGAGCTGTGTGGAGGATATGTTGGAGGTGGAAGACTGAAAAGGCTGATGGGATATCACTGAACTTTCTCAAATGTCTGGGTCTTGGGGTCCCAGATAGTTTCACCTTCCTGACAGTTAAGAGTTGACTGACACTAAATAGTCTGTCCGGTATGACTGAGTGATTTGGGTCCCTTGTGGCGCTGAGATTTTACTCAGTGCTCTGCATCCTAGCTTTGCTCTCAGGATGGCAGCAGGAATTGTACTGTGCTTTATTTCAGATGATGTGTCCAAAATGGCATTCCTGACCATGACCTTGCACCAAGGCGGAACTACTCGGATGTATGAACTGACACCAGACTCCCAGCCTTCTCTGCTCAGCACTTTCAGTGGAGACCGCCGCTTTTCTCGGTTTGGTGGAGTTCTGCACCTTAGTGACCTGGATAACGATGGCTTAGGTAGGGAAGAATTAGTGCATTTGCCCATCAGACCGGTCCCCTAACCAGATCATCTAGGCTCTGTCCTTGTGCTTGACAGTCCAGGGCCCTAGGGCCTTTAGGTAGATTGAGTCAGGTGAGACTGGCGCCAGATGTACAAGAGTGAGTTGTTCTTCGAGGGTGGTAAATATGAGTCACCCATGTCAATCGTTAGTGATAAATCATGACACAAGCTTTTGACTATGATGGGATACAGTTAGGGTAGGCTAATTGAAGAGCACATTAGTAATATTTGGGAGGCTGGGTGAGGTTCCAGTAGGGGAACAATGGAAAGGATGACAAGAAACTTTCTTCTGGCGGGTTTTGTTTACAGATGAAATCATCATGGCAGCCCCACTGAGGATAGCAGATGTGACCTCCGGACTGATTGGGGGAGAAGATGGCCGTGTTTATGTATACAATGGCAAACACACCACCTTAGGTGACGTGACAGGAAAATGTAAATCATGGATTACTCCATGTCCAGAAGAAAAGGTAAAGTGTTCTCATATAAACGTCTATACCCTATTGGGAACGGATGGCCTTTTGCCAAGTCCTTGTTACATCCACTGTAATTTACCATGTTTATGGGGAGGTCCTGGTTTGTTAAAGGGCACAATCACTTGCGTGTAGTTCACTGGCCCAGGTACTTGCATTTTGCAGCACTTCCCTAGAGCTAAAGTTTACTTGGACTTGGTATCATTCTGGTGCTTGGTTAGAGACCACAGAAGGAATCTGGCTGCAACCCCTTGGAGTACCGATTTCCTATTTCATTGTTCCCATGCTCAGGTTTCCTGGAATTAAACACTGACCCATTATTATTTTTTTATTGAGGCAATATTGGACATGATTCAGAGGTACAGGATCACATCTCTTAAGATGTATGCTACCACACCCATAATCCTCCACGAGGCCCCCACCCCACCTCTTTAAAAAAGGTTTATTGTAAAATTCTTACAAAGCACAAATAAACCTACCTAGAGCTTGACTCAGCAGAGGTGCATGTTAGCCTTTGATATATATTGCCTAGTATTTTGCTATGACCTTGATACCATTTTGGTGCATTTCCTCTGTCTAGCACTACGCTAAGCACACTGAAGCTACCAAATGGGCCTTGTGCCCACTTACAGATAGAGAACTTGAAGATCAGAAAAGGTGTTTTAAATCAAATTGCTAGGAAATGGCCCAGCAGGCACTCGAGCCAAGAGTTGCTGCTGATGTTCACTGTGTACGTTAACAACCATCTTATCGCAGATGATTTTGTAGGCAACTGTGTATTTGATTTTATCACTACTGTAGGATTTTTCTGTGCCAGCTTGTATTTTTTACAACACATTTCTGGATGCTTACTATTTTATTTACAGATAAAACATGGTTTAACCATTTTTTTTTTTAAATGACTATTAGTACTATTAGACTAATGAATTCTTTTCTGAGCTAAATTCCTGCAAGTGGAATTTTTGGTGCCAAAGAGCATGCAAACGTTAAAGGCTACACTAGAAATGTAGGAATGTCAATGTAAGGGTATGATATTACTATCACGATGGTTTTTTTTAAAACCAATTTTAATAGCCTCCCTTTCTCACTATTTTCTTTTAGGCCCAATATGTATTGATTTCTCCTGAAGTAAGTATTGCCTGAAGGAATGGTGAAAGAAAAATTACCCACCCCCGGAAAAAAAACAAAGCCTTTCTCTTATTTTAAGGTGAGAAAAATAACACGGCTTATCTTACAGGCAAGCTCAAGGTTTGGGAGCGCTATGATCACTGTGAGGTCCAAGAACAAGGTGAGTTCCAAGTATCAAGACTATACTCCTTTGATATTTGTTTTATGGTTGGTATTTTGGGATTATCTCATTTTGTTCATTTCTTCTTTGAAGAAGAGGAACATAAAACATAAAAATAACATTCTCACATAACTCATTACTTTTTTAATTCCCCTACTTCCCCTTCAGTTTCATCCTCTACAATGGGGGCTGGACTGACCTATCCCAACGTGTGGGGCCAACTCCCTTGGGTCACCTGTTTTTGTATAGCCCAGAAACTGAAACACTGTTACATGTTTAATTGGGAAAAAAAAGACTAATTCATGACAAATGAAATTGACATGAAGTTGGGATTCCAATGTCCGTAAATCAAGTTTTACTGGGACACAGTCTTGCCACTTTATTACAATAACAGCACTGTTTAGCTGCTAATGTCCCACAGTCTCTAAATTATATTGGCCCTTCCTAGAAAATTTACTGCCACACTAGGTAACTGTAGTTAGTATGTTGATGTTTTCTTCCAGACTTAGAGACATATACATAGACACATTTCCACTTCTCATTGTTTGATAATCATATACTATATTATGTCTCTTCCTAGAGAAGTACCTATAGAGCTATTTGCTACCTGATTCTAATGGCTGCATACTCTTTTACTGTCTGGATGGACCATATTTTTATTTCCAAATTTTTACTATTATAGATAATGTTATTGAGCATTCTTGCAGCTATCTCTTTATGTAACTGCAAATATCTGCTAGATCAAGGTTTTATTTTAAATTATACTGCTAAACTATGCCAGATCCATTCATTCATCTCAGGACATATGTGTGCTAGGCTGAGAGATATATAGTATATGAATTAGACACATGGGAAATTAAATACAATGCAAATCATTACATCATTAAGATTAAATGCTAAAAGATTACATGCTATAAGATTAAATGCTAAAGAGTAGTGTGAACACTAAGTAATGTTGTACATTAAGGTTTGTAAGATGTGAAGTGTTGTGGACCCTGTTTTGGTTTATAAGAATTATGGTGATATTGTCCCCTACTGGTCACCAGTTCAAGTGGCCAAGCCTCACAGCACAACTTTTGGGTTAAATACAAACAAAAGAGCATTTTAAATTTATGACAGGATTCTCAAAAAGTCTAGTCACAGAAATACTGTTAGGTTACCTTGCATTTGAAATTTTATGTATTTTTCAAAAATTAGATATTATCAATAAATCAACAATTATTTACACTGAGAGTGATTCGATCATCCAAAAGTAACTTTTTCTATACAACACTGCAAGTTTACCTTCCTAGTAGTAGTTCACTCGAGTCAATATAAAAATTATAATCAGGAGTGTTGGGAAAGTGAAATAAAGAAAAACCAGATTAAATTGAAACAGAAAACTGAAGACAAAATGTCAGTAGCAAAACCATGGAACTAAATTTACCCTTCAAAAGGCAGAATGTAGTTGGCTGGATCAGAAATCAAAACCCAACTTTCTGCTATATCCAGGAGACTCTAGAGCTTCAAAGATAAACATAGGTTTAAAGTAAATGGTTGTTAAGACAATCCTACCAGCAAACAGAACCCAAAAAGGTGGGAAGGTAACAAGAGATAGGGATGGACATAACGATTAAGATCAATACATCAGATTTTTTTCCCCCTGATTTATTTATTTATTTATTTATTTATTTATACAAGCACTGGGTACAGTCAGAAGTGCAAGAGGGTGAGAGAATTCACCAGAGCCAGAGCGGGGAACAGAACAGGCAGACCGACGAAGTACACTGCTGAGGGGAGCAGCGGGCGGCAGGAGAGGTCTGTTGCACCCTGTGGGACCCTTGCCGGTGGCCGGGGATCGAACCAGTGCTGCAGAGGCTGCGGGCAGCTTTGCAGCCCAGTGCTCAACCGCTGGACCACCAGTGGAGGCCCCAATACATCAGATGTTGTATAACACTCATCAACACATATATACCAAATGAAGAAGCATCAAAATATATGACAACTATTAACATCTTAAAAAATAGGGGACTTCAACCTATATTAATGGACAAATCAGACAGAAAATCAACAAGGAAAAATTGGTAAGACCAGATGGACTAAACATTTAAGGGTACTATAGAGCTGAGTACACATTATTCTGAAGAGTACATGGAACACTGTCAAGGATAGACCACATTTTGGGTCATAAACCAACTGACAACAAATTCATGAATATTGAAGTCACATCAGGTATCTTATCTTCTCTGATTACAATGGTATCAAACTAGAAATCCAAACCAGTAAAATCTCTAATATATGGAGACTGAATACTACTACTGAATGACTGTTGGGTTAATGAGAAAAATCAAGGAAATTAAAAAATACCTGGAGATGAGTTAAAAATGCCTAGGACAAATGCAAAACAGTAAAAGGAGTACTAAGAGAGAAGTGTATAGTAATACAGGCCTATAAGAAACAAGAACTCAAATAATCTAACCTTACACCTTAAGGAACTAGAAATGAAAAAAAAAAAAAAGGAACTAGAAATGAAACCAAAAGTCTGTAGAAGGGAGGAAATAATAAAAATCAGAGTGGAAATAAACTACATGGAATGACAAATGGGCAGGGAATGTGAACAGACATTTCTCTAAAGACAGCCAGCCAGTAGGCATATGAAAATATTTTTTACACCTCACTTACCAGCCTTTGTTCAGAATATCTCTTGGTGGTTTCCAAAAATGAAATCCAATCTCAAAGCATATAGATTTGCCACCAATGAAAATGTTTAAAAACTTGTACCAGGCTTGGGGCTCCCTAGTGGCGCAAGGGGTTAAGCCCAGCACTGTGAAGCTATCCGCAGCCTCTGCAGCATGAGTTTGATCCTAGTTAGCCAGGGAGCTACCCATATGGCAAGGCAGACCTTTCCTGTCTTGCCCACTGCTCCCCTCAGCAGTGTATTTCACTCAGTCTGCCGTTCTGTTTCCCACTCTGTCTCTGGTGAGTCCTCTCACCTCCCGTACCTCTGGCCTGTACCCATCAATAAATAAATCTTGTATGCATCAATAAATAAATCTTTAAAAATAATTTGTACCAGGCTTTGAAAGGAATTCTGAAGGATGGATCTTAGCAGCAGGGGCAGTAGAAGTGTTGCAAACACACTGACAAAGGCAGCCCCTTCTGACAATCATCATTATTCCAGGTCTGCTGTCTGTCATGTACCTCCACTAGAAAACCAGAATGAACATGTTCTTTATTCTCTGTGTGCCAGAGAGGGGGCTGTAGTGAACTTCCTTCGCTGTGGTTGGTTTCTAACCTACTGAAGGGTCAAAGTGGTTTTAAGCTGAGGGAAAGGAGATATTTTGAGAGTGAGCAACATAGGGTGTAGCCAGTCTCTTACCTGTGTCTGGATGTCCAGAGCCTAACACGATGCCTGGACTATAGCAGGAATGTAACAGTAGTGATGAATAATGAATTGTTTCATGTTCTCTACAGAATCAAGTGGTCATTGCTGCCGGAAGGAGTTCTTTTGGAGCCCGGCTCTCAGGCGCCCTCCACATCTACAGCCTTGGCTTAGATTAAAGATTTCGCTTTTCCTATCTACCCCTCCCTTTCTCCTGCCACGTCATCTCCAAGGTGAGAGGTCTGGTGGACAAACTGTCATGACCAGTGGAGCCTTTGTAGATGCTTCTAGATAGAGATGAGGCTCCTGGGAGTGAAGACATACACAGCCAGACTATCTGGACATACGACACATTATGACGACGTCAGAAATATGGGAAGTGGCAGACAGTGGTTATTCATGCCCTTTTGTACAACGTATTTCTTCCTTCACATGAATCCCTATCTTTCTGGGGCCTAGAAAGGCTTCTGTTTCTTTTAGGAAAACCTCTATATACAATTTCTTCTAAAGATGTCCTTTAAAATTGGTGCCTCTCTAATCAAAATGCCATAGCATAGAACAGGGTCAAACAGTGCAGAGAAACAGCAGAATGAGGAAAAAAGTATGGGGGTGTGAGGAATGATCTCACAACTCTCAAATCATGTAAATGATGCGGTCATTTCTGAACGAGAATTATTTTTAATGTTCCCTCTAGTGAAGGACAAATGTAGAGAATGCTAAGTCAGTCACCCCGAGAGTGGCCTCTGTTGCATTAGATGCCACAAGTTGTGCCAACAGAACGAAAGCAGACAAGAGAGATCTGGGCTGAGCCAAAGGCAGTAGCGTGACCAAGAGGAGTGGGGCAGGCTTGGCTTTCCTTCTTCCCGGGCTGGTTTAATAGCGTGGTTTCGCCCATTAGGCGTGCAGGCATATTTAAGGACTAGGAATGCATCATGGGGTTTTAGTTTTACTACAAAATTACAGGGTTATCTGTAAACGTAACTATTTGATTCTCTATTAATCAGGGGAGAACTTCTTCTGCTATCAGTGAAAGGAAACTAAAAACGGGAGAAAATAACACAGGGCAAGAGCCTGTCTCAGTTTTCCTAGAGGCAGAAGTAGATGGTCAGAGGCGTCCAGTGAAGCATAAAGGTAAATTAGAAATCAACTAAAATTAAAAGTTACAATTGTGAGCATAAAGTGAGTCTATACAGGAAAAGAACATGACTAGGCATGCAGCTAGACAGCACCCCTGGCTCACTCCTGGCATTGTCCCATCTTTCTGGAAGAGATAAGCTGCTGCATTTTTCCCTGTGGAAACTGGCTTAGTTTGGGTGACAATTATTGGCAACTCATCTCAGGAAGTGTTTTTAATTAAAAGGAAGCCTGATATTAAACGACAAGGAGTTACGTAGATGTTTCTCAAGAAGCCTGGGTGAAGAACAAACTGATGACATTGCATTTCAGTCAGAAGTGTTTCTCTCTGTACTAGATCTTTCCTTTAGAAAAATGTGTACTTTGTCATTATTATATCAATTATCACATGATAGGACTCATGCTTAAACCATCATTATTACCCGAGTTTTTATAATGTCTGAACATACCAGGTAGCAACCCCCAGCTGCAGAAGATTAAAATTACCAATCGTAAGCAAGTTTTCATACAGGACATTTAACCATACTAACCCCATAGTAAGAAATGATGTAAACTGCGCTCTTATTGGTGAAGGAAAACCTGTATGGCAGATATGTAAGAACCTGGCACTCAGGAAAAAAAAATCTGTGTGACTATCAAATGTATTACTCTGGTAGGTGGATTAATTTTTCATTCTACTAAGTATTAACTGTAGTTCTAAAGCATTCACTCTGAAATGTAGAGGAACAAAAATGGAAATACCTGGTAGGGTTTTATGCTCTCATTAATACAAATCTTAAATTTTATGCCATTTAAGTCAAAATTACTTTTATTTCAAGATGGCAAATCACATTTACAGCTTTACAGTGTTTATTATGTGTATATATGTAACAATTTTCAACTTTAAGATCAAAATTATTTTATGCCTTTGCATCACAGATCTAAGAGAATAAATATGATTTAAGTTTGGGGATCAACTGATGTTTCTGAAGCCCATATCCCATGCATCACCCATGAGACCACTCTGTAGATATTACTGAAGTAAATGAAAGTAAATCTTATATTTAAAGCGTGAGCTTAATATTGCAATTCTAAATAATAAAGATGTGTACAACTTTTGGGGCAACTGACCAAAATAAACAGCTTTATAATATGAGATTGTTTAACTTTATTCAACACAGTTTATATTTATCAAGAATAAAGCAAGTGTTATTAGCATCCGAAAATGACATGTATTCTGCACACTTTAAGAGGATTTCCAAAAGCAAATGTAGTCTATTAAGGGTGTCATATTATGCATTTCACATGTTAAAAGGGGGCTAAGATTAATTACATAATTAAGTTTGGCATTTATTCCATCACTTTACTTTCAAATAGTACTTTATGTGCTCAATTTATTATTTTAACTTAAACTTTAAAACCAATCAACTTTTTTTTTGCGTAGGCTGTTTTATTAAAGGGAACTTTATAAGAAGTATCCTGAAATCACCAAAGCAGAGCTAGTTGAGTTTGAAAGTTAGATCAAATCAGATTTGATCTAAGCACCTTCGCAAATTTTATCAAACATCGGTGACTTCCCTTTATGAGACTTAATGAGGTAGCTGCATTTATTTTCCCTTTTTCCAATAAAAAACAGACTTATCAAAAAAAAAGTTTATAAACTAAGAACACAAGGAAAAATGACCAACATTCTATCCTATACCTGATTAGTTAAATCACATTTTGCCCTCTGAGCTTCTAATTCTTCCTATGTCACAGTTAAGTATAATAATACTACTTTATTTTACAGTGATGAGTTTTAAGGAGTGCCAAAGAGTGCTCTGTGAAATGTTAAGTATTATCAAAAGCTCATGTTAAAGTATTTCCTTTTTATTCACCTCAAAAAAAGGCAACTATAAGTCAAGGTTTAAAGCACAAACTTCCAGAGTTATTTTAAGGTCAATACATTTTTACTAGCTTTGTAGTGACCTGTGGAGTGAGAAAATTCACAAGAATATAATTCGTTGTGGTAAGAAGGGGCTATGTGATCGAAAAACTGTGTGTGTGTCAAGTTTCCAGGCTTTATTAGGCATTAAATTGAACTTTTCTTGCTAGGTATAAATTAAAATATAACTTGTGTTAACACTTTACAATTCTCATGTCTATAAAAACAGCCTTTTAAATTTACAGGAAATAGAATTTTGGCCTTTTGAAGCAAGCACTTTCTGTCCTCAGAATTCTGAGACAGCAATGAAGTTTGGTGACTGCCATTATTTTTATCATCAGGCATTATATTTTAAATATCAGCATTTTTTTCCAAGTCCCTGAATCTATAAAAGAAAGTCATAAGAATAAGAGGAGTTTCTAATGACTACCATGAAAAATACCAGTTGCCAGTGGGTATTTCCTAACGGTTTGTTAGGACATTCCTGCTTGATCCAAGTCCATCCGGTCGGAAGCTGTGTTTCAATTCCAACCTTCTATCTGCCTTTTTAGGTAAAGATGCCATCTAAATAAAACAGAAAACTAATTTTACTTTGTCTTTCTTAAACAAACAAATACTAGTGGGGCCTCCCCCGGTGGCGCAGCGGTTGAGCGCTGGGCGGCGAAGCTGTCCGCAGCCTCTGCAGTGCCAGTTCGATCCCCAGCCACCGGCGAGGGTCCCACATGGCGCGCAGACCTCTCCTGCCGCCCGCTGCTCCTCTCAGCAGTGTACCTGGTCGGTCTGCCTGTTCTGCTCCCCGCTCTGGCTCTGGTGAATCCTCTCACCCTCCCGCACTTCTGACTGTACCCAGTGCTTGTATAAATAAATAAATCTTTAAAAAAAAAAAAAAAACAAAAACCTAGTAAATTGATACGTAAATACTAAATGAGGGAAGGACTGCATGTCAATTATCAATGTTTTAACTATTCCAGTAGTATGAACTACAAGTAGAAAAGAAAAAAAACGGGCGCTTGTATTTTAATGAGAACACTACACATGTTTTCTACATTTTAAATTTGGTTATGACAAATCTGCACCCAAAATACTAAGATCTGTCTAAACATAAAATATAATGCCTGTCACAGTGTTCTGTACAAAATAAATATAACTTATTTATTGTGCTAGTCACTGCTAATAAATCCTAAGTAAGTACTTTATATATGTTACCTTATTTAATTCTCCCATTAACTCTTTGAACCAGGGGTCACTGGCTTTATTGACAGATGAGAAAACTGACAGAGACTTAGAGAAATTATAGAACTCGGTCAAGGTCACATAGCCTGTGACAGATTAAGCCCAAGTTGTCAGAATTTAGAGGCCTCGTGTCATCTCGTCACTGTGCTGTGAACCAGACCCTTCGTACCAGAGGAGGCAAAGGAGCTTCAAGCTGGCGTCCAAGGAATGACAGCAAACGCCTCCAGATTAGGCCACTTCCCATAAACATAATTCCTGTAATCAGCCAAAACACCCGATGGTCCTAAGAGAACACACAGTAAGTTTCAATCACAAAAGGTTATGTTCCATAGAGATAAAATTTCCCGAATTATGATTGCCCCAGAGTTTAAAAGAAGACTTTTCCCTCCCAGGTCTCTCTTACAGAAAGAACTAAGAATAAGTGCCTTGAGAGCATCCAGAGTCCGCTCCAGGCAGACTAGACTGTGACAACAGGTATGAAGTCTCATTTGTACAAAACAGTTTCCTTGCAAATTTACCAGTTCAAGAATTCCAGATAAAGTGTTTGTCTTCATCTGAAGATCATGAAAAATAAGGCAGGGATTCACAGTATCCTTATAAGCTACATACTGTTATCATTCTAAGTAGAACAAAAAAGATTTCCACATTGGGGAAAAGATGTAATAAAGAAAAAGCACATACTCTGAGGTTCATAAGAATATCCCTTTGGTGAATACAAAACTGAAAGCAATTGAACATTTGATAAGAATCAAGCACTGGTAGTTGTACATCTTTCCCCCAATATGAAAATCTTTTTTGTACTTCTTAGAATGGTAACAATATGACGCTTATAAGAATACCATAATGAAAAAATTTACTTTGTGTTTGCTTTTATGTATACAAAGTTGAACAATTATAATCAGATAGGACATTCAACTTAATTTAAATTTTTTGCTTAGAACCACAGTTTCCAAACTGTGAACTCAGGTACAAAATAGCATACTGCCCCAAAATATTCTAAATTTTCAAGGTTAACACAGTACATCTGTGGGATACCATGAAAATTATGACCTTTAAAATGTTCTGACCTGGCTACTTCATGAAGAAACCGTTAGAGAGCTGTAACTTAATAATAAAAGAAACTTTTGGTTTAGAGATGCTATGGAAAAAATTACTAAGACACTAAAAAGCATCATGAAAGCAAGAAAGCATTTTTCTTCACTGTCATTTTCAAAATTGTAGTTATTTCTGCTGTGTAATGTTTTTAGTTCATGTATTTATGACAGATTCACGGAATATTTTTTATTTTTTCACAAAATATTTAATCTCCCACAGGGAAGATTATAGCCCATTTGTAGCTATACCATTAGTTTGCTATCAGTGATTGAGGTTACTTTCTTTCAAGATAGCCTCTTACACAAGTGATCAGTTAGCACTGATGGAAATTTATCTCAGATCAGGTAGAAATCTATCCTTTTAACATGAAGTCAGATTTCAGGCATAGATTTAGAAAGACGCATGCTAACACGAGTTAACTGTTTTTAAATGTCAAGCCCATTTCTAGTTATCCAAAAAGAGGTTCCTAATTTATTAAGGAAAAATATAATACAAAGATTACAATTGTTCTTTGCTGTAAGTTTGTCTGCAATACCCCGTAAATCAAAAGTCTGGGAATACCAAAATGTGCCAACTTGACAGGTAAGCAAGTGAGAGGCAAACCAAACTCCAAATGTCATGTGTCATTAAAATACACACACAGCAGAGTGTGAGACCTCTAGGAAATTAATGGAAAGGATGAATGTCTGAGAGGGGGTGGTCTAACGCTACCTCTGCTCTGCGTGAGCCTTGCTGGATGCCTGAAGTCCCCACTTTTCAACTCTCAGCCCTCTTTATCTCCTCCACTATTTACTGTGTCGATAACACTTAGAAATAAAATGCCTATAACCTCTTGATGTGCTGCCAGAGGCTAGAAAAACACTAAAAACTGATGTCAAAAGTACTCAGAAGCAAAAAGGGATAATTTGAGCATCAAAAGAAACAGTGATAACATGATAACAACCTCATTGACTAAAATACGATCCCAGGAGGCCATGCTGATGTAAATGGATAAATAACTGGGAGAGGAGGGAATGCTTTACTTTATAACTAATAAATGTTAGTTTATTAGTTAGGAGGAGACAGAATTAGAAAGTCTGCACTGAGTAAACCATCACAGTAATATTTAAACTCGGATCAATTAGAGGATGCCAAAACTAGAGGTTGAATATTGGACAAAACAGGATTTTTACACAGCTCTCAAAGTACCTCCCTATAAGATACCTCCTTCCAAAGAGAAAAAGAGTAATTTTATAGGGAAGTTGACAGATACCACCTTAATGAATTGATCAAAGTTAGTATCACTAGCAGGACAAACTGACATCATGTGTCTCCTTATGGAATTCAATGTAAAGAACACACTGACAAAATGCAAAACCAGAAGCCAATAATGAAAATGTCAAATAATTGGCCGCTATTTGTGAATGTCAAGTTCATGAAAGACAAAGATTAAAGAACTAATCCAGAGAAGCACTTTCAATCCAGACCAGAACCGCAAAGGATGGGAAACACCTTTGGGAAACACTGCAAAGGATGGGAATAAGATTGTGAGACAGCTCCCAACTCCTGTAAGGTCATTTGGAATACATCTGGTATGACACCAGCCACTTTTCCTGACTCTGAATCAAAGGGAAGATTTCCTAGTGGAAAAGGGAAGCCCCTATCCAAGAGACCAAGAGGTGCATGTATAAGGAATTCAATGGATAGTCATACAATGGAGTATTACTCAGTTATAAAAAGAAAAAAATAGTGTTAAGTATAACAACATGAAAAATCTTAAAATATGACGATATATCAGGCCTCCCTGGTGGCACAGGGGGTTAAGCACAGCACTGTGAAGCAATCCGCAGCCTCTGCAGCATGAGTTCGATCCCTGGCAGGCCAGGAAGAAACCACATGGTGAAGCAGACCTGTCCTGTCTCACCCGCTGCTCCCCTTAGCATATGCTCCCCTGCCTGCCTGTTCTGTTCCCACTCTGTCTCTGGTGAATCCTCTCACCCCCCCACATCTCTGGCCTGTACCCCAGCTCTTGTATGCATAAATAAATCTTTAAAAAAAATGACGATACGTCAAAAAGACTTCAACAAGAAGTGCTGGACAGGATGTAGAGAAAGAAAAACCGTGATACACTGCTAGTAGGAATGTAAACTGGAACAGCCATTTTGGAAATTGGTATGAATTTATCTTTAAAATCATGCAGTGGTCCTTATGAGATGCTATGGGCTGAACTAAGGAAACAGCCAGAGAGAGAGAGGGAGAGAGAGAACAGACCTGCTAGGTCAATTAGGACAAAGAACCCAGTGCCAGAATATGCCACAAGAATACTCAGATACACTTCTAGAAATCTTACACTAAGATTTTTTAAAAAATACAAGTTTATGATGGAACTCCAGGAATTCCAAATCATATTAATATGAAAAGGCAATAGAGTAAAATGGAAAGTTGAGCTTGGGTTAAATGCTAGTTTTGTGCTCTTGGACAAGTTACTTAAATTTTTTGAGCTTCAGTTTTCTCTTCTATGAAGTCGGGATAACAGTTCAGTTTTCAGAATTATGATTAAGCCAAATAAAGCATGCAAACTGCCAGGACATCAATGCCTGATGCATAGGAATTAAAAAATTTTTAAATCCTTCATTAAAGATCTTATGCCTCACAGTATAAAACACTGCTTCACAGTGGAGGGTATAATGATACTGCCTGAATTTTAAATGATTTTAGGGCATTTGTTTTATTTCACTAGGGGAGTATACATAATAAGATTTGCTTTTTAAAAACCTACTATTGATCTTCAAAATATTAAAAAATAACTTCTACATTACTGAAATAACATATTCTCACCTCTTCAAGGGAAGACTGCAAGTTCATTCCAAAAGCCACTCCCATTAGTCCAAAGAGCGAAAGAGAGAAGGTTCCCATGGTCAGCTGCAGGTTCAACCTCATCATCACATTACGGTGGCTGGAGAGGAGAACAGAAGTGCCTATGAACTATACTTAGTAAATTCACCGAATAATCTATTAAAGACCTCATGGATTATACCTTAAACAAAAAAAAGACAGACTTCCATATAGTTCTAGATGATAATGATTGTATAAATCCTTCCCAAAATGATGATTCCTTAAAAGTTTTACTACTTAATAATTATTGTATAATACAGAAAATATTATTTTATATAATGCTTTCTTACCTGTCCAGGTTAATGAATATTATACTTTGTGAATCATCAATCAGCACCCTAAGCTCCCGAGCTGCATTGGAAAGATCGTCAGCTAATCGGTAGTAGTTTTCCAGCAGCAACTCCATCTCTTCTGCGTGGTCAATGCCAGCACTGCTCTTTTCACTTCAATTGAAAGAGTTAGCATAATTAACACGACCCTAATATATCCACCCTGCCTTCAGTACTAAAAATTTCCTGAATTAGTAGGTAATATTCAGGTGTCAATGAAAAAAACTAGACTGTGCCTTTTCTACTACTGTGATTGAGGCCAATCTATACGTGGCACTGTGAACTGACCCTGAGCACTCTGGAGGTACATCCAGGGCATAAGTCCCACCTCTATACTGGCTAGTCATTATAATCTGTGCCCCTAATCCAAGGGACTTTCATGCAAATAAATACTACCAGTTACAGGAAATCCACAAGTGTGAATGCTGATGAAATAGTGCAAACCTCAAACTGTTGAGACAAAACAAAGCCAAACACTAACCATGAATATAAAGAACATTTTGTTTCAAATGTATGTCATTTTCATATATGAAGACTGCTTTTGACTCATGTCAAGACATACTTTGCTCCCCTTTACCAACATCCCTAGCCCCAACAAGAAGTTCAGTGAAAATGAAGCACTCTATAAAAGATATTTATATCATGAAGTATATTAGAAAGATTAGCCTAATAAGCAATGCAACTGAGTTACTTACAAGTTTGTTCAAGTTTTTGCTACTGTATTTGTTATAAGACTAAAAGTAAAATATCCCTTTTTATCTTAATGTTTTCTTACTAGAAAATAATTTCTTAATATGGTTTAAAAATCTGTACAGGCTATGGAAACAAACATGACAAAGTTGTCTGTATTAATTTCTAAGACTAGTCTATAATGAAAAGTGAAATACTGTGAATATTTAAAAGTAAACATTCAACTTGAGTTTACACAAGATGAGTAATTTCTAAATTCATTAGAGATGAAAAAGTTGGTAAGATGAGAATTTTCAATTCTACCAAATTTACAGAACTTAGACCAATGTCTTACGCATTTCCCTTTACCCCATGTTTTCCCTTCCCCATAGGAATTTCCCCTCCTCTTTTGCTGTATTCCGTATTCCCTAGATAAGCTATTTGGCAGATGTGCAATTTTGGTGGTCAGTTGTAAGAATACGATAAAGCCACTGGCGTGTTTAATATGTCACAGCCCAGCATAGTGTTGTACACTTAATATATCTTTGTTAAACTGAATTATTAATATACGCAATAGAGCACAGAAAGAGAAAACCGAGTAGGAATGCAATGTGTTTATATTCACATTCCAGAAAAATGTCATGTTCTTTATGAAAAATCATCCTGAACAGAAGATTGATCCTAAGCATGATTATATACTTACAAGACTTGCGGGTCACTCCATTTTGTTAGACAGAGCTCTTCCAGCAACTCTTCTTCATCTAAGATCTCCAAAATCGACTCTTTGAAAATTTTAATATCTGTTTCTAACTCTGATAGACTGTAAGAGTAATTGTACAGAAATGATCAACAACATAAATTACTCATTGGAATTGATCTCAGCATATATTACTTATTTCAGAAACATATCACTGAATTTTTTTAGGTTTCTGGTTAGGAAATTTATGGCAGTGATAATATAAGGACTGATAAAAACACCCCAACATTTTTGGACAAAAGAACTATTGACTGAGGAACGTTAACTCTTGAAAGAATCTTGGGGTATACAATTCCTGAAAGCATGTTTATTCAAGTTATGATACAAATTAATTAAATATCATTCTTAAATTTTAAAATGCATTATACTAAACTGAAAGAAAGAACAACATTATCTTGGGAGAAAACTGGATTTGAATTTAGATCTGCTATTTACCAGCTGCATAAATTTAGGCAAGTTACTTAAACTTCAAGTTTTCTCATCTTGAAAATGAGGACACTACTAACTGCTAAGCAGGATTACCAACAGGAAGAGATAAACTCACAAAGGTAGAGAAGCCTGACAGAACATTTCATGTAAAATGGCTTCTCAGTGAACGTTAGTCTGTGTGTCCTGTTAGGCTTAACTTCCCACACAGGCTACTTTTCTATTGTGAAAGCACTGTTAGTTATTACTTATTACCATCAGCAATATGAGGTGGCAATTTTTAAATGATCTCATTGGTAATAATCACACTAATTTTATATCTGTATTTAAGTGGAATATTTCACTGTGAAGACTACTGGAAGAGGGCCTCCCTGTTGGTGCAAGGGGTTAAGTCTCAGAACTATGAAGCTATCCGCAGCTACTAAATCACAAATTCAATCCCTGGCCAGGGAGCTAACCCACATGGCACAGCAGACCTTGCCTGTCTTGCCCACTGCTCCCCTCAGCAGTGTATTTCAGTAGAGCTGCCTGTTCTGCTCCCCACTCTGTCTCTGGTGAATCCTCTTAACTCTCCGCATCTTTGGCCTACACCCCAGGTCTTGTATGCATAAATATATAAATCTTTAAACAAAAAACAAAAAACTAGTGAAAGAGAAGTTCAAGATATTTACCTTTTGCCATTCTGCAGTAAGACATGAAGTTTGCTTTTGTCTACAGAAGAATGTTTGGGATCCACTAAAGCTTCCAATGTCTCAAGGACCAGTGGCTGCAAAATGCTAAGTTTCCCCTGAAGGGTGTTGATCTAGATAACAACATGACCTTTCATAAGAATTAAAACAAATCTTTTTAGAATATTTAGGGTCAGTGAATCCTCTGATTCAATACAGAAATCTACAGCAGTTAGGAAAGTTCATTTCAGAACATGGTCACTGTTGGAATGCCCATTCTAGATGATTCAAGGACTATCGTATCTCCTAAAAATAACCATGCAAAATGTTATTATAAGGCTTGCATCTTATTGACAGGAAATTAACTCTCATAAATGTCTTCCTTCTATAAACACTTACTATAAAAGGAATGGGGCGTTGATTAAAATATGTCATCCCATAGTTACAACACAAACTCTACATTCGGTAAGTAATACTTATGTTTTTTTATAAATGGAATATAATTCAAAATTGTTATGAACAAAATTTTGGAAAAACTATAAAATTTGGACTTTAAAAATCTTCCATACTAATTGGTAAAGAGCATAATAGTAACTAAATTAAACAGTAAAATTAATTAGTGATACAAATTCCAGCATAGTCTGTTTACATCAGCATGAGTTCCTGAGAGCTGACTAACCCTATAACTCCTCACTGACCACTGACCTTTTCTTTTCCTTGCATGCTAACTGGGCTCCAATTAGGGAAAGGCTGGTATTGGCTGGTACTGTGGCCTAATTAGCCCAAGTAGGGTAGGTAGTCACCTCCTACCCCCTTTACTGAGCAGTAGAGTAAGGCAGAAAAAAGAGAGGGGTCCCGGGATCACCCAGTCCCTACCAACTCATGTCTTTTTTACCTACCCTCTTCCTCCCACTCAAGGTAGCATGCTCTTAGCACTCACTAACTCTTGCAGGCACTCAGTTCCCGAAGTGTCAAACAGGGTCAAGAAAAGATAATGAAAGCTTTATGGGGGCCAGAAAAGCTGTGACCATTCTTGTTCAGGGCCTAACAGGATCTGCTGACACTAATGAATCAATTTAATGGGGGGGGGGGGAGTCTTTAGGAGAATTATATAAGATTCCTATGTTAAAACAGATCTCAAACAGGCATCATTTAGTTGCTTCAAACAAAGCTTTGTGCAAAGAAATCAAAGAATGATCTGCAAAGTATTAGTATAATCTGATGAACGATTTAGGCTATAATATTTATCACATGTAAATAGTTTTGCCATATACAATTTAATTTAGCCAGAGACTAAAATGGAGTACAATTTGAAACTTATGTTCATTATAACATATTTAGGATATTATGTATTCTGAATTATCACTCCTGAATAGTTATTAAAACTGGACAAAGGATCACCAACTTGAAAAGTGCTTCACTGAATGTCATAACAGTGAAGACAGACACACACACACACACACACACACACACACACACACACACACACAATATCTAGAGACTTCAGATTTGATTACTGTGGATGTGGCGAATAAGGCTCCTTTCAAGTTAGACAAGGGCAGGCAGGACTCTTGATCCCCCTGGGGCAATAGGTATACATCTCAAGGTATGAACACCAGAGGGAGGCATGACTGATGTGCTTTGTGCCCCAGGGAGTGATCAGGGACCACCTTGTTAATAAGATTGGAGCCATGGGTAGGAGTTGGGAGTTTATCTTGGAATCACCCTCCCTAAAGCCTTAAATCCAGTGTTCAGCTGGATCCACCCTTTTCTGTAAATAAAAAGGCCAGGATCCTGCATCCTACAGCCTCAGATTAGGTCATAAAGTTTAAGAATTAAGTATTTCTCCAAACAGAGCTTTAAAGATGTTTTATGACTTTGGGGGAAGGGATGTTTAGGGAAAGGGTCAGGTAACAATATCAATTTATCTTCCTACTAGTAAGACTTTAAAACCAGAATAAATTCAAGAAATGAAATAAAAACACACTTACCCGATATTGCAGGAGTGCTTCTATAGCTCTAAACTCAAAAGGTAAAGGGTATGTAACAAGCTGGCCCTCTCCAGCCAACTGTGAAGGGAGTTCTCGGAATAACCATTGTTCTAAATTTAAATTACGATAATCTAATATGAGAAGACACTCGGGAGTTATCACAGCTTTCAAATACTGTAAAAACAAAAGAAAAAAATATGGAAGTTGTAAAGCTGTAGGAAAACATAACATTGAGGGTCTCCCCTGGTGGCGCAGCGGTTGGGCGCTGGATTGAGAGGTTGCCCGCAGCCTCTGCAGCGCCAGTTCGATTCCCTGGCCACAGGCAAGGGTCCCACCAAAAAAAAAAAAAAAAAAAAAAAAAACATTGATAAAATTGGGTTTATATTGTATTAATTTTGGATTAAGCCTAAAGAAAACCACTATTCATTTGGTTTTCAAAAAAATACAATCTAAACTATTTTTTAAAGAAAGGGAAGCCTAAAATCTTGTCCTGAATAACTCTTAACAGAATTGGAAACAACAAAAAAAAACCCCTTTAAGACTTTTAAGGTAACTGAGAAAAACAGGGAATAAAGAAAACAAAGTGTTAAAAATCATGTATTGGGTAGACCTGCAGAAAAGATATAGTTTAATCACAAATAGTTTGGTTCAAACTGGAAAGTTTCCTTTTTAAAATATCACCAAAACAGTAAGCTAAATTGAAATTATAAAGACAAAATACAGCCTTAGCGCTCAATTTAGAACACTATGAAATTAGAAATTTAGATTCCAAAGAGAAAGGTATCTATCATGTTAGAAGATTAACAGAAGCTAGCAAACTGTGGCCCTGTATTTTTAATACAAAAAGTATGAAAACTGAATATGATTTTTTAGCTTTTAAACATTTTATTGACAATTTTTATAAATTTGAAAACCTATTCAGCAAACATCTATATAGCCATTAGATTATGTAACTAATATCCCACTAAATTTGCTCTCTCATATTTCTCTACCAAAGACATACGGTCTTGGAGGTGCTAAATATTGACAAAAAAGTGATGAATATTTTTTGAAAAAAATCACTTGCGTGAAGACTGCTTCCATATTTTTTTATTATTAATTCTAGATAGATGAAAACCTGCCCACTGTCACATGCCCACTGTAAGACCAATACCACTGACACCTGTATTCCTCATCTATTTCTAAACCTTAAACTTTAGCCTACCAAAATTGTATTTATATAAATTCTGAATCTCTGCAGAAAGTCAGATGGTATTTGGTATACTTTGCATAGAAGGGAATAAAAATATTTTAGAGAGTGTTCCATAAAATCAAAAGTTTAAGATTGAAAAATTTAAAGGACATTTTCTTGCTATTTGGACATTTTCTTGCTATTTCTGTAACTACACATAACTGTATACTTCTGAAAATGTCTGTTATAAATCCAATTCTCTCTCTTACATTTCAGGCTGACTTTATTTTTTAAAAAAGATTTATTTATTTATTTATACAAGCACTGGGTACAGTCAGAAGCGTGGGAGGGTGAGAGAATTCAACAGAGCCAGAGTGGGGAACAGAACAGGCAGAGTGATGAAATACACTGCTGAGGGGAGCAGCGGGCGCGGTAGAGAGGTCTTTCGCGCCATGTGGGACCCTGGCTGGCCGCCGGGGATAGAAACGGTGCAGCAGACGTTGTGGGCAGCTTTGCAGCCCAGTGCTCAATCGCTGTGCCACCAGGGGAGGCTCTCAGACTGATTTTAAATAGAATGAAAACCACAGTCAGAATTTTCACAACATAAAGTAGTGCAGTGTTATGGCTGCTGCGCATATATGTAAATAATCTGTGTAAAATGAGTTCTTCTCACAATGTGTTTTATTATAAAATGCTGTTTCATAGCTATTTTGACTACCAAATTACTTTTTTTATGAATTATTTTATGTAATTCTTATATCATTTTTCATTTCTGCATAATGTATGCATTTTCGTTTTGGTTATATTCCCCATACAGTTCTCACCCCCTTTTTCTGACCATAATCCCTCTTCTCCTCCCCCCGCCCCTCACTGTAGTATGTCTCTGGTCTGTAGTTGCTTGTTGATTTTGATTTTTACTTTATTGCAATTAGTCTTTTTCCTGGTCCCTTGTTTAGGTTTTCTAAATTCCTTCTATGAGTGAGACCATCCGGTACTTTTCTTTTTCTTTCTGGCTTATTTCGCTGGGCATGATCCCTTCCAGCTCCATCCATGTTGCTGCAAATGGCATGAGTTTATCTTTTTTGATTGCTGAGTAATATTCCATGGTGTATATGTACCACAACTTCTTGATCCAGTCATCTATTTTTGGGCATTTGGGTTGTTTCCATAGCTTAGCTATTGTAAACAGTGCTGCTATAAACACAGGGGTGCACGTGCCCTTTTGAATTAATGTTTCTGTGTCCTTTGGGTAAATACCTAGGAGAGGAGTTGCTGGATCATATGGAAGCTCTATCTTTAGTAGGTCAAGAAATCTCCACACAGCTTTCCATAGTGGTTGGACCATTTTGCACTGCCACCAGCAGTGCAGGAGAATTTCTTTTTCTCTACATCCTTGCTAACATTTGTTGTTGCTAGTTTTTTAATATGTGCCATTCTCACTGGTGTAAGATGGTATCTCATTGCAGTTTTGATTTGCATTTCCCTGATTACAAGCGATGTTGAACATTTTTTTCATATGCCTGTTGGCCATTTGCATTTCCTCTTTGGAGAAGTTTCTTTTCAGCTCTTCTGCCCATTTTTTAATTGGATTATTTTCTTTGTTTTTTTTTGAGTCTCATCAGCTCTTTGTAGATTTTACAAAATTACTCTTAACTTACATATTAGTCAAGAAGTCAAGAAGTAACTTTTGTAAGATTGTAATAGAGAAACAGATGAAATGAATCCTTTACCTCCATTCTTATGATGACTCTATTGTTTCTTGTTGTGATGCTCATTAAATGCTGAAACCTCAGATCTCTGGCTTGTAGGCCTAACTCTTGATATAAGTCAGTCTTCTTCTTCTCTATAAAAGAAATGTTCTCGATAAAGACAGGGCTAAACCAATAAAATGTTCAGACTTTTCCTATCAGAGCATCCCTCCTGCCACCATCAAGATAATTTTCTTTTACTACCAGGAAAAAAAGCTAAAATGGATCCTTTTAATATTCAGTTTTATCTCAAAAAATGTACTCAGGCTAAAAGTAATCAAACTAATTATTCTTTTCTCCTCTTATCTATACTTTGTAAAATGTTTTTTTGTACTTAGAAGCCCCTTGGAACGAATATAAAAAATACTGCTATACACAGGTCTCCCTGATTAAGACTCAGCACTATGAAGCTATCTGAAGCTACTGCAGCACGAATTAGATCCCTGGCCAGGGAGCTGACCCACATGGCAGAGCAGACCTCTCCTGTCTCACCCACTGCTCCCCTCAGCAGTGTATTTCAGGAGATCTGCCTGTTCTGCTACCCACTCAGTCTCTGGTGAATCCTCCCGCCCCCCTGCACCTCTTGTACTATACTCCAGTTTTTGCATGCATGCATAAATAAAAATAAATCTTTAAAAATATTGCTGAACAGCATTAGGACTTACAGTATCAATTTCTAGCTCTAAAAACAGGTCATACTTTTTAAAGATGACATATACATTTTCTGTTTCTTCTTTATAATATCTATGTTATCTTCAGTATTTTATTTTTTTTTAAGATTTATTTATGCATACAATAACTGAGGTACAGGCCAGAGGTGTGGGGGAGGTGGTGAGAGGATTCACCAGAGACAGATTGGGGAAGAGAACTGGTAGACTGACTGAAATACACTACTGAGGGGAGCAGTGGGCAAGTCAGCAGAGGTCTGTTGCACCATGTGGGTTGCTCCCTGGCTGGGGATTGAACTTGTGCTGCAGTAGCTGTGGATTGCTTCATAGGTTGTGTCTCAACCCTTTGCGCCACCAAGGAGGCCCATCTTCAGTATTTTTAATCTGTGAAAAGTTAAGTTCAATTTTTATTATTCTTGGATTAGTACAAAATGAGAATGTAAAGTCAGCTCTTTCATTAGATTCTCCTACCTCAAGACTAAATTTATTACTTTAAGAATACTAGTTTTATATGTACTTAGAGAATCAAGTCACACCTCTGACAGATTTGCAAATAAAACAATCCTTTGTAGGAGACAATGAGAAAAAAAATTCAAATATTCTAATAGGATCTCAGCAACAGCAGGAACAGGATCATGGGGCTGTCAGTGCATGGCAGAGCTAAATCTGAGACTGGACAGTAATGTCTGTTTTCATTTGAAACAGTAACTGTCTATAGCAGCAACCACTGCAGAGTTCCACCTGACTGCCACCAAAGACTAAGTCCTCCTGTCTTCTGCCCCCTGCTGCCACTGCAATCTCAGCAGAATTATGTGATTCTATTTTTTTTTAATTTTATACAAGAACCGGGGTACAGGCCAGATGGGCTGGAGGATGAGAGGAGACAAAGAGGGGAACAGAACAGGCAGACTGACGAAATACACTGCTGAGGGGAGCAGCGGATGTGACAGGAGAGGTCTGCCGCGCCATGTGGGACCCTCGCCGGCCGGCCGGCCGGGATCGAACCGGCGCTGAGGCTGCAGACAGCTTCACAGTGTGGTGCTCAACTGCCTGCGCCACCAGGGGAGGCCCTATGTGATTCTACTTAAACATGGTACAGGAGTAGATAAACCTGAAGACTAGGGCAGTCAAAGAGCGACCAAAGAAGAGAAAGGGAAGAGCATGTGTGCTGTAGCCAGGAACCAGCCTCTGCTCTCCAAACACTCCTTTTAATATTCTTGCAGAGTAAAGGTGGTTCCAAACAGAAAAAAAAGAAAAATCAATTCTGGAAGAAACTGTACATTACAGGCACTGCCTGTTCCAATTAGGACTGCTAAGTGCTGAAGATCTCCTTCAACATACCCATATACAGAATCTGACTCAAAACACTGTAATTTCTTAAATTCCATCAGATTAACTCATTCAATGATTAAATAAGAAGTAATTTGGAAGAAAATTAAAGATACTCACCAAAAGAAGTAACATTTCCCCCTTCATCAAATTTTGTCTAAAGAAAGATGAACAAAAAAAAAATATTATTTCCTCCCAAGTTAGCATACTATTTTTGGTACTATATCCCATATGGCATTCTCTCTCAAATACTGAAATAGAGCTATAGCCCATAACTACCTTACAAGGTTAAATTCAGTTATGAGGTAAAAAAATCCTTTTCTTAATGCTAGGACAATATTGACTTTGAATTAGCTTTCTATCTTGGTTCTCCTGGAAACGTGATAAAGGCTTATCAGTTACGTTACTAGGCAACACTGCTTATGGTAAAAATGCCCACTGGACTAGGACCACACTGGATTGGGAAGACTATAAATGAATTACAGGTCCTTGGTGGGAAATCAGCTCTGGTGGGTGCTGCAGAAGCAATCAAGATTTATAAAAAGGCCTCTTCTGATAGTTTGGAGAGGACTTTCCAAAGGAGAGGACTTTCTATAAAGTAGAGGTAACATTTTTCTATCTGTCCATAGTTAAGTATGAACAAGTCAAATAATAATGAATCACTAGGTACTGGGGCTACACTAAGTACTATTAAGAATGTATTTTCATAAAGACATACTCTAGGGTACAGTTGTAGGTACAAATCGTGGGTTATTACCACAGAAATATATGCATGCTACTAGTAATAGTAAAATCTCTATATATAGTTTTGCTTGTTTCTCATGAGCAAAAACATAGCAATATGAATATATAAAGGATACCACAGAACATCAGTGTAAAAGGGAAATTTATGTCAAAGGAAGCTTTGTTTTGTGTAAATTTAGCTTTCCTCCACAAATGTTGCCTGTGGCAGAAAATCTGAAAACAAAGTAAAATGAATCACCGGAAACATCAAATTGCAGAGAAAACTAAAACAACCATTTATTGAATATCTTTCTCTTCTAGCCCTTCTCTTAACATACTGAGGTTACACACTAATTTGCACTCTCTCCTTTGCTTTCAACTTAAGAATACATACTCATTTTTAAATCACTTTATTTATATTTCATTTTTTTCTTTAATGGGATTTTTCTGATTTAAAAAATAAGATTATACAAATTAATTTTAAAAAATGTTTACTTTATAATGCAACTCTGTTACACAGAAAGTGAATTGATACCTGATGGTCTAAACTGTCATTATTTCAAACAGCATCTGTTGATTTTCTTAAGTATCCTGGTGGACTAAGATTTTACCTACAAGCATCAGATTTTATATGCTTGTTTAACTAAAATGGCCAGCTCTTCTAGAATACCAAATAACAGTGCTAACTTTTATATGCAAATGTGGGGTTATCTTGTCTGGCATAGTTTATAAAGAAAAGTTCATAGTTAGTAAGTCTTCAAAATATATGATGCTACTATATACTGAATGCTTACCATACATAAGGCACTATTTTAAGGGATATACACACACACAAATATGTACATGAGTCAATTTCAGCTTTATTACAATCTTATAAGGTGGGTACTATTATCCTGAGTTTATGGAAAAGGTACAAGGATATTATTTTAACTTGTCCAAATTAATGGTAGAGGCAGAGCTGAGATCTGAATTCTCCACAGGTTATTTTTTCTTTTTTATTGCGGTGACTGGTTTACAACATTGTATATTATTTAGACTTAAAAGATCACACTGTTCAGATGTGTGTTACTATACACACCCACCACCAAGGCATTCATAGTCCTCCTACCATATTCAACTGTATTCTCTCCCCACTTTGCTCTCTACCTCCTCCTTCCCCCCGTAGTTTCAATTGTACAGCATACTTTTTAATGAATCTTTAAAAAAAATTAAAAACCTACAAAAATGTTGCAAGATTATAACCGCGCCTTTTGGCAAGTTACCCTTTCTTAACACTTCTGGGCGTTGTATTGACCTCATTTCTCTAAATATGTGTGTGATACATATTGTTCTTATCATTTTATTTACTTTTTTCCCTGAACCATCTCAAAAAAAGTGCCAGAAATGATGACCCTTCTAAGCACCCACTCTGAAACAGTGCTGAAACGCACTCTGAAACTGTGCTGCCCTGCCCTCAAAATGCTCCTGCATACATTATGTTGCACAGCACAGATTCTAGCACCTTCATGGCTTATAGCTTTCAAGAAATTCCCAATTAAATCAAGTGAGCATTCAAGTAGGAAAATCTGAACTGTGTAGTATTAAAAATTCTGTTGTAGTATAAAAAGATGAGTTACACTAGTAAAATTTCAACAAGGATGCTGGCACTCAGCTCACAACATAAAGCCAACATGGTTGATGATGACTCATTCTAAAACAAAATAATAAGTACTATCATGGCTCACAGTCCAACCCAGTTAATAAGTATGAAACTAATTTCTGTAAGTTATGAATATGCCATACTCACCACAGTAAACACTGGGGCTACACTGGCTAAAGTGGCTTGAGAGACATCAGAAGTTCTAAACCGCTGTATTTCACCTAAAGAAAGAAGTAAATTCTCTATGGTCAGACAATTGGTTTTCACACACAGCTAACATACAACTTTCATACTATTTTTTCTTCAAACAATTTTATTATGCTTTGAGCATTTTTCCCTAGAGGGGAAAATATACTCTTACTTGTTTGTTATTTTTTAAAGAAGATTTCATTTATCCAAGAACTGGGGTACAGATCAGAGGTGCAGGAGGGAGAGAGGATTCACCAGAGACAGAGTGGGGAGCAGAACAGACAGATCTACTGAAATACACTGCTGAGGGGAGCAGCGGGAGAGTCAGGAGAAGTCTGCTGCACCAGATGGGTAGCTCCCTGGCCTGGGGATCGAACTCATGCTGCAGTGGCTGAGGCTAGTAGCTTCACATTGCTGCGTCTTAGCCCCTTGCGCCACAGGGAGGCCCCCCGTCTCACTCTTGGGTGCGTTCTCGCACCCCCACACCTGAGAACTGCGCAAACGTACAAAAGAGAGAGAAGACCGAGAGGAGAAATGAACACACAGAAAAAGGTTTCAGATGGATATAAAATTTCAGATCGATAAAAGATTTCAGATCTTGACTTCAGATCTTGACTTCAGAACTACAGTAAAGCATAAAGAGGGGAAAACACTAGCTGGAGTAAAACAAAACAAAAACACCTTCAAGGGCACCTGAGCGGGGAGACCTGCAGCTCGGGGCGTGAAGGCGGGCGGGTCCCTGCAGGGCACAGAGCGACCTCGGCCCGCGCACCGAGCAAGCCGACAGACCCCTGGGCGCCCAAGGGCGGGCCCGGAGGCCGAGGCCGCAGCAGGCCGGGGGCGGGAGGTCGGTACCTGCCACGGGCAGCCGGCGGGGCCCACAGCGCAGAGCCGCCGGGTTCCTTCCCAGGGCGATCACAGGACGCGTCACGGGGGTCAGGCTCCAGGCCAGAGCACTCACGGTGCGCCGGGGCAGCCCCGCCGCGAGCGGCAGAGAGCGGGTCAGGCTCCGCAGGCAGACCATGGCGCCGGAGAGAAGAGCAGGCTGCAGCGAGACCCCCGCGCTTCATGCCGGACGGTGGCGGAGCAGCCGGCACTACGCGACCCGGCGCGGGCGCCCCAGGTGCGACAGGTGCGTACTGGGCATGCGCAGGGCGCGCCGCGCTTGCGTACTTTTTCCGCGCATGCTCAGAAGGTCTCTGTGCAGGCTCTCGGCGTCGGTGGCCAATCGGAGTTTGCGTCCTTCGTTTATGGCGCTTACCTGGGAGAAGTGGAGGGACAGGGCGTGTTTATCTGCGCTGGCTGAGTTGTCCCGGCGAAGTTCGAAGTTCGACCTTGGCACGCTGGGAGTGGTCAGGCCACACTTAAAAAGTAGGGGTTATTTCCATTAACTTGTTACGGGGCCACCCCGATATAAAAACGGGTTGCCTGGCTGTGGGTCTGTTAGGGGGAAAAGGATGCCCTAAAGCTAATTCCATACAGGCTTTGTGGACTCCACCCCCACCCCAGGCCAAAGCCAAAGACACTGGGAACTCCAAATCCCATCACCACCAAAGGGAAGGTGGCTGGGACCTGAGGGTGGGGTTAAGCAGTCAAGTGAGTATAAAGACTGACACGTGGGCTTTTTTTGGGGGGGGGGTTCCCCCATTTTGGCTCTCCGCCAGCTCGCAGCGTCTGGCCAGCTCTGAGAGTGACTTTGGGTTTCCAGGTTGGCGGATCGGGTCAGGCGCATTAAAGACTTTATTTCCCTATTTTCTCCCTGAGTTGTACATTTCCTCATTTCCCTTTCTCTTGTAAATAAACCTTTTATTAACCTTTTGTGTGTGCCTGTAGTGGAGTATTAGTAAGTCCCTTTTAAGCGCGCGGGTGAGGACCCACAGCTAGGCAACCCGTTCAGTATCGGGGCTGCCCTCAACAGGTCCTCACCTGCACACTTTAAAGGGACTTATTAATACTCCACTACAGGAGCACACAAAAAAGGTTAATAAAAGGTTTATTTACAAGGGAAAGGGAAATGAGGAAATGTACAACTCAGGGAGAAAATAGGGAAATAAAGTCTTTAATGTGTCCTACCCGATCCGCCTACCTGGAAACCCAGAGGCACTCTCAGAGCTGGCTGGATGCTGTGAGCTGGTGGGGAGCTAAGATGGGGGAATCCCCTCCAAAGCCCACGTGTCTGGCTTTATACCTCACCTGGCTGCTTAACCCCATCCTCTGGTCCCAGCAACCTTCCCTTTGGTGGTGATGGGATTTGGAGTTCCCAATGTCTTTTGGCTTTGGTCTGGAGTGGAGGGTGGAGTCCACAAAGCCTTTATGGAATTAGCTTTAGGACATCCTCTTCCCTCTAACAAACTGATAGTCATTAAATAGGAAAACTGCACAACGTGTGCAGAAGATTTTGCAATAGCTGGAATGTTTGGATAAATAGGATAAAACCTGCAAATTGGATGTAAGGAAGTTATGCCTCGTCTCGACTACATTTAGGTTTTTAATTTCCACCACTAATTCAACCATGTCCCATCACCATAGTCCCTTGTGCTCCTTCCACACTAGCAAAAGTTTAGTGCATTATTCCATAAGTTTATTTTTGCTAGTGAAGACTGAGGTAAAATGTTTAAGGTTTATATGTTTCATATTTAAATAACTGTAAGAGTATCTTTTTTTAAGCTACCATTATTTTATGTACCACCTGTTGTGCCCAACGTCGACCAGTGCAGCCCCCAAGGACACACACACACACACACACACACACACACACACACAGACAGCCGATGCAAGAACACAAAGGAGTTTATCACGGGCTCGAGTCCGGGCTCACAACACACACCGATGCAAGGGCAGAGGTCGAGAGCACTGAACAAAGGGAACAGGGATCTTATATAGGGTTACAAGTAGATTCCTAAAAATTAAATCATGTTGGCAATCATTCATTGGTTACACAGGTGCATTTCTTAACAACAGTGGGTACACAGTTTCAGTTTTTGAGCTGATTGGTCACATCAAGATGCAGCTCTACTTTATGGCTAGTTTGACCCCATTAGTGGCACTAATTGCTTGGCTCTATTTTATGGCTAGTTAAACCCATTACTCGGCTCCACTGTGGCTGGCCGTCTGAGATAAGACCAGAGTGGGGTGGGAGTCAAAACATTCCCTGGAATGCAGTCTTTCCTGAGACAGCAAAACCTAAAATTCTAAGATGGCAGTTACACACAAAATGACAAAGCAATGGCTAAGAATACTTACGGTTGGTTCCACACCACCAAGAAAGGGAAAAAAAAAATGGTGGTAGACTATACTTTCTAACATTGTTAGACTCATTTCAGTTTCTGTCTTTAAATTGTAAACATAAAACAATTAAAAGGTTTCTCTTTTCTCTCCTTTCAACTAAAGGGATCAAGCTAAAGAGCCAAGGAACAGCTGACCTGACCTTGGGAAGATACTGCATTAGCAACAATAAAAAGTTGTGTCGAAGTAAATAAGTACCTTCAAGTAAAGACTTCAAAATTTATGGCCTTGCTGAAACTCTCAGTTTCCAGACTATAAGGCTCTGAAGGAATAAAGGTAAAAAAAAAAATTTGAGGGAGAAAATGATTTTATTAAATTTCACACTAACCACCCTACCCCACTTTTTAATGTATATATTTTATGTCATTCTTCATTTTTGTACATGTATGCTTTCTCCTCTCAGATGTAGTCCCCATGAAATTTCCACCACCAATTCACACATGTCCCATCATCATAGTCCCTTGTGCCCTTCCCACCCCATTTTGATCCTTCTCCCACCTCCCCTACAGAATACCTCTGACTTATAATTGCCTGTTGAATTTTTAAAATTTATTTATTTATTCTTACAATGTTTGCTTTCTTTTCTCAGGTGTAGTCCCCATAGAATTTCCACTGCCAATTCACCAGTGCAAGGGATAAGGTAAATTTTAACAACCCTTCTTGTTTTCCTCAATGCTTAAACAACACCCAATAGATACAGTTACTGGATGGAGTCTGTCTGAGTCAAAGCGGGTTCTATTCCCATGTTTGTTAATTCTTAAAAATAATTAGCTCCAGGTAATTCTTATGCCAAGGAGGCATACTTTGGGGTGGCAAATTATGCTCTCCTCCACCGCTTTAGCTCCACAGCATGTTGCTTATGTAACCCCAACCTCATACTGTAGATTCTGTTCTCACCCAGAGCTGTTTCTTTGATCATAGCCTCCTTAAAGTTTCAAACCCATGATGATTATATTCTCCCATCAGAACTTTTCTGGCTGATCTTCTCTACCCCAATAGGATGTTGCAATTTGAAACCACTATGCCTAGTTCCCAGAACACTAGGACTCATGGGGTGTAATTAGAGAAGTCACTTTATTTCTGTCCTTTTAATTCTGCTGAGTGGGGCAAGTCTTTCTGCCTCTTGGCTGGTTCCACGACTTTCTGATCTCTCAGTCTTAGTCTTAGGTTCATTGAAAAGGTTCACTTTATGTGCTAATTTCAATTCAGTAATTTGCAGTGTCAGACTCAATTTACTAATCACTTTGATCTTCATTCAAAGGAAAGGCTTGGCCCTTCTCCTGTTGTTGGGTTTGGAGGCAAATGGGAAATTTTGGAGTGAATAGAATATCTCTCTATACCAGTTCATGTAGCTTTTCTTTCTCCGTGGTAACTTTCTGACTGCAGGGTTGTGCAGCAAAGTAAGATAAACCAGAAGTTCTTATTGGAAGGTAGTATCATGTTCTCTACAGGCCGTACAGATTTTAAAACGGACATTGTTGAGTGCTATTGACCTCAAACAGAAGACATCAGTTATTCCAACCACAAATGGGATTTATTTGGAAACAAAACAATAGAAGAGAGGACTGATTAGGGAGTGCATTTATGGCAAGACCTACATGCACTCCCCCAAATCAAAGGCTAATAACTGTATATAAACTCCTCCATAGTTCCACTGAGGGGGAAGGAGCGGGAGATTCAAGACACGTTGAGTCCTGTCTTATAGTTTGCTGATTTACACACGTGAGGACAATCTAGTTTCCCTACCTCATCAAACTTGGTTCTTCATATTAGTGTTTAACCCGAGTTTCCCTTTCAGCAGCATGTAGTGAGTTTCCCCATGAGGAAGAGACTTTTGCTTATATCCAAATGGGCAGGTTTATTATATTAAAAAAAAAAAAAGGAAAGGAGAAGAAGACTCTTGCGCAGACACAAGCGAGCAGGAAGAGCTACTTCTGAGAGGGACCTGTTTGTTTAAAGAGACGCCTGCATAGGCATAGGCATAGGGATGATATAGCTGCTCAAAGTTTGAAGTTTATATATTGAATGTGAAAAGGATTATAGAATATTTTATATGGATTTCCCAACCTTGTTTCTGCTGACATTTGGGGTCAGATTGTTGGGGGCGAAGGCTGTCCTGTGCATTGGAAGATGCTGAGTAGCATCCCTGGCCTCTACCTACTAAGTCCCATAGCACCCTATGGTGCTGTTACTGATTCTGAAGGGTCTTTCTCTGACTTTCACTAGTTAATCTATATGAATTTTGAAAGAGCCTGTGGTTTCAATAGAGGAACATTATTGAGGATCATATAGTAGGGAAGGGTGAGTGGGGTGAGTGTGGTGAGCGTGGTGGGAATGGGTGAGTGTGGTGGGGATCCTGGTTTTATGAGGTTGGTCACCAGGGCAAGGAAGCAGGGAAGCAGAGTATCAGGTGGCTGGGGTTTTTAAGCAGCTTATAGACTGGACTCAGAGGATTTCTAGCTCAGGTTTCAGGGGGCCTTTAAGCACTTACAGGAGCTTTACTTGGGCTCATGTTTAATCTCACTCTCCATCCCACATAAGGTATTCCAGTTCATCAGGTTTTCAACAACAGGAAGGTAACAAACAAGGACCAGGGTATTCCAGAGGCCCCGTGATATTGTGAATGACCAAAAGTCTCAGATGTTGTTACTCTTTCCTGGAGAGCAGAATCACTGCTGGTTGAAAACCACTACATTTAATAATAACGAGAAGAATCCACAAATCTCAAGACCATTTTTTCTCTTCAGAAGATTCATTTCTTTAAATGTTATAGTCCCGTTATTCATAATTGCATATTAAAATATGAAAATCTAAGGTTATCAGACACTGGCACTAAATTAAATTAATTAAATTCCATTTTCCTCAATGTCTTTATGACTTAAAAGTGTGCCCTGATTTATTTATGTCCTTTGTTTCAAATAAAAAGTCCCTGGGGCCTCCCTGGTGGCCTAGGGGTTAAGTCTCAGTGCTATTACCGCTATGGTCTCAGTTCGATCCGCAGCCAGGGAGATAAATATGGCACAGTGCCTGCTGCTCCCCTTAGCAGTGTATATCAGTAAATCCGCCTGTTCTGCTTCCCACTTTGTCTCTGGTGAATCCTTTCATCCCTTGTACCTCTGGCCTATACCCCAGTTCTTCTATGCAAAAATAATTAAAATTAAAAAAAAGTCCCTGTTTGTTCCCAGCACCTAGAGTGGTAGGTAGACTCTGAGGTCTGGGTCCATGATCCATCCATGTGGGCTTTGCAAAAGACTAGCTTTCCTATGTTGGAAAATTTTCAAGGAATTTGACCACAGGAGGGAGCACTATCCATATGCTTGCTTATTATTAACTCTTTTAATACATTTTACCAAGTCTACTGATTCAAAAGCTGATGTCATCTGGAAACACCCTCACAGATACCCAAAAATAATGTCTAATCTGTGTACTCCATGGACCAGTCAAATTGACATACAAGATTAACCCTCACAACTAATCTAATCTCTCTCTCTCACTATCTTTTTTTAATAGAGTTGACGTTGGCTTACAACACTGTATATGTTTTAGGGAGTGCAAGTTCACACTTCTTCCATTGCATGTTCCTACACCATGCCCACCGCCGAATCACCAGTAACCCTCCATCAGTCTACTGGGCCTACTCTGCCCTTTGTTCACACCCCCAGTTTTTGTAACCTAAGGTCATACCCACCTACAACCGCATTTCTTTCCTAATTATATTTTTTGAAATCAGCACCCATAGACGACATTGTTACACCACACAGTGGCTTTAAAGAATTCCTGAGAATAAAAGTGTTAAAACTAACATCCTCCACTTTGAAGAAAACACGTGGTATATGGTGATAGTAGATAATTGATAGAGCTTCTGCCTTTATATAATATCTATAGGCATGTGGAGAAGACAGCATTTTTTGCTTTTTAGGAGTTAGCTTCTGTCGAAATGTTAAAATTGCTTGGACTTGTAAATATAGTAGACAAATACCAACTACAATTGACCCTTGAACAGCACTGGTTTGAACTGTGTAGGTCCATTTAGATGTAGATTTTTTCAATAAATACCTAAATGTATTTCTTTTATGATTTTCTTAACATTTTCTTTTCTCCAGTTTGTTGTCTATTGTAAGAACATGACACAACATACAAAATATGTATTAATGAAGTGTTTGTTGTTGGTAAGGTTTGTAGTCAATAGCATGCTACTAGTAGTTACATTTTGGGGGGAGAAAAAGTGTTACAAGTGGATTTTATACTGCACAGAGCATTGGCATCCTTAACCCTTGCATTGTTCCAGGGGCAACTGCATATATCTGTGTGTGCTTTAAAATAATAAATGTGTATTTATATATTCATATTGTGATATGCTGAATTGGCTCTACTTAAGAGGTAGAAATGATACAAGGAATTTGATAAAAATTTCCTTAAAATAACTTAGATTGGGAGTGATGGTTGAATAGAATAATCTTATATGACATGGTATCCTATTCATTCAATTTTATCATTTCATTATCTGAAAAAACCTAGCTTGTATAGGATCTGTCACTCTTCTTTCTGCACCCTTTTGTCAACACAATATGAAGCCTCATAAGACATGAATTTTTATCTAGGATGATATGAAAATGATTTGATTTGATTTTCCCAGGAAGGTTGGAAATAATTCTGGATTTTCCCCAGTTTACCCAATGTGGAAGTGAAGGTTCGAAACTGGTAGAATACATCTGTATACCGCCTAAAGAAAGGGCTCCTGGAGTCCACATTATAATACAGAATGGTGTAACATAAGCTAACCAGATTGGGCAGGGAATGGTTCCAGGTCTAGTTGACAGAGAGTCATGAATGCTTTTTTTTTTTTCGGAATGATTCTAGACTTTGTTATTTTTTCCTACAACAATTAGTCTTTGGTAATCTGAGTCATGATTCTAAGTGTAATTTCTTTTTGGTTAATATACTAGCACTTGGCCTTACCCGAGGTAAACTACCCTAGGAATATTATGAAAAAATATTTTTATACTATTTTGGAATCAAAACTGGCTGATGAGAGTATAAGATGATGACTGGGTTTAGAAAAACCAGCCCCAGGGTTTGCTTCCTCCTTTTACAGGGAAACTGATTTGAGAGGCAACTAGAGTATAGTCTTGTCAGGGAGGGTCAGATGGGAGAGGCCAGCTGTACATGTAAAAACTGTAGGAGAGATTTATGAGTGCTGACTCTATGGACCGGGATATTACTTTTTCTAATCTCAGAGACCTGTGATTACAAAGTGCCTCACTCTTTTATGTAACCCAACAAAGAAAAAATGGTGATGACACAATGCTTTCTTACAGCATAGATTCTTAAAATTTTTATACTTGTTAAAAGTGTTCTTTTAGACTCATAGAGATGAAATTTCTACTGTGTAACATTCCTGCAAATAGATGAGAAAATATAAGCAAAATATTGGTGAAGACATTCCTAATTTTTTTTGTTTTAATGCTAATCTTAAAAAAAAATTTAAAAGTCAATTGTGGGTGTACAAGGCTCCTTTCAAGTTAGTCAAGAGCATGATGCTTGATTGCCCTGGGGCAATAGGTGAGGTGTGACCAGGAAAGTCCAGGGGGGCCATTGACTGATGTACTTTGCATCCCAGGGGCTGATCAGTGGAATGCCTTGTTAATAAGATTGGAGCCATGGGTGGGGGTCGAGTATATCAGTGGACTCACCCTCCCTAAAGCCCTAAATTCAGTATTCAGTTTGACCCACACTTTTCTCTGTCAGTAAAAATGCCAGGCTCATGCTTGTGAACAGCATCCTGCATCCTACAGCCTGCTCCACAACTCCTGTTTCTTTTCTTCATCAGTGGGGTGTTGCTGATGCAACAATCAGTTAGACTTAACATGAGGTAGTATCCATGCATGTAGCTCAATTCAAGTGCTGGCAATATTAGCAGTATGGCCAGGTTCTTCTTACTGCCTGTGCAAAAAAGTACCACATGGTCAATGACAAATGTAAGATTTTTTTGACACTAAGACACATCCTGATTTCAGACTTAAAAGAAGTGGAAAATAATGTGCATGCTGTAATAAATGTAATGTGATCAGGTGCAAAGGCGATCATCCCATAGCCTTCTGGCTGCTTCTAGGCTGGCAAATAATCAAATAAGTATCTGACAAATTGATAAGAGAAAAATGTCAAAAGAAGTTTACTAATGGCATGTATGCCATCCTGTATACCTGGATAAGACCCAGCATGACTGTCTAATTCACCCACTTGGCCTCACACACCATCAGTTTAAAAAGCTAAAACAAGGGAGACTGGGAGTCAGGGGAGAAAGGGAAGTCATCTGGGAAGGTTACCAGGGCAGGCGCTCTGGATACTTGTATACAGATTAAGTTCTATCTTCTGCATTGAAAAGAAATAAAGAGGGGCCTCCCCACTGGTGCCAGGGGTTAAGTCTCAGAACTATGAAGCTGCCGGAAGCCACTGCAGCAAGAGTTTGATCCCCGGTCAGGGAGATTACCCATATGGCGCATAAGAGATTGGAACTTCCTGGTTCCCATCCCTACAAAAGTTTATATGTAAACATCTTTTTCTTTTCTTCTTTTTTTAAAGATTTATTTTATTTATATAAGAACTGGGGTATAGGCCAGAGGAGTGGGAGGGTGAGAGAATTCACCAGAGACAGAGTGGGGAGCAGAACAGGCAGACGGACCAAAAACACTGCTGAGGGGAGCAGCTGGTGAGACAGGAGAGGTCTGCCACACCATGTGGGTTGCTCCCTGGCCAGCTGGGAATCGAACCCCCGCTGCAGAGGCTGCAGGCAGCTTCATAGCGCTGTGCTCAACCTGCGGTGCTTCCGGGGAGGCCCTCTTTTCCTTTTTCTTTTTTACATTTATTTATGCATACAAGAACTGGGGTACAAACCAGGGTTGCAGGGCAGTGGGGAGGTGAGAGGATTCACCAGAGACAGAGTGGGGATCAGAGCACACAGAATGACTGAAATACACTATTGAGGGGAACAGCTGGCGAGACAGGAGAGGTTTGCTGTGCCATAGGGGTAGCTCCTTGGCCAAGGCGCAAACTCATGCTGCAGTGGCTGTGGAGAGCTTCATAAGTTGCGTCCAAACCCCTTGCACCACCAGAGAGGCCCCAGCCTTCAGAGCCCCTCCTCTTAAATCAGCCTTTTGCCAAAAAGCTTATTTGGGGATGCAGATTTTTGCTCTCCTACTGTGATGATTCATCTCTTCCTCTCCCCACTCCCTCTGGCTTGAGAAAATTCCTGGTATTAACTTGTTTCATCATTTGTCTCTTTCAGATTAAAATTGAGTTAATCATGGGAAAATATTTAGACTGTGTTCAGGATGTGCTGTGTTCTTACTAGTAAGTTTTTCTATATTTTTAACTTAACTGTCCCTAAATATTTTTCATCTGGTCACATAGATGTCTTTAAGAGTACTTTTCAAATCTATCCCAATAATGGTTTTACCACACTATTTGAAAATGTCACTGGGAAATGATCAAATAGGTCATAAAACTGAGAGGTTGAAAAATGTTAGTTTGTGCAATCACTGAAACGACTGTAGTTACTTTGTAATTGTTAGAAATCAATACATATGAATAGAAAATATTAGGGTGTCTGGCCTTCATCATTCTAACTCTTATGCTACTCATGGTCTTATTAATTGATACAAATTTTTAAAATTAGAATTTCCAGACTTTGAATGACAACAGATTGTCATCATTCACTTACACAGCCTTTTCCCAATAATCCAGAAACTGGAGAGCAGTTAAACAGTAACTTCTGTAACAGTGACATAATTTCCTGCAAAACTGTTATTTTTGTAATGGTTAACTTCTCTCATTTGTTCACAGCAGGGGGTCAGTTTCTTTCATCAGTGTCTTCTATTTATTATAAATCACAGTGGCTAAGGTATTTTACCCTTGATCTTGCCTGTTTCTTCCAGACTTGCCTGGCCCCTTCTGCCCTTTTCTTATGGTTCCCACCAGAAGCTGCCTTAGACTTGTGGCAGGCTTTTGGGCCAACCCTGTAACTGGACACTTACCCACAAGGGGATGGGTAGCAGGTGTTTCATTGGAAACTGTTATCTTCTCTTCTTTCTATTGCACACAAATTCTATTAAAGTTCTTTCCTATGGATGATCTTATGCACTAAGAATAAGTTTGTCTTTATGCACTGGATGGCAGAACCCATAGAGAGTGTGCAGGTTTGGGAGTCCTGGGGTACCCCTCTGTCTGGCTGCTAATATAACCAGGCTCATAGGAATCCCAGAGGATCTGGGCTGACCACCAACAGTCATGTTTCACACTCATCTGCACAGGAGAAGAAAGACCTTAAAAAAAAGAGAGAATAGTTAATTTGGCATCTACTATATAGGGCACTTCTTTAATCACTATGCGGTCATTATCTTTATTAAAAAATTTTTCTCCATCATCTTTTTATTCAGTTTTCACAGGAATTTTGTTTTGCCCATAATTATCACTTGAACTAAGTTAGACTGATGTTTGTCTTAATGGAGCCATAGGAAACTCTGAACATTATGAAAGGGACATGCTAAATCCTGTGCCTTTTCAATTCTTTTCCCATTCTTTTTTTTTATTAATTAATTAATAGGGGTAAAGGTGTTGCAGTCATTATCTTTTTAAATCTTGCGTGGGTAGTGTTTTGTTCTTCATTTTACAGAAGAGGAAACTAAGACTTATTAAGTATCAGACCTGTGGTGACACAGCTGTTAAGTGGCAGGATCAAGATTCAAAACCAGAATACAAATAAATAAAAACAACACAGGTAAATACAATAGCACATTTTCAATGAAGCAAGTTAATGTCAATGTTGAGAACTGTAAAATAGATGTAAATCTTTACCAAATGAAGAGACTTAAATAATTTGATGAATGTATTTCAATGTGTGTGCATTTTGAAATATAAAATATTTCTAGTCAACAATTGTCTTCATTTTTCTCTTGTAATAAAAGTCCGTCATTACCAAAAATAGTTTCTTGTGGAGATCCGATTCTCTGTCATTTGGTCCTATCTGTATGCTATCCAGTATGGAAAAAGAGCAAGCCTTCTGGAGTAGTTTTGTGCCAAATTTGACCTGTGGCAGATACACAGACTGTCGACATGTTTATTGACTCCGATGAATTTGAAAACCTCAGGCAATTCTTCTTCCTTGCCGTGAAATAATAGTCTAGAGACAGAGGAATCCTCCAGGTGGCTAGTTAAATGCCTCCAGAAGGCATGGGGCATTGATGAATCCCTCTGCGGATTTCTGTATTTACATGTGGCCTTATTGGTCAAAGAATCTCATTAATCATGCCCCTTAGAATGGGAGCTCTAGAAGTGGCATGTTTGTGAAGAAACTGGAAAGTAGATTTGATGTTGCCTGGCATTATCTCTCTAAGAAACTCACTAATGCAGACTTGTTTCTTTTCTTAAAAAAAAAAAAACAAAAACAAACAAAATCTGTCATATTTAAAGTAATTATTACTAAATTGTCTTTTGCCAATGAGTAAGCTGTATTGATTTTTTTTTTCTCTATACCTTTCTCCCTTGTTCTCAAGTTCAAGAGCTCAAACCCCTAGATTTTCCTAGGTCACATCAGGCTAGGAGATAAAACTGGTCAAAATAGTAAGACAGAGGGCTTCCCCTGGTGGCGCAGGCGGTTGACGCTGCGCTGTGAAGTTGTCTGCAGCCTCTGAAGCACCGGTTTGATCCCAGCCGGCCGGGGAGGGTCCCACATGGCGTGACAGACCTCTCCTGTCGCACCCGCTGCTCCCCTCAGCAGTGTATTTCGTCAGTCTGCCTGTTCTGTTCCCCGCTGTCTCTGGTGAATCCTCTCACCCTCCCGTTCATCTGGCCTGTACCCTGGTTCTTGTATAAATAAATAAATAAATCTTTTTTTTAAAAAAAGTAAAAATAGTAAGACAGAGGTTGATGGGCTCTTGCATCCTACGAAATGTGCATGTGCATCCCATAACCTCTCCCCTCAGAAGTCCCCCTATTAACTCTAGGAGTCCCCAGGAAGTGAGCTCTTAAGTCTGCACAGCTTCTGCATGTCCTGAATTCTCTGCTGTATGTGCTTTTGGTGCTATTTTGTGCAAAGGTTTCTACTGCTTGTGAAACCAGCACTGGTGCACTGTCTCCTCTGTGAGGCAACCTGATCTCTTGCCAGACATCTGTGCCATGGATGCTAGATTAGAGTCCTCAGGTGCAAGGAGGCACTGCCTCCCAACACCAGAGTGCCTGTCACCTCCCCACACACCGTCTCCATGTTCTGTTATACAGACAGTGTAAAAGAACTGTTTGTGCTCAGTGCTTTGTGGAATTTATAGTGAAATACTGACTACAAGTTTTACTGACACCGAGTCTAATTCCTTGTAGTAAGCATATGAGGATCAGAAGCTGACAGATGAGATGGAAAATTTAAGTTTGTCTTCCTCCCACCATCTAGTCTTTCTATTTGGGACCAAGTTGATTTCTTGCTATGTTGTATGTTTGGATGAGTTTTTTTTTTTTTTTCCTCAAGTGATGCATCAGTTTCTCACAAAAACACATTCCTGGCAGGTCTGCCTAACAGTAGAGAAGATGTGAAAATATAGATGAATCCCTGTAGTGGACATGGCTGAGATTTGAACTAGGTCACCTTCCTCCTCTGACCTGCCCTTCCTCCATTATGCTCCCTTCAACCCTTATTTAAATCTCCCTCCTTTACACACACACACACACACACACACACACACACTCATCGAGCATCAACTATGTACCAGGTACTGCTCTAAGCACCTCAGCTAGAGCAGTGACAAAACAGACAATGTCCCACTTTCCTAAACATTCTAGAAAGTGGCAGGTGTTATGAATAGGAAACAGGACAGGGTATCCTGCCAGACATAGCTAGGATACACTTTATAAAGGGAAGGTCATTCACCTGAATGACAAAAAAGACCCTATAATTCCCCATAATATACAAAAACCTGACATTTAAAAATCACAGCATTTATATTTATACACAGCATTTATATTTATATTATGTGTTATAATCCGCCTTTGAGAGCTTTCCTGTCCTTAAAGACGTAAGAAGTGAGATTTTCACATGGAACCCACCCATGGCTGGCTTGTTCCACTCCCCCAGGTTGCTGTCAGAACCCATCTGGAGCAGGCCATGTGAGTGACCCTGTCTCAGAGGGACCTCGGCGATGGGGACCCTCTGCAGATCCCTCTTGGGACCCAGTCACATTCCCAACTCACCACACACTCTAATGGGGCCTCTGGGCATATGGTTTTCAGGGTTTCTAACCTCATCCCACAGGGAGGGGTGCTTCAGGGAAATCCCAATTCAGGTGCAGATGCAGTGAGAAGGCAGTAAGGAGCCCACATCCCCCTTCTTCTCAGGAAACTCCATATAATTAAACTCTAGCAGGTAAAGAAATTGTAGAAATTTCTACAATTTCCATGGGGCATTTCTGAGAGAGCAAAATATATATATAAAAAAAAACCTGGATTCCCCAAGATGGCTAAGGGACTTGGGGGTTGAGGGTCTAGCACCCCCATGAGGATCAGTGTCTCTCTTTCATCTCCTCAGAGAAGACATTGGTCATCACAGGCTGGACCTCCTCTCAGGCGGCCTCACTGATTTTTCCTGGTCCTAGGGCATCTAGAGCCCCCCTCTCTAAAGGGGTTCTGACCTCTAGTGTCACTGTCCTGCATCATGAGCCCCCCTACCTCACACCTCCAACCCTCCACTGCCCACCCCCTGCCCCAAGCTGCACAGGCCACCTCATAGTCTCTGGGACCAGGCCTGATATCAGGGAGGACTATTTGTTTTTTTTTATTCCTTCCAGTCTTGTTTATCCATATTGCCTTTGCTCATCTTTTCACTTATCTTCTTTTCCTTTTATTTCTTCTCTATCTTGTCACTATGTCAGGTTCATCAAGGCTGTCTTAAGACTCACCTCCTCTCTGTGGTCCTCCCTGATTGCTAGTGCTTCCAATAATCTCTTCTTTGCTGAATGCCCACAAGTACCTGGGATCTTTTTTTTTTTTTTTTTAAAGATTTATTTATTTATGCATATAAGAGCTGGGGTACAGCCAGAGGTGTGGGGGTGAGATGATTCACCAGAGAGAGTGGGGAACAGAATAGGCAGATAGACCCAAGTACACTGCTGAGGGGAGCAGTGGGCGAGTCAGGAGAGGTCTGCTGCGCCATGTGAGTAGCCCCCTGGCTGGGGATTGAACTCGTGTTGTAGTGGCTGCGGATAACTTCATAGACTGCGTCTTAACCCCTTGCGCCACCAGGGAGGCCCTCCTTTCTTCTTTTTTTTTATACCTTATTTTTTTCATTCTATTAAGAATTTGCCTGTTTGTTTCAGGGTCTCCCTAGTGACACAAGGGGTTAAGCACAGCACTATGAAGCTATACTCAGCCTCTGCAGCACGAGTTCGAGTTTGATCCCTGGCCGGCCAGGGAGCAACCTACATGGCGCAGCAGACCTCTCCTGCCTCACCTGTTGCTCCCCTCAGCAGTGTATTTCGGTGAATCTGCCTGTTCTGCTCCCCACTCTGTCTCTGGTAAATCCTCTCACCCCCCACACCTCTGGCCTGGACCCCAGTTCTTGTATGCATAAGTAAATAAATCTTTAAAAAAAAAGAATTTGCCTATTTGTTTCAAAACTTTTTTCAAAAATAAGTATTACTAAATTTTGAATGTGAATGTGTGGCAAGCATTTATCATGTATGTGAGGGGTATAAAACATTAACAATATTAAAAAGATTGTATGCCCCCTGCCCCCAGCAAAGTATAAGATCTCACCATTTTCCTACCATCTCAGGGTGTTCTTGCTAGATCGCATCCTCTTTATGGCTCTGACTCTACCCCAGTGGCTAACCATTTCCTTAACTGTCTGTTACATTCCCTTTTCTTTATAACTTTAGCAACTTTAGATCCCTAATGATTTAGTTCTTCATACATTAAAATTTTATTTTGGTTGAATTATACTATAAGTACTCTTCTGTGTCTTGCTTTGTGTGTGCCATGTTTGTGGAGAGTCATGTTGACTCATGCTGCTGGTCATTTTCAATGCTGTATGGTACTCCATTGTCAGATTACATGAGTATTTATTTATCCATTCTATTGTTACACATCAGGATTTTCTGTTTTCTTATTATGAGAATGTTCTATGAACATACTTTTCGATGTCTCTTGATGCACACATGTAGGCGTACAAGTAGAAGAAATGTTGGTTTAACAGTATATACATGTTCAACTTTAGAAGAAATACTAAATTATTTTCAAAGGAGTTGTCCTAGTTTATAGTTCAAGAGCAGTAAATGGCCTGTTGTTCTTTATCTTTGAGGATCTTGGTTTGTTGTATCATAATTTTTGCCAATCTGGTGGGAAAAATCTAAGTTTTAGTTTGAATTTCTCATGAAACAAAACATCTTATGTGTTTATTAGTCATTTAGGTTTTTTTTTGTTTCTTATCTTTTGCCTTCTTATCTTTTTTTGTTTCTTATCTTTTGTTCATATCTTTTGCCTATTTCAAAAATTGAATTGTGAGGTTTTTTTACTTTACCTTTTTGGATGCTGAAATATATATATATATATATATATATATATTCTTAGTAGTTTTCCTTTGTTGTTACATATCCTGCAAATATCATCTCCTACTTTGTGGTTTTTAAAACATATTTTAAAAATAAACATGTACACATGTATTTTAATATAAATATTTGATTTCTTTCTTGGAACAGATGCTCTTAATTTTTTAGTTAAATCAGATGCATAATCCTTTTCCTTTATGCTTTTTGTGTATTATTCAAGAAATTCTTTGTACCTTAAAATCCTGATGATATTGTTTTACATTACCTTCCAAAAACTTTAAAGTTTTACTTCTCACATTTAGGTTTAATCAGCCATGAATTGTTTTTTTGTGTGTGTTGTGAGAGTGGGATCAAATTCCATTTTATTCACATGGACAACAAATTGTCTTAGCATCATTGTATACACACATACATATAAAGTTAGTCTCCAATAATATATGCTAGCACTTTATATATCAAGTGTCTAATATAATAAAGGTCTGTCTGCTGCTTTCCAGTCTGTTTCATTGGTTCAGTTGTGAAGGCTTATAGTAAAACTATTGTAAATTAAGTATTATGGCTTAGTAAATTTTGATATTTTATGAGGCATGCTCTATATACTTTTCTTCTTTGTCAAGAATACTTTGGCTATTATTGATTTTTTTAACACTCATGAAAAAAAAGGAGAGAGATATGAAAAGAATTTAAATTGTAAATGAAATAGGGGTGATAACTGTAGATACTACAGATAGAGCAAAGAAAATCAGCGTATATTATGTATGACATTACACCAATATATTTGAAGGCCAATGAAATAAAAAATATTTAATTATGTAAATTCATAATCAGACTCAAGAAGTGATTTTTTTTAGAATTTTCTTTTTCTTTGCTGAAAATGTATAGAAAACAAGTAGATCCTTATACTTAATCTGTGTCTAGAAATATAAACTCTCTAATTTTAGTAATTCATCCACAGATTATTTTGAAATTTCTATGTACATATTCAGATTATTTGGAAATGAAATTTTGTTCTTTCCAACACTTTTATATTTCATTTCTTTTTTTTTGCCTTACTGCATTGACTGTCCATCTCAGAGAATGCTTTCAATGTTTCATCTTTCCATGTCATATTTGTGATAGGAGATTTAATTTTTTTCATGGATGCTTTTTGTTATGTTAATAAATTCTCTTTTATTCATGATTTGCTGAGTGGTGTTATCCAAATGGTTCTCTTTTCATTCAGTTCTTGTCTTTTCTGAATTCTTTTCATTGTTGACAAATTGACAGTGTGTTTAGAAAGATGTAAATATTTATCTAATCTATCAGTTTTGATTGTATAGAAGGAAAGCGAGAGAAAGTATTTCACCTGCTGTTGGAAATGGAGTTCTAGCAGCATCCTTTTTGAAGGCTCACTGAAAGCAGAAACCATAGCTGTGCACACATATTCCCTGCTAGCACCTAATATTGTCAGGCACATCACACTAGTTGTTCAACTCTTCTTGGGATGCCTCTCTTCTTCCCTCTTGCTCCGTGTCTTCACTGTCAGATTAATTCACTAACGGGTATTTCTTAAACACCTGCTTTTACCATGATGGCAATACTGGAAGATCCAGGCAAAACGTATTTCCTTCTGCAGCATGAAGAAAATTGAAACTCTGGGTGTGAAATCTCTCAACTTTGTTTCCCTAAACTTGTCTTTTGAATGTTGGTTTTACAGATACATCCTAGTGAATTGCAGGTTTTTTTTCACTGATAATCAAAGCTCTTATTGTAGGTGTTTTCTAGAGGAAGAGAATAGTAATTTATTTATTTATTTTTTTTTTTATAGAGGCATGTTTTTATTTATTTATTATTTATTTGTTTGTTTGTTTTCGTTTATACATGCACTGGGTACAGTCAGAAGCACGGGAGGGTGAGAGAATTCACCAGAGCCAGAGCGGGGAGCAGAGCAGGCAGAAGGACCGAAGTACACTGCTGAGGGGAGCAGCGGGCGGCAGGAGAGGTCTGCGCGCCATGTGGGACCCTCCTCCGGTGGCCGGGGAGCAGCCGGGGATCGAACCGGCGCCGCAGAGGCCGCGGGCAGCTTCGCAACCCAGCGCTCAACCGCTGCGCCACCGGGGAGGCCCGAGAATAGTAATTTAGAGACGTGATGTTTGTCTTAGGTAAGTTTATTTTTTATTTATTTATTTTTTTAAAATGATATTCTTTTTTTTTTTTTTTAAGATTTATTTATTTATACAAGCACTGGGTACAGTCAGAAGCGCGGGAGGGTGAGAGAATTCACCAGAGCCAGAGCGGGGAGCAGAGCAGGCAGAAGGACCGAAGTACACTGCTGAGGGGAGCAGCGGGCGGCAGGAGAGGTCTGCACACCATGTGGGACCCTCCTCCGGTGGCCGGGGAGCAGCCAGGGATCGAACTGCGGCCAACTTCGCAACCCAGCGCTCAACCACTGCGCCACCGGGGAGGCCCTTAGGTAAGTTTAAAGATTAAAGATAAACATCTGTGAGTTTCTTTGGGGTTTATTATGTGATAGGAAGCAGCATAAAAAATAAAATAAGGTATAGAGTTTATTATTTCAGTAGATTGTAATTACTCAGCCATATTCTAGCAATAAACAAAGTAGGAAATGACTACTTTTTAAATGCTTAACTTCCTAGACTGTGACAATGTATAAAATAAACCTTTGACTAAGGTGTAGCCCGAGGTTGGGACGGCGGGGATTAGGTAGAGAGAGGCTTTACGTTTGTTAAGCAGGTAGACTCAACATGATTAGCTTGTGTGTAGATGAGGATGGTCCCTCCTATGGCAACTTTCACGTACTTTATTTTTATTTTTAAAATTTTCATTGAGGTATCGGTTTATGTCATTGTTTGTATAATGGCAATATAAGACCCCTCTCCCTTTAAATGTTGTTTCTGTAGCGCACCTCCCATCAAAGCACCCATAGTCCATCACCATAGTCCATTGTGCTCCCTCCCTACTTTGTCCTCATTCCTTCCCTTCTCTCTCTGGATGCCTGGACTCTACAGTCAGTTTTCCAGGGTCAGCTTATGAATTTGGGTTTATCCAACTCTTTGTTTGGTTTCTCTTTATTCCATATATAAGTGATGCCATCTGATATTTGTCTTTCTCCTCCTGACTTTTGTCACTTAATCCCCTTCAGCTCCATCCATATCACCGCAAATAGCATGAGTTTATCTTTTTTGATTGCTGAGTAGTATTCCATTGTGTATATATAACACATCTTCCCAATCACTTATCTGAATTGGGGGCACTTAGGTAGTTTCCATACTTTGGTTTTTGTAAATAGTGCTGCCATGAACATGGAAATGCAGGCTTCCCTTTGAATCAGTCTTTTTGTATTCGGTGAGTAGGCACTTTATTTTGTTATTTTTTAAAGATTTATTTTTGTTTATACAAGAGCTGGGGTACAGTCAGAGGCACGGGAGGGTGAGAGAATTCACCAGAGACAGAGCGGGGAGCAGAACAGTCAGACGGACCGAAGACACTGCTGAGGGGAGCAGCAGGCGAGACAGGAGAGGTCTGCCCTGCCATTTGGATTTCTCCCTGGCTGGCCGGGAATCGAACCCGCACCTGCAGAGGCTGCAGACAGCTTCACAGTGCGGTGCTCCATCTGCTGCGCCACCGGGGAGGCCCGAGTAGGCACTTTAAATATAGCTGACTGGGGAAGGTAGCCTAGTACCTGGTTGTGAAAGAACTTAGCCATTGCCTGATCTGATGAGAGGCTATCAAAACCATTATCCAAGTGTCAATATAACAAACATAGTTTTTGCTGAAGTTCTTACTCTTTCTGAGTTTGAGCTGTGAACACAACTTGTGAAAGTGACGATGGTCTTCAGTGGAAAACTATGGAAAAAGCCCCACATTTCATAAATATTCTTATTGCCATGACAGACTTGGAAACTCAATGCTGGGTAAGAAACTCTGGTTCCTTGTGTAGGTGGCTTGCCTCTGCATTGGTGGTGTATCTTTTTTGTCGGAGGTTAAGCAGTTAATTTTCAAATTCCTTTAGTTGTCAAGTTCTTTTTTCCTGATCTGAGAGTATGTTTTTTTTTTTTTTGACAGAAGCACTTCCCACACCTTTAAAAGCTTTTTCTTAAATTTTCAACTTAATATATTTTGCATTCATTCACTCATCAAATAATTTTTTTAGTACCTGCTATGTGCTATGTCCTCTTTGCTAGATGCTGGGGGTATGTTAACGAATAAAGTGGACACAGTTCTTTCCCTTAGGAATTTTATCCTTATAAACATATAATGCCACAAAGTCTTATAACTACAGTTGATAAGAATGATGGAAGAAAAATACAATGTGTGTAGGCCTAGTCTGATCTGGGGCATGAGATATAAAAGCTTAACTGGGAAAATGACATTTAAGTTCCCTACTAGCACCTACTACACTCTGAGGTGCATTTTCTAAAAAGATTTATTTTTTGTTTATGCAATAGCTGGGGTACAGGCCAGAAGCATGGGAGGGTGAGAGGATTTACCACAGACAGAGCAGGGAGCAGAACAGGTAGATGGACCAAAATACACTGCTGAGGGGAGCAGTGGGTGCAACAGGAGAGGTCTGCTGCACCATGTGGGTAGCTCCCTCGCCGGCTGGGAATTGAACTTGTGCCACGGAGGCTACAGACAGCTTCACAGCGCTGTGCTCAACCCGCTGCGCCACCAGGGAGTCCCTGAGGCACATCTTATTAGTTGGAACAAGTCAAATCTATGGCAATGAGGATAAGAGGCCACAAAGAATATTCAAAGGTATATGCAAGGAAATGAAAGGCTAAGTCTTCTGGAAAGTCATAGGGAGAGTCATGTGAGAAGAGATGGAAATTGCAGCAATAAGGATACCATATCCAGAGTTTTGTAATCAGTGTTGATGATGTTAGATTTTATCTTAAGAAAAGTGGGTCATATCAGAAGAGTTTTAAACTGGGAAGTAGCTGAACAGATTTGTATTTTTCAACAATCTTTCTGGCTGAGTGTTCTGTACAGAACGGACAGGATAATGGGGAAGCAAAACTGGATACAGGGTGGCCTTTTGGGGAATGATGGTCCCCTGAATTCAGAAAGTAGAAATAGATTTGGCAATAAGTGAACTGGTTCATTAAATATTTGAGAGGTAGAACTGAAAGAACTTGATGATTGACCAAAGAGCCCTTTAATTGCAAGATGCAATGTAGTCTGGCTTCAGTATAGTGTTACATTAAAATAATTATTATTTTGGCAGAAAAATGCAATTGGAAGGATTTCAGAAACTAACTCAGGTACTTGAGGAAATGTCAAATACCTTTACGGTAGTTTTAATGCATAATAAAACATTTCTAATATCCTCTTTTGCAATATCTCTCACTCTCAGTGTCTTCTACCAATTTAGGAAGAAGCTTAAAAACAAAACTTCTCTCATTCTGTGTGTGCTCTCAAATATTCCCCAGCATTTATCTGAAATGGCTTCACATTCTACCTCAGCTTTTCACCACCAGGCATCATTTAACCTTTCTGATTCTTAAGTACTTCTCCTTTTGCTCAATGTTTGGATTCTGCAAGCAAAAGAAACAAAGATGCATATACTCTATGCAGATCTGTGTTTTGAGGAAAAGAAATGAATATGTTTCAACTTTAAACAAATGGGTGTTGCAAGCATGCCCATTTATGGAGGCAGGGAACATAGGACAAGAGAAGATTTTGAGGAAAACATGAGATCATGTGTACCATTTGTGTCTGGACTCCCTTCTCATAGTGCAAGGGACTGGCTCATAGGAACAATGTGCTGAAAGTCAACGTGGACTGGCTTACAAAAGTCAATTGTTAAATTCTCAGCCATTTTAAACATGATGTTATTATAAATAAAACAAATTACACAAAAACTAAGATAATAAATACTCAAAACATATTACTACTGACATTTCACTATTACCTATGAAGTTATATGTCTACTGTATCTGTATGATAGAAATACCATATAATGCTATGCTACTGTGAATCACTTGCCTTCAGTGGTGTCAGACTGGTAGCTGGAAATAGGCCATGTTTGCAACACTTAAACTACAAACACTGGCAAATGTTAGGCATCAAGACCTTCCCTGCCCTGAGATCTAGTAGTTAAACATTTATCACTACATCACTGTCCAAGAGGAGCCTGGATGAACGAGTCTGGGCTCAGGAGACAAATCTGGGCTGCAGATGCTGTTGTAGGGGTTTCAGAATAAAGATGTGGGGCAGCTTCATGAGATGGTATCAGTGTCATACACTTAGAACTTCTCCATGTTTGATTTAATGTTCTGCTTTCGCCATCTTGAGTTCCTTAATTTTTGAAGAATGGGCCACTCACTATTATTTTGCACTGGGTTGGCATAGATGGTAAGGAGCTTTGGGGTATTGCTTAATTTACTGCCTACCATCCCTCAAAATAAGTATTTGGCTTTATTCACCTACTTGGTAGTGCATTTGCACAGGTATTTTCCCCAGTCATTCTCTCAACCTGTGTATCTTTCACAACCAACTCATAAATTTTCCTTATTTTTTTTTTGCTCATTTTTGTTCTCTTTTCAAAATCTGTTAGCTTTCAAGTCATTGCTATATTAAATGACTTCAATAAAATGCCCCAGATTGTGATGTCCCACATCACCTTTCAGATTGCTGGGACACGGTGGTCTTGAATCATAGAAAACTGGGTTTGCATTTTTTATGTGACCAGAGGTTAGTTTCTTTACTTTCTCCACACCTCAGTTTCCTCATCAGGGGAAAGAAAGATATTTACCTCTGAATTTTATTATGAACATTAAATAATTTATGCAACGTGCCCACCAATGGTAAGTATTCATTTAATGGTAGTTAATAGTAACATTATTTTTATTCATATAGGATGAATTAGGAACACCTGGTAATGAATTTTGAAAAGGATACAGTGGTAAGGTCTTAGGAGAAATCAGGGGAACACTGTTAGACATAAGCTGGAAGATTTCAACTTGTTATTTATTTTATTTTTAAGATTTCTTTTATTATTATCATTTTTAAAATATTTATTTATTCATGCATACAAGAACTGGAGTGTAAGCCAGAGGTGCGTGTGATGAGAGGATTCACCAAAGAGAGTGGGGAGCAGAACAGGCAGACTGACTGAAATACACTTTTGAGGGGAGCAGAGGGTGAGACAGGAGGGGTCTGCTGTGCTATGTGGGGGATGGAACTCTTGCTGCAGTAGTTGTGGAGAGCTTGATAGCACTGTCTTTAACCCCTGCATCACCAAGGAGGCCCCGATTTCAACTTTTTAAAGAGAATTTTCCTGGTGCCACAATGTTTCCCAGATTGTATTGGACAAAGTACCTCTCACAGGAGTTCTTAATATTTTCAAAGCTCCTCTCCCCCATACACTGATCTAAATCTACACACAGCAAGAATATGGGCTCTAAGGCAGGGATGGCCATTTGCCAATTAGCCTTTTTGGGACAGTGGAAAAAAACTCTTTTCTTGGCATAAAGCTGCCATGTGGTAGATACTCAAAATACTGTGGGTGATTTTATTCACTGCTGCATCCCCAGCTTCTAGCATGGCCTGGTCCACGTAGGCGTCTGTTTATAGAACGACCTCAGGATCATGCCACCCTGCCTTCTCCATCGGTCCTCCAGCCCCTCATTTCTGTCGTTGCAATGCCCCGGGGACCAGGCGCGCTCTAGACCTGGAGCACGGACTCGGCTCCCCGCGCGCGTGGCTGCAGTTGCTACGGAAACGGCGGGACCTAACAACTCCGTTCCCCCCGGGGTGAGAGAGGCCCGCAGAGGCAACGGCAGCGGGAGGAGCAGCGGGAGCGACGCTGGGCGCCCCCCCAGTGTTGGTAGGTACCCGGGGTGGGTGCCTCCCCGAGGATCCCACCCAGTGCCCCCGCTGCCCGGGGCCTTCCATGATTGCGCACCGCTGCAGGAGGGAGTCAAACGATGACCCCCAGGCTTCGCTGCCGGGCGGGCTCCAGGGGGTCCCAATGCTCGAGTCTTGTCTGTCTCAGTGCACCGCAGGCATTTATTTTGCCGGAAAAACAAACAAACCTGGATCATTGCAGCCAGACTCTTAAGTGCTTTAACTTGGGCTTGCAAGGTGGAGATTGAAAGGCGAGGGAGCACGGAGAGAAAAGAGGAGCCGGTTGGAGAGGGTAACACAAGTGTGTTAGAAATCCAGTTTCGTCATATTTATAGTTTGTGCGCGCTGTGTGTGTGTGTGTGTGTGTGTGATGTTTCCACCACTCGTTCCTGCGCTCCCCGGGCCTGCCTCTTTATTTTATTTTATTTTTAAAAAATATTTATTTATGCATACAAGAGCTGGGGTACAGGCCAGAAGTGCAGGGAGTGAGAGGATCCACCAGAGACAGAGCAGGGAGCAGTACAGGCAGACTGACTGAAATGCACTGCTGAGGGGAGCAGCAGAAAAGACAGGAGAGGTCTGCTGTGCCATGTAGGTAGCTCCCTGCCCGGGGATCGAACTCGTGCTGCAGAGGCTGCGGTTAGCTCCATAGGTTGCGTCTTAACCCCTGCGCCACCAGGGAGGCCCCGGCCTGCCTCTTTAAAGCCCGCTGCGCTCGCCTTGGGGGGTGGTTACACCTGGACCCTGCGGGGAGCGTGCGAAACAGGTGCGGTGCGCGCCCAGCCGGCGCTGATTGGCTGTGCAGCCCTGGGTGAACTACCTGAACGAGCCGGGGGAGCCCTGCAGCCTGCGGGGTCTGCGCTGCATGCACGCCTGGCGCGCGGCCGCGGCTTGGCTCTCACCTGCGGGCTGGTCTGTTTCTCGCCGGTTTCAGGAGGCGACCCCGCGCCGTGTGAGCCGGGAGGCGGCCCGGGCAGCCGAGGTCCCTCCCCGCCAGCAGCGCGCCCCGGCGGCGTCCCGCGGGGAAGATGAGCGGCACCAGCGCCAAGTCCAGCCACCTGTCTCAGCCCGTGGTGAAGAGCGTGCTGGTGTACCGCAACGGAGACCCCTTCTTCGCGGGGCGCCGCGTCGTCATCCACGAGAAGAAGGTGTCCAGCTTCGACGTCTTCCTGAAGGAGGTGACCGGCGGCGTCCAGGCACCCTTTGGGGCCGTGAGGAACATCTACACCCCGCGCACCGGGCATCGCATCCGGAAGCTAGACCAGATCCAGAGTGGGGGTAACTACGTGGCGGGCGGCCAGGAAGCCTTCAAGAAACTCAAGTGAGTCGGGCTGTCCCTTTGCCCACTATTTAGGGGTGCGCGAAGGTGTGAGGCCGGCAGGAGGAAAGAAAGGCGCCCCCCCAGCTCCCCGGCACACACATCTCAATGGGCTGAGAGGATGCGCCTAGGAGGGCTCCCTCCACCTTGCAGAGGGTACCCCTGCAGTTGGGGTTCCCCGTTGAAAGTGTGGCCAGAGGCGCAATCTCCTTGTGTAGCTGTTAAACTTCAAACAGGCTTCATTAAAATTGGTGTATGAGGAACACGGATCTTACCCCTAAAAAGTATTCAGTGACCAAATCAACATGTGTGCGTTTTCTATTCTGCTTTATCTCTTTGGGCTTTTTCTCTCTCTCCTCCCACTTCTCTTGGAACCCATTTTTGTAGTTTATTTTATTTTTTTATTTTTATTTTTTAATATATTTTATTTTTATATTCCCCATACAATTGCAATCCCCTTATTTTGACCCCAATCCCTCCCTTCCCCGCCCCCCTACCCCCCATAGAGTGTCTCTGGTTCATAGTTTGTTGATTGTTGATTTTGATTTTCACTTTCTTATAGTTATTCTTTTTCCTGGTCCCTTATTTAAGTTTTCTAGATTCCTGCTATGAGTGAGACCATGCGATATTTTTCTTTTTCTTTCTGGCTTATTTCACTGAGCATGATCCCTTCCAGAGCCATTCATGTTGCTGCCATCTTTGTAATTTAAAGAAAGATTTCCTAAAATCACCTTGAAGTGTGGGATACTATGCTCTGTAATCTCCAGAGGAGAAAATTGCGCTCTGCATTTCTCCCTGCTGGATAAATTCTTTCTTTGATTTCAAGTAGACCTGATCATGCCTGGTTGTGACCCTTCTCCGACCTCCTGCATATTTATGCTATTGGCATAACGCTTGGGCGAATTTATTGGCTGACTGTATTTTTCTACCTGCCTGTCTGCAAGTATCTGATGGCTCGATCTTTGAGGGCATCATTGGTTGATGTTTATTCCCAGTTCCTGGCAGGAAGCTCACACTCATTGTAGGTGTTCAATGAATTAGCAAACTATTTAGGTCTTTGAAAGGAACTAAAATGAACAAACCATGACTCTTTGCCTTTAGGAGTTTACAGTCTTACAGGAGAGAGACTACATGCAACGCAATAATTTTTATGCAAAGTACAAAAGAAAAGGTGTAATTAGAAAAATAAAATGACAGGACTCCCTGGTGGCTCAAGAGGTTAAGAACAGCACCGTGAAGCTATCCGCAGCCTCTGCATCATGAGTTCCATCCCGGTCAGTCAGGGAGCTACCCACATGGTGCAGCAGACCTCTCCTGTTTCGCCTGCTGCTCCCCTCAGCAGTGTATTTCAGTCAGTCTGCTGGTCCTGTTCCCCACTCTCTCTGGTGAATCCTCTCACCCCCCACACTTCTGGTCTGTACCCCAGCTCTTATATGCATAAATAAATAAATCTTTAAAAAAAATAAGGTGACATGGGAGTTCAGAGTGGAAAGAAATTAGTTCTGCTATTAGACTAGCAGGTGGCTATTATAAATTTATTGAATTTAGTATGCCATGTATAATTTTGATAGCTTGAGATATATTTCATATACATAAACTCCACCCATTTCAGTGGCTTTTAGTATCTCATAGAGTTGTGCACCATCACTGCAAACTAATTTTAGAACATTTTAGAACATTACTCCAAAAAGAAACAGCCTTCCAACTTCCCCTCTCCTCTGATAATCATTAATCTACCCTGTTTTTATGGACATATCCATTCTGCTACTTCAGGTCAATGTAATCAGAACAATATCTGACCTTCTGTGTTTCTGGCTTCTTTCATTCAACACAATGTTTTCAAGGCTTTTCCATGTAGCATGCATCAGTCCTTCATTTTTTTTATTGTTGAATAATATTCCATGGTATAGATATGGCACATTTTATAAATCCATTTGTTACTTAATGGATTCGAGTGTTGCACTCTTGGCTATTATGAATATTGCTGCTATGAACAATCGTAGTTCAAGACTTCATTTCTCTTGAGTAGATATTTCAGAGGGGAACTACTGGTTGTTGAGTAACTCAGTATTGCATAGCATTTAATATCATATTTTAATTAAAATCAGGCTGGACCTCAGGCTAGTAGAAGGATATCTTTACTATAAAATCTCTGCTTGTGTGTTCTGACTTTAACTCTTAAAATATTTTCCCAAATGTCACTAAAGTTGTCTCATATCATGAGCTGAACCTTCCTATGGGCTGTTCTGTCCTTTGTTAAGCCAGACATTCTTTTTATGTGAGGATGAGGGATATATTTGGATCTATGAAATCGCTTCTATTAGGCTTTGTCTAACTTTCTAGAAAATGAACCAAACAAAACTGTGTGCTTTCAAGAAATTTAGAACTTAAAGCTGAAAATCAGGACAGTTGAGATGGACCTGCTTAGTAGCTCTATGTCCTTGGAAAGGCCCCTTGACACAGTTACCTAATAAAGAAAAGTCACATAACCATCCCTGCCTAACAGGGTTTCTTAAAAAGCAAATCCTCTATGGTGGATAAATGCAAATCATCCTTAGGCTCAGTTCCTTCCATCATACACCTCATTTTTTATTAAATAGTTTCTATATGAAACAATTTCATGGGAATGGGAATTTGCTTCAGAATCTATGACTAGCTCAAAATTGTAGACTCATAATCTCTTTTATTTGGAACTACCAACTGAATAGGTAAAAAGAGGAACAGTTCCAAACCAAATAGAAAGTGCACTTCAGAGCACTCTTTATGCATATAAGAAACTTGCATGGTTATTTTTGCTTTTAGTTCATACACACACACACAACTGAGTTTGTTATAAAAATGTCTGTGGTTAATTTTCCATGCCGATAGATGAATAGCTTATTTATTTGTGTTAACCTAGTACTATATATGGTTATAATGATAGAATCCAAGAAGACCTATATGATGAATATATTTGAAACCTGGCAGTTATACTATTATACAAATGAAGCAATAAAAGAAACAACAAAAGGAAGCTCAAAAGTTAATGAGGGAAATTTGTGTCATTTCGACTCTAAATGATGTTGGGAAAGATAGCAATGGTGGAAAAATTAATTTTCGAATAAAAGTGATCAATTTCCTACTTGAATCTTTTTCACTTAAATTTTATTCTTACATTTTTGAAACTATAAGCTTCAGAGAGCTATTAAATCTTTATTTTATATAGAGAATTCTAGAGGGTGGTATTTCCCCCCAAATTGTCTGTGTGCTTTTTGGGAAGTTGACTCCATTCCTTGTGGAGCAGAAAACACCTATCTGAACATGACAATTAGGATACTTCGATAATATGTCAGAAATCATTAGGGTTGCAAGAATCATTTTATTGTTGAACAGAAGGAATATTTATACTATGTAAAATACTGTTTATGAAAGGGAAATACATGATAATTCCCACAAGTATCTATTAAAGTCTTGTATAAAAAATCAGATAGCAATAAAAAATACTTCAATAGCCAAAATTACTTCTAACATAATTTTTTTGGCAACTCAGCAATTATGATTGTTGAAGTAGAAAATCAGTCAGTAGATTTGCCTGTCTATGGTTATAGGTTAAATGCTAGCTTATACATACTTTTAATATTACAGCATTTATTCAGCATCTTCTGTGTATGAAGGTAATGGGATTAGATTACAGTGATGGTCTTAAAGCTTGAAGTTGATAAAGAGATAGTTTTCAAGTTGTGCTTATGGTAGGGTTAAAGAATGACCACTAGTTAATATATTTGTAGCAAATAGTAATGGAGTAATAGAGGTCTCCAGAGGTTAACTAGTCCACTCACCTGTCTCTTAGCTAAACCAGTAGCTAAACTGTCTCATATGGCTAAGTGTTTCTGTATCACTAAAGTACTGTCACAGGGAAAAAGATTTCCCAGCCTTTCAGAATTGTTACTTTAGTGCATACTACCAGCACTTTCTTTGACCTGAATCTGTGATTAATGGAACTGTTAAGCAGTTTGTACTATAAGCCTCTATTTTTAGCAAACTTGATATAAGAATTAGAAGTGCTGTATAGATAGCAAGTAGCTAAGCCATACGGCAGGGTGGGGTGGGGGTGAGGGTGGGGTGGGTGGGGAGGTGGGGGTGGGGTGGGTGGGGAGGTAGGGGTGGTGTGGGTTGTTCCCAAAATAGAAGTTTAGAGTAGACATGGTTTGCTTCTGGGTGGTGATGCTGAAAATAGTTTGTACTACTATGATTGCTTTTAATTAGTGGTTGCTGATTTTTGCTTTAGGCTTAGGTATTTCCTATGGCTTGCTTTACTTTTTAGTAATTATTGGAAATAAATTTATAAATTGACTCAAAAGCTAAAAATGGAATCTTTATTTTTTCCCCCCAGTTACTTGGATATAGGAGAAATCAAGAAAAGACCAATGGAAGCTGTAAATACAGAGGTAATGCACACAATATTTTGAAGGTTTAAATAACAGAACCATTTTTGTGTTTCTTACAGTATATCTGAGAAATTTAGCACACATATTATTATCAGAAGCAAAGAAACTGAGTGGTTCTCCTAAGACATGTAGGATTAGATACCACATGATCTTCTTTTCCTATTTTCTTTCTTTCTTTCTTTTTTTTTTTTTAAAGATTTATTTATTTATTTATTTATTCAAGCACTGGGTACAGTCAGAAGCGCGGGAGGGTGAGAGAATTCACCAGCGCCAGAGCGGGGAGCAGAGCAGGCAGAAGGACCGAAGTACACTGCTGAGGAGAGCAGCAGGAGAGGTCTGCACGCCATGTGGGACCCTCCTCCTGTGGCTGGGGAGCAGCCGGGGATCGAACCGGCACTGCAGAGTCTGCGGGCAGCTTCGCAACCCAGCGCTCAACCGCTGCGCCACTGGGAAGGCCCTTTTTCCTATTTTCTAACTACATTCTTAAGTTGAAATCCAGAGGATTTTTTTCCCTGTCACAGGGAAAGCGATTATGAGTACTGTGACACAAATCTTTACCAAATCTTCATCCTCTGTCTTCACTGACAGCCTTGTGTCTGAAATAACCAGGTGCTCTGCCTGTGCCTAGGGTTTTCCAAGGAGCCTCTTGGCCTTTCTGTGACAAGAGGAAACATGTCCATTTCAACTGCTTTAAAGTTCACTTGAGCAGAGTCAGCAGAAGCTTGTGAGAAGATTGCAATGGAGCCTTGCGAAATGGTCATAACACTGGCTGCCACAAAGCTTCTGAAACCCGAGTGCCATTTTCAGATATTCTGTAGGACATGCACCTTACTTTGGGCATTAAAAAAATAGATGAAAAACCAAGTCAAAACAACCCGCTTAAATATCCCAGTGAAACAGAGAAGTTGGTCGTTAAACCCAGATAGCACTTGGTCACCAGCTCTAACTTCTGCTCTTTCTCTTTTGACCCCCATAAATCTATGAAGAAATGGCCAGCAGAATAGTTTTTTATTTGTAGTGCACAGCACAGAAATCTCCACAGCTTGCACCATTTCTTCTCATGTATGGTTTATGCTCAGCAGGACCAAATAGGTCCCTCTAGGAAAAAAACATAAGAAACAATTCTAATGGCGCAGAATTTAAAGAATGTGAGTTAAATTTATTATTAAAATAATTTGTGGAAAGAGGTACCAATCCCAGACATTGTTTGAAATAGTTCATATTCTTGTATTTTGATTTTCAAGGTGTGCCAAATTGATTATTTGAGAGAGTGATAACATACATAGCTTAAAGTAGAAAAAGGTATGCTTTCTCAGGTTGGGCTTGTATTACAGCTAAAGAATGTCCAGTAGTTAATATCTGTAGCATGTAGTCAAAGAGGAATGATTCGTGAATTAGTTCTGGGTATAATTGTGTTTGAAGGATGCATAATTATTTGAAGTAGCCTGCCTTGCTTAAAATTGCTGACTGAACCTGCATTTCTGTGATAGAACTTGAGATGTGCAAATTATTAAAAAATGTGAACGTATGTTTATTCCGGACTCCAGTGCTTTGGTGAAGACATTGTACCTGGCAAAATGACAATATATTTTTTGAATTTTTTTTTTTTTTACAATTGTTAAATTGTAAATTTTTTTTTTTTTTTTTTTTTTTACAATTTGCAAAGTTCAGAAGGAGTCAGCTTAATTTACTAAAGTTCTTCCATTGAGGGCAGCAGCAATTGTTTCTTCTGTACTGTGGGTCTATGTCCCGCCACAGGGACAAGATCAGGGGATTCTGCTTCCCCTTGCGCTCGTGTGAATACTGCATCTCTTCCACTTCGTTTCTTCCTCGTTGTTCCCTCCATTTCTCCTTTCCTTTTAACTGCACAGACCCCACTGTAGCTTTTCATTTCTTCCCAGTCTTTCCCCACAAATCCTTCCAAAGAGGATAGAAAGAAAAGAAGGAGAAGAAATTTGGGGAGCTGGGGAGAGGTGGTGAGAAACTGCTTGTCCATGTTCTTTTAGTATTTCCTTTCATCCACCCAAGACCCCCCCCACGTGCTCCCTTGAGCCCCCCCAACCTTTACCCTCCCCACCGTTCCTCCTAGTCTAGACAAGCAGGTATTTACTTTCCTCACTTTTTCAGTCTTTTTTTAAAACGTGTTTTATATTTTGTACATCATTTTTCATTTTTGTACTATGTATGCATTTCCATCTTGGTTATAGTCCCTGTGAAATTCCCAGCACCCATTCACCCGTGAACTATCACCGTGGCCCCTTGTGCTCTTCCCACCCTTGTTTTGATCTTTCTTCACCCCACCCCCACCCCTGCAGAATCTTGCTCCCCAACACAGAAACCCTCCTCCCCAAACTCCACTCCCTGACCATACTTTCAGCCTGCATTGAGCAGAAGGAGCCCCTCCTTTGTTGACAGAAAAGGGAGAGTTTTGGATTCCTGGCTTCCCAAAAGGAAACTCTGAGTGTCTTTTCTCATGGAGCTATGACTTTAATTGTTCTATAACATATTAATGTCCTAAAACTAAAGGTCCTAGAGTAGCATTGCTGCTGTTTTAGGTAGAGCACAAGTAAAAAGACTTTTGTGTACTCTCCTGAGAAGCTCACTGTGGTGTGTGTTTAATCCTTTCTGTGCAGAAATACCTCTCTTTTCCATGACTTATTTATAATCAGACTTTCATTTCACTTTTTAAATTTTGAAATGAGTTTCACGGTCTAATAAAATACAGCAGTATATTTCATTTATTTATTTAATAACTTTTGAAAAAAGATTTATTTATTTATACATATAAGAACTGGCGTGTGGGCCAGAGGTGTGGGGTTGAGGGGTGGTGGTGAAAGGATTCACCGGAGACAGAGTAGGGAGCAGAACAAGCAGACTGACTGAAATACACTGCTGAGGGGAGCAGCGGGCAAGACAGGAGATGTCTGCTGAGCCATGTGGGTTAGCTCCTTGGCTATAGGGAGTGTGAGGGGGGGATTGAATTTGTGCTGCAGTGGCTGCTGGTAGCTTGATAGTGCTGTGTCTTTGACCCCTGCACCAGCAGGGAGACCCTGCTTAATAACTTTTTTAAAGATTAATTTAACAATCACAATAAGGACTTTTTAAAAATATTGTAAGTGCCTAACATGGCATTATATCCAATAATTGTCCAACATGACAATCACAATCAAGCTTTTAGAATTCAGCAAGTTTGTAACTTGGAGGCCTAAGTGTGTTCAAATTTTGAGGACTGACTTGGTAAGCACTGACCTTTCACAAAAACTACAGGTTCTATTTGATGTAAAGTGGCGATTTCCTTCCAATATTCGTGTCTACTGAGAAAATAGTGCATACCTTATTACTTACTTACATGAGGACCACAATACTTTATCAATTAATTGAGTTCCACAGTTCTTTGGAGTCAGATGATTTACCTTACTCCCAAGGACAGAGAGGGATTCACTGAATTAATTGTGAAGTAGGTTTACATGAGGGGTTAGGATTGACTGAAGGGGGAAATTGCAATGCTATAGTAGCATAGAGGATATTTATTCTAAGATGTTTTAGTGTGAATGGTGAATAAAATTTTTCAAAAGGATTGGGAGCATTTCTTTGAAATCTGAGGTGATTTCATACTGTTTAAATTTTCAGTTTTGGATGTATACAATAAAAGTCAATATGTTGGTGTGTATGATTCATTTATCCTACTTGCTTAAATAAATTAATTCTCATTGTTCTCAGCTTATGTTACTATGCTGTTTGATGGGGTTTTGTAGAATGTGGAGCACTGGGTCTTAGCCACTGGAGTTAGGTTTTTGCATGTGATAGGAAACCCAGCCAGAGTGCTGGGAATTAATGGCATTCCTGCCTTCTCTCTGGTTATCCTCACCCAAGCCCCAGAGAGTTATAGTTAATAATTGAGACACAATGGTCTCTACTGTGACCAGACTGCAGGTCACAGTAACTAGAATGTGCATGTCACCTTGACATTCAAAGGTCTTTTGTAGTTTCTATTATTGCTTTTCTGTTCTATAAAGCTAATCTTTGAAGAGACACCGAAAGAACAATCAGTTCTACTCTTCTTTTCCCTGTTTATGGCCATATTTTCCAGTGAGAGAATAGTGGAACTACCGTGCACCTTGTCCACTAGCCCAAAACAAGCACATGGTCTTGTTTAGCAGACATTTTGGACTGCAGGAGATAAAGGGGGTAAGGGAAAGAAAGGAAAGAAAAACGAGATAGAAATAAGAAAAAGGAAAATGTGACTCTGCTGTTTGTACCTGCTATGAGTGTTGTAGGTTCAAAGCAGACTTTCCTTGCCTCTCCAACACAGGCCTTGCTTTTATCTATACACAGGTAAAGAGAACTTCTAAACATCTCTTGCACTCTTGCCTCTGTTCCCCAGTTATATTTTTCTATAGTATTGTATTTTTATTGACATTATAATGTTGGTTTACAACACTGCATGTATTTTAAGATTATAGGTTCACACCTTTTCAAATGTATGTCACACCACCAAATGTATGTTTAATGTATGTTAAAGCAACCACAGCTCTCCGCTGTTGTCCATTGGGGCCCTCCCCTGTTCTTGCTCCCCACTCTACAACCTCTCCCTCTTCTGGCTTCAATTCTGCAGTCAGATTTCTAGGCTTTGTTTTGTCTTAGATGTGTCTGTTCCTTTTTTTTTTTTTTTTTTTTTTTTTGGTATTCCATTATGTATATTGACCATGTCTTCTTTAGCCATTTAATTGCTTTGGGCACTTTGGTTGTTTCTGTAATTTGGCTATTACAAATAGTGCTGCAGTAAACATAGGGATATATATATATATCATTGAATTAGTGTTTTGATATCTTTGGGTAGATATCTAGGGGTGGGATTGCTGGATCTTATGGAAGATCTATTTTCTTTAATCGATTTATCTGTGCATACAAGATCTGGGGTACCGGCCAGAAGTGTGTGTGTGTTGGGGTGGGGGGATGAGAGGATTCACCAGAGACAGAGTGGGGAACAGAATAGGGAG